TTGCCAACTAGGGCAATGTTAAAGGAATAAAGATGTCGGAAGCCAAGGCCGCCCATAGACTTTCCCACGCACATTCAGTCCCAACAAAGCCAATGAATCCCTTTACCACCCGGACCCTGTGTACCCCACCAAAAGGAGTTCATAATTCTTTGCAGTTCATCACAGAAGGAAGTAACGGTTTTTGCACAAATTCTTTGCAGTTCATAATTCTTTGCACAAATTTTTACACTAAAAACAACGGTTTTTAGAGTTTTAATTTTATATTAAAAATATAAATGAGGTTACTACAACTTTAATACTTAACAAGTGCATTTTTATATTATAAATTTAAGTGTTCAACGAGTCAAAATTAATAAAATTGAATATGTTACAAAAACTTTGGTAAAAATTTATGTATTGAGGCAAATAAAATTGTTTACCGTTTTATAAAAGTTGAACATGTTGCATTTTACAATTGTTGAAGAGAGAGAGAGAGAGAGAGAGAGAGAGAGAGTAATATTTAATTGTCTCGCATCGCATCGGACCACACGTTGCACTGCAGATACAGCTTGAGAAGGCTCAAAAACCAACAGAAGAAGATGCTCTTTGTTTGCTATTGCCATTGGCATTGACTGAGTTGCCTTTTTTTTTTTTTTTGTCTGAGTAATTTCTTTACATTTTCTTCTTAAAAGTTGATGAAAAGATTGGATTTGAAGAAACTCTCTTGCTTAGGCCCTAACATATATATATATATATATATATATATCATCAAACAAATTTAATCACCTTAACAAGCAAATGAACATTTTTTGGAATAATTTCACATATCATTTAAAACAAACAACACTCTAATTTTATGAAGTACATCCATCCATATTAAAAAAGTTTTTCTAAATATATTTTTTTGTTGATAAGCTTTAAAAAATTTTTATGTGCATGATCTTAGTTGCCATCCAAATTCGAAAACCAAGACAAAGCTTTACCTACTCCAATGTTTTGCTGAAAATTTGGATTTTCTTAACTACATTTGAGGTTAGTAGTTGACCTATCTTTCTTAATAAAAAATCAATGGGATCCCAAAATTAGAGAAACATTTTCTAATCTAATTAAATTAATCTTGAGATGCTAATCAAAATGACATTGGAGTTAGTAGAATCTTTGTTTTGTAATACGGCTCTTGCTTTTAATTAATCCAGGAAGCATGTCTGTCAGTTTCCTTTGAACATTGGTGCATGGCTTCGCTCAAAAAACCAGTCTGTTGTCTCTATTATTATTATTATTATTATTATTATTATTATTATTATTATTATTATTTTTATAAATTATGTATCTTTCTGACTTATTTTTTGATTAAATTTGTGCATCGCACCAAATTAGAAACTTCTTCTAATGCCAAGATTTTCAATTTCAGTAGCCTATAGATAATAAAAGTTCATATCCAGAAGCAACTCACTCTAATCGATTTAATTATATATTTATTATTTTTATTTTTATTTCATGTTTATATAGCTATATGCAATAAAACAATTTGAATGCATGATGTAACATTATATTTCTTTTAATTATTAGTTTTTCATATTTATTATTATTATTATTATTATTAAATCTCAAATGTATAAATTAATTAAATAGTCTTGAAATCTAGGATCATAGTGCCTTTCCAGTCGTCTTGAAATCTGAAATGTTAAAAATCTTTTCAAGGTCTTGTATATCTGAAAATCTACGTTAATTGTGCATTAATTCAAATAACTTTGGATTATGTAAAAATTTTGTTTGTTCTTGTTTTAAAAAAAAAAAATTCTTCCAAGAAAACCACAAGCATGTCTGCCAATTTTGTCCACAAAATTTTAATGCTTGACTTGCTCAAGATCGAGACTGTATAACATTTTTTTTTTTTACATGAATTCCTGCATGCATTTTTGTTTAAAGATGATAATGATAATTTTATATATATATATAATCTATAATGATTAATTAATTACATTTTATACATGTTGTAGTAATTAATTACTTAAACCTGATTAGAAATAAGTGCCTGCAGGATCTTCCATGTTGACCCTTTGCCTCGATCCAAATTAGAAACTTCTTTTTTTATATATATATAAATTAGAAACTTCTTGAGATATCCAAACTATGATTAAAAAACTTATCCTCACAACAGACTATATATCTTAATTACCTTCCAAAAATTGAATAAATATTATACATACATATATAACATAAGATAATATTTCTTTTATTTTTAATAAATTTTCAATTTCACTTTGTTTTGATTTTTTTTTTTTTTTTTGACATTGAATATTGGGCATTTTATTATTAAGAGAAGAAACGAGCAATACAAGTAGGAACAATATCTCAAGTTCAAAAATAAGCCTCACGAGGAGCTGATTTAGCCAAAACATGAGCTATATCATTAGCTTGTCTTCTTATCCAAGCCAAGGTGACATTAGGCAATTGGACTAATTGTAGCTTACATTCAGAAATAACAACTCCAAACTCGGACCAGTCTTGGACAGAATTCCTCATAGCAAAGTAAACTTGCAGAAAATCGGTCTCAATCTGAATCTTCAAGCTGGAGTAGCCCGACAGCAATCAGGACAACACCGCTCTTAGCGCTTGAGCTTTTGCTGCTGCTGGAGAAGAAAAACCTTGCAATGAAGACGTTGCTGCTGATACAAACCCGCTATTACAATTTGAAATTACAGCACCAACGGCTCCGTGGCCGATAGAGGGGAGAAGAGTTGCATCAAAGTGTCAACAGGTGGCGGAAACCATTGACTACCTGCATGAGCACCTGTACCTGTATCTGAACCTGGCGACTTCCGCTGTGCGTTCTTCCAAGATGCTAGCATACTTCTGGCCCAAGTAACCACTTGATAGGGTCCTTCTTCCACTTGATTCTATTTCAACTCATTATAGCTCAACCAAACACTCCATAGTCCTATAATAAAACTCTAAAAAAAATTCGTTCTCCCACACCTTGTGTAAATGTCCAACAGGTGTAAGAAAGTTGGAAAATTCCTAATAGTAAGTTGAATGCCAAAAAGCTGCCAACAAACACTTACTCTTTGTTTTGATTTTAATAATCTACATTGCAGCACTTTATATATCAAAAATAAAAAGGCAACAGGCTTTCTCCTTGTTCTTTGACTAGCTAGAAACTAACAAAAGGGACTTTATCAGAATGTTATATGAATTTGTAAATATTCGGTCTATTTGGTAAATTAGCTGTTGTTGAAACGTTTAGCTGTTTGATTAGTTTTTCATAAAATACTACAAATGAAACGTTATATAAGTTAATTTTTTATAAAATACAATCTTAATCTCTAAAACTAGTCAAAACGTTATATTACCAAACACTGTCAAAATACTAAAATATAGTTAAAAATTTAATAACGAACACTAAAGAGAATTAGGCAATGGTAAGCCCACCAAAGACATTTCATGGCAAACAAAAACAATCCATTTGACCTATAACTTTCAGCCCTTTTGATGAGGCTACCTGCTTTATCTTTTGTAAATGTTACTTTCTTTTAGTTTTTAGAAACCAACACCACCCACTTTTTGTGTTAAGGGTTCAGAATGTTGCTAGCTAGCAGTAACCAGCAGCACCCTTCCGTTGTATGATCGAAAAAAATAAAGACAATATCTAATAAGTGGGAAAGAAGGATAATCCCCACTAATTATTTTAATATAAAATTTCCAACTTTCACATTTAATCATAAATAAATAAATAAATAATGAACACCGAGACATAATTTAATAGTTGTTTGTGATATCTTGAAAACTTTGTTAATCCCCAATTACGTGTAATGCAATAACAATAGCATTAGTTATCTAGGATTTGTAATTTAAAAAGAAATGGGGTTTTAGGGTTTAAACTTCTACTCTTTTATATTATTAGATTAGATAACTATTCAATCATTAGCTTATTAGGCTAATAATTTTTTTCCTTAGTCATTTGATTGAGCTCTTATGCAATACTAGTGTCATTAAATTTGTTAATTATGGCTAGAATAATAAAAATATTGACACTAATTACGATAGGCTATTATCTTTTTCTATAAATATTATATTTGGGCTAAATATATAAATTTAGTTAATTTTGTGGCGTCTTTAACTAAATATATAAACATTCAACTTGCAAAATAATAAAATCAATTAAAAATCTATTCGATTATTGAAAAGTGAAAACTATTGCTTTAAAATTTATGTTAATCATATATCAAATCAATATTTTATAGATAAAAATTAAAATTTTTAAAAATTGTCATTATTAATGTGAAAAGTGTATAATATTATCAAAATTTGTAATTTAAAAGACATAATATATCTCTCTCAAAATTGAAAGTGGATAAGATTAAAATAATAAAGACGAGGGGTAAAATTATGTATTTTGGCTATAATATTCATTGTTTGAATGTTTAATAGCATAAAGGCCATGTAATATAAAACGTAATTTGGTTGAAGCTCAAATCCCATGAATATTTTCTTGCTATGCACAAGTCAGTGATATCACCTCTAAGTTTCTTGTCTCTTTCTTCTTTTTTGGATAGCAGATTTTACTTTTAGGTATAAACCCCCTCCATCAATCAAACCCACGAGCTGATTTGCTCCTTTTCATGCAATGAAAAAAAAAAAAAAAAAAAAGATTTTACTTTTAGGTATAAAACGCCCCTCCATCAATCAAACCCACGAGCTGATTTGCTCCTTTTCATGCAATGAAAAAAAAAAAAAAAAAAGGCCATCAATGGCAAAAAGCTCCAAAAGGTTTGGAATTGGTTCCTAGGACAAGAACTAGTAAAAAAAAAAAGAAAATTGAACAAAATTTTATTAAAAATAAAAAAAAAAAAAAAAAAGGCCATCAATGCAAAAAGCTCCAAAGGTGGAATTGCTTTCTAGGACAAGGGACTAGTAAAAAAAAAGAAAAATTGACAAACTTTTTAAGCACTATAAACTACACACACATATATATAGTACCTTCACATAAGCATGTCATGCTTTGCCCTATTCTTCATATCTCTACACTTGTTTTGTATGCTTCATATCAATAAGACAAATGGGTTTTTGGGTTTTGCATTAGATTTGCCAAGAATATATAATATAGTATATTCAGCTTTTTTATAAGAGCAAAAAAAGAAAAACTTGCCCATTTCTTGTGAGTAGTCTCTCTCCACTTCTGTGGTATCTCATATTAGAATTTAATGTTTTTTGGAATTTTCCATTATGTGGTGTGTTTTTCTTTGCATATTACTTTGTCAATATCTTATGGTGCTACTTGCTCTGCATTTAATGCTATTTCAGTGAACTTTTTTTTTTCTACTGTGGGGTCTGAACAGAATTTTCTTTGCCACACTATGCATGAATTGATGTGGCGGGCAGATTCAACTTTGAAGCCATTCAAGTTCATGGAAACAAGAGTTTCAAAGCATAAACGTTCTGTTAGGTACTCTTTTCATTCTTTTCTACTACTATAATCACTTTTCATGTTTGTTAAATGTTTTAACTCTTAATCTTTTTGTAGGATGATGGTTTCTTGGTATTTATAGGTATAATTTAGGTGCAGTCGCTTCTTTCATTTTTGGGTTGACAATATTATATATAAGCTGTTAGATGATTTGCTCTGTGAGCCTCTGAACCATTATTTTTCAAAGAATGAACTGGTTTTGCTAGATATTAGAATTTGAGCTTTCTCTAATATAAAAGATTTTCACCTTAAGATAGTGTAGATAGTTTCCCTTTTGCTTTTATTTTTGGCTATATTTTCTTTCTCACCTTCTTGCTAATGAATTATCGTTATATCCATTAAGTCTATAAGTACTTGTTCTGCATTATAATAACTTGACAATTAATCTGTCTTCTTCCCATTGACAGTGATCCAGTTGAAAGAAAAGTGGAGAAACACCAAGCAAGTAAATTTTATTTAGCTTCTCATAATATAAAATTGGTACGAATTGAATTTTTCTTTTAAAAGTTTATGCTTATATAATTTTTAAAAAACAATGTTGGATTTAAAAACCAATAAGTTCTGTCCATGTTTGATTCCATTAAGTTTGAGCTATTTTCTTGTTGATTTTTTTTCTATAGAACAAAATGGAACAACTGAAGGACTGTGTTGAAGACAACAACAGGCAACCTCCCAGCACAGAGGTTGAAGATTCTTTAAAGGAAGAGGTGAATATCTCTTAAATTTTGTCTGTGCTCACTGCCTAGAATATTCACAGAGCTCACGTAGAAATGCAAAATATGTGGGCACCAAACCTTAAAGCCCCTGCTTATTTCCAACCTATAAAGTTAAGGGCTTCATTGTATTCTCTTTCTGAGTTTCTATTATTTCTCTCTAAAGTGCATAGACTCTAGGCCAAAAATTCAAACTAAAACAGAAAAATATAAGTAAAAGGGGAAATTTTAAAGGGCTGAAAGAATTTAAAATAACACGGCAGCAGCTTGCACCATCAAAGTTTAATGCATCGAACTCTTATTCATTTGGGGAATTTTTGAGTTATGATATGGTTTTTCCCCTTTATTGTGCAGATTGTGGCGCTTCAGGACCAATTGCAGGACCAGTTTGTGACACGCAATGCATTGGAGAAGGCAATGAGAAGTTACTCTTACACCCCTTTTTCCTATGCAGCTATGAATAATAAGTCAGTCCCAAAGGTTAAATTCCTCCTCTTGAAAAATTATAGAATAAGTTTATACATCCTAAAATAAAAGCTTATGCACAAATATAACTATATTGAATTTTTTGACGTGAATAGTTCTCTCTGTATTGTAACTCTGGCTCTTGGAGTTTTAGCAAGTGGGTTAAAACTTGTTCTAAAAAATTTTTGCAGGAAACTAAAGAACTGATTAAGGAAGTTGCAGTGTTAGAACTAGAGGTTGTATACATGGAACGGTATCTTCTCTCTTTGTACAGAAATACATTTGATCAACAAATGTCATCTTACTCATCCATTGATGAAAGATGCAAAATGAATTCTATCATGCATAAAGGGGTGTTTCCAGAAGTTCCAAGAGAAGATATTATCACAAGTATACACAGTTCAGTTAATCAGTCAAGTATTTTTTCTTGCAATCGAAGTTCAAGTGCAAATCAAAATAAGGAATGCAATGGAAGTTCAGAAACAGAAAAGTTGTTTGATTCTAGTATTCATCAATGTCACTTTTCAAGATCTCAGCGTTCCTTTGGAATTTCTTCTCCGGCCATGAAATCTATCACTAGAGCTGTAGACGCGTACCATTCCCTCCCATTGTCAATGCTAGAGGTAACTTGATCAAGTTGAGACTTAGATCTTCTCAATAATTTTCAGTAAAATGTTTTCTTTTATTTAGTAACATTAACAAAATGATGTGATTAAATTTGTATTTTCCTCTTCAGAAAGCTCAGAATAATTATTCAAGTGCAACTAGTCTGGCCGAACATCTTGGGACTGGTTTTAATGATTATCTACTAGAAACACCAAACTCGCTTTCAGAAGAGATGATCAGGTGCATCTCAGCCATATATTGTGAACTAGCAGATCCACCTATGACAGATCACGATTATCCTTCCTCTCCCGGTGCTTCATTCTCTCCATCAACAAATGAGTTGCCAACACAAGGCCAGGGAGAGACATGGAGCCCCCCATCAAAGAACTTTTCATCCTTCAATTCATCTCTTGACAACCCGTTCCATATTGGAGATTCTAAGGAGTTCAATGGACCATACTCCATAATGGCAAAGGTCCAATGGATCCATAGAGATAGTCAAAAGCTAAAAGCTATGCAGCATAAGCTACAGCATTTTAGGTGAGCGTATCACTATATAGTTTGATTCAACAACATATTTTTCATATCTATTAAATAGAAATGCAGTTGAAAACCAAAAACTGTTGCATTTCAGGTCACTTGTCTCCCAATTGGAAGCAGTTAATCCTAGAAATTTGAAATACGAGGAGAAGCTAGCTTTTTGGATTAATGTGCATAATGCACTAATTATGCATGTAATTTTCTACACCAAGTATAAATTGCTGATGATTAGTTTGTTTTACATTATATTTCTGTTATTAATTTCTGAACAACTTGCATTCTGCTGCTCTATACAGGCATTTTTGGTTTATGGGATTCCAAAAAGTAATACAAAAAGAATGTCTTTAGTACTCAAGGTGAGCAAAACTTTTCCGATTACTTCAATATAAAAAAATGTCAGTTTAGTTTATCATTTTCACACTGTCTTTTACGTTTCAGGCTGCATACAATGTGGGGGGTCATACTATTAATGTAGACATGATACAGAGTTCTATTCTGGGTTGTCAATTGCTCCGTCCAGGACAAGTAATTTTTAAAGATCATTCTGTTTTTATCATCTGGAATTTGGATTCATGTTTAAACATGACTTCTCCAAAATTGTGCAAAATATTCTGACCTCTTAGAAAATAAATATATTACTCCCATAGTATTGAACTTCTACGACGAGCAATTCAAGCTATTTGATTTTTTATTGGAGCTTATTTTGCTTGCAGTGGCTACGACAATTATTTTTCTCAAAGACAAAATTCAAGGTTGGAGATCCTAGGAAAGCTTATTCTATTGATCTCCCTGAACCTCGCTTACATTTTGCACTATGTGCGGGAAGCAGTTCTGATCCTGCGGTATGTTATTTTAGGTACAAGACTTTTTAAATAATGCATACATGATAACAATGCCTTTTATGTGTTGATGGAAAGGTATATAAAAGGCTATTTGCTTCTTCTGGCATGTAAGTAATTAAAGTATTGTACTTGTTCAGGTTCGAATGTATACTGCCAAGAGAGTGTTCGAAGATTTGGAAGCTGCAAAAGAAGAGTACATTCAATCAAACATAATTATACATAAAGAAAAGAAAATCCTTCTTCCAAAGATTGTGGAATGCTATGCCAAGGAACTAGATCTTTGTCCTGCTGGTTTATTAGATATGATAGAACATTTACTGCCTAATTCTTTGAGAAAGAGCATTCAGCAATATCAACACAGAAAATCTGGCAAGCATATTGAGTGGATTCCACACAACGTTGTGTTCCGATATCTGCTCTCAAAAGAATTATCCTAATGATCAAAATGCTACTTAGCAGTCTGGTTCTTCGATATATTTCTCAGTTCTGCTAGCAAGAACATGTGGAATGATATGTGGATCATACTTTATATGGTCAACTTTTATGCTAATGATCATGTGGAATATTAAAGTCAGCTTCTTATATGTTTGGTGATCAAGTAGGCTGAAGATCATTAAGCTCTGATAAGATCAAAGATTTCTGAAACAATTGGCTTTCAAGGGAAACGAGAAAAACAGTAGCAGAAGTCAAGTAAGTAGCAGAAGTCAATTAAGTGTTGGTATATTGAGCTCTTAAAGGACTTGAGCTTGTCTGATCGGCATGCTTTGAGGCCACTGTTCATGCATTGTGGTTGCAGAACTTTGTCTCAGATCTAGGCATTGTCGACAGTATAGCTAGACCGTTGAGAATTTACTGTGATAATTCCGCAGTTGTCTTCTTCTGTAAGAATGACAGGTATTCTAAGGGTGCAAAGCACATGGACTTAGAGTACCTATCTGTGAAAGAAGAAGTGCATAAATACAAAGTGTCAATTGAGCATATCGGTACTAATCTGATGATAGCGGATCTGCTAACTAAAGGCTACCGCCCAAAATCTTCACTAGTCATGTTGATAGAATGGGCATTATAGATAAGTCCTTGTTAGCATGATGATTAAACTTGTATATATATATATACATATGGTTATTTTGCTCATATTATTATGACACTTGTGAATTCAATTAAAGATGTGTTTTGCTTATTTATGTGTTATAACTTTTGTACTATCTTGATTTACATTAGAATTTTGAAAATGAAAATTATTTCACACCTATTTTCTCACATATAAAACTTAATGTTAGACATTCAATTTATTTAATTTGATCCATCAAATCAATCTATACATGTAATTTTTTTTTTTTTTTTTTGAAAGGAATCTATACATGTATATAATATATAAAAAAATTTGTGTTCTGATTTTTATATTTAAGATTTTTTATTTTGTTCTTAAAGAGAGAAGAAATTAAATGAATAAATGATATGTTTATATAAAAAATTTGTGTTCTGATTTTTATATTTAAGATTTTTTTATTTGTCTTAAAAGAGAGAATTAAATGAATCAAATGATATGTTTTTGTGAGATTATAATATATATATATAATATATTATATAATATATATAATAAAATTTATTTTCTTTAATTTATTATTGAAATTAAGAAAATACATCAAATAAAATGAACAATAGAATGTAAAAAATTAAAAAATAATAAGGAGAAATCAAAATAAACAGATTCTTCCCTGAACCATATAAAATTTATTTTCTATTAATTATTATTGAAATTAGAAAAATATCATCCCAAACTAAAAATAAAAATCAGAAATGTAAAAATTAAAAAATAATAAGGAGAATATCAAAATAGAAAGATTTTCCCTGAACCACACATCCTCTCTTTTTCAAAAGCAAAACAAAAGAAAAAATAATCAAAATTTTAATTGGTTTGAATTTTATTTATAGGGTTTTTCAGCACACGAGAAGTGAAAAAGAGTCACTTGTCAATTGCCAAAAACAAAAACAACAGAAACAGTGACAAAGATCTCTATCTGCTGAGAGAGCACCACAATCACTTAAATAGCACAACAAGCCCAACCCAAGAAACCCTTTTGGCGCTTCTGCTACATAATACAAACAAACAAACAAAATCTCTCAAAGACCAAAAGTTAAACCTTTCTAATGTCTGGGAAACTCACATAGAGAGAGAGAGAGGGAGAGGGAGAGAGACAGACAGAGCTGCAATGGAAGAAGAGGGGGTTGAGGTAGTATTGGCTAGAGCCATTGAATTGAGGTTAAAGATCAGCAATTGCATCCAAAAAGCAAGTACTAAAACCAACAACAGCAATATCAATGGTAATTCTATATCTTTTAAAGAAAACAAAGAAAAAGAGGGTTTTGAAGAGGGCGTGATTGGGAAAGGGGAGAATGAAAAAAACCCTAATTCTCAGTCAATTACTGGGGGGTCATTGAATGAAGCAGAGGAAGAAGACGAAGAGGCTGAAAGGCTTTTGCTTATCCGTGATGCACTTGAATCTCTTGAACACCAGCTCTCTAACTTGCAGGTACAGTACCCAAATCTGAAAATTAGGGTTTTACAACAAAGATCCAAACTTGGGCATTTCTTTCCTTTTTTTACAAAGACATTGGCTTGGATATTTGTGAAACGGAAAATTATAAAGATTTTTATTGAGATTGATAATGATGATTTATTGTCAGTGATTTTCATTTGTGACGTTAAATAAAATAAATTGTTTAGATAAGCCTGTTTTACTTTGCTTTTGATTAACTGGGTTCTAGTTTAGGTGACATCAAAAGGGACATCGAAAGAGTGACCGACTTTCCTGTATTCTGTATTTAAGTTATGTGTGTATATCTTTTAACTTTGATATCAATTTGTTTGAAAACTCCTTTCTTACATCATTTTTATGGTTAGTTCATTGGTAAATTAAACATGCCATTAGACATTTGGAACTGAGGTTGCAGTGCTATTTGTATTTGTATGAAGTTGACTAGTTACTGTTTCTGTATTTGGAGTGTTTAATGCTGTTCAAGTCTACACCAAAAGCGCCTAAGCTTATGGTCATTCATAAACCTCCTTCTGTTATCATTTTATTTTTGGTACTTAGGAAATTTGTCCTGTTAATAATTTTAAAGCACCAAATGACCATGATTATGCGCAATTAAACAGATTACTTGCCAATATCTTGCTGGAACTGTTAGATCACTGGTGTTTTGATAATCCAAAAACTAACCTCAATGATTTCAATATTCCTACTGAATGAAGTTGTATTATAGGTCCATGAAAATGACCAACACATGGAAATGGTCTTGAGATGATCTATTTTTGGCTGCTTAGTAGGTTATTAATTGAGTGCTTGCTTGTACTGACAAATTGATGATCTTTGATTTCCCCTAAATCAATTGAAGGAATATGCTCTATTGGCTGCAGAATGTAAGAAACGATGTATGTGTGTGTGAATAGATGAAATACTGAAATATAGGGATAATTTCCAAGATGAAGATGAATTTATCCAGGTGTGTTCATGTCCTATATCAACAGGCTTTCTTATCCCCTGTCTAAAGGAGATGAAAGGATGCGCTATTTAAGCTGTTTAATTTTTTAAGCCAAGGGTACTTCACATATCCATATGTTGCTCTAAAGGGAAAGGAAACATTATTCCATTTGTTCGAGAATCATGAAGATGATGCTAATGGGCAGCATATGGTTAGCACCTGATGGAACTCTATAAAATGTTGAAGTGGATATCAGGCAAATAGATGATGGCATCTGGTCAACAATCTAGACATGCTACTTTGATGAACTGATTAAAGTTTCAACCAAAATCACTGATTACATATATGCTCTGATTTGTGAATTTAGTTCTTCTTTATTGCTGTAAACCAAACAAGATGGCTTTTCTTTTATGGAGTTTTTGTATGATATGTAAACTCTTCCTTTTGGCTTGCTGTGGACCTAATGAAACAATTTTCTGCTTCTTGATCTGATCATTTTCAAAAATTCCTTCAGTGTTCTTGAACGTGGCTCAAGTTTCTTGCTTGGGAGTGAGATGATTATGTGTAAAATATTCCTAGCTTCATTCCACTCATTTGTTATTCCAGGAAAATTCCATCCCTTTGTTTTTCTCTCATGTTTGCATTTGTGGTTATATCCATATGCTTGTTCCCACATGTTCGGGCGGTGCTCATATGACTCAAGAAGTGGAGGGCAGGCTTGCAAAATATTATGTTGTTTGAATCCAAAGATAGTTTCTTTTTACTTTTATATATGTAAGAGCTATTGTAAATATGAAGTTTAAAATCACAAGGGTACATGTTTTGATCTAACAAAGGGATGAATAGAAACAGAGTAGCTTCTGTGAAATGTCATACATAATGATTATAAACCCCTTAATTGTATTCCTCTGGTGGCCAGGATTTGCAGCAACAACAACGTTATGAGAGGGAAGTTGCTCTCAGTGAGATTGAGCATAGCCGCAAGATGTTGTTAGATAAGCTAAAGGAGTATAAAGGGGAAGACTTAGAAGTGATACAGGAAGCTTCTGCATTTGCTGGTGAAACAGTGGAGCATAACAATGATCTCTTGCTTCCTCCTTATCCAAGCCGCCTTCCACAGTCCCTAGTTGTAGACAACCGCCATGCGTTACACTTTCCTTCCACACGCAAGTTTGTGCGGAATGGTATAATCTCTGGTGAAGCAAAGAAGAATTTGAATGGATTAGGGAGCAATCAGGCGCAGGATATGCCCAAAAACTCAAGTAAAGGACTGGGACATGTCATTGGTGCAGCAGCTAAGACAGTGATCACACTCATCGGTGTGATATCTGTGTTAAGCTTGTCTGGTTTTGGACCTAGTCTCGGGAAAAAGAATACACCTTTTAAAATTTTGGGCTTCTTTCAGCAACCAGCAACTGAAGAAAAGAGAAGCATGCGATGCCCACCTGGGAGAGTTCTAGTTGTGGAAGATGGTGAAGCTCGATGCATCGTGAAAGAGAGGGTTGCAATTCCTTTTGAATCAGTGGTTACAAAACCAGATTTAAGTTATGGATGTGGCTAATTTGGTACCCTGTAGCCTATCCTTGTTTTTCCTTTCTTAAGTTTTTCTTCTCTCTTTTGGTAGATCCAATGATCCATTGTCTATCCTTTGTATATCTTGTTTCTTCATTATTACGGTGTGAAGATTTTGATTTAATAGTCTACACTAGTTGTTATAATAATAATAATTCAAGGTTGGTGCTTGTGTAAGGTGGGAAGCCATAATTTGTTCCAGATCCAATAATCTACCATTTTTAACAAAGTTCAACATCAGAAAACATATTATTTGTCTATGGTTCTTTCTTTTTTTCTCCCAGGAAAATTGACTGATGTTTCAGTTCTAGGTTCTGGTTGGTTTCTCTGTGAAATCATGAAACCGTAGCTGAAATGATTAAAAGCCAAAACATTTTCTGTGATTTTTTAGTGGAGTGGGAAGTCCATTTAGGGGAATCATCTTCTGAGGTCGAAAGTTAGAATATAAAGAAGAGTATTCACTGTATTCAAGATTATGGTTTTGTTTTTGCACATTGACGTCCACATTATGGCAACATGTCTTAGTGCATGCACTTAAATAATAAATATATAATAAATATAGAGACATGTTATTATAAATAATAATAATACAATAAATTAGAAGACATAAAGAAGTTGTCTCCACCCTTGCTTGAAAGGTTATTTCTAATTTAACTTTTTAACACAGTCGGACCCTTTTTTGTAATCAGAACCCAACTGGTGAAGCTACTTCTTATATCTTAGATTTGCATTATTGATACTTCTGTCAGATGATTCTCGGGGATACCAACGCTATTAGTTCTGGGGCTACTTTGCTACTCTCTGATGGTCAGTTTCCTTTGGCTTTTCCTTTCTTCAATTTCAATCACACTTCCCTTTTAATAAGTACCATCTAATCTTTCTTTTTGTTGTTTTTCTGTGGAAAAAATAATTGCAGCTACAGGCATCAAGAAGAATGGCAGAAGAGGTATCTATAAGAATTATGTAACTCAGAATTTTGGCCCCAGACTCTTGCATAAGCAATCCTTGCACTTGTCATGGGTCAGAAAAGATGGACCAGTACATGTAATATGCAAAAACCCAAAGTATCTCACAGGTAAGTTCCTTCATCTAATCTTGGGTTAGGTCTGTTTTTCCGTTCCCTTTGTTTTAAGCACTAAAATTATGATTTTTGAATTTATGAAAGGCGTGGAGAGCAGTATAAAACTGAAAGTGAGTGCATTTACAGAAGAGCAGGAAACTCTAGTGGTCAAATCATGGAACTCAATGAAGAAGAATGCTCCAGAATTGGGTCTAAAATTCTTCATTAAGTAAATCAACCTTCTTTATATTTGAATCTTGACCAAAGAAGTTAATCTGAAACTAAACGCTTCTTCTTTTTTGGTTTATTGTGTTAAATTACTAGTGGATTTGTGATTTGCATGTGAGTTCTGAGTTGGATTTTGCAGAGTCTTTGAGATCGCACCATCTGCAAAAAAGCTGTTCACATTTTTGAGAGACTCGGATGTTCCTGTAGAGCAGAATCCAAGACTTAAACCTCATGCCATGACTGTCTTTGTTATGGTGAGTCCATTCTTCTGTTACTAATCATCTCCATAAATCTTAACCAAACATAATCTTAAAGTAGAAACACGAACATCTGTTCAAGAAAGTAATTTAAGAGAATCCCAATCGATTAATCATCTATTTGTCAAGATATTTAGAAATTAGGCTATTGCTGTCTTGCAGACCTGTGAATCAGCAGAGCAACTTCGAAAAGCCGGCAAAGTAACTGTAAAAGAGTCCAGTCTGAAAGATTTAGGAGCTACCCATTTCAAATACGGGGTAGTTGATGAACATTTTGAGGTATCAGTTCTGATATAGTATTTCGTTAAACTATAGAAACAAATATTTTATACAGCCGTAGTAAGTTTCAAATAATTATGTTGATGATTCATATATAGGTAGTGAAGTATGCATTGCTTGAAACCATAAAAGAAGCAGTACCAGAAATGTGGTCACCTGAAATGAAGAATGCTTGGGCAGAAGCTTATGATCAGCTAGCTGCTGCTATCAGAAATGAAATGAAACCTTCTTCGGAAGCATTTTAACAGAGAGATGTTTGATGTATTAAGCTCTAGCTTCAATAATAGCAAACAACTTTGATGATTAAGATTGTACACATGAAAATTTGGGGATTTTGTATGAATTTAATAAAATTGTGTGATCGTATTCCACCAAGGTGTTTACAAATAGAATGAGAATGACTTACGCATCAAATTGGCACCTGAATTTTTACCATTCATCTAATCAAGTTCAATAAATTCTTTTCATTTTAATTGACTGCTGAAGTTCTAAGTTTACTTAGTTTAGTTCAAATCTATCTTACAAGAAATTGAAAATAGTAAAATGTACGCAAGTAATAAAACATTCACATCCAATTATTATAATTAGATTTCGATTGAACACATTTACGGTGAAGCTAACTTCTACACGGATTTCTTAGTTAAACTTGCCAGTTCAGTGGCTTTGTATTCTTTATTATAATCGGATTTCTATTTCATTTTGCAACTTTTTTGTTATTTTAAATTATTATGGACGTATAAGATTTCAATTCGATCATTATCTTCTAATCAAGTTTCTCCTTTCTTTTAAATAATTGATTTTTCAAATGGGGGAAAATGAAGGTGCAGATGGGATAAATTAGATCAGATTCATTGACCAATTAGATGGAAAATAACATATTGAATTTGATTGGACAAGTTGTGAAAGTTCAGCAACTAATTTAATATTCTAGCCAATTTTGAAAATTGAATTGTTGCATTTTAAGAAAAATACAATTCGTAGAATCTCCTTCCATTATTATTATTATTATTTTGTATCAGTAGAAGGGAAATTCAAATTGAATAATATATTAGTTATATAACTTTATTACAATCCAACTTGAACACCCAAAACCAGGTATTTCTAGGTTGAAACTAACAGCTGAGTGAGTCCCATGGTTTTAGACCTATGGATGCTACAACAGTTCATATCGGTACACGAACAAAAAATAATGGCTTTCAAATGTATTGAAGAGTTAACCTTATCTGCTTCAAATTTTGCATGTATAAATAATGGCTGCAAATAGTTAACCAACACCATAATCAAAGTCACCATCTAATTAAATATCGTAGTTCTAAAATTAAAGGCCATGAGTAGCTTGGAATGCAAAGGTTTTACAGAAGAGCAAGAAGCTCTGGTAGTCAAGTCATGGAATGTAATGAAGAAAAATTCTGCAGAATTGGGTCTTCAATTATTCTTGAAGTAATTGATCAAACCCATTTGTGTATATATGTTTTTACATCAGAAAATTCTTAAAGAAAAAGGATATGCCAAGATTTGATATTTTTTAAAATTTTATATTTTAATTAAATGGGATTGTGTTTTTTTGCAGGATATTTGAGATTGCACCATCAGCACAGAAGATGTTCTCATTCTTGCGAGACTCTAATGTTCCTCTTCACCAAAATGCGAAGCTTAAGCCCCATGCCATGTCTGTCTTTATCATGGTAACTATACAATATTTAATCAAGAATATTAACTAAACAAGTTCATTATTAATACATATATTTTGTTAAAAAAATGGTGAAATAATGCATTTTAAGGTTCTGTTCTTGGGGTTCATTTGCAGACTTGTGAATCAGCAGTTCAACTAAGGAAAGCTGGCAAAGTTACTGTTAGAGAGTCTAGCTTAAAAAAATTGGGAGCTGTCCACTTCAAATATGGAGTTGTGGATGAACATTTCGAGGTATGATTCCTATATATATATATTAATAAAATATTTGGGGAAAAGAAAAGTATTTTTAGTGAAAATATATTAATTTAATTTAACTAGTCCTTAAAAAAAGTTATTTGTACATGCAGGTGACAAAGTTTGCCCTAATGGAGACAATAAAGGAAGCTGTACCAGAAATGTGGTCAGCAGAAATGAAGAATGCTTGGGGTGAAGCTTATGACCTGCTGGTTGCTGCCATTAAGACTGAAATGAAGCCATCCACATAGGAAAATGTCTCTCCTTAAATTCTGATAAATTTTGTTTTATTAGAACATTAATTAAGAGTAATTAATTATGCTAGTCTGTAATTGTATGTGCTTTTACATAGTTGTTTCTACATGTCACTGTAATGAAATAATTGATGTTGTTTTCATTTGAATACAAACAATAACAGCTAAGTCAGTATGAGTCAGGCTATAGTAGTTCTCTATCTATATTTCGTCCTGTTCATAGCTAACTCTGCACTAATGCCAAGAAAGAGGAGGTTTTATTTAAATTTAAAATGAATAAATTCAATATTTCAGCATTTAATTGAATTATAAATTTGAATATTTCAACTTTATTTCAAATTTGGAAAAATCCAAAAAAAATTGAGTGCAAAAAAGTGCACAAGTTTGCACTTTCTGAGCACCTACTTGAAGACAGAACACGTGGAAATCTGGCAAGCATGAGTTGTTAGCACAGTTGGCACTTTTAGCCTATCAATTTGAAGCAAAATCTGTTTTCTCCTTCTAGCAACTAACTTACTGGAAAATTGGAGTCTTGTGTATTAATAAACTTTGTACAATTCAGCAAATAATGAAGTTAGATCAGCATTCATAACATTGCAACTTGTTCAAACCCTACCAAATTTTAGAATCTAGAAAAAATATTGCACAAATATTTTTGTTCAATGATTGAACTAATTTTTTTATTTTGGTTTAATGGGAAAAGAAAAAATTAAATCGCACTTCGGTAGAAATAAGTAACACCAATAGAGTTGTGTAATAATCATAAGAGAATACTAGAAAGAGGATCTTCCAAGATATAGGCAATGTTCGACAACATTTTTTTTAAGTAGCTTTTAGTCTTTTGATAATCCTAAACTTTATTTTTTATAGTTTTCGGTAATATAGCATTTCAACTAGCTATTAGAGTTTAAGATAGCGCATTATAAAAGGTTATCCTTGTAATATTTAGCTTTTAGTATTCTACGAAAAGTTTTTCAAACAACTATTAGCTACTCAAATAATTATATAATACAAAAATAGCTAATAACTACCAATACAGTTAATTTTACCCAACAGATCTATAATGCCTTGAAGAAAAAAGTAATAAAATGAGAAACTTAATCAACACTGTTGTTAGCCTCACCAAAGATATAAGTAATTGAACTAATATTGATATAATTGAATTCAGGTGCCTAAAATTGACCTCTCTAGCTCAAACTCCCATTCATCGATCCTTTTTCAGTGTAAATTATCAGTATTCAAATTCCATTATCAGGAACCGTCCAATCCGATTTGAGATTTAGTCACAATTAAGGTTTCTTACTTCTTCCCTTCATGTAGGTGCATTTAGTGGTGATCCAACCCATTCGTAAACCTTTTAATGTCAATGTAATGATATATTGTCTATAATAATATATCTTGCAAAAAAAAAAAGCTGCCTGCTTCATAGTGCCATGCCACTGATCTACGCACCTGATGATCAACTTTTCATTCCCATAATTATAAATCAACACCAAAAAATTTAAGCACATTTATCTCTGCTTTAATTCTGAATATGATGGAAAAGAATTCACAAAACAATTATTAATTCTGAATTAAGAAATTAAAAACTTGTTTGGGACCGTGATAGGATAAACTTTTCAGAATACATTACAACGTACTACTTTATAATCTCATTTTTGGAAAAAAAAAAATTTATAATTGATTCCATTTTTTATTTTATTTTATTAATGATTTATTATTTTTTTGATATATAAAAAAACTTAAATCCTTACTCTCATGTGCTAAAAAGTGATAATTTTTAATTTAAAACACTAGACATAACATAATGCATGCCTCATGTCTATGAAATCTAACTGAAACCTCTTCCACTTGAAACAAATCCAGTGTGCCAAAAGAATAATTTTTTTATTTTCATTTTAGACTTAAAAGAAATCTCACTTGATGAAAAGTTATGTACTGCATCAAATTATATTTTTAAATCCTATTTTGATTCAACTATATATATTAAATTCCAGTTCATGTTTTCATTTTTCCTCTTAAAAAAAAAATAATCAAATTGAATCTTACACACCACTTTGCCTCATTCTTTTAATATTTTCTATAGCATGGCTTGTTTGGGAGCAGCCCATTGTTACCATAAAAACTAAAGACCAAAAAGCAACAAGTTTAGGGTTTTGAAGAATAGGGCAATTTTCAATTTTCTGAAGGATATTCATGGCCAATTGTAGTTTATTTAGTAGGATAGTAACAAGTTGCTAAAGAGGCAAACTCACAATTTAATTAAAAGGCGATAAATTTTTAAGCATATAGTTAAAGTTATTAAAGCGACAGAAGAAGTCTTGTATTCGAATTTAAAATTTCTGTTTTCACCCGTGAAATGTAATTTAACGTTATAAATAATATCAGAATTAAATATACATTAATATCGATATCATTACATGACAAGATGTTGGGTTAATTTAAACAGTAAAAAGTACCGATTAGAGTTTAATAATAAGCCAACGGTAATTACTATCCTAATAAAGCCTTAACTACTTTATGTTCCTATAATGTGAAATGTGATGTCTAAAGTTGGCTTAGCAATTATATAGCATCAAAAGCTAAAAAAAAATAAACAATTACATATATAAATATTTGCCAATCACTAAAATAAATAATTAGACTTTCAATACTCAAATCAATTTAATGGTTGCTTCGTCCTTCCCCGCCGGAAAATTCACACCAACGATGTCAAAAGCAATCGGAATTTTACAAAACCGGTGACCACCAGCTGGCAACAATTTACTCCCATTAAACGATGTCGTTTTACTCGAAGGAGCATCGGAGTCCAGTTGATTAAGAGCAGCGCTAGCTTTAATAGCAAGTGCACATAATTCTTGCAAAGATAGCAAACCATTGGATTTAGAGAGTGGCAAGAGGAAATAAATCTGACCCAGTTGAAGTTCCTCATCATCTGGCACATGAGGCACGTGACAGTTAACGTACATAGATTCTGAGCTACAGAGAAAGCAATTTAGGTTCTGAGAAAGAACAACATTCGCCATTGTTGGTTGCTTCAATTCTTGAAGCTTCCCATCAATATGAACAATCTTGGTTGTGGGATATTGCCAATTTTGAGCAGTGAGAGTGAGAGTAGTATCCGTTTTTGTGTATTGAGGAGCTACACAATTACCCATTCTTGGATTATCTGTGTATTTGAAGAGTTAGGTTAGGGCTGTTTGTGTGGAAGTGAAGGTGTGTGGGATTTATATAGGAAGAAGAAAGGTATTGGAAAAGAATTATATTATTATAAGGCCAAGACTTTGACTACCCAATAGTGTTTTTTTTTTTTTCATCTTAATTAATGTTTTTTTTTATATGTTATTTATCAATTATGAGACTTCTTGTGGGCTGCTATTAATTGCCAAGGTGGGGGAATCTGCCTAGATTTGTTCAAGTCTCTGAGTGAGTGGTTTCGAACTTTTTGTTTTTGTTTGTATATGTTAATTTAACTCCTTTTGGAATGAGAAATAGAAAAGCAACTGCCTAACAAATGAGAAATGGTTTTTTTAAATTCTAACTATAAAGTAGAATACATAAATGCAATCAAAGATTCTATTGAGTTGTCAATTAATTAAAACTTTAATTAGCCATTGAGTAATATTTTCAACAATGAGCTTTCACTTAATGTATGGAGGTTATTACATTCAAAGATTCTATATATTAAGTTGAGGAACCCTAAACCGAACAGAGTAGTTCAGTCACAAATAGCACTTACAGAGTTAATCACCATGACTTAGGTTATGGGTTCGATTTTCTGCAACCCAAACTCCCCCTAGATCAATCCTTTTGCTTCCGAAAGCGAACAGAGATTTGTCAAGTTTGTAGACCGTTAAACGGATATGGACTACAGTATCCCGTGCAATTATATTAAAAAAAGGGAACCCTTGACTAATCTTTTAATAAGGGATTTTGAGTTAAAGTATTGAGATTATAAATAAAACTGAGAAGTTTCGAATTTAATCCTCTCATCAAGAATTGTGGATATGATTTGAATTGTATTAATATAAAACTTGAGTAAATCGAATTTTTTATTTGTTTATAAAATAAAATCGAAGTTCCATTTAATTTTCACTTACTTTTTGAGTTAAAAAGTTTAATTTTCAGGATTTTTAAAAATTAAACTTGTCGGTTGTTTCCTATTAAAATCAAAAAAAAAAAAAATGCTATTTTTATAACCGATCAATTTTGCTGATTATTTTGAGTTTGAAATTTTCATCTCAACCAAATTTAGCTCCAATTTATATCATTCATTTTAAAAAAGTAAAAAAAATAAAAAATAAATAAGCCAATAGAGAATAGGTTAGTTTAGTTACACTGAGTTGTTGATAATTACCATTGCCTAAATTACTACTAATAAGTGTTTGGCATTTGAAGATAGTAGGTAATTGTAATGTCTATATCAGGATTGAAACCTGCAATTTGTCAACAGAATGAACCAGAAAGGACAAACATTTCAGGATTGAAACCTGCAATTTCTGCTACTTCTATCATCTTCTTTGCCTTTCACACGCTACGGCTTTTGGATCCACTACTTCAACTTCTTATGTGGAGCAACTGGCTACCTAGTTATGTTTAACCGGTCATAAAAACCATTTATTTCCTTTAACCAGAAGAAAAAAAAAAAAAAAAAAGAAGAAACTTTTTTACTGAAAAATAATAAAAAGCTATGGTCGAATTGAAATTTATCATGCTGGCGCCAGTTAAACTCTTAATTTTCTTGTTCATTAAAATCTCTTAAGACACGTGCACTCATGCTCCATTTGTTTCTAAAAAATAATTCATCTGAAAAATATTTTTTAAATTTTTTAATATTTGAGGTGCTTAAAAAATCAATTAATGGAAAATAATTTTTTGGTTACATGAAAACTAAGTCATTTTCAAGGAAATTAACTTCTTATGTTTAAAGAAAAAAATATTTTTTAAATATTGACAAACTTACTATAACCTTATATATATATATACATATATATTAGTCACCGGTAGCCACCACCACTAATATTCACTAGTCAGTACAAGCCACGGACCACTATTGGCTACCACTAATTTATTTTATATTTATCATTTAAAAAATTTAAAGACAATTCAAAATATCACTAAAAAAGAAAAATAAATTCAAATTGAAAAAGCTTTTCACATGCACCTAACATCATATAACAGATTAATTAATTTCAGGGAAAAGGGAAGCAAAAAGGTGATTGAATTCAACAAACAAAAGGGGAAAAAAAAAAAAAGTTGTTTGGATGGGAAATTTCACTATAATTTCAAGTCTTGTTCGTATGCAGGCGCCACTCAATCACGTTTAGCTTGGAAGGCTTCAAATCGCACATGACCACAGTATGGAAGGAAGGAAGAAAGAAAGGAAGGAAGGCTTTCTTGATTTCAAGCTAAGGTCAAGATGAAACATTTCCTTTTTATGTCTAGATTACAAAAAAAAAGTGTGTTTGTTTTCTATTTTTCACACATAATGAGGCTTTCCTTTCATACTTCTTTTTCTGTTTTGAGGGTCCATTTAGGCATGGACATTTCTTGTCTTCACTCATTTACCCTACCTTTTCTCAATAGAACTCCATTTCCTGTGTCTTCCACTTCATTTCTTTCTTTAACATAACTATGGGCTAATTGATGCTCTCCACTCTCTCATTATCAAAATTTTTTTTAAAGATAGATTACCATAGAAATGGAAACATGAAAATGCAGATAAAATAAAAATAATAACATTCATATTTAACGGGTTTCGTATATTTTTCGTGAAGTAAATTTTTGTGCAGATTAATTGACCAAATGTGCTTTTTCTCTTTATTTTGGTCTTCATATTTTCAATCATTCTCCTTATGATATTACTAATTGGTTACGTATATTTGGAGTAGGATGAATATATAAATTTACCTCTAATTTTTATTATTTTAACATTGTAGCACCTTAAACTTTTTACTTTTGATATTATACAGTAACTTATTATTATTTTTTAACTTCAACCTTTTTCTTGATATCTCTATTAAATAAATAATAATTATTTAAAAATTGACAATAGAGAGTAAATTTAGTTATAATCATTCGTCTCTAGAATTGAGGTTGTTTATTGATTTTTTTTTTAATCCTTCGGCAAATTGAAATATGTCAATTTTAACGGAATGAAAAGACCATAAGAACTAATCATAACAATTATACGTAAAAAAAATTTTCTTGAGAGCTTAATTAAAAGATATAACTGTGATTGAATGGGTACAATTATAAAAAAAAATTTCAAAATTAAGAAAAAAAAAATATGATTTTAGTTTTTACTCTAAAATGTTTTAGTATGTAATTGTAATTTTCCATTAATGTTGTGATCCACATTTTATCCCCAAATATTTTCACAATTACATCACGACCCACGTCTTCTCATTTTCTTTACCGATAAGCCCCCTTTTTTCTCATTTTGGTCCGTCTTTCCCCTGCAATTACACGACACGTAGCAAGAAAACCTCACTTCTTTTTCAATGTCCAAATCAGTCAAACCCAGTAATTAACTTTATTCCACTTCCACTTCCACTTTATTCTTCCATAAATTTATCTTAGATTTGCAATCATGTGTTTCACTTTCACACAGTAAACTTTTGCTGTAAAAATATTAGTAAATTTTTTTTTACTATTTATGTTTATTCCTTTCTTCTTTAAAAATTTACTTTATTTTCAAAGATTCCCTTTCAATTTTTCATCAGGAATTTTTATTATATCGGTAAACTCTATTAGTTTTATTTTAGGATAATCAGTTCTGTAGCAGCAAAATCTGTCAGTTTTGTTTTATGCGTAGTGTTCAAATAATGTCTACCTTTGACCAAGATTACATGAACTTTATTTGTAATTCGAAATTGCAACGAAGTTTCAGATAATTCTAATATTATTGAATCACTTCTGGAGACGATTTCAACATTATTGAGATAAAATTTATATTCCACATGAACAACAAAATGATCTGATAAATCAAACTCAACAATCTTTAGCAATGGCATCACCTCCAATTAGTTAATCATTTCCTCTTCTAAAATAATACTCAAATCACTACTAGATTTCCTTTCTTTGCTTCCCTTGCTTCTCCTCGCCGCAGCTCCTCTCCCAAAACCACCACTATCGCTGCCGCCAATTGTCACTAATAGTTCAGTATCAAAAGCTTTCTTTTCATTCAACTCGACCAGATTCGAACTCCTAAGCCGAAACCAACGACAGTACCAAACTCTTCTATTACCAATTTTCATAGCCAAACTTGCCTTGACAGCCAAGGCAGCCATGTCTTCGGCCTTAATAGGACTGTCCAACCAGCTAATTGGCAACTCAAAGTAAATTTCACCTAATTCAAGATTTACCTCATCACCAATGGCGGAAACCTGGTCATCAAAGCTCAAATCGTCCGAGTTGCATATAAAGGAAGTGGGGTTTCCTTGTAATATCTGTGAAACCCTGATTGGATGTGAGAATTCTTTCAATCTGCCATCTTCAAGAATTAGTTTTGCCGTCGCCGCCGTGTTTTTCCGATAAGAACAGCAAATACCCATCTATTTGTGTGAATGATCATTAGGGTTGTGGAGACGCTACAATTTTTAGAGTTATTATCTACATATATATACATGTTTGGATATTTAAGTACAATTAGATATGCTCCATACAGATTATAAATATTAATTATTTCAATAAAAAATAAATTGATAGATTATTTTCCAAGTAGGTTGTTCTCACCCAAAATTAAAAAAAAAAAAAAAAAAAAAAAAAAATTAAAAAAAAAAAAAAAAAAATCACTCTCTTATTGGCTAAAATATAAAATTTTGAATTTAGGAAATAAAATCTAAAAGAAATTTGGGTAAGGGGAGATAATTATAAGCTAGTTGACTATAAAACAATAATTATGTTTTCTTAATCCTATTTTATTTGCTTAAAAATTTAGCATAAAATTTTGAACATCATAGATAATTTCTGGCCAATTCAAGCATTATTTCTTCTCTAATTAATACTCTTTCTATCTCAAAATATAAATCGTTTTATGATGACAAATTTGTTCTGAAATATAAATTATTTTAAGTATTTTAAAAAGTAATAAATGCTCTTTTTTTAATTTTATCCTTATTTATATAAAAACATGTTATCTTCACAAAATATTTTTAGTATCTCTTAATTTTACTATAATTCAAGAAAATTAATTATTTTCTTAATTTCCATGGAAAAATCTTGAAGAGACAGAAAAAATATATGATACATTAATTACTTCATCCCTATATTCTTCCAACCTTTCCTTTTTTACATTGTTTGCCCTTATCTTTTCGGCTTAACTTTCAATTTCACCGTGAATTTTTAAGTAGTTGCAATTTTATTCTAAATCAACATTTGTATCTTGAGCACCCTGAACTTAACAACTAGTTGCAATTACACCTTAATTTGAATTAATATCCAACTTATTATTTTTGCATCCAAAATTAGTTCAATTTTAAAACAAATACTAAATCTTGATTTTATTTATTTAATATTTGAATACTTGGATTTGATTTTATTATTTATTATTTAAATACTTGGATGTGGAGTTCATTCTTTTACATTATTTTAATCCGAATTTCATCCTTAGTTTACTTTCAGGGTGCAATGCAATAAATTTATAAGTTCATGGTGTTGTAATTCACTTTAGAGTGCAATTGAACCGTAAAAGCAAATTAGGGTGTAATTGCAATTAAGGTGATAAGTTTAAAATGCCCAGAATGCAAAAGTAAATTTAGAGTGAAATTGCAACTATTCGAAACTTTGGGATGAAATTGAAGGTTTGGCCAAAACTTATTTTCTATTTTCCCGCACAAAAAAACTAAACAAGTGATTTCAGCCATATAATAATATGAGATCAATGCATTTTGGAAATGTATCTCACAATTCTTTTTATAAATAAATTTTCCTAATTGATATTTTACATATTACTATACATCTAAACTTCATTTTTTAATTTTAAAAAAATGAAATTCAACTTCAAATTAAAAATACGAAACTCTAAATCAACTTTGAAATACTAAATATATATTAAACAAGTTTATACATTTTGGAATTTAACTTCAACACAAAGTTTAATGTATACTTATAATTTAAATTCATAATTAATATCCCTTACTCTAAAATTTTGGTTCTTCTTTAAAAAGAAAAATCTTGGCTCCGTCGTTAGGATCCACCCTCTTAATCCCTTGCCGTTTAATCCTCCGTGGTCTCCCGCCGGTGGTTTGTAGAGCTAAACTTGCTTTAACGGCCAAGGCAGCCATTTCTGGAGGCTGAAGCTTGATCTTTAGCCAACTAACAGGAAGTGCAAAATAAATCTGACCTAATTGAAGCTCCTTGTCACCATCAATGGCTGGAATGTAATTATCATAGTCCATATCGTCAGTGTTGCATATAAAACAGTTAGGGTTTCTTTGTAGTAAGTGTGAAACCCTAATTGGGTATGGGAACTCTTCAATATGGCCATCTTTGAAGATCAGCTTTGCTGTAGGTAGAGAGGTTAATTCCTGGGAACTGAAAATTAAACCCATTCTTTTTGTTCTTGATTTGAGGTCTGGTGGGTCTCTGTGTAGGCTTAATTAAGAGGTAATATTTATACACATAGTGCTTAAATAATTGATTAAGGATTAATTAAGTGTTTTTGTTAATTAAATAGTTACGCCATGATTGACTGATTTAGATGTTACGTAGTTCAATCAATAATTTTAAGTTTATCCAGTCAAACTTCTTCACTCTCAGTTACCTTTCTTCTCTAACAAGAAATTAGGTTAATTAATCAAGAAATAGTAAGATCCTAATCAATTATATTTTGAGAAGACTAGAATTTTGACGTATTCGATTGCTGCTCTCTGGATTGAAATGGTATTTTCTCTTATTTTAAAAGTATAACTAATATTAATTAATCTTAATTAGTGGCTCTAATCATGTTGCCTCCCAAAACTTCTCTGTTGGAACTTTCTCATTGGCATTGTATTCCATTCAAATCAAAACAATATGCTAAATTTTTTAGTAAACTGTAATAATAAACTCTTAAAACAAATATAAAATTTATTCTAAAAAAATGTAAAATTAAAATGTCACATATAATTTATTAATATCTATTGAGACCTGAAGGCCCATCTTATTAGTGGTCTACTATGTTGCAAACGGAAACGTGGAAGTGTGGAAACACGGAAACGGACACAGGAAACGGTATTCTTTTAAAATAAAGAAATGAAAATGTGGGGAAACATGTAAATATGAAAAATATAGAGTTCTATTTATAAATATAAAAATATAAATTATTATAAATCATTAAATATATTCAACAATAAATTAAAGTTCAATTAATATTTAATCATGTCCAAAAAAGTTACAAGTTTCATTTTCATAAAAAATACATGTTTTATGGATTTGTATTTATTTATGCATTTATTTTAATTAGAGAAATGAATTTTTGAGAATTTTTGGTTTACGGAAACATATTTAGAGATGAAAACGTGTTTCCAAATTACTCAATTTACAGAAACAGTTTCTAAATGCTTATGAGGAGTTTCCAAGCATTTCCGCATAAGAAACGTTTCTGAAAAAAAGAATCGGCAGCTAAAGGAAGTTTCCGTACAACATAGGTGGTCTAATTGGATAATATCATAGTGATGGGCCCTGTACATCTACTGGATTTATATGGGTTTCATCTGTTGAAGCTTAAAGGCCCATCTCATCAGTGGTGCTAGTTGGATAATATCTCAGTAATGGAGGCCTCATGCATCCACTATGGGTAAAAGAAAAAAAAAAACCTATAATATATATGAAAGATTTATGTAAATAAATTATTTTTTATATATTATATTAAATTATATATATATACAAACATGTGCTGCACATTGTTTGTGTTTGTATACGTTAATTTTTAAAGTAAATATAATTTAATTTTTATATATACGTTAATTTTTAAAGTAAAAAGTAAATATAATTTAATTTTTATATATACTTTTATATTATAAAATTATAATATTACGAATATTTATATTACTGAAACAGAATGAGAGTATAATATAAAAAAATATATTTTATAAAGTAATAAAATAAAAAATTTAATAATTAAATAACTTGTTAAGAAAATGACATATTTATAATAATGAAATATTATCATAATTTGACAATTAAATTTTTATAAAATTAAAATTACTTATCAATCCATTTAAATTTTCCTATAAATTAATCTTTTCATATATAATATAATAACATCAATTGTCTATATTACTAAAATATAAAAAATTAATATTATATATTATAATAATTAATATTTTTTTTAATCATTATTTTAGAGCATTTCATTTATTAATATATTATATAGTATAATAATTAATATTTTAATCATTATTTTAGAGCATCATTTATAATATATTATATAGTTTCGATTTCAAAACCGCTGATTCCAATTATAAAAAATGTGAAACTGAATAGTATTTACCTTATTTTATGTATACCTTGTATAGTATATAAATATAATTTCTTATTTTATCTAATAGATTTTAGATTTAAATAGTTAATTAATTTGACTAAATAAAATAAAATTATCTTTATTTTTTCGATCAATGAAATTAAAATATTTAATGATATTTATGTCAATCCATAAACTTAATAGTGGCGTTTTTTGAAATCCCAATATTTGCATACCCATTCCCACATCTATATCTATTAGTTTTTCTATGACATGCATTGCACGTTGTTATTGCTCATTTTATACTCGTCGTTTATTTTTGTATAATATAAATTATAATTATTTTTATTTTTCTAAATTTTTATAATGTTAAAATATGGTTTCACATTTAAATTAACCTAACTATAATGGCTAATTAATGAAAAAAAATAAAAATTGCATTAAAATTAAAATATACTAAAGTTTTTTAAGCAATTAGTTCTATATTCAAACAATCTCGTAAAAAAAAATGGACAAATAGATTCCAGTATTTTGAATAGTCATTCTTATTATTAATATCATCAGCTAATCTTATTATAAAAATTGCAAGTAAGACATGCAGTAACGGATTGAATTTTGAATAGATAAATTAGATAAATGAGAAAAGCACGAGAAGCATAACTGCAATAAAAACTTATTTCTGGGCCAAAATCACTATATATCTACCAATTCTTGATTATTAATTAAATTAAATTAGGCCAAAAAGGTTATTTTAACAAGTTATTAGTAAAATAAATAATAAAAAATCAGAAGCAGTAAAAACATTTTAAAAGCACAAAGTGGAGTAGAATTTATTCACATTAAAGGCACGTAGACACCTTTATCCCTATTGCCAAAGACTCCCAACATTTTCTTCAAACACATATATAAACTAATTTCAAATTTAAAAAAAAAAAAAAATCTAACCAAATATTCCATTATTCCCTATCAATCTTGTATTGATCATCACCCTCTTGAAATAAAAGTTCCAATAACCCCAGCAATAATAGCTGTCGGATCACCGAGCACGGCGGAGATGACAAATTGCACGGCCAGTCCAGCCATCTCACAGCATTTCTGCACCTTACCTTTCTTCTTACGGTGAGGGGTTTGAAGTACATTTTTCAAGCTTGGAAGTCTATTAATTTCCACTTTCTTACTACCACCGTAGCCATTAGGAACACTGCTATTACCGTAATAGAGACCAGCCCAATTTTCCACTAACATGTCCTTAACACAAGCCACATGCAGATTATATTTCTTGCATGAAGACCTGTAACTCCAACTTCTCCCTTTACGCCCACATTTGTGACAAGTTGCACTCACTTTCCTGTACAAATACAGCTTAGTTTCTCCATCATCAAGAACCGTAGGCAATTTTGCACAACATGGGTGTAAATCAAATCCACAATCTTTACAATGGTAAAGAAACCCACTAATGTCTCTCTCGCAAGCATTACAGTAACGAGGTTTATCACCTGGAGGTCGTGACAGGAACTGAAAGGAGCATTTAGTGTAAAATGGATGAAAAATTGAAGGAGAAGGTATTGCACAATGCATGTGTAGATCAAAATCACATTTTGAGCACTTGTATCTTGACCCTATCCCTACTTCTTTGCACCCATCGCATTTGAATGGAAATTCTGAGTACTCAAATCTTAATGTGTGTTGGGAATGGCTAAAGTGGGATATTTCACTATACTTCATATGGGTTTTTCGTTTTTTTTTTTTTTTCTTTCTTTTTGGATTTTTTATTTGCGGCCTCTAAAACTATGTGATTGTGAATATTTATAAGGGTTTGGAGAGATATAATGATGGAGAAAGAGATTAGAATCTTTTTTTTTTTCTGTTTTTAATAAAGAATTGGATTAGGTTTGCTAGTTAGTTAGGTTAATTTTTGTGGTTTTGGCGTGTGCTTGAAGCCAAGAAAGGAATTCTATGCTTGGTGATGTTTTGGTGATTGTGGTAAGTGATAGTGTGCATAGGAATCCTAAGGTCTAGAAGATTAAGGGCAGACACAAGGCATATATCTGGGTCATGTCCCTCTTAAGAATATATACTAATTTTCACTTTCTTGTGTTCTAATCTACTATTGTTGAATGCTTACATATACAAGATTATTAAGTTGTTTGGTATGTTAGAAAATTTTAAAGGGAAAATATAAAATGTCCAACTATTCTAATTCACCTGCATTACGATAATGATACTCGATTACGTAACTACTAACTCCTTTTTGAGCATAATATGTTTTTGGAATTAGAATTAGATTGTCATCAATGAGTAGAATTTTGTACCAAGGAATTTATTCAAAATGCTTGATATTTTGGAATTTGTTGGGAATGCATTTATGCAGGATTAGGTTAAAGGTTTATCTGGAGGGACAAGAACATACAAAAAAATTTAGGAGTTTCTTGAGAAAAAAGAATTTAGCATCATAAAAGATTATTAGGTTAATCACCAACATAACTAAGGTAATATTGTGCTTTTTTTTATCATAATCACGGACAGTCAAAATGATGATCATGTATTCTCGAAATCAATTCTATCAAGAATAGAATAGTGAGACACATCTTTGAATATCCTATGATGTAGAAAGAGAGTAGAGAATAAATCCCATTTGCTTGGATTATTTATCAATAAGCCTCTTGTCTTGATAGAAATGGTGACATGGAAGAACAAATTCTCATATCCAAGGAATTATTACCTAATCACAAAATTGTTCATCTATATCATAGAATTTTTGTTATGTATAATGTATTTTTTGTATTATCCATTTGTATGATTTGTATCTTCAACTAGAGAGTGCCTAAGTCATATATAGATGGCATCTCTCTTTCTTTTTCTTTTCTCCATTTCAGGTGGCATGCTATTCAAGGAATTGATTCCTTGTTTAACAGAATTAAAGTAATGCTTAAAGGCTTCTTGGAAACAAGATTTTGTAGTCAAGAATATTAATTAATTAATAATAAAAAAAGCAATTCAATTATCAACATAAGAATATATATAAGTGCAAGTAGTATAATGGATGAGGTAATTTTAGAAAAACCACTTGCTGTATATATGATTGCACTTGCAAGAATTTGAGAGGAACCATGAATATGATTCTTTCTTTTTACATTAAATATACCATTAAGTTTCTGGTTGGCTTTCTCACTTATGTAAAGAGTAGGAAGTCTCGAGTTTGAATCCTCTTGAATACAAGAGTTTTCACTAATTTGGCAAGTTAATGAGAGAGTTATCTCATATTGTATAGCCCACAGTGTTATTTCGACTCATTCGGCTTCTTTATGAATATATATATATATATATATATATATACCCTTTAGGTTTCTGCTAGCTACTATAAGACTTGATATTTTCCTCATAATATTGTAATATTTATAATCCTCAAATTTTACATTTTTCTTTTTGGCATTTATCATTCGACTTTCAGATTGTTTGGACAGAGAAAAGTTTAAGCATCTTCAATTAGAAATATATCTAATCAAGTGGCATGTTATAATTGTTAGATGATGGTAGCAGCGGTGATTTGTCTTTGTGCTTTTTTTAAAAAGTTTAAGGAAGGTTCCCATTGAGATGATGATGATCAATTTGAAGATTAGTTCCCAGTTTAACTTTTTTGGGACCAAAATAATCCATCTTAAAGAATAAAGCACTTGAAGCTTGATAATATATAATTTTTATGGAATTTAAATTATTCCCTTCCTCCACTTCTATTGTGTTTTAGAAAAGTTAGATTTGTTCAAAATTATTTGTGCTTTAAGAAGATTAATTAGTATTAATTAGTTTTTCCCTATTCTACAACAACTTTTAAAGCGACGTTTAGTGTAACATCCTCTTGAGTTGAGTTGGGTTGAATCAAACCTGGTTGGGGTAGAATGGATGATAAGTGGACTTAGTTGCATGAAAAGTTTAGGACTTATTGGCATCACCATATATAGCTTGGGTATGAAGCTGCAACCTTCATATAGGCTTGGGTATTGAAGCTGCAACCTTCTTATAAGTGAGGTACCATGTTTAGAACTTTTACACACAAAAATCACTTTTTTCTAGGAGTCTATCTATTCCTTTCATTTTCACTTTCCCATTTCACGTTTCTCATTCTTTTTTCTTACTTTTTCCCTCCCATTTTCCTTTGCCCTTCCATTTCCTTGCACTTTTCATGCAAGTTACGCATTAAGTCCACTCCAAGTAAGTAGAATTCCTTGAAGTTATATGTTATTCACTCTTTAATTTCGTTATATTGGAGATGAGTTATGAGAATTCTTGTGGAGAAGAAAGTTCAAAGGTAGCAGAAAAGAGAAGCTAAAAACAGAGTCCAAGCTTTTTGGAACGCAAGGTTTGATATCTCTTGTTACTTCCCATGTTCTTTGCATGAAAAATTGTGTGGAGTGTTGTTCATGAGATCATATGTTGCTTATTGTTGAGTGAGAGGATTGAAAATGATGTGAAAACAAGGGATGGAATGAGGTTTATGCTGAACCAGGAGTTTGCTGGAAATTTTACCAGAAACAACTTTCATCTTGATTTTGACCCCTTTTAATGATGGAACTAGGAATTGTCATAGAAGAGTTATTTGTTCCCCTATGTGTTATCTTTACGTGGGCTTTTGAATCATTCAATTTGGAGTTGTATATTAAGAGTTATGGCCAAAAGACTACAGACTGTATAGTCTGGAATCACGTCGCGCGCGCCGCGCAGGCTGGGCAGCGTGTCGCACTCGCGAATTCCACATGCGCGGTCGCGACCTTGGCTAGAAGCTCTTTGACTCTCAGTTTGCGCATTTCGAGCTCGCGAACTCCACAAGCGCGCTCGCGACTTCATCTCGCGCTCGCGACTTGTGTTGCTCGCGACTTGTGTTGCGCGGTCGCGACTTGAGCCAGAAACCTCTCTGACTCTCAAATGGTACATCTCGCGCTCGCGAGGTTTGAAGACGAGCTCGCGACTTGGTCTCGCGCTCGCGACTAAGGTTGCGCGGTCGCGACTTTGAGCCAGAAACTCTCTCCTCTCTGACTCTCAATTGCACTGCTGCGCGGTCGCGACTTCAGCCAGAAACATACTGACTCTCAGGATGCACAAGTCGCGCTCGCGACTTTCACATACGCGGTCGCGACTTCAGCTGTGACATTCTTTTGCCTTTCATTTGCTATGTAATTACATTCCTTTGCTCAACATATATGCATCCAATCATTCTACAACAAAAATATAACATAAGAACATGGATTAAAACAACAGGTAAGCATTTAGATGATGTGAAATCAAATCAACATGATAAATTATGCAGTTATGCAACCATTTATATGTTATTGTGTTACATTGTTGACATGTTAATATTAAGCTCCATTGAGGTTGGGTAGAAACTATGTAGATAAGGCTATGTCGCGACATAGAATAGCAGATCTGCGCCCCATACAGTTTGGAACTCTGGCTACAGGCCGTTGAGTGGATATGTACAGGCCATTAGCAGCCAAGCATTTACAGTATTCATACAGTTTATACAGTTTATCTTATCACTTCGTTTCACTATAACCTATGGAGCCATACAGATATTTTAACTTGCTATTGCATGAATCATACAGTAAAATTAAACAGTAAGGAAATTTCATTAAGGTAAAAATGAAAGCCACATTTTATGGTGTGATTATATTGTGCTTACTAATGCTTTTTGCTTATATGTGTGCTTTATTGTTGTTTTTTTATGTTGAGATATCCACTGAGCTTTAATAGCTCAGAGTTACCTGTTTAAACTACCTGTTTAACTCGCAGGTTTTGAGACTGGTCTTTTAAGCGTCAGCGTACAACTGCAGCAGTTCATCTGTAGAAGACTCGGTCTTCAGGGTAGCTCCCTATTTTGATGTGTAACTTTTATTTATTCTATTCATGGCTTGTACAGGGCACACAGTTGGGCCCATTTCACTTTAAAAACTTGTATCATGTATATCAATTTTCAGTATTCTATTAATGTAAACAGCTTTTGTATACTATAATAGTCAATAGTCAGTATGATATCAGCATGTCAGAACATTTAAGTCAACCAGTTTGTATCATCTCGACTCGGTCGGTTCATTCGTTATCAGCATGTCAGAACATTTAAGTCAACCAGTTTGTATCATCTCGACTCGGTTCATTCGGGTTATTGGGTGGACCGGGAAGGGGTGTTACATTTAGCATTTTGATTGAGCTAAAATAATACTTCTATTGGATCATACTCTTTGATAACGTAATATTAATAGCAAGTCAACTTAAAGATTGAACGAGATTTCATGAAAAACATTATTATCTATAATATTATTTAGTATTTCACAATAATTAATTGAACATTTTTTAATTATTTTACATCTAACTGCTAATCTGACTTATCCTTATTTAAATTATTCTCATTAAATAGTAAACTCAAGACTTCACTTAAGAGATAAGAGCGTAAAACCATTTTATCAAATACCGGTTGATATATTCCTATAATTATTAAGATATCAATACTTTCATATCTCCACTTGTGAGCTTCTGAAAATCGTTCGCTGAATTCAAGAACAGGATATCACTTGAACCTCAATGCTTTACGTTTCTTTTTTTTTTTTCTTTTTTTTTAGTTCAATTTATAATACTAAAGCATTTTTTAATGTACCATATTTATCAGAATCTACTTACAAAATAGTACCTATATAATTTCACACTTGCTCTCAGCATTTGAAAAAAAACTGATGTAGAATTTGGATTACAAAAATCATTAAAAAAATCTCAAAATTTTTGGTATTGGGATACTTAAAAAAGGGTAAAAAAAATCACAAGGAAGGGAGTAACCAAAGATTGAAAAGAGAGGAAGACATGGTAAGAAACCAAGACAAGAAGGCCATAGCAGCAGATATTTGATATCTACTGCAAACCCTTGGAGGGCAATATGACCCATTAGAATGAAGTAGAACATCCACAACGCTAGCTGTTGAACATGCTGCACCAAGAATAAGAACTGATAAAACCTGCCATGAATTTAACCAATCTTGCATAATTAGTATTAACCTATAGACGGATCATCTGGTTTTAGATAGATAAATCATAATTGAGCTTTTTGTCTTACCCAATCTCCAACTATAATGATCATTAGTATTCCTTGTTGTCTGATAGGGCATTTCACAAAAACAGAGTATCCATCAACTATAGCTAATGTGAAACTCCATGGAATTGCCAAACCCATTATTGTAACCAGGTAGCTGAAAATCAAAATTAGAAACATTTTCACCATTAATGTGTTTAAGCAAAGTAGCCATAATTGTTGGAAAGTGAATTTAGTTTCATTATTTAGGGAAGGAAAGGTATGATTGTTGATCATCATTAAATTTTAATCTAATCATATCTGGGTTCTGCAAGCAAGAACCAAGAGGTAGAACTCGAGTGACCTAACAAATTCTTGATCATTATTTATGTTTCCAAGGACATGATGTTTTGAATTTAAAATTTCCAATTTAGACAAACTTATTTCTGCCAGTTATTAATTACCAAAACCCAGGTTAAATCATGAATTGAAATAGGAAATGAGTCATATAAAATTATATTAAAAAGAAAAACAAAGAAAAAGAGAAGGAAAGGAAGATTACCAGAAGGCAGTGTAGCTGTAGAACTGAATACCCATAGACATGAAAAACAGAGAAGCAGAAGAGAAAATAGCCTGTCCCAATCTCAAAGAAAAACTTGCATTAGTCCCAACTGAACCAGGTACCACTTCCATGGCTTTTGTTTCATGGAATCTTCATCTTCCTCTATTATTTCTTGGATTGCCTTCTCTTTAAGGCTCATCTTACATTTTCAATAATGAGTCATGCCCATCCAATCCAAAAAAACTCCTTATCACAAAATTTAAACCCAGAAAAACAATGAGCTCTATATTTATTGTCTATTATGTAAAAGAAATATCAAATGTAATTTACAAAAGGTGGGATTTTCTTGGAAGTGAAAAGAAAGTGTGAGAAAATTTAAAGAATGGCCAAGAAAAAGAAAGAAAGAAAGAAAGCAAGAAAGAAAACAGGAAAAGTCACAGAGAACTTGGAGATGAGCGGCTAGTTTTCAGGTCAGGAAGAAATTACTTGTGGAGAGGTTGATTTTGTTTGATTGATCAATTGACTCTTCAATTAGCAATGCTTATAATTAAAATTAATTGCCTTAATTATTTATTAGTATTAGTATTTGTTTGGTTTGTGGGTAATGGGTGGCACGTTTACGTTATTTCCTATTTGGGGCGCTCCCTTTGTTTCTCATCGCGCTTCCACTTAAATTTGTGACACGGCGATTCGTAAACGTATCAAACATTAGGCCAGCTGGCTCCCAAAATACCGAAAATGGCCTTGGCAAAGCCAAAGGCTTGTGTGATTTATCCACGTGTTTTTTTACAATAAATAATAATTACAATAATGGCCGTTCTGGCCCTAGCTTTTTCTTTCCAAATTTTTACACAGGTCCTCAAACTAATTTAAGCATATCAATTCAGGACTTTTTTTTTTCGATATTAGACCACCACTTTGACAAGATATATAGAATTAGAATATTATTTTTAATATTTTGTTTGTAACAAAATTTATAAATTATAAAATAAAAATAAAAGATTATAACGTAAAATTATCTTAATTTGTTGACTAATTTTTTATTTTTTGGAAACTTCTCCTTATTAAAGATTTAAAGAAAACATTTCTAAAAATCTTTTGAATATTGTTCTTTTAAAATATGACGTGCCCAACAGTATTTTCATTTTTAAAATATTTAAAATAAATCTAAAGAAAAATAGTATTTTATAAAATCATGGTAAATCCTTCAATATCTTACTAATTTGTGATATCCAAGTAGGTGAGAAAATGGGAAAATAGCAGGGGGGGTTATAGCCACAATTTTCAAATTTATTTCATCATTTTTAAATAAAAGCAATAATTACTAATCAGATGATTGTTTGATTGATCTTCTCGCTTATGTGAGAAGTGAAAAGTTTTAAATTCGAGTTCTTTTAATTGTAGTTTTTTCCCTAATTTGATGAGCGAAGGGAAGGGTTACCCTCTGTTGTTATTTCGGCCCATAAAAACCTCCAATAGATCAAAAAAGATAAAGGCAATAAGTAAGATATCATAAGATGTTACTAAAAAAAGAAAAGAAGAGGAGAAAAGCTTATATAATAGAAGAAAAGGCAAAACAATGCTTTTAGAAGGGAGCAATATAAAGTTTGGTATAATAATAGAAATAATGATATTCAATTTTTTTTTTTCATAAGAATAAAAAAATGAGCATTGATAATCACCCAAGAAATGTTTAGTTGTTGGTAAAGATTTGTATTAAAATGGTAAAAGTTACAATTTTAATTTGTATTGCCTGCAGCCATGGTAATTTAAAAGGAATTTTACAATTTTAATAGGGAGTCCCAACACCAAAAATTCTTTTTGTTTAGAAGTTGGGGAGGACTTGCCGTATGTGATGCCCTCAGAGACTGCCTTATTTAGTGGAAAGAGGAAAAGGACATGACTGGTGAATCTTCTCTCAACTCTTCTAAAGGTCAAGAAAATGGACAAATAATGTAGAGTAATAGTGTTCCTTTATAAGTGGAAAACCCTTATTCACAAACCAAAATTTTCAACTTATCTTTCATACTGTCATCAAAAGTGTACTAACAGCTTCAATCCATAAAGAAACTTCATGACAAAACTCTTGCCATGGGGTCACTAATTAAGGGTGTAATCATTTTGAGTTGAACCATACAATTCTGCTCTAACTCGACACTCGTAGAAAATCTGAGTTCATCTGATATAATCATCTCAAGGGGAGAAAATATAAAAGCTCAAGCTTAACTCAATTAGAAAACTCGAGATTCAATATTCAACTCGAGTTTGAGCATAAATATTCGACTTTCAATCGATCACACTCGATTATCATCAAAAGAAATAAGCATTTACTGATTAATATTAAAATTTAAGTATCTCAACAATAGTTTCAATCACTTGCACCATTACCTGTTATGCACTCTTGTGATATCAAGTCAAGGCCAGTGTTTTGAGCTATAACATTGGGTGGAGTAGCTTGCATATTTCATTCACCATCTCATTCTAAAGCATAAGTCAAAAATTTTGCGGCCTGAGCTATCTCTTCCAACATGTAAAAACTAAAAAATAAACGCAATAGTTTATAAATCACTGACACCCAGAAATCAACCGTGATTTGCTAACATGAAACAAAAAGTAACATTCCATATCCTAGCTCAGCGATGACATAATACTGAAGTAACACATCTTCCAAAATAATCGCAATAGTCTAATGGCCACACTAGAGTTACATACTTCCAGATGCAGGAAAAAGAGAAGAAAACAGACACAAGCTCAGCCACTCGTCTTCATTCCAACTCAATCTCTCACCTCCTGCACCACTCTGCATCAGAAGAAGTGGGATGAACAAACAAATATATAAATAATCAGATGTGGATAAGATAATCAAATCAAAATATTGATATCATAAACCTGAAAATGTCAAGTTCATAAGGCTCTGTTTCGTTAGCTTGCTATGGTTTTTTGTTTATTTATTTAGTATCCCCTACTGTATAAGAAAATTGAGAAGTTGTTTTATTGCAATTGTTTTTCACTTTTCACGTGAGGTGAAATTTATAAATTAACCAACCACATTTTCTCATTAGCATGTTTCTTTTATAGCAGAATCAAAAATTTTTGGGAAGTACCATTTAGAAAAACAGATGGCAAAAAAATTGACATATTATGCCTGAAGAATTTTTTATTTTGAAGCTCAATTTATGAGGAATGAGCTTACGATTTTAAAATTCAAAACTTGAAACACTTAGAACTGAAAAAAACAACTTTCCAGTTTCCATAGTAGAAGCTACAACTCCTATGCTTAAAGCAGTAATTAGTGCAAAACCGAAAATTGACAATTCAATTTGTAAATAGAAAAAGTAATCTGATTCACTCACTGTCAAACAAGAATTCACCCCAGATGCCCCGGAAAACAAAAATAAGAGCTGAATTCCTTAAACTAAATAAATAGAGAAACCTATGTGTCCATGGATAAATACAGCACTAGCTACAGAGCAGCCAAAAGTATTCCATAGAAAACTAGCACATTACTGAAGGGGCAAATCACGCAGCTCACATATGGACCCAGTTTCAAAGGGTAAAGAGTTTTCCTTTATCATGTTATGAGATTCAATAACAAACCTTATATCATCTTATAGATACATTCAGCTCAAGTTCATAGGCAAGGTAAAGAATCCCTCTTTTTTTTCCTTTCATAATTTTTTTATTTGTTTGCTAGTCAAACATAGCACATGAAATCCAATAACATACAAGAAAATTTATTTTTTCTTTCTTTCATGTAGATTTTATAGTACATTCGGTTCTTATCCTAGTAAAATGCTATTATATGTATACTATGCATTAACTAAATTTTTTCATGTATACTATCCATTAACCAAAAATTTTTCATCTTTTTATCTTTTGAATAGCATAGAAACGAGTTTTGCTTCCTTTTGGCCTGTGAAAATATAAACTCTTCACTTATTATAACCTTGCCCATAAGAAGCCACGCATGTCCCTAACATACAGTAAGTGGTGGAAATTAAACATCATTTGCAAATTTCTTATTTTCAAAGGAAAAAAAAAAAAAAAATACAAGCAATGTGTCTTCAATTCTTTTCCTCTTTACTAAACCCATATCATATTCAGAAATCCAACCTTGTTATTTCAGAGTTCAAAAAAATAAGGATATCTTTAAATCAATAAAATGAAGCTTCAACGAAGCTGTAAAACCAGCCATACAAAAGGCAACAATAACAATCATATTCATGAAAAGTTAAGAACAGTTGAGTGGACAATAGCAAGGTTAGTAGAGACATAAACAGGTAGTTTACTAGTAACTATTGAAAGTAGGGGTTAATTTTGATATTGTACTGCTGAAAGTGCCCAGGCTAAAATTTTTGCTACAACAACAGTGAAAATTCGCAGATTAGTTTCAAAGTAAAGGTAACAGTCACCGTGGTTCAGATACAATGACACTGAATGATGCAGTGGTCCCGATGTGGAGTTGGTAAATGGTGGGTGAAGAACTGATAATGGAAAGAGAATCACACTGTAGAAGATAATAATAAGAGTACTAATGCAATTTAATATGAAAATTTTCACCACGGAAAGGGGGTAAAAGCAATAGTGAGTCTTCAGAAAGTGAGACAATGGAAGATTTTAAAATCTCGTGCACGAAATAACTCTAGCTGCCAGCAGGCATTAAGGTTTGTCTAAATAACCCTTGGGGACAAAAAGGCAGCTTAACACACGCATAATACCAAATGAAGAGACCTCATTCACCAAATCAAGTATATTATTGACTATCAACATAATGCCAATATGTATACATGCCTGCAAGTAGGAAAGGGAGGAAGACAAAATCATAACAAACTGGCAAGCCCCATTATAGAACTCTACCAGAACATACAGTAAGCTAAAACTTATTCAACCAAGATCAACTGCAAAAATATATGATTTTTTTCCCAAAGTGAATAAGATTGCAGCCAAGGATACAAAACACACATTGAGGCAAGCGAAGGTTGTCAAATAGAGAATATTCCCTGTTGATAAAATTTCACATCTCGTTAAGATATTGCCTTGAGCAGGGTTTACCTAGACATTGATATTAAGGGTTTTATTTGTGCATTCATATTCCAAAAATTTCATTCGTACATTGAGTAGAAGCTCTATTCACACATGAAACGAGACAAATAAACCTAATTCATAAACTTTAAACAAAATTTCAGCTTTATTATATTCGCATGAATCATTGAACAACTTCCAGAATTGGGAAAAAAACACTAATTTGGATAAATACTATGCACCTAAGTCCTAACATTAGTTCAATGACGCCATATTTTACAGACAAAATAAGATTGAACCATGAATTACCTTGCGAGGGAGATATAGAGGCCTAGAATTCGAGCCTGAGCTCATCTTTTTCATCGGAGAGGTAGTGGAGAATGTAAGGAGCGACTCGGACGACGGCGACCCAAACACCGAACATGGCTACATGAGTCTTTAGCTGCTTCAATGCCGCTGCCTTGTCTGGCTTCCGCATAAACATCCCTGGAAACATGATTTCTCGATTTTAATTCGACTGTATTTGATTTTCCTCTGGTTTTTCTATTTCGCAGCCTACTTTCCTTTCAGAAAATCTTAAACCCTAGACGCGGTTTTTAATTCTTTATTTTCTTTTTTCGTTATACATATAGAGAAAGCTCCCCGTAGTCCTTACGGTGGACCCTGTCCAGTTGGGGTTTTAGGGCATTCACACACGTGCGGCTTAAAGCACGGGCCATGCACGTGTTTGTTCTTGTGTTAATGTTCTTGCAAAATTACCACAAAACGTATTAAATATATGTATCCCAATAAATTCACATAAATAGATTTAAGAAAATATACTCAATAATTTAAAAATTATGTTAGTTCTTTTTTTAATCTGTACACTTCTATACTTAGATCTTAGAGACTGAAATATAAACTTTCTTATAAATAAGTAAATAATATTTAATATTAATCTAAAATTTATAAGGAACATACATTTATTATTAAGCTAAGTTTATAAATACAAAGTTTTATTACATTACATTCAATAATTTTTTTATTAAAAGGACTTTAAATTTTTAATTACTATAAAAAAATTTTAATATTTAAATGAATTGAATTATTTGTATTATTATTTGGAAAGTTACTATAAGGAAAACTTGAAACTTTTAATGGTCAATGAAGTGAGATTTGATAATGCTTAATGAGGCAATATAAATTAAAAAAAAAAAAAATTTAACAGAAAAAATATTAAGTTGAGCAAGAGAAAATTTTTTCTTTCTATAATATGAATTTATGATTATTATTGTTATTATTCGTGTAATTATCTTTTCATAGCCTTTCGAATAAGGTGTACGAATTCAATGTTGTTGAAGATATAATCAATATCCTGTTCCTCCTGGCTTTATATCGGAAAATAAACTGCCTCTTTCGTTTGAGAGACGTCTATCTACATGTTGTTTACGCTCTTCAATAAGATTCAAGTTTCAAAATTGAATCAAACCCATCTATCAAAATCCAATCTTTATGGCTCCAGAAACTCGATCAAGGTCAAGCTCTTCTAAAAGGACAAGAATTTCCGGCAATGAGGAGATGGAGCCGGATAGAGAACCTAATAAACGGCAAAAGCAGCCTGAATTGGAGGAACAAAAACAACGTTTTCCTTCGAAATCTTGTATAGGGAGGCTCCATTCTCGGTTTACTTCTGGAGAAATTACTCCTGGTAGGTTTGTTGATTTGGATTTTTTCACTCGGGAAGGATTTCAATTTGCTAGATGGTTTAAAGAAATGAATTGGGTATCAGTTATGGTGATGAAACAAAAATTTTATCCAGAGTTGGTGAGACATTTTTATTCTAATTTATCATACGATGTTCATAAAACCCAAATCTGTTCTTTTGTGAAAGGGAAAGAAATCAAGTTAAATCAAAAGTCATTGAAGAAAATTCTTGGAGTTCCTAATTTAGGGACTGAGATGTATGACAATAATAAAAAGTGGATAGAGGAGGCTAGTGTTAGTAGAGTAGAAGCCCTTAAAACCATTCTTGAAAATCCTGATTTATCTGAAGTGACAAAGATTAATTCTTGCCAGTTGACACTTGAAATGAGATTGCTTCACCAAATGGTTGTGCATATAATTCTACCTAGAAAAAGGAGTTTCAACTATGTATCTTCTATGGATTTATTGGTTATGTGGCATATTCTTAAAGGAAAGCCGTTTAATCTTCCATTTGTGTTGTTATCTCATATGATTGCTTGCTCAGAAAAGAAAAATGCATACTTGCCTTATGGGATGATTCTCACATCTATCTTTAACTATTTTAAAGTTTCTTTTGAGGGAGAAGAGAGTGAAGAATTGAAGAGTTCTGATATTTACAATGAGTTTACTTTGCATAAGCTGGAATATGTGAAAAATGAAAGGGGCTGGTTTCTTAAAAAGGATAAAGCTGTTGTTCAACCAAGTTCAGAAATCCATTTTGAGAATGCTAGTGGAACTGAAGATGCTTTTCCAGTACTGCCAGACTCAACTTCCCAGCCGAGTCCTTCACATGACCCTAATTCATTGTCTGTGCTAAAGGCTACGTCCTCTGCTCCTCCATTTCCAATTGTGTCCTCTGGGGAGGAAGGGCGGTCTTCAGAGGAAATTAGACAGCCAAGTCTTATAGAAGGTATTTTCCACCTTGTAAAGGGTATGAAGGAAGATATGAGAAATATGACAATGGACTCTAAGCTGGATGATTTGCAAAACAAGATTGAGCATTTGCGATCCCTAGTTACTCTACTGAGATTCCAACGGCAAGAGAGGACTCTTGGAGATATTTTCCTCCTCCTTGAAGTTATTATGATAGACATGAGGAATTTGCGGTCCAAGATGACTAATTTTGGAAATAAGATTGATTTTTTGCAATCACAACTTACTGAATTTCTTCGCCAAAGGCAAGATTTGGGTAAAGTTGATAGAGAAAGCATGGAGTGGATGATTGCTGAGACAGTTACTTTCCGAGGACAAAATCATGATATCATTTGTCGCTTTGAAACCATTAGCAGTGAAATCCAAGATTTTTGGGATTGTTTGTCGTCTAGAATGGGGTGAGTAACTTCTTGACCATCTGAAATTTTGGATATGGTATTTTTTGCCTTCTTTACCATTGGCTTGTTACTCTTGCTCAAGTTCTTTTCAAGCTGCTATGTAGTTCCTTCACCATTCATTAGCCATTTGTGACATATTTGCAATTACTGCTTTGATCATGTGAATTTGGACTGTATACTTTTGACCACTTCATTTACTTTTGCTCTTCACTTCACTTTTGAACATTCATGGGTTTGATGCATACTCTTCAATGAGGTGGAAGCTCATTGGATTTTCTTTCTATTTCCTCTTTTATAAAAGGTGAAAGGCGGAGAATTGCAGGGATATATGATGGATAATGAATATTACAATGTCACTTTGCATCACATGAACATTAATCTTGACAATTATGATATGTGCACTCTCATTCATTCGATTCATTGTGCCTATTCATTGATTAAAAAAAAGAATAGCACTGTCATCTGATATTAACCAAAAAGAGAAAAATAAAAAAGAAAGATCTGTTGGTGTTCTGGGTTTTCAATAATGATATAACAAAAGTTAATGAAGAATTCAACAACTTCACAAATGTTTTAGGAATTCTTAAAAATATTTGTGTCATCTCATATGATTAATGCTTGAAGAAGAAAAATGCATGTTTGCCATATGGGGAATGATTATGCCTGAATATTTTTGTGAAAAGCTGAAGATGATTTTTGTTTATGCGCTACCTTCTCCTCCTATTCCATTACCTCTTTAACCAACACTCCTGCTCATACATTTCCTAATTTTGTCTTCTTTGCAGAGGAAGGACGGCCCTCAGTGGGTGGTAGGCTGCCGAGGACCAGAGATGATAGAGTCAACTAGGTAGAGGGCAGAAGAGTAGGCATCATGAATCCCAGATGGACAGTTTTGGAAACAAGATGCCAACAATAAGTTTTCTTAAGGTTGACACAGAAATCAAAGAAAGGACCAATGTTCATAAGTTTGCCATTCATGGACAAGTAAGATAGCATGTCTTCCTTAAAGAGAATTGGTCAGATCCAAAGTTTATGGGATTCATTATCTTGTAGGATGAGATGGATGATTTTTCATAGATTTTTTTATTTTTTTGGGATATTTGAAGTCCATTAATTAGCCAGTTATTTCGGTCATTAGCATGTTGGATTTTCGTTGCCCATGCTCTTTATCTTCACACATCATGTCTTGATTCTTGACAATACACCCGCAAATTGATATTCATCAGTAATTGTATATACACACATTAATGTCTATCATCTTTTAAACTAAAACTTAAAGAAGCCCATAGCCCGCCCCAGCCCATGATATTTTTTCCTGAAAAAGATCCGATCTTGAGATTTTTGTCCATTCTGAAATGTTCTATTGCAATAAATGGGGTATTAAATGGTGAATTAATACATTAGCAAACATAGTATAATTGGTTCTAAAGACCAAATTGATTAAACATCTTACAAATTGACAATATAATTGGTATCTAAGTTCTGAAATTATTTTGATGTCTCTAATTTATTTTTTTATTTCACAATCATGCGCTTTTATCTAAAAAGTGAGCTATATTTTTACAAAAGGACCTGATGGAGCGATGAAACATTGATTAAGAATGTTATAATTATTTCTAATGCTATGTAATTTTCTAGTTGAGCTCCCAAAATGAGAATAACGTTATTGGAAAATTATTTATTGCGTATACCACAATACACACATGGGTGGGGTTGCACTTCATTTGATCCAAGTCTGAATCTAGTATTCCAAATTTAAACCCTATAAAGAAACCCACCGACCCATAGCCATCCCTCCCTCCCTCCCTCCTACAACCTTTCTCATTAATGAATGAGACAGAGAGAGAGAAATCCAAATCCAAGAATCAAGAAAACAATCCCCTTCCTTTTTTTTCTTTAATGTTAGAGAGAGAGAGAGAGAGAGAGAGAGACTAGTCGGAGTTTGTGTTTCTCTCATCTCTCTCGTCAATTTTTACATTAAATGCCCATTTAATGACTCTTCGCAAATTGCCAGACTACTCTCATGCCTCTCATTAACTCTCTCGCATGCCGATTACCCTTTCCATTTAATATCCGCACCGACCCGTCCATTCTCTCCGTTCATCCAATCATACCCTTCCACGTGTCTACCTCCTGTTGAACCTTTCCGGTGATATTAGCGCCTCTGGATCCCCGCACCGTAACCGGCTTGACGAGAATGCTGCTACTGACGATCTTTGAAACATTGGGCTTGCCATTGACTTGCTCCTCCTCGATGATCCTCCTCCTCCTCCGCCGCCGCCACTTGGGAATCTCTCTGATAATGGAAAGAATCCTGATCCTCTTCGTCTGCAAAATGGTGATTTCATGCTTCTGTAATATCTAAACGAGAATACTCTAGGCTTTGATAATGATCCGAACGGTGATGGACGTTTACTCCAGAAGCTACCTCTCCGGTAACGCCAAGGAGATGCTGTTGCTGGCTCCATAACTAACATTCTTTCCGATGGCAAGCTCCGTTCAAACCCGAAGGAGTAAGACCGTTTGAATAAGAAATCACGGCCGTTGAATCTATCCTCTGATTGACTGTGATTATTGAAATTATTGCTGTTTCTTCTCGATGAAGGTTCTTCAATGCATGGAGTAATCTCTGTCACCGTCGTTGTCGTGGTTGCCGTAGCGGTGCTAGCATGAGAAAGAGGCGGAGTTTGAATTATCGGTTCGAGGCTAATACTATGTAGAATTGTATCATCGAGCCTCGGTCTGATTCTCGCGGCCATCACCGGTATAAAAGGCGACTCCGACAGGAATATTCTGGCACGGCAGAGAGGACAGTTAGCGTGAGACCTAAGCCATATATCAATACAATCGACGTGAAAAGCATGAGAGCAAACAGGGAGTGTACGGACGTAATCGTTCTCTTCGAATTCGAGTAAGCAAACGGCACAGTCTTTGCTATTACTGCTCTGTTTGTGGAAGCCATTTTTGGTAGTGTAGAGAAACAGAGGTAAGGTCTTTATAACAGACTCGTCGAGTCCATATGGAGAATACATATGAAATCCGTCAGGTGAGTCGAATGGTGGGGGCGGAGAATCAAGGTCGCCGTTAGAAGAAGGAAGGTATCGACGGCGATGGCGGCGACGCCACCTACGCCAGCGGCGAAGTAGGCGGATGAGGTAACGAGAAATCAAGCGCGAGTAAGTGATTACGAGAAAAGCTGTGGCTACCACTACTACCATGGCTATCAAAGGTGGGCTGAAGTCAACTGGAAGTTTGGTGTTGACTGGTGGTGATGATGATGATTGTTTAGGATCCGTAATTGTGATTATGGAGGTGGAGGTGGAGGTGGAGGTGGTGGTGATGGTGGGAGCGGCAGCGGGAGATGGGGCCCACAGGGAGAATTGGTGGTGTTGCGCCGGTGAGGGAGCAAGGGCCATGGTTTTGATTTGGATGGTGGTTTTTACATGTGAGACGCGTTAATGGCATTTGGGTTTTTGTTTTGTGTAGGCGAGAGTGAGGTTTATTGGAAGGTCTAATGTTATGGTTGACTGTGATTTTTCGACTGTAGGGGCAGCCATTGAATTCCACGTCATTATTAAGGAATTTAAGGCGCATGGTGATTTTAATTGCATACAGATCGTATAACTTGTTCACAAGAATGAGTACCCTTTAATTTATGCCACGTCATAAACTTTGGAAATTGGGATGTTGATGTGGCATTTTATTTTTACTGTTCCGGTATGTGAACTGTGAAGCAGCGAGCTGGTTAGTGATACACGTAACTGATACGTGAGTGACAGTGCATGTTTTTTATACTTTATTATAGGAAAATGCAAATTGTTTAATGTGGTGACCCACAATTAGAGAAGGATTATTATTTTCCATATAGACTTTTTAGCACTTAGCTTCAAAAATTAAAATTAAAAAAATAAAAATAACATCCAAGGCGTGTGAATTTGACTGGTTGAGATCAGACCACTAAATTGGTCAGTAAACACACTAAATATGAACGTATCCAGCAGAATCACTAAATAATGATTTAATGCCATAATAGAATACTAAAACAGTATAAATTTTAAAATTACAATGATTTATTATTATTATTATTATTATTATTATTGCGAACTAACAAAATGAGAAGTTTGTCTAAATTTGTTTATACCAACAAGAATTTTGTAAAATTGCAATTGAAATATTATTTTTCTCAAAACCACAAACTCATTGTTCATTATTTAATTTATGAATTATAATTTTAACAGTATTGAATTATTTCTAAAGTATAAGATTGTGACTTCCAATTTCAATCAAAGCCAAATTTATCATAAATATCTGAACTCAGGCTCCGTTTGTTTCTGTAAAATAACTGGTTGAGATCAAAGACGCACTAAATGGTCCAGTCAAACACACTAAATCATGAACGTATCCAGCAGAAATCCACTAAATATGATTTAACTGCCATAATAGAATACCTAAAACAAGTACTAAAATTCTTAACAAATTACCAATGATTTTTATTTATTATTATTATTCATTATTATTATCTGCGAAACTAACAACAATGAGAAGTTGTCTAAACTTTCGTTTACTACGCAACAAAGAATTTTGTAAAATTGCAATTGAAATCATTATTTTTCGTCAACCCACAACCACTCATTGTTCCAAATTAATTCTTAATTTTGAATTATACTTTTAACAGTAAATTGACACTTATGTTCTAAAGTATAAGATCTGCTGACTTCCAATTTCAATCAAAGCCAAATTTTTCATCATAAATATCTGAACTCAGGCTCCGTTTGTTTCTGCTAAAATAACTTGTAAAAAAATAACTTCTGACAAAATATTTTCCAACATGACTTTATTTTCGCCGTTGTTCTGGTTGTAAATTTGAAAATTTTTTAAAATCATTAAAGTCTTTATCCTCATAATCCACCATAAAAATATAATAAAAATCAGAAATTTTTATAATTTAAAACATTTTTTTATTGTTAACGTATGAAAAAGAAATCACAATATATATATATATTATAGTACTTATTGAAAGTCGTCGGTGGCGATACACTTGTAGCAAAAACTCCACTTGTAAAAAAATAACTGTACTGAAAAATATTTTCCAGAAAATGACTTAATTTTCCGTTGTTCTGCGCTTGGTAAATTTGAAAAAACCTTATTCTTAAAATCATTAAAGTCCCTTTATCTCATAATACCCATACAAAATATTACATAATCAATAGAAATTCTTTATTAATTTTAAACAACTTTTATTGTTAAGTACTGGAAAAGAATACAATATATATATATCATATATATTATGGAAAGCTCGTCGGTGGCGATTGGTCAGTGGTCGGCCACGTAAAATGGTGACTGTCGATAATGAATTTGCAATGCATTCAATAAATTAAAAAAAAAATATATATTATGAAAGTCGTCGGTGGCGATGGTAGTGGTCGGTAGTAAATGGTGACTGGTGATAATGATTGCAATGATTAATAAATTAAAAAAATATAAATTTATAAGGTCTGTCAACATCCGGAAAGTGTTTTACTATTTCGAGAAAATGAGAAGTTATTTTCCTTTAAAATTGACTAAATTTTCCTTTGACCAAAAAAATATCTTCCATTAACTTATTTTTCTAAATGCCTCAAATAATAAAAAATTATAAAAAATAATTTTCAGCAAATTATTTTACGAAAACAAATGAAGTCTCAATCGTATTAAATTTACTTTCTTATCATTAACATACGCAAAGTTTTCATGGTTCTCCTTAAAAAAGATTATTTTAACAATAGATATGGAAATTTTATTATTTGATGAAATAAGAATTGTTATATCTAAAAATTATTATTTAAATTAAAATTAGAGAATTCATAAGAGAAATATATATACACCTCTTACACACATGTTTTGCATAATTGCATGAGACATAAGGTAACATTGATCCAAATGTTTTTCATCAAGCAATTCTATTAATCCAGCCCAATCCTCTTTCCTTTTACCTTATTGGGCTTGGAAGGGTTCTACCAGCATAGTTGGGCCCTTCTTTAGGTCCCACATTCCACTTTTTGACGATGCACTTGCAAATTTCTAGAAGAAAGGGACAAGGGGTGTGTGAAGTTGAAATTTTTATTTAGAATAAGAAAATAATTGTGTACACAAGTGAAAATATCAAATATGCATAGCAGAAAATTGCTAACAAATCTTCAAATTTCTAATTCAATAGGCAACAGCAAAAGATGCTTTCTCTTCACAACAAAGAAATTATAAATTTATTAATTGAATTTCTTTAGGGGAAAAAATAAAAAATGGTTGAACCATTAAATGGATTAGGAAGACTTTTACATAGTTGAATATTCAATAACCTCCAATTTTGGTAAGTGGCATTAATGTCATTTGTCATGCCCAACCTACCTATACTAGTATGGTTTTAATTATTCCAATGGAAAGCCACCCATCCATCCAAATCCACAACTACTTATCCAATCCTAACAATCTCTATTACTATTTTCTTCTCTAATCATGACAATTAATTTCCTCACACTTCCTTTCTTTCTCTCTGCTTTCTTTTCAATAGCTTTTTTATGATTATTTCTTTTATTTTCCTATTTTTTTAAGTTAATATTATTTCTAATTCTTAATATTATAACTAAAAATTATTATTTAAAACTCTTAATAATAATTAGAAGGAAACAATTGTCCGCAATCACTTATTAAATTTATTTATAAACTAAATCAATTATAAACAATATTTTAATTAAAAAAATATTATTGACCATGTCATGAAAAAAAAAGAATAAAAATAGTAATTTTTTATTAATTTAATATATCGGACCATCCATACATCAGGTGTAGCGAAAAATTTCGGTTAAACATATTCTCGTACTTGTATCATACACAGTTTAAAATGTAATATTGGTTGGTTGATGTACTATAATATATGGCGCTGTTTGCCACGCGAAACATGCAAAAATGTCAATGCCATCTTTAAATGGCCTGCAAGTTAGAAATATTGTCCCGTCACTGATCGCGTTTCTAAATACTCGTTATATTTAAAATTTTATATTTTTTTTAAAAATAATTAAATTTATTAAATTATTAAATAAATTGATTATATTATTTTTAATTTAATATATCTAAATATCAAAATTTGAAAAATTGAATCAATAATTATTAATCATATATAAAAAGGTAAACATGAAAAAAAAAATATTACTCGTTGGAATCATAAATTTAAAGAAATTGATTATATTACTCATAACAAATATTTTATAACATATTAATATTTTCTCAAATATTAATTAGTAAATAAAATTGATTTGAGCAATTATTGAGGGAGACACAATTGACAATTGCTGTCCAATCAGATTCGAGATTTAATAAATTTAAGCAAGTCATTTTCAAGGTTGATAAGTGGGTAACCCGTTATTAATGCATATATAATTATAATTACAAGAGAACTAATTAAATCCCAGCTATTAGTGCAGTGTAGTCTAGTTTAAGGTCAATGAGATGAACAAGAAGTCCTTGCTGCCTAACAATAATTAAGAAATTAAATAAATAAATTTGATTCATGACTTGCAATAATAGTAGTTAGCTTTTATTATTAATTTTCTTTTTAATACTTGAATCTTTCTCGGTCTGGTTAATTTTCTAAGCTGAACCCAAAATAAGAAAAAATATTACACACTGGCTCTCAATGTGGCTCCCTCCGTCCCATTTATATAGACTCAGTTTAACTTTAATATAGATCAAGAAAAACTATTATTTCAGTTCTATAATACTTATCGTATTTGAAATTTCATATTTTTTAAGAAATCGTTAAATTTGCCTAAGTTACAATAAATTATTGAGTAAATTGACTATATTACTCTTAATTTAATAGTAATTCTCTAAGAAAATCATTAAATTGAAGTAATAATTATCAGTCATATATAAAGGATAAAGATGGAAAAAGATATTTATTAGTCCTTGAAAACACAAATAGTATAAATATTTTAGAATAATTTTTTTTTTTAAATGTGACAAGTATTATGAAACATAAGTAGTAATTAATATATTTAAATTATATTTTTTGTTTAGTTTTTTTCAAAAATTTTCCAAATAATATTAAATGATGTATATACAATTGAAAATAGGGATATACAATAAATAGGGGTAAATTAAAAATTACATAATAAATGATCTTTGAAAATGAAAATAGGACTGAGGACAGACAAAGAAGAAAAGCTGAGCGTATATATGAGATGCATAAGTATATTTTAAGATGCTAGAGTACAGAGTTAAATTTCATATAAAAATTTTCCCCAATAATATTAACTGATGTATATACAGATTGAAAACTACAGCGGATATACAATAACTATCAGGGGTAAATTAACAAATCTACATAATCAATGATCTTTGAAAAAATGAAAATAAGGAAACTGAGGTGACAGACAAGAAGAACAAGCTGGGCGTATATATGACGGATGCCATAAAGTATTTTTAAGATGCCCTAGAGTTACGCAGAGTCTTCAAATTTTCATATATATATATATATATATATATACTATAATATCATATATATATATATCTCATATAACAGACCTATATATTCATATAACAGACTATCATCTACCACAATAAATAAGCTTGAAAGTTTTATATATATTGGAACATCAAACAGTTTTAAAGACTCATAGTAATTCAAAAATTTATTGCTCCAGCTCAACCAACTCTGCCCCTCTCTCTTTCCCATAAACACAAACTGTTTGTTCTTAATTCAAGAACATATCTTATCACAAAAATTATATATTCCACCTTCTACCATTCTTGAGAATCTTTAAAACCCAGTTCTTACATTTTTTTACTTTTTTCTGGGCAATGTCGATGGAATACATAGTGAAGGTTGAAGAAGCAAAGGCTTCAAGTGATGGAAAACCATCAACAGGTCCTGTTTTTAGGTGCATTTATGCCAAAGATGGTCTCCTGGAAGTGCCTGCAGGGCTTGACTCTCCATGGCAGTTCTTTAGGTATCTTTTTTAATGATCTTTACTGTATTGTATTGTTTTATTAGTTAGTAGTTTTTCTATTTTGTTTGTTCTGATAGTTTTGGCATCTTTGTTGAAAATGGTTCTTGCAAAAACAGAGCAAATCTTTTTTTTTTTTTTTTTCAAAAAACAGAGCAAATCTTTTTTTTTTTTTTTTGGCCTTCTTTGTCTAACTTTTTTTTTTTTTTTTTTGCCTTCTTTGTCTAATTGTCTCTGTTTTCTTGAAGAGTGAAATGTAACGTATCAATGGAGGTAAGGATTTTGACATTGGAGTTTTCATTAGCGTCATTTGGCCTGTATATTCTAATTCTTATCTGATGCATTCAAGGTTAGATACTCATTATCGAAGCCATTTGAAAATATGGTTAAAGAACATTTTAGACACAGAAATTAATAGCCATTTTGAAAATTCGTATCCAAATTATTGGAGATGAATTTCTATGTTATGCAATATCAGGTTATGTATAGTTTTATTTATTTCATTTTTTTTTCATTACTAATACTATTTTTTGTAAATAGATTTTGATTTGGACAAATTTGTAATAATATTTAATCCATATAAAAAATGAAACAAAAAAAAAATTTGTAATGCGACCTTCGCATTATTAATGGGACCCTCTAATCAACTGAGCTAATAAACCAATTCATAAATTAAATTTATTTATTTATATCAAGATTTGAATTTAAATTTCATATGAATTTGTTCTAATGCAGTGATTCTGCCCTGAAGAACCCAAATAGCCAAATGCTGGGTCGACGTGAAGTGACAGATTCCAAGGTCATTCTCACTTTAAAAAGCTTGCTAACGTTGAAACTTGAATTGACTATTGTGCTGATAGGTTGCAGCTTGTCTCATAAAGCGGGCAAGATGTCAAGCCTTATGGGCAATTTAAGAACTTTCAATGTTAAGAAATAAAAATGAAAGAAAGACTTTTGATAGATTTTTCTACCTTTGAAACATTATTGTCCATAAAATAAATTGAAAGGCTTCTAAATTTTTGATATACAAGCTGCAGGTTGGTCCTTATGTGTGGCTGACTTATAAACAAGTTTATGATTCTGCAATAAAAATAGGCTCATCAATGAGAAGCAGAGGTCTCAATCCTGTAAGTCAAATCCTTAACTAATTTTTTTTTTCAATTAATGTCAATAAGTGAATATATTTTTTTCTTGAATACTGGTTTTGAAAATTAAATAAACATGAAAATAAATTATTTAGTTACATTTTTAGGGTGATTGTTGCGGTATATATGGTTCTAACTGCCCAGAATGGATTACTGCAATGGAGGTAATGATTTTTCTATTATTAAGATTAAATTCATTTTGGTTAATTCTAACTAAATTATCTCTTTTTTTTTTATTATTTTTTTCTAAATTTTTCTTCCTCAGGCTTGTAACAGCCAGGCTATTACATATGTGCCACTATATGACACTCTTGGTATGCACTTTTTTTTTTTATTTATTTAAATTCACTTCCAATGAGTATTATTTTGGATATACTTAATTTTAGATTCTAAGAGATTTAATTATTGAATACATTACCATTTACAGGTCCTAATGCAGTAGAGTTCATAATCAACCATGCTGAAGTTTCTCTAGCTTTTGTCCAAGAGACCAAGCTCTCTTCTGTAAGTCATCATTATTATCAATTAATCCCAGAAATTAATAATAAAAAAAGATTGGAATTTAAACTATTTTAATAATTTTTTTTATATTCTCTTTATTTCACACAAATAAAAATGTCTTGTGCAGATTCTATCTTGCCTGCCAAGATGCTCATCATATTTGAAAAGTAGGTCATTTTAAAAATAACAGACTAATTAAGAACTGTATTTGTGGTTCAGGGTTATAATAATTAATTATACTTTGATTTTCTTTTATTTAGCTATTGTTAGCTTTGGAAACATTTCTAGCCTGCAAAAGAAGGAAGCTGAGGAATTAGGAGTGTCTTGCTTTTCATGGGAGGAATTTTCTCAGCTGGTAACATTTTGACATTAATGATCATTTAATCCTGAAACTCAAATCATTACTTTCAGTTTGGTTTTCTAAAAAATTTTACCTTGCTACCGGCTTTTCGACAGGGAAGTTCGGATTGTGAATTACCCCCAAAGCAGAAGACTGATATATGTACAATAATGTATACTAGTGGAACAACAGGAGAACCAAAAGGTGTTATTCTTAATAATGGGGCTATAATGGCTGAAGTATTATCCGTTGGTCATCTACTTTCTCTTACAGACAAAGAGGTAAGTAATTGTATTTTTCATTGAGATCGAAACTATTTTTCCAAAATGACACTATTCGCGTGTTTTCCATTGTTGCTATGATTGCTTTTTCCATTGACTGAAGTCCTGACTTTGCAGAGATCGTCCGTTGAACTCAAGTGAATCTTACCACTTGAGCCACTTTTCATGGGTAGAAATTGTTTGACTTTAATGTTTGACATATAGTGTTCCATACGCAGGCTGGAGAAGAAGATTCATACTTCTCTTTTCTTCCTTTGGCTCATGTATATGATCAAATAATTGAGACCTATTGCATCTACAGAGGTGCCTCTATAGGATTTTGGAGAGGGGTAAGGATCAAGAATCAGATTTGATTATGTTTTTCCAAAATCTTGAATTTCCAATTAAATTCACTGAAGTTTTTTCTTGCATTTTATTCATAGGATGTAAGATATTTGATTGAGGATGCTCAAGAATTGAAGCCAAGTATATTTTGTGGAGTCCCTAGAGTCTATGACCGTATATACACTGGTATATGCAATGATTAAATATAAGTAAATATATCTGTTCAGTAATTGTTGTTTTAAGCATTTTCTTTATTCTTGAAGGTACATTAAGTAAAATTTCATCTGGAGGTGCTTTGAGGAAGAAACTGTTTGATTTTGCATATAATTAGTAAGTTATAATTTTAACCTCTTCACCTTTTTTTATTTTATCTCCTAAGCATATAAACTACAACTGATAAGGAATTTGTTGACAGCAAACTTGCGAATCTTGAGAAGGGACTTCCTCAAGCTCAAGCAGCTCCCCTATTAGACAGGCTTGTGTTTGAGAAGGTTAGGCATTTTATTTACTCTCAAAAAGTTCCTTTCTTTTTTTTTTTTTTTCAAAATAAAATCTAAATTACGTTTCTTGATAGACAAAACAAACGTTGGGAGGTCGAGTTCGAATCATGTTATCTGGTGCGGCACCTTTGCCTAAGCATGTAGAGGAGTTCTTGAGAGTCACTGCCTGCTCTACCTTATCACAAGGCTATGGTATGAAAGAATCAAGACATCTGATGCTGCAATTTTTGCCTAAGCATATAGAGAATGCGCATTAAAATTAGTATTATTTGCTTCTTTTTTTTGGTGTAATAGGTTTGACAGAAAGTTGTGGAGGCTGTTTTACATCAATAGGTGATGTGTATCCAATGATTGGAACTGTTGGAGTTCCTATGACAACAATTGAGGCAAGGCTCGAGTCTGTGCCAGAAATGGGATATGATGCATTATCTAGCGTTCCGCGTGGCGAAATCTGCCTTAGGGGAAATACATTGTTTTCTGGTTACCACAAAAGAGAAGATCTAAGTAATGAAGTTCTTGTTGATGGGTGGTTTCATACAGGTAAAATAACTTTTTTTCAACTGAACTTCTTTCAAGTGCCTAAATAGCTTCTTTTAGCACATTTTACTTAGCTGCTAATAATGGAAATTCTTTGCAGGTGACATTGGAGAATTGCAGCCCAATGGAGCAATGAAGATAATTGACAGGAAAAAGAACATATTCAAGTTATCGCAAGGCGAATATGTTGCAGTCGAGAGTCTTGAAAATACATATATGCGATGCCCTCTTATAGCATCGGTAAGTTGTTCATAGTTTCTGTCTTTCTATAACATAGCAGTTGATTTAACTTTTTTCTGTTCTGCAGATTTGGGTATACGGCAATAGTTTCGAGTCGTTTCTAGTTGCTGTAGTAGTTCCTGAGAGACAGCCACTTGAGAATTGGGCAGCAAACAATAATTTCAAAGATGATTTTAAATCTTTATGCAAAAATCCTAAGGCTAGAAGATATATTTTAGATGAGCTCAATAGCATTGGTCAGAAACATAAAGTATGTGTATGATTTTCTTTGTTCTGTGCATATTAGTATTTTTATCTCCTCAACTAACATGAGAAATATTGCACAGCTCAAAGGATTTGAAATGCTAAGAGCAGTTCATTTGGAACCACATCCATTTGATATTGAAAGGGATCTGATAACTCCAACATTTAAGCTGAAGAGGCCTCAGTTACTCAAACACTACAAGGTGTTTTATAATGCATATTTGCCAAATTATTAAGGAAACATGACATCATTTCTGACTTTACTGCTAAATATTTTGTGCAGGGCTGCATCGACCAACTGTATAGCGAAGCCAAGGGATCGAAGGCATGATAACAATTCTTTAAGCAAGAACATAATATCCAGATGTGCAGAACTGACTGGAATTTCAAGAACATAAGGCTAATATTGTGTGATAAGCTCGAAGAGGGGGAAAAAGTGTAGTGATACCTTAAAGCAACTCTTTTTATCATTTTCAATTGTCATGGAAATTACTTATAAAACAATATTATACTTTTGTTAAAACTATTAATGTCATTTTCATTGTTTTGAGTCAATAAACTTGTGAGTGGTGATCAAGGGATTTTTCTTCTGATTATGAAGCCCAGTTCAATCATTTTTTTTATTATGCAACTTTCTTAGAGCAGCATAGTTGGTAAAAAAGAAAATTCAAGTAATTTAGAATCCACTTTTTGCAACTCACAGTCTTCAGTACAATTTCAGAAAAGAGATTTTGCAAACAACTTTCTGCTCTGATAACAACAACTAGTTTAAAATTAAAAATCATCCCAGAAATTAAAAAGAAAATATAAACAATCAGCATAACATTGCCAATATGCTTTATAGTACTTGAGTTGTCTCCAAGATTGCGAAGTCTCAAGTTTGAATCCCCGTAAGAGCCAAACTAACCAAAAAGAAAAACCAATCATCATAGTGTTTCACTTATTTTATTACAGGTAAAGCTAATCAACAATCTTCCGAAGTTCCAACAAACACTTTGTTTACAGCAGTGGCGATACTTAACTGAATTATAATTCAGCTAGGACTTGACAGTTGAAATGCTGTGGTACATTAAAAACTTAAAAAGACCAAGGTGGACATATGTACAATCTGGCTGAGGTCTGCCTAAAGGAAATGAAGTACCAATGCCCAGGCAGGATAAACAAACAAAAGGACTATGCCAATGGTGTTTGATATGCCATGTGCTTTCGTAAAGGAGTTTCTAAAACCTCCAGATGCCCGGATATGTTCTTGAAGCAAATAGCAAGCAATGACAAGGCATATCGCCACACCTATCCAGCTATCTCTTATGGTGCTTGAGAACAAACTGGGAGCCACCACAATCAGAAGAATCAGAGCTGCTGGCATTTCCAGCCAATCTGCAATAGAAGGTATAGTCAAGAAAATTCAGGATCACATTCCTTATACAACCAATACTGTCAGAAAGCTTGCTAAAGTCCCGTAATATCAACATGAGTGTAGAGCAAATTATGTTTAGTTTAAGCATGAAATTCTAATGACAGATTAAGTGAACAGCAACTGTTTGCTTAGTAATAATAGAACAGATGGTGAGTTAAAGGTTGACTAATTTGGTCAAGCCATACAGTGATTGAAACCTGTGTCAATATTATACCTGGAAAACGTCTTGGGAAGAAAAGGCGCAATATAACAGCAATGAAAGCAATCCATTTTCCAAACTCACCTCTGCTCAAAGAAACAACTTAATGGTCAGGAAGATGGAGAAATGGCTATATAACGTAATTTCTATCTAAAGAATGAACCTTCACCTGAAGAGGCTGAATAGTAATGAAGGAAGACTAAAGAAAATGTATGGAATTAACAAGCCAGTAAGTATGTTTGTCCTCCAGTTTGTTCGATCCAAGATCAACAAATAACTGCAGCAAGCATAACATCAGTATTTTAGGCTATAAGACTACCAAAAAATATCAAGGAAATACAAGATTTTTAGCTCGATTTCAAACAAAGGGAAAGTGGACTAAAGGAACAGAACATAAGATCTTTTGCAGCATTGAGAAAAAGTGAAATGCTTACTTGTGAACTCGTATTCTTCCATAATTTTCATTAAGCAACTAGAAAACTACCCCATTGGATAGCATATATATATACAACAATTTTAATTGATGCTATCTGGCTTGTTTATTTTTATGAGAGTATGAAAGTATGAAAACATATGAATACAAAAAACACAAAAAAATCTCTAATTTTATGTTTGATACAGAGGATAATAATTACTTGCTAGCCTCAATTATTAAGAAATTAATAATTGAGACAGAAAACACATAATAACAGATATAATGAAGAAACAACAATAATCATATACCTACTAATATTGCAGCTTAGAATAATACTTTTTTTTATACAATTTTCCACCCAAGTTACATACAAAAAGCTAATGGCAATAATATGACGAACAGCATCAAGGACGAATTAGAGAAATTATGAAAAAAACCAAAGAACCTTTTATTTCAGTTTAAAAAAATATATGAATGATAAGCAAAATAGTAACTATCAGAGTTAAATTAGATTAATTCCTTGTCAAGCCTATGCACACTACAGATTCATCGTATACAGACATTGTAGCTCATATATACAGTTCAAAAAAGCCAAACAATTATCAATTAAGAATTGATTAAGCCAAAAAATCCAGCACAGTTATCTTTCATCAATCAATCGAAGAAAAAGAGGATATATCATTTATGTTCAAGCATATATCACTAAAATTTTAAAAAGGAACATAAACCACCAGAAATAATTTGGAACGTAGAGAAGCAAAATCAAGGTTCTAAAAAGAAGAAAGTCAACATAACTGATCTAAACGCCATAAAAAGAGAGAGAAGAGATGCATACATTGCAGCAAAAGAAGCAACCCATTCAAGAAAAGTGGTCCCAAAACCTAACCCACCAAGCCTAATTGCATGATTGGCTAGCTTTTTAGCAGCATTCTTTAAATCTTTCATATCAGAGGCAATCAAGTCATTCATGGTTTCTTGATCTGTCTTCATTGCTATGTAGCTTTTCTTTCCCATTTCTTTTTCTGGGCGTTTCTTGATCCAAATCTCAAAACCCACACAAAACACAACGTTAGAATTCAAGAAATCGATACACTACCTTACTAAGTGGGAACACCAACAGTATTTGATTGTCGGTTTTCGGTTTCGCAAGAAATTTTCCAGACAATTAAGAGACACGTGGACGTTTATTGTTTACATTGTTTTCGTTCTTCCTTGTTCAAGTTGCTTAATTACGTAACTGTCTGTCGCCAGTTGTGAGCTGTCCTTCCTCTTTGAAATATTTTAATTTTTCTTGAGATATTTTAATTATTCTTTTGAGTTTGGATTTTGGAGGTAATATCTAATAATTGGTGAAAGAAAAATATTTATTCTTGTTACTTGCCTATCGACCTCATATAGGAAAGACACGTAAGACGTATAAAAGGTTTCGTTTCATTTTAATTATAATTACATGGACGATTTTTTATAGGTGAAATAAAAATTGCCTACCACTACAAAAAAAAATATATATATTAATTTCTTATATTTAATAAATTAATGAAATTTATAAACTTAACTTTTAAGGTTAATGAAACTTTTTTCTTTCCATTTTTTCTAACAATTTATATACTCAATAAAATTTAAAAAGTTTGTAATTAAAATTTATTTGAAATTGATTTCTTTATTTGTATTTATTTGTGAAGTTGATATTTTTTCTTGTATGATTATTGTAAAAGCAATTGAGGATAAATTTATTAACATTTTTCCAAACTCCCATTAAATTTTTTCAAAAAAAAAAAAGAAAAAATTATTAACATTTATTTGTTATTCTTTTTTTAGATGTCTTAAAATATTTATAAAATTTCTAAATTTAGACGTGTAAATAATTATTTTTTCATAATAATCTTTATGACATTCATTAAATGAGAGATTTTTATTAATATCTTCGATAAATTAAGAATAAAAGAAAAAATTATTAACTAAATTCTTAAAAACATATTTTATCAAACTATATAAATAAAATGGTATAAACCCAATTTGCACCATCCAAAAGGACAAAATAAGTAATAAGAAGGGCTCATACACCTGGGTTTTCATCATTTTATTTTATATTTTGACCATGATCAAGTACTTGTGGCCTTAGTCAACGAAGTGAATGTCACTGATGAAGCCAACCCCAGTCCCTTCTTCGTTTCAACCGTACACGTGTCATAACGTAAGAAAAACTCCACCAACATAACCATACCTAGTAGCACCACCAAATCTTTCCCCGGACACTGCTTATTCTCTGCCGTTGGATTTACCATCTCACGATCATTTGACCAGTAGAGATACTTCAACAGTTTCTCCCCCTCTTCTCCTACAAACCTATGGCCCACAAACTCATGAGGATTATGAAAAACTTTAGGATCCTTAGTAGCGAGCGGTTGATATCCGAAGATCATTTCACCTTTCTTGATCTGATAAGCCGCATCATGGCTATGGACTATAATATCCTCCTTAGCCTTACCGTATTGGAACGGAACCGGAGGCTCAATTCTTAAAGCTTCGCAAACAACTGACTTAGTCAAAGGCATCTTATCCAGTGCTTGAAAAGTAATGACTGAACCATCCTTTCTAACGGTTCTGATTTCATGTGCAAGTTGAGTGTGTAACTTTTCTCCTGCTTGTGCAACCCACTTGATCATGGTAGGGAAAAAAACTTTCATACCTCCGTAAGCGTTGAAACCAGCAAGAAAAACAAGATTATGACATGCTTCATCTCTTTTAATCCCAAAACTCTCTGCTTTATCAAGAACAGAACCTGAATGCTCATAAAAGGATTCATAAAGCTTTCCATAATCAGATTTTACAAGGAAGAAAGGAAGTGGAAATGTATGAAGCAAGAAATCTTCAAAATATTTAAAGAATTTAGGTAAATTTAGGGTTGCAAGTGGTGCAAGTTGTAAAGCTAACCATTTATCAAGAACAGAAGGTCCTTTCGATCCAATTTTTGTATTCAAAGGATCTTTATCGCAAAAAAGGCGAAAAACAAAGTTAAAAGACATCGAATCACTTAAAGAATTGAAATAAGCTTTATTTTTAGAGCTCATTTCTTCTTCAATGTCAATAAAAAGTTGCCTTAAGCATGTAGTAAAGAGAGGGATAAAAATATTATGCTTTGATGATAATATAGAGAGAAAAAATGATTTTAGCTTGGTGTGGTTTGGCTCAGAAGGATCTAGATAAGCGCAAACTCGATATCCTCCGGTGAAGGAAACGGAAGGGAAGAAAGTTCCGTCAAGAACGTTTTTCTTTTCGACTTTTGACGTGTCGAAAAGAAGAGGAAATGAGATAGCATCAAGAAGAGCAATGACTTTAGGGTTTTTAGCAATGAAAGGACCAGGAGGCATGTTTGTTTTTATAATTGTTGAGTTGTGTTTTTGAATACGAGTTTTAAAGAAATCATCAGTGCCTTGGTTATAGAAGTAATCTAGACGATCTTTAATGGCGCCAAAAAAAGAGTAGCCATAGTCACCTGGAATTGGCTTCAATGGAAGCTCTCGTGGAGAGAAAGAAGGAGAAGAAGAGGACATTTTTCAGTTCTTGAAATTGGGGTTTTAATTTTTTTGTCCTTTTGGATTTGGGGTGTCTAGTATTACGTACTGCAGGCTGCAGCAATATCTTATATAGGAGTTGGTTGGTTATATGTGCACATATGTAGAACATTTTTCTTTTCTTTTATTGTGTGTTGCCTCGAATTTCTGCCCACAGTTTGTTTCTTGAAGCTCCGTTATCTACTTTATGTTGCTTTACTTGGGTACAAACCATGAAGATAGTTTTGCTTACCACCCGATGTGGTGGCCTGCTGATAAACACGACATTGATGATCCACTTGCTTAATCCACCACTTGCTTGATCTAGGTTTGGACTCTATTGTTGTGGGACAAGGACTGTAATAATATGATCCTATAAAAAGAAGGGCAGCGTCTCCCATTATGAAAGTGTCTTAAATCTGGACCTCAACATCTGATAGGTGGCTCGAGCCGATGAGACACTGACTAACACTTTAGTAGTCTCTTTTTTTCTTTTTTTCTTTTTAAATAATTTTGCTTGAGTGCAAAGCACGTTGTGAAGTCGGGCAGCCTTTTGCTTTGGAAGTCTATAAATATAGACAACGGCCATTTGGCCATTTTTGTTGACGAGAGACGCAGCCGGAAGAATACGTTTCTTGCCATTTTCCTGCTCTTATCTTAGGTACAGTAATTTTGTCCAATAATTAATTACCATTATAATTATAAGAGAGAAAAATATTAATAAGATTTGGATATTTTTGGGTTTAAGATTTGAGTGTTATCTCCCACTTTGTACTTTATATTTTCACTATTAATTAATGGATTTTATTCTCTTTCGCTTATGGATATAGGGTTTGTTCGGTAAAATTAGTTATTTTGGTGGCTATTAACTATTTTAGTAGCGTTTAGCCGTTAGCTATAGTAAATTTTCATGAAATGCTACAAGCTAACTGTTATATGGGTTAACTTTTTATAAAATACTACGTCAACTTCTAAAAGTTAATTCAAACGCTATGTTATCAAATGCTATAAAAAATACAGCATTTAGCGTTTTGACTAATCAAACTCCTGCTACTCAAAAAATTATTGTCGAACATAATCGTAGACTTACCTGAAGCACCTAAATTTTATCCCTCTTATTATTATTTTTTGTTGTCGCATTATTATTTTTCCATTTGTCCCAAATAAATATTATATTTGACGTTTCTGCTGAATCCGTAATAAGTGATATCCCAAATATTGTCGCATTATCATAACATATTGTTTTTTTGGATGTCGAACTATTACCGCGGTTGTTCCTATGTCATTTTCTTTTCCTTCTAAGGCACACATGGAACATTTTCTTTTAAATTCTAACTTTTTGTTTTTTTTGTATTAATTAATGTGAAGAAGAATCATTAACCATTAGTGGAATGGTAAAAGTAATCCAACTGCTAATAAGATATTGTTAGTGGGATTAGTTGGAGATTTAGCCATTATTAAGCACACTAATTGCCTTGATTTGTGCTCATTTTGCCATAGCCATTGCTTTCTGTCTATCTGCTACTTCTGTTCTTATTAAGCCAAGCCAAGAAGATAAGCCAAACAGACAAAAAAATGTGGGAGAATAGATTGTTGTCAAAAAAAGCCCAGCCATGAATATTATAATCCACAATTAGAGAAATTCTTAAACCCACGTAAGGAGATAAAGCTGCATCACCAACTTGTTTTTCTCCATCCCACATCAGTAGCTCTTAAACCAACGCAAATGCATTTCCTATCTCGGACCAAAATGGAAATATGAAATAATTAACATGAAATAGGTTAGAAAAAAGAGCAAGTTGGTGATACGGTTTTATTTCATTTGATGAGTTTAGCTGATATGATAGACTTAGTCTACCCAAGAATTTCTCTCACAATTGATTAGAAAAAAAAAAAAAAAAAAAACCTCTAGTCTCCCAAGAATTTCTCTGCACAATGTTGACCTTAAGAAAAAAAAAAAAATAAAAAGACTCAAGAAGGAATGACAAAGATCATCTACAAATTAAAAAAAAAAAAAAAAAAAGACTCAAGAAGAATACAAGATCAGCTACAAAAGGATTAAATGGTATGTCTCAACATGGATTTCATTTTCATTTTTTGACACAAGTTCACATTGTTAATGAAATAATAAAAGCTTGTTCAAGCAACAACCTGTGACACAGCACAACTCCAGCATGGAGTTTTATAGTTTTGCATTGTTTTAGCTAAGCATGATCGGTTCCAGATCTAGGTTTCGGTTACAACACTGCTGATTTCAATTATAAGAAATGTGAAATTGAAATTGAACCATTTTTTAAGTTGTGTTTAAAACGGTTTTGAAATTACGAATTCCGATTTGATTTTGGTTTGGAAGCAAAATTAGATTATTTATTTCAGAATTTTTAATCAAAACTCTTTTTTACACAAATAATAATAATAAGAAACATTACCGTTGAAGAACGCTAAATCAATTTAATAAAAATTCTTAACCTTTATTTTAAAAAATTATAATAAAATAAAAAAAATAAATTAAGAGTTTCTTTAAGAACATGTTTTTCATGGTTTCGAACAGAAACCATCGGTTTTAAACCAAAACTGCTGATTCCGCTTTCAAAAAATGAAGAATCAAACCCTAACCTTAACTACTCTCTTTTAATTATAGTTTTGAAACATGAACCGTTAATAATAGTTTAGTGCCGATTTCGATTGGTTTGATTTCAATTCGTTTCCATTTGAAACCGAAACTTGGTCAACCTTAATTTTAGCTACATTGCATTAAAAGCCCTAAATATTCTAGATAATGATGTACAAGTTCCATTTCAAAATTGATACAAAAAAAGAAATGGTCAAAATTCAAATACTACCTTAACAACAGGTGATTTTTGTGAGTAATGGCATTTGCAGGTGAGTCATAAGCTGCAAGAAAAGAAATAAAATACTCACTCAACCCCTCCAGCAATGAGTACAAGAAACAAAAGAATAACTTGCAAATTTCAAAGTAATCCCATTAAGAAAAAAAAGTTCTCTTAACTTGATATTAAATCTCAATATTAGTTGCATTTCTATTTCCCTTTTTATACTCAAATAATAAAAAATACGTATGTCCGTTTGGCGAACATTGAAATTAAGAAATAAAATTCTTCTCAATGATCATTAAATCCCTACATATCAAATTGAAAAATTAAAATCTATGAAAGCAATATTTACATCTTTCACGTAACAAGATTTAATTAAATTCGAGATCTTTTGATGAATATATATAAGCCAAATTAGAAATTGAAGTGTTGGAATTTCCTCACAAACAAAAATTTCTTCAACATTCTATGAGTTAAGATATTCAGAAAATATAAGAAACTCAAAGATATTAACATGAAATCCATAGAATACATTAAATATGTGAATATACATGATGAACATGACCTTGATTTAGTTATCAAGGTTCAATTATTAAGCTGCAACAGATATTACAGAAGGAAATTAGAAAGCAAAATAAAAATGTGTTCCAATTATAACATTATCAAACATAATCAAAATGCACCAAATTTAACAATATCCCTTGACAACATTACTAGACATGTAAAACCCTAATGAGAATCGTCCATCGTCATGGGAAAAAAGCATTAGACCAAAGAGAATTTTGATTAATGTTATCCCCAAAAGGGATCATCATCTCATCATCACCAAACACCATATGTTCTTGTGGGTCGATCCAATCAGTAATCCATTCTTGCCTTTGCATAGCATCCATATTATTACTGTTCATCACCTCAAAATTATTATTCTGCAGCCTCCCAACCTCTCCGCCGCTAGGTCTAGCCACCCCCGACTGTGGCGGCAGCAGCAGTGATGAAGCTGGAGCAACCGTCTGTGAAATTTTGTTATCAGTATTACGCTGTTTCTTAAGTGTTTCAATCTTTATATAAATCTCTTTTAAGTTTTGATCGATCAAGCATCCAAGATCATTCAAATCCGTCATGTTCAAGTTGTTTAGGACAATCTTTCCGGTTAATCCTTGAAACATGAGTTTAGTCACCTCCTTTTTGTGGTTTTCTGTTATTTGTTTCTTGAGTTGTTCATTGCACTTGGATATTCTTTGCCTAATAAAACTTTCTTGGCTCTCCATTTTCTTGATTTGCTCCATCTCAGGCATGTTCTTCAATTGAGCCAATACACATTGGACCCCTGAAGGAGAAGGCCAAACTTCTGGTTGTGAATCGTAAGGGTTGTAAATGATTGCACATGCATCAATCCCGCAAAGAGTGGTTAGCTCACTCACCTTCTTTATTAGCCCGTTCTTCCTTTTCTTGAATGTTGCTCTTCTCGCAGAGTCGTTACTCATGTAAACAAGCTTCACTTTCTTTCTTGTCATGGTGTTTGGTCAAGAAAATAAAAATAGGAAAAGAATATTGAATTTTGGATATTCTTTCTCCTTGGATTCTGTGCTCTATATATATTATGGGATCAGAGTAATAATCAAATTAATCGCATCGGATTAGAAAATTGCTAAACTCGGTTGGCGATATTGTTAATGAATCTTAATTTGGTAACCACATATTTGGACATTCCTTTTTTAATTATTCAAAATTTCTGACATGGAAATGACTTAGCAAGATAATAATGATTCGAGGTGCAAATACGGTGTATTTCCAGATCAAATATAAGGACAGTGGTGGAACCAAAGCAAATAATTAGAGGAGGCGAAATTTTTTTTTTTTTTTTTTTTTTTGAAATTTTTTTTTTTTTTTTTTTTTTCAAAATGTTGAGATTTATAGGTAAAAAGTACAAATTTTCTATATTTTATAAAGAAAATAAAAAAAAAAAAAAAAAAAACAAAACAAGGAGCAAAAAAAAAAAAAAAAAAACAAAATCAGGAGCGGCGCCGCCGTCCCTAGTTCCAGATATGGTGAAATCTTGGGCTTGGTTGTCTAATAATTTTTTCACGATAAGTATGGGGAGTTTTATCTGAAAACGTAAATGATGAGTTGGTAAGGATTTATATTTGGTTAGTTTCATTTTTTTTTTTTTTCTTTAAAGAATAAAATTGCTTCACGTTGCTGATCCATATATTGAAGAGTTATAGTGTACTATGCTATTTTTGGCTAACCCTCATTAAAGTCTACTTAAAGGGACAGAAAAATCTGAACTTATTGCCCATTGGGTTGATGAAACTTCTCCTGGTTGCATCATCTGTAATTATTTTTTTATGGCAACACGAACAAATCACAACAGCAAAATCTTTTTGATTTTGGAAACATAACACATTAAAATCACTTGCCCGTCACTATAAATTATTTTTTCACTTTTCTCAGATGATAAGTTAATTGTTATTTGTCGGCACGTATTTATTAACGGTGCGCACGGGTTGGTTTTGGATGGAAATTACATAATTTCAAGATCCATTCCAAAATACCGGGATATGAAAATGGAATTCCAATTCCGTTTTGATAATTATATATGCTCATCTAGAATTTTTTAGAACAAAAAAGGAAAAGGGAATACTCGACTTTTGAGAAGGGATGGGACGTCTGTACATTACATATCTAATTTAAGAGAGTCTCGTGCTACAATTATTTTTGAAACAAAATTTAGTACGAGACTATTAAATTAATATTTAATTTTTCTTGGAAGCAAAATTTGGGACTGTTTTTAGAAACGATAGATATTGCTGCAGTTCCCTACACACTCCCTAGTGTTTATATATATCATCATAATATTAATTAAATTTTCCTTGTAGAAAAATTACTTCAGTAATAACCTTTATAACCATTAATACATATTAATCACAAGTACATAGTATGAGTATAAATAATGTGCAATGCAACTATTATGTTGGAAGATGGAATGTGGTTCTGAAGTGAAGAATCAAATTCTTGGATTAAATAGTCTACTTCTCAATTAGTTAGTGAAATCCCTTTTGCTTTCTATATCCTGATGGGTGTTCTATGTAATGTGTAGGAAAATTTTGAATTGTTGCAGTATTATTTTTAAAACATTGGCACTGATCATCACTTTTTCACTTTTTATAGTTTGGGGTGTACGCAACCATGCCTTTCATCTTCACTGCATCTTCAAATGGGTGAATTCACAGCATGTGCCGTTGAGAATGGTAGTTTAAAGGATGAAGATTTCGATTGGAACTAAAGTCTAATTTGCCCTATGAACGAACTTGTTATTCAGGGAAAAAAAAAAAAAAAAAAGGCTGAAAAAAAAAAAAAAAAAAAAGGCTATAAAATTGAATTTTTTTTTTTTGGTTTTAATTTACACCTAAATTCAGGATGCAATTTCTATAAAGCGGGGGGATAAATTTAGAAGCTTTTTAGGCCAATCACCCATGATTGCAAATCTAGGGTAACTGAACCAAAAGGGAGATTAAAATTACACTGACACAATTGATTTTAAAAAAAAAAAAAAAAGAACACTCACTAACTGAGGAAGAACACTGGCATGTCCATTTAATATTACCTTCCGTTGTTTAGTTAATCGGGCTTAAAGACTAGACATTATCTGGGGTGGTCAAAAAAAAAAAAAAAAAAAAGGCTATAAAATTGATTTTTTTTTTTGGTTTAAATTACACCCTAAATTCAGGTGCAATTTCTATAAAAAGCGGATAAATTTAGAAGCTTTTTAGGCCAATCACCCATGAATTGCAAATCTAAGGGGTAAACTGAACCAAAAGGGAGATTAAAATAACTGACAATTGATTTAAAAAAAAAAAAAAAAAGAAACTCACTAACTGAGAAGAACACTAGGCATGTCATTAATATTACCTTCCGTTGTTTAGTTAATCAGAGGCTTAAAAGATAGACATATCTGGGGGTGGTCCGTACACGGTCTTCCATGAAAATGGGATAAGCCATTTACCTTCATCACCTGAAAAAAGAAAACATAAACAGAAAAAACAGGGTTATTGCTCGTGTTTCATTACTATAAAATGATCTCTAAGCACAATATTATTTTCAGCATACTAAATGAAATTCAAAGCTTTCAATCATGTTTTCTCAAAATTAAACTATAAAATGCTAATAAAATAGACGTCTATCGCAAAACCCACCATGGAAATTATCTGGACTCAGCCCCAAGAGTTTGCATGCCGCCTCAGCCAAATGAAAAGCATCAGGTATGTTATCTCCTTCAGAGCAGTAACATAATAAGCATGTAACTTTCAAACCTTTTGCCTGATTCAGAAAACAAGAACCACAAGTCAAATCCCTCTGATCTATTTGCATTGAACATTACATTTAGACTCAAAAAGTCACTATGACAAACAAGTGAAAGCTAGACAGACAATGAAGACACTCTAGGAACTTATGGCAAAAAGACATACACTTGTAGTGCAATAGTTCACACAATGATGACAGCCTACGAACTACAAAGAAAACAAAAGTTACAGCAACAACACAAAATGTAAAATCAAATTTGAAGGCTTACAAACAAAAAAGATAATAGGATGAGTTCAAATATTCTTGATTCAAGATATTTTCTAATTAAATTCACAAAGGGTACCTTAAAACAAGAAAAGAGAGCAGCAAAAGGCAAACTTGGATAGTAATCCTCTTCTTCTAGTTCATCTTCGAAAGGCAATCTGTTTTCTCCCGTAGCATTTCCTTCGGCCAAAGCACTAAGATATTTCCAAGACCTCTGAGCAGGGTTGTATTCCTGCAGTCTCTTCCACCCAAGTTTTTCACAATAATCATCTGATCCGTCACTATTGGTACTAGATAGGTAATATGTCTGCAAAACACTGAAATGATAAACTGACAGTTAACAGCATCAAATACTTATGCAGTCGCAAAAAGCATAATCAGTTCAGTGCTTGGATGCCAGGAAGGCAGGAAGTGCTAATATAATGCAAATCCACTTTTAACTGTCCATTCCTGACAGGAATTAGTTAAGAATTCATGCTTTTAATGTATATGGTTCAGTGAAAAATGGATTTGTAACTTTCCATTTAAAAACTGAGCATACCAATCAATGTATCATTTATTATCTTCTTCAGAAGAAAGAGATAGTTGACGAAGTTCTTATACATGTAACTAAGCTTTGAGGACAAAGACCATGTTGTTACTTAACCAGGTGACCAGGAATCCTTAGTGACTGGGCACCAGATGACCGCAAATAATTTTAAGACTGACAACTGATAAGCACACAGTGAAGAAGCTCTAAATACCTTGACGTATCAATTCCTTGCCATCTGCCAAAGTCTAAGCCAGAAAGCAAAACAATGTGCTTCGTTCCACTAGCAGCAGCAAAATTTGCCAAGTTTTTAGCAAATTGGAGCATCATCCCCTGTTTGAACAACTTTTATCAATCAACAATTTCCCAAAGGCGAGTGGCCAGAATTAGAATTTTAAAATATAGCAACTCATGAATTCAATTTCACATGCCTGGTTACAAGTGTTTTTCCAAAGTTGATGACAGACATATGAAAGATGTAAATGCAAAATGAAACTCTGATTTGCGTGTTCCCAATCAACTCTTTGGCTTTCTCTCTCACTATTCTAGTTAGCACGCAATGCAAAAGGATTGGAATTGAGGTCCCAATTGTGATTAATTGCGTTTCTTTTTTCCCCTTTTTTTTCCCACATGGTTCATTTCTCTGTATTTTTCCTCTTCTATAGCAGTCCAATTTAGCACAGGGATGGCCTGAGCATATGAAGGTGCTTGTCTCAGCATGGATTTTTCTATGTTTCCATATAAGTTCACATCATGACCAATAAACCTTTGTTCAAGCAAACAAGTATTTATACACCACAACTCCTTCTAGAAAGTTTCAAGTTTTGCATTGTTTTAGCTACAGGCACAACATAAGCCCCAAGCATCAAGATACTGGAGGAGGGAGTCCCCCAAATTTTCAAGACTTGAACTAGAAACATTTTCGTTTAGCATACAGATACGCACACAATCTACAAAATAATGATGTACGAGTTCATTTCAAAATTGATATAGAAACGAAATACTAAATTCAAATACTACCTGAACAACAGGTGATCGTTGTTGGACAAGAGTAATTGCATTAGCAGGTGAATCATAAGCTGCAACATATGAAATAAAATACTCATTCAACCCCTGCAGAAATGACCGAAGACAAGCAACAATAACTCGCGAATTTCAAAGTAATCGTAATATAGAAATTTCTCAACAACATCAATATCACAATCGCAATATCAGAGTTAATAATGCCAAAGCAACATTGAAAAGCTGAAACAGTGACCTTCAAGAGGTAGAGCAAGTTCACCACAAGGAATTGGCCCATAGGCGTCATTACCAACACAAGGAAGAACGTAGGGATCGTCCAAGTGCCCAATCCTCTGCGCTTTTGTTGACGATACTAAGAGATCCAAAGCTAGCTGCCCCACATTTCCAATCGATAAAGCAGGCTAACAAACCAGGCAAAAAATGTTAAATATAAAGTTGAATACAAGGTAGGATTTTTTTTTTAAATCCAAACATTTTCCGAGCATCCCAACAGAGCTATACTCTACCAAACCCTAACTTCAAAGAATTTATCAGAATATGAAAATTGTGAAAAAAAAAAAAAGAAAAGAAATAACCATAATTAGAGTGGAGCAATCTTCATGAAGCTGCTTTCCTTCTTCGATTATAAATTCCATTTTTTGAAAAAAATAAGAAAAATCGAGTTCATATAATATAAACAGTTATTCTAACAGAAAGCTCTCTGGACTGGTCTCTGGTTTTTAGGCTCCTGAGTAGGTGCAGTGAAGTTGGCGACTTGAAGGACAAGACAGATTGTTGGGCTTAACAGAATATTTGGGCCGCGTTGGAGATTTTAAACCCTATAAGAATTTGACAAACCTGGGCTACCTTTGGCCCATTAATTTACAAAATTCCTTCGTTAGGCAATCCTAATTTCTTCCAATGTTCCTGGGTCGGGTTTGAAATCCGAGTAGAACCAGATTCGACCCACATGTTATATATCAATATCAAATTGATTAGGTGTATTACTGTATTATTATATACGTGAGTATGTGTCGGAAGGAAGAAGTTTGGATAAAGTTATCTGAAATTTGGGGCATGTTTGGCGAGTAAGGATTTGACTTTAGTTGCACAGTTTTTGGATTATTCATATAAGAATGTGGAAAATGCTCTGAACAAATGAAAAAAAAATTATTAGTTAGACTCTTTCTCTTGTGTAAATGCATCTTTTCCTATTAGATTTAGAAAGGAGACTTCTCTTAGTTTTTTTTTTTTTTTAATATTTTTTTATAATTTTTCCTTCTTTGTTTTTTAAAAAATAAACTCCCATAAATAGAAATGTAATTTATTATATATATTACTCTTGATTGGCAGCTCCCACATTTTCCTTTCCTTATTCAACAATTTTTTAGTGCCACTCCTAATTGATAGAAAGATACAAAAATGGATAGCTCCAAGAACAGCCAAGTGTAGAGCACTAATAGTGGCAAACAGGGCATTAATTTGAAAGCAAGAAGGCTACTTTTCTATTTCCTGATAACAATAAGCCAAGTGTACAGCACTTACTGTTCTGGAAATTCTCTGGATGACTTGAAATTTCATTCAATTGGACATTTCCAAGTTCTTTGGTCTACTGGTGGCCCCCTTACATTTTTCATAAAAAGTTGCAAGATAAGATAAAAATGCAATTTGAGTTGAACAAAGCATGAACACAAAATTAGGGTTCTGAAGAAGATCGTGATGGTGATGGTGATGATGATGAGATATATATAGTTTTGATTTGAATGCTAAGAGTCACTTCACTACTACTGTGTATGTTATTGTGGAACAAATCTATTTGCTGTCTATTTGTCTCTTTCGTATGTCAATTTCTCATGTAATAATGCCTATATTGCTAATAATTATGCCAGAAGCAATTATGTTCCTCATATTATTTTTTTTAAGATTATATATAAATATAATCTTAATACTTATACGTTCAAATGCGCTTAATTTTTTTATTTATGCGACGGGTATCCCTAGCCCATTAGACAATAACTCTAATTTTATTCGTGTCGCTCGATCTCTTGCTTAAAGGATCCAAATTCTTTCCACTCAAACCAATTCTTATTAGTTACTAATGTACTTAATACTAGTCATATATAATGAATAATCCTATTTTAATAATGTTCTTCTCTCGTAACTATTGATTATTAATGAATAAATTCCGATAACAGAAATTTGGGTGATTTAAAAAAAAAAATGCAAAATTTCATTAGATTATGTTAGATTGGCTGAGTTGCATTTTTAAAATATTAATCAATAAAAGAGATTTTTAGAATTAATTAAAAAAAAACAATAAAAAGCATGAAAAGTGAAAAAAGAACAAGATACAACCATACAAGAGGAAAGGACAACAAAGAGAAGTATCTGGGTTTTTCCAAGAAATAATTGTGTATGGCCAACAACATAGCAGCAATGATAGAAGGAACAGTTCTTTCTGTACCTGCTGTTTTGTTTGAGATATGTTAGAAAGATTCTGATATGAACCACAATAATGTCTAAGACACCATAGTTTTACAATCATATTTTTCTTTGAAGCACCCAAAAAAAGGATGTGTAAAGTACACATGATTCCCTTCCAACACTGTACTATCAAAATGGAATTATGATTGAACTTAAAAATACAATGCAACAATTTAATTTTGAGGTGTGATTTTTCTAATTTCATATTAAGCCTTTTTAATAAAATATCAAAATAGAATGATCTTAGTATAAATTTATTTATTTTGATTGCTCTTAAGTTTTAATATTTGTTATATTCGCTTTGGGTTAAGTAAGTTTCACTCCAATGATCAGATTTCATTAACGTTTCGAGATTCATTCATGTTGAAATTTTAATAAATTTCAATTTCAATTTGGGTTATGTAAATTTCATTCCACTTTTAATTTTTTTTTTTATTATATTTCAAATCTTGGATGTATGATTAAATTCCTAATAATTAATTTTTTTTTTCTCTAGTTGAATGAACCCTAATTCCTATTGCTATAATACCATTTTATTAAAATATATAATCCAATGACAACAAGATCATTCAACACGACAAGATATGTGAATTTTTTTTAAGGGATTGTGGTTAAGTCCTTAGTCATAAATCATATATAAAAATTCAAAACCTGGTTGGTTACTTTTTTGGTATTAAAAGACCTGGTTAATTATTTAATTTTAATTAATTAAAGAACACTTGTCTTAGTCCTACTCATTGTTATTAATTTCTAGACCTTCCTGCTTATGTATTCAAGCGACATGTCGTCAATGTCAAGCAAAAAAAATTTCGCATGCATGATTTGCTTTGTAGCTGATACAAAGCTACGTGCCATATAAAACTCTAAAAATATATTTTTTTAATTTACATATATTTTCTTGTAGCCATTTGTTTATGCTAATATAATCTTGCCAGTTGCCATGAAATCAGCAAGATTACAGAAAGTTTGATCATCTGTAAAGAAAAGTGTTTGAAGATTATCAGACAAATCCCAGATTTGAGTAATAATATATTGTATATAAAAGAATTATTTAATTTAATTAACAAATAAAAGTAAGCAATACATCAATTATTATTATTAGAGACATGTTTGATGGTTAACAGACATATTATTAATTAATTAAAAATAAAAATATGTTCTTTCTTTTGTCATCTCCTCATATTTATCAATAAATATCAAAATATAAATATTTGCAATTATTAAATATTAAATATTGGCAGACAAGGATTTTGCACTTTACACTTGTCTTATGCAGGATTAAAGTTGTTCTTCCTTCCTTGGGTACAGATATAGCTCTTTCAAATTCTAGTTTTGTATGGTATGTAGAGAATAGAGACAAGTGTCCTCTGTTACAACTTGTAGCCTACGATGACTGTGACATTAGCATAGCTCCCATTAACGATATATGTCTTATACTATTCTGTTCCTTCCATTTGACACGAAACATAAATTTTTTTTTTTTTTTCTTACCGTCACACAATAAATGTAATTATTTCCTACATAAATAGGAAGAAAATGAAAATTAATTTGGATGCAATGCATATAGACAATTTGAATGATTTTGTGAAGCCTACTATTGAAAATTATTAATGAAAATTATTTTTATATATTCTATTATTTACTTATCATTTATTCTGTTAATTTGCTTGTTTGTATATTTTCATTTTAGCATGTTTTGATATATTTAATTGTTATAAATTTTAGAATTAACATCTAGAGCATGAAGTTTGTAGGTAAATATATATGAGCTCTGATACAATGTTAGTAAAATAGATCAGATCTAACCCATTTCTTAAAAGTTAGTTCAAGAAAATGAAGATCGTCAAGTCTTATATTTTGATTGAACACATTTTGCAAATCAATATAGGACAACAGTTATTATTAAATAGAAAATATTTAATAATATTACTATAATTCTTTTTAGGGAATAATACTATAAAAATTTTTTTCCTATGAGAAATATAGAATAATTTTGCTATATTCTAAAAACTTATGAACTTAGTTGATATAAAGGAAATATAAACAAAAAATTGTTTATTTTAAAGATATATTTGTATATAAAAATAAGTTGTATATATCAAATGACAATGATAAAAAAAATCATTTATTAAAATACTTAATAAGAAAAAAAAAATGCATGCACTCATCTAGATTTTTCCTTCAAATTTATTTACTTCTATACCATATAATATTAAAAATTTGTATGTCGTATTTATAAGGAATGAATGAAATTAAATAGAAAAAATAAAAATATATCAATTGTTAATTAATTAGGTACCAATGAAATCAAATAGAAAATACAACAATTAGGCAACAATTTATGTTAATCAGGAAATAATTTGTAAACTGGGAAACAAGATTGCTTATAGAAATATATATAATTAATTTTAACTATTAAAAATGTTTATTAACGATTTCTTAAAAAATATTTCTTAGTCAATTTATGTGTATAATTACATATATCATAAATTATAGATAGATACAGATGAATGTAAAGAGATTCATAAAGTGAGGATGATAACTTCTTGGACTTGAATTTGAAATTAATGTATGTTCTTTAGGTATTTCAAATTCACACTCAAATAAATTTTTATTTTGTTTCAGGAACCTGACTTTAATTCTGAAATAATATTTATAAATAATAAATTTTCATTTGTTAATTTAGAGAAAATTTTCCAAGAATGGACAACCCAGTGGCTTAATAAGAATGATGTCTAACTGAAATTAGGTTAACATACACAGGGTGATACAAAGAAGCACCTAACTCAGTTTATTATATTTTTCCCGTAAGTTTTTGAAAGCGCTTGTCTGTTTTATTTTTTAAATCATCGGTATCTGGACCTCATCATTATTAAGAACCGCCAAATCTGACTAGAGACTTAGTCACAATTAAAACTCCTCACTTTTCCCTATATGTGCATTTAGTGGGATCGAACCGATAGTTTTTTCCATATGTCCAGCTTGCATTGTTAACTGAACCACAATCCGTAGGTTTGAAAGGGATTTTCTTTATTATATAGAAGAACCGTTGTTTTCCCACCACTCCCAACTTACATATATGTTAAAATAATGTTTAACTTGTCAATTTATTTATTTAATTGTTATGCTTTTAAAGATTATTTTATTTGAATAATATGAATGAATTTTGCATCTCAATATTATTGAAGTTGTTCCAAAAAATTCGAAATTACAAGTCAAATTTACTAAAAGTAATATAGATATGAAAACAAAAAATTAAATTTGAACTTTAAGCAAATGTTTCCTTTAGTTATTTAATTAAGAATATACTACTTATTTAATAAGAAAGTTTAAGCTATTTTTCTTTTTATAGAAATAGAAGGTGTAATCTCTTATACTTTATGCAGTCGAATTTGTATTTTTATTTTTATAAAAATTGAATTTATTTACCGCTTCAACAATACGTTGTTAGTAATTTAAATGATAATTTTTCTAATATAAATTAGATATTTTGTATTATATTATTTTGATTGGAAGATGTGAAACTTGGTTCTTACATTGAAAATATAAAATCTTAATATTTAATTGCATATGCTTTTAAGCTAGACTCTACAATCTCAAAAATCTTTAATTTTTATTTCATAATTCTCTTGAAAAAAACAAAAGAGGGAATTAGCTCATATCATCATGCATTCATGCTAACGTAGCATGACTGAGTTTACCCGTGTCGCAAAGAGATTGGTGAATGGGAATCTACTCTTGGACCACGTGGCAAAAGAGGGGATAATGTTCCCTCAAGCGGCCGTTGACGGTAATAAGGGAAATGTCGCTATCTTCTGCCAGACTCACAGATTTAGGTGGCATCGTCCGTTGACATTTACGGCGCGTGAAAACGCGAACGAAAAAAACGGTTCTGCCGCGGTACGCTCTTTAAGAATGAATGAACAGTTCAACACTTTCCTTTGGAGAAACCAAATTAAAAAAGCACAAGTTGCTCCACTTTTTTTTTAATTAATCAGGTGGAATTTATTTACAAAATTTTTTAAATGCATTAGATTAATGTATTCTAAATTAATCAAATTAAAATAGAAAATCATATTTCTTTTTACTACTAAAATATAAATACTCCATAATTACAAAATATAATTTTTGAAATTTAAAAAAAAAATAAAGAGAAAAAAGATTACAAAATTTATAGAATTCACTTATGCACGTTATTATTCACTATTGGTTTGTTATCACGTGTAAGATATAATATAATTTTATATAGAATTACAGCTTTATTACAAATATATTTTTTAAATGAGACTAATATTGTTTTTCGCGATTTGTGATTATCCTTTCTATAAATATTTTCGAATTTTCCTAAATTCAAAGTGTATTTTAACATCAGTAACGGTCGTTGCAGTTAGAAAAATACAATTCTAATATCGATGGTGAAGACTTAATTTCAATACATTGAACTAATTCAAAAATACTTCTTACAACAAATATAAGAAAAAAAAAATGAAAAAGCGTACATATGGTTCACCAACTTCTGACTTGCGCTTTGTTTCCCATGTGACTGTTCGTAACTTAAATGAGAACCAAAGATTAAAATCTAAAAGACTAGAATGATCATGGGGGTAATTAGTTAGTAGCTTTCAACTAAGGTTGTTATCAATGGACTTGATGTTTGCCGCCATTTTAAAGCTTTGCAATATTGACGTGAAGGATATGATGTATTTGATTTTCTTGCCCGGCATAATAAATATAATGAAATAGTAATTAATTTTTAATCCATAAAGTCATTAACGAGTGGTACGTAATTAAGATTTAGCATGCGTGAATTGAGTTGCCAAATGTGATAACTAGTCAACATAATTATGACTTTTTAGAGCTTTCCAGCTCGAGGGTTTTTCGTTATTAGCTCACCTGAAAATATATGCTAGCTTGTTATGGCAATTTCGTTTTCTCCTTTCTATGGAAGTCAAAATTCAGAACTTAATTGTCAGAACATACTGTTCAGTATTCACGCCAGCTAAGGCCACCAGACACAAAAGTTAATTGTTATAAGCAACCGGAACATCGGTTCTGGAAGACTGTGATTTGTTCGGTAAAATTAATTATTTTAATATTTATTAGTTATTAGCTGTTTGAATAGTTTTTCATAAAACGCTAAAATTAAACGTTATAAGATGTTATCTAAATATCTAAAAGCTAATTCAAATGCTATATTACCGAACACGATAAAAAATAGTCAAAATCCTAAAAGTTTTTTGAAAAATTATTATCGAACACAACTAGTATCTTAGAAAAAGGCTTTAAATGTAGTAGTTTTCCAATCCAGAAATGATTATTCTCTCTTCCAAACCGATGTTAATTATAAAAAGGAAAAAAATGATAAAATAAAAATGACATGGAAAACATGGAAACGGCATCGTTTTAGCAGTCAAAAACATATCTTGACATCGTCAAAGGTCAAAATCTTGGTTTCTGGATAAATTGAAAGTCAGCAATGTGAAAACCGCAAGATGCCAAGATGCCTTCCTTCCTTTCATTGAGTATAAAGTTGCAATTCTAGGAAGGTTGAAACAAAAAGCTGAAAATTTAATCTTGTTTTCCCTTGCAAATGTTGGCGTGTAAACCTTAAACGCCTGCAAAAATCCAAAACATTTTTCATGTTACAAAAGTTATTTTCGTTTTTTTATTACCGGAACACCCAGTTTCCCGGTCGTAACGATTACGTATTTCAAATAACTCCACGTGTTAGCTTATAACACCATTAGATCACCAACCAATACTTAAATCCTCTCCTATGTAAACACCTTTACCCTTCTCAATTCTTTCCAGTAGTTCTCTTATTTTCTCTTTCAACAACAATCCACCGTTAACGTTCTTTCTCTTAGCTTTTCTTCAATTGCCTTATATGATACAAGAAACCGGCATGGTTGCAGAGCAAATGACGGGTTGTTTAAACAGACCCAAGTTGGGTGCTCTCTTGCACTCTGATCCTGCAATCTTTCCTAACCAAGAAGATGATAATAATTACTCGTTTAGCCAAAAAAACAGTTCAGCTTCTCTTTCAAGCCCTAGATCACCTAGAAGTGGTGAAGCTTCTCCTTATATGATGTCTCCTTGGAGCCAGCCATCTCCATATTCTAAATCTCCATGGATAATACCATCTCCAATGATTATCAACCCTAAACACAACAACAATGGTCTTGTTGGATCCATTGTACGCGAAGAAGGTCACGTTTATTCTTTAGCTTCTTCTGGTGGTTTATTGTATACTGGCTCTGACAGCAAGAACATACGAGTATGGAGGAATCTGAAGGAGTTCTCGGGATTTAAATCAAATAGCGGTTTAGTTAAAGCCATTGTTATATACAAAGACAAGATTTTCACTGGTCATCAGGATGGCAAGATCAGAATCTGGAAGACGTCTGCTAAAGACCCTAGTGTTCATAAAAGAATTGGAAGTTTACCTTCTTTCAAAGAGTACATCAAGAAAGCTGTTAACCCTAAAAATTACGTAGAAGTTCGCAGACATCGAAACGTTCTACGAATAAGGCATTTCGACGCGGTTTCTTGTTTGAGCTTGAATGAAGATCAGGGTTTGTTCTACTCAGGATCCTGGGATAAAACCCTGAAAGTATGGCGGCTTTCAGACTATAAATGTCTGGAATCAATCAACGCGCACGATGACGCGATAAACTCAGTTGTTACTGGGTTTGATTCATTGGTATTTACAGGTTCAGCTGATGGAACAGTGAAAGTATGGCGAAGGGAGCTTCAGGGAAGGGGAACAAAGCATTTTTTGGTTCAAACACTGTTAAAACAAGAAAGCGCGGTAACGGCATTGGCAGTAAATCAAGAATCAGCTGTGATTTACTGCGGTTCTTCTGATGGATTGATAAATTTTTGGGAACGTGAAAAGCACCTATCACATGGTGGGGTCCTCCGGGGTCACAAAATGGCCGTCCTGTGTTTAGCTACGGCCGGTAATTTGGTGTTGAGTGGGTCCGCGGATAAAAGCATATGTGTATGGAAGAGAGAGCCCAGTGGGGTCCACATTTGCTTGTCGGTTTTGAGTGGTCATGGTGGGCCAGTGAAATGCTTAGCCGCTGAAGAAGACGATCATCATCAGTACTCCGACAAAGGAGATCAACGGTGGATAGTATACAGCGGAAGCTTAGACAAGTCCGTAAAGGTTTGGCGCGTGTCAGAAAGCATACACGCATCAGATTTAAGAGAGAACCATCACCTCCAATCACCTACGCTAAGTTATTCTTCACCGACCACAAACAAAGGCCATTAAATCACAGTTAGAAATGAAAGATGAGTCGAGCTAAATGGCGCGTGAAAACACGCGGAGCCAAAGGACATTGCCATTCTATAGGGTGGGTCCTATACATATACAGTGTCATTGAGATAGGGGGTACAGCGATGGTTTAGGAAATGGAATGGACCATTTGGTTATAAGATATTAGAGGCAACAACCACAAAATTGCAAGCAACCAACCATCCTTTTTTTTTATTATTTTTATTTTTATAAATTAGGGTTTCCTCATGAGTGAAGCAATGTGGACATTTTCTTGTGTCCTATCCTCAAAAACATACGTGGAAGAACCAGAAAACTAGCCATCAAATAGTAGTTTGGTGTGGAAGTTTGTTTATATGGTAGAATATATAGTTGTAAATATATATATATAATTTGAATTTTGTATATTTTATCATCTATGGCTTGTAACAAAGTTATTCAGAAGTGTACAAAATTAATTTCTACAAAAGATATTCTGATTCTAGTAATAATTTATGGTAGCATATATTCGTATTAAATTGTTTTTTAATATAATATTAGACTATATATTTGATTAGCCGTAATGTAAATATACACAAATTAATCAAATAAAATTAAAATTTATACATTATATTAAAATGCATCTGATAAACATTAAGATCTACCAAATATAATTATATAAACAGTGTTAATGTCTTTAAAATAGTGATATTTATGTGTTTAATGAAAATATTTTCATATACGTATGAATTTAATGTTGAGAGTTTGACGCAAGTGATATTATTGGTACATTTGGATTGTGTGGCCAGCCGCCCAAATGGATACACAAATAGTTACACTGAAATTCAAAATTGCATGAAAATATGGCATTTAATGAGAAATTTCTTCAACAGGACATGATAGCAACTGCACTATTCGTATATACCTAAAGCTCAATTACGACAAAATGGTCACATGAAATGGTAATATATAATATATGAACACCTCATTTTTTGAAAATAACTAATTATGGGAAAGAAAATGTTAGAAAAAATAAGCAGACAGTGATTGGTGCACTAAAAACCAGAAACCTATATATAAATGCAAGTGTCTTACATTCAAGTTTGTGAGTACCATATTGTGTTTAATTGTATAAGTTGCCTCTGGCTGAAGCAAACACGAAAATGAAATTTAGATGATCAATTCTTGAAGAAGAAGAATAAGAAGAAGGTGACGTTTTATCAATCAATCAATTGAGCAAGAAGAGAACTGTCTGTCACATATATTTGAAAGTAGTATAGTACACACATTTATCAATTATTGGCTTTTTTCCCTTTAGTTTATCATTTATTTTTTATTTCACAGTTAGCTTATTTTTGAAAAAAAAAAAAAAAAAGAATAAGCAAAAACTAACTGTATCCAATCACCAATGAAGGTTGATCTTAGTAAAAATAATTTAGATTATTGGTCGAGTGTTCGATCATTGTGAATGGAGAAAATTTCCGCTGAGAGTGCTTTTCTCATATGAATCTATGCTAACTAATATCCCACCTATTCTATATGGGTAGGGATGAAAGCAATACATGTGTATTCATGCGTCCCACTTGCTCTAGCTCGTTTGTTGTAGGTTGGAGGCTCTTGTTTTTGCTGATGTTATTGCTTGTTCTTGGTTATATATGACTTTTCCTAACCTTATCAATTACAATTTAAATTGAATTTAGGGTCATAATGTCATACGTTCACCTAAACATAAATACTATTATGTATTAGAAAGCTAATTTGTAGACCTACGGTTGTCGCTCAATTTGAAATGTAGATTGAGCATGTGGGAAAAGCTTTCGAATTTGATTCCCAATAAATACACCTGCAGGGAGAGGTGAAGAGTTTTAACTGTGACTAAGTCTCAATCCAAATTAGTCAGTCCTTGATAATAGGGTCCGGAAACTGGTGGTTTAAAAAAAAAAAAAAAAAAAAAAAATAAGTCATACGTTCACCTAACATAAATTACTATTATGTATTAGGAAAGCTAATTTGTAGACCTACGGGTTGTCGCTCAACTTTGAAATGTAGATTTGAGCATGTGGGAAAAGCTTTCGATTTGATTCCCAATTAAATACACCTGCAGGGCAGAAGGTGAGAGTTTTAACTGTGACTAAGTCTCAATCCAAATTTAGTCAGTCCTTGATAATTAGGGGTCCGGAAAACTGGTGCGTTTTTAAAAAAAAAAAAAAAAAAAAAAAAAAGCCCATAAAAAAAAAAAAAAAAAAAAAAAAGCCAATTTATAGGCTTAAATGAGCCTCCAAATTCTAAGCTTTAACCGAATTCTGCTCACGGGCCAAGATGAAATGATTAGGAAAGATGTAGATTCTTCTGGGCTAAGATGAGGCCTGGATTGGACCTTAACCTAATACAAAAATCTTTTTGAGATGAACTTAATAAAACTCAATTATGAACTTCATAAAACAATTAGATCTTTAAATTTGCAGGCTAAAATAAAAAGAAAAATTCTTTTTGAGATGAACTGACTAGATAAATTTTATTTATTTTACGCGTTTTAACACCTTATCAAGTATTTATTTTTAAGGTAGAAACAATTGATGTTGTAGTGAAAAATCAATTTATGTAGGAAGAAACAAGTTTCCCTCTTATTTATAGATGATAAGGAAAAGATTTTTTTTATCTGTTGAAAGATGGTATATCAAAAATATTTTTCTCAGTCCAAAGAGAAAACAAGCAGAACCCATGTATTAATATAGTAGTTTTTTTTTTTTTTTTTAAATTTATCGGAGGTTTTTATGAGTCAAAATAATATTGCAGGCTATACAATAGCGGTAGCCCTTCTTTTTTGGATCACTAAATTGATCCCTTGGCTCACTAAATTGGTAAAAATAACTGTGATCGAGAGAACTCGAATTCGAGATCTCCCACTCTTCTCATAAGTGAGAAAACCAACATTAATATAGTAGATTTGATCGGAGAAAATTCATTTAGTTTCATTGAATATTAAAATAAATAATTAGTTCAATGAATATCACATAAACGACAAGTGTTCTATGAAAATCTACATTCTTATGTTTGGGAAGTTCAAAAGCCCATGATTATAGTTCTTTCTTAATATAGACGGAAAAGAAAAGATAAAAGATGTCATTTTCCTCCACTTTCCCATCAATTCCCACTAATTTTCTAGACGCGTGGAATCCAAAAAAATGAGTAAATACCTATTCAAAGTCTCTCACTAAGTTTTAACTTGTTAAGTGTTTGGATAGTCGCTCTAGAGCATCCATTTGCTACTTCTCGTCTTCCAATAATATTTTTTGTTAGCTTGGACTAAGTAAAACAATTAATTAATAAATTTAACTCGTAATCTTAAAATTACATATATAAAAAAAAAAAAAAAATAAAAAAAAGATAAAGAGAAAAAAAAAAAAAAAATAAAGAGAGAGATTTCTTATTTGGAAGCTCCTTTTGTGGGCTTTGACTTGATTTTGAAATGATGAAATGAGAACTTTGAATGGGTCATAGTTTTTGTGGTCATGTTTCATGTGTGTGTTGGTTCATGAATATGAATTAATGGATTATGGAATGAGTCAAATAGTCACTTATGACTCCCGACGCTCGCTTCTTTTTTATATACAGATAAAATGCATCTATTTGCCTTTAAAATTTATGCAATTTATTTTTCAGCATTCTCAAATCTGTAAGAACTTATCATAATTTTACATTTTATTAATAACTATATCCATCGTTAAAATAAATAATTTAGTAAAAGTTCAATTATGATACTATATTTTTACATTTTATTCCGGCGAGTGACATAATTATTACTGAAATATGAAAGTATAAAGTCATGATAAATTCTATGAAAGTATAAAGTCATGATAAATTCTTTAAACTTGAAAGTGACAAAAGGTAAATCGCATAGAATTTTATGCATCATGATTTTGTATTTATATATATATATTGACGGTGGATGCTTCTTGTGGTCAAAAATTTAATGATGAGCATTTTTATTAATGTACATGATTAATGTGTTGATATGCACTATTAAAATTAGAGCTACTGAAATTGAATTTTATTAAATTAGTAGTTTATGTTAGTTTGATGACAAATGCAAAGTTTATTAAATTAATAAACTTTTATTTGTTTTTTATTTGTGTTAAAGCTAAACCCTTCAACTTATATTTTCCATCTTATTGAATCTTTTTATTGACATTAGCTACTTGAATTTGTTATTTGCTTTTAGTTAATTAGAAATTTTAATTTTTATCAAAATAAGAGTATATTGATTCCATATCGACAAATTAAAGTTTAGAAATTTAATAAGATATGTCGCGGTTACACTTTTTTTTTTTTTTTTTTACACTTTTTTTTTTTTTTTTGATTAAATATATTTCTAAAATTTTAAACGTGACATTAATTACACTTTATGATTGAAATTGGACAAAAAAACAAACTCTTAACTTTATTTAACCATAAATTCAACTAAATATCCAAGATTTTATTTTAAATTACACTTATATATACTATAGTATATATATATATATATATAAGTTAAAAATAAGAAGATATAAAGTTAAAAATAAGATAGAATTGTAAGGGGTTGTTTTTTATTAGGCCGTAAATAAAGATATATTTAAGTTTCCGCGAAAATTTAAATTTGAGTTCCCACTTCCTTGGATTTTCTTTTTCCTGCCATTGCCAACAAAACCAACCCGGCTTCTGAAGTTCAGTGTTTTGGCATAAAATAAGTGGATTCACCAACGTCTGATCCGTACATGCAAAAGAACCGCCAAATTTCTCATCAAATACCTTGCAATTTCCTTCAACGCGTTGACGTAGAAAAAAAAAAAAAAAGGAAAATGGAGAAGGAAATAAATTTCTTGAAAATGTCTCCATCTCTCGAGTCTCTGCCGTTTACAGCAACGCAAGAAGACTTAGTTTTCTCTTTTTCTCCCTATTTGCCAAAGATGGACTTGCACTGGTAAGATGTAGATCTCATTTCCAATTTTTTTATGTTGCTGCAAGTTTCTTCTTGAATGATAGAGGAGCTTTCTGGAGAACAACTGGAGCTTCTCTTTATTTTTATTTTCACTTACTTTTGCTTCATGGGTTTGTAGAAAAAATTGATCTTGCTTCATGGTTTTTTGATAGAATTTATTTTGCTTCTTTAATTAGCAAGATTATTGGTTTTGCTTTGTGGGATTTTGAGTTTAGTGGTTTTGCTGGATGTTTTCCCCCACATTAATGGTTTTGCTTCAATTGGCTAATTGAAATTATTGGTTATGCTTTGAAGTGTTGAAGTAGTTGGTTTTACTGGTATATTGTTGTGTTTTGCATTACAACTATAAGATGGCCAGGGTATTTAGAATAGTTATGCCTTTTGCACAATCAACTTCTAAAGAAGAAAATGATGATGATTATAATGAATACTCCTACTCCTACTCATTTGCTGCTGAATACTCTGGCCCTCCAATTATTCATGAAATCCCCCGAGCAGTGCCTGTTGATATTAGCCAACTCCCAATTGCTGACAAAATTGCCTCCACCTCACTATCGAAGGATGTGTTATTGCCAGTTATTCAACCTATTGTAAAGTCTAATTCATCAAACAAGAAGCTCTCTAAGGAGCCAAAATTAGGAACAAATGGGGTGTTGCACAGAAATGATGCGCCAAGTGAATTATCCAAAAGGGTAGATAAATCAAGTACATTAGCTCATGCAAATGGCATTGATTGCGGATCCAAATCATCTAATGGAAAATCAACTTCTGGTAGATTGGAATTTGCTAATGGTGGCAAGTGTGAATCCAAGTTATCTGATGATATTCAAAGCTCTGGTAAAATGGAATTATGCAGTGGCCATGATAATTCTCATGAATTATGTGGAAACTCACAAATGGTGGAATTATGTGATCATAGTAAGGATGATAGTAGTGAATATTTTCAGGATTATATGAATCCTGCAAACTGTGAATCAATAGAATCTGATTTAAGTTCCTGTTCCATATCATCCGAGATTTTTTCTGGCAAAGAAGAGGATTGTGTTGAAGAAGATCCTTGCCATGTCAGAAGGCCATCAACTGTAACCTTCCGAAGCCCTGATTCCAGCGATGTATGTGAGGAAGAATCCAATGTATCTGAGGTCGAAAGTAACATCCCTGCGAGGCAAATGGCTGTAAAGCCTGGAAAGAAAGGAACATGTTATCGATGCTTGAAAGGAAATAGGTTTACAGAGAAGGAAATTTGCATTGTCTGTGGTGCAAAGTATTGTTATAAGTGCGTGTTGAGGGCAATGGGGTCAATGCCAGAAGGAAGAAAATGCGTGACTTGCATTGGTCAAAAGATTGATGAGGCAAGGCGAAAGACCTTGGGAAAATGTTCTCGTGTGCTAAAGCAACTATTGCCTGAATTGGAAGTTAAACAGATAATGAGTTCAGAGAGGTTTTGTGAAGTGAATCAACTACCACCAGAGCTTGTTTACGTCAATCGCAAGCGTCTTTCTAAAGAGGAATTATTCCTATTGCAGAACTGTCAATACCCACCCAAAAAGCTAAAACCGGGATACTACTGGTATGATAAAGTATCTGGCTTTTGGGGAAAGGTGATTATTGAACTCTGCTGTGTGTGTCTGTGTGTGTGATTTTGGTAAACAATTAACTCAGTTTTATGGCAATGTTGTATTCATTCTTTTGGTGAACAGGAAGGACAGAAGCCTTGCCAAATAATTAGCCACGATTTGAATGTTGGAGGTCACATACAGCAAGATGCAAGCAATGGAAACACAAATATTTTAATAAATAATCGCGAGATAACTAAACCAGAGCTCCTAATGCTGCAGGTTGCTTTTTGGATATGATCAAGGGGTTCTATTTTTTTTTTTTTTTTTTTTTTTTTTTTTTGGATATGAATCAAGGGGTTCTATTTTTTTTTTTTTTTTTTTTTTTTTTTTTTGTTATAACATCTAGATTTTGATTTGCTGTTCGTTAAATCCTTTTTTTTTTTTTTTTTTTTTTTTTTTTTTTTTTTATAACATCTAGATTTGATGCTGTTCGTTAAATCTTTGCAGTTGATAGGAGTGAAATATGAAGGAACAACTCACTTTTGGCTTAGTGCAGATGGATCATATCAGGAAGAGGGAATGAACAATGTGAAAGGGAAAATATGGGAAATGGTATGTTGGCATGTGGATTTACGAATCCATTCATTAAATATGGTTTTGAATGGCATATTTATTTTACCTGCTCCAACTTAATTATTTAACTTTTAATAATAGTGGATTGCTTCATTTTCAGAATAGAGCAAAGTTTTTTTGTGCTGTATTATTTTTGCCAACTCCCCCTGGTTCTTCCAGTCCTAGTGTAGAAGAAATGAAAGGTGTTGACCCAAAAAGCTTCAACAAGAAAACATTTTATAAACTTCTTCTTGTTGGTTATGGAAAATCTGGCACAAGTACCATATATAAACAGGTAAGAAATCAGTCAGGGTTTACTTTTCTTATATCACTGTTCATATATGATGACTCATAAGGGAGTAGCTTCTTTTCAACCATGTTCATCTCTTCTCCTTTGGCATAATCATAGATAGCATCCTACGTGATACTTTATGCGGATCTATGTTTATTGAAGGAAATCAGAAAAAGAACTTCAGAAACTGACAGCAAAAATCCACTTACCTATAAACTTTCGCAGCATAAATGCATCATGATGGAGAATACTTGAGAGTAAAGCCAGAAACAAATATGTCATATATTCTGCCATATGCTATATTGTTTTGATTTTGTGTAAGACAGTTTTTCAGTATATTTTGAGAACTGGGAAGCTCAATACCTGATGCTGGTTTTTAACTAGTATTATGTGTGTCAACAATTGAAAACACACATAATAATACCAGAAAATTTGTATACTAACAGAATAATTTGGTTTTAAATAATAAGTGCAGTTGTTTTTGCCTTTCTAGCTTCATTCATCTAAGAATCCCTTAGTTGCACAATGTCACGCATGCCTTCTCTGCTTCATGTTATGCATATAAGCATAATGTGATGCTCTCCTGCAAGATATCATGCTTTTCCTGACAAAGAACATGGCATGCCTTTGCTAGCTGATTCTTCTGAGTCTGAACATCATAGGCTATGTTATCCTTGTAAAGTCCTATGAATACATTTCTTTCACGTGGTCAAGCTTTCCAAGCATAGAAGAATAGACCATTTTGCTTCAGGTGATTAACTGGTTTTATCAGTTCAAATCCATCTGCTTAAGTGTCACATTGCTGAGGAATCGCTTCATCACACTTTCTGTGTATGTATGTGTATTCCAAACCACTGGGAAAAAGGTGATGTTTGGAAAAAAAAAAAAAAAGTACTAAGTGGTTTTATGCTGTCATGTTAACTAGAAGAAAAGAAATGAAAGGGAAAGTGGCTTGTATGTATGCTCCTGCTTTTCATTACTAAAGGCTGCCTTGATTCATGGTAGTATTATAAGAAACCAGTTGTTGATTTAGTTAGATGTTTATTTCAGGCAAAAATCGTCTACCGTGTTCCATTTTCAGAAGATGAGCGTCAAAATATTAAGCTCATGATTCAAAGTAATTTATATGGTTATCTTGGTATACTGCTTGAGGCACGTGAACGATTTGAGGAAGAAAGCCTGATTAACAAGAAAAGACATTTCATTGACCAATGTAATTCTTCAGGTTAGCTGCTAAAGATTTTTAAGTTCTTCCACTTGAAACTTATTTTCTGTGGTATCTCTTCTCTCTCTCTCTATCTTAATCGAATCTGGTGGTGCATAAATTACTTGTGGTAACTATTTCCCTTTAATGTATGAAGAAAATGTGTGTGTATATATATTGATCAGCCTTCATATTCCCTCGGTTTTCATTTAAACATATAATATCTGTAACACCCCTTCCCGGTCCACCCGCATATTAATATTTCATGTTAACACCCCTTCCCGGTTCCACCCGTAAACCCGAATAAAAACGAGTCGAGACGATACAAACTGCGTTGGACATGTTATGGCCTGACTGCTGAAGTTCCATTAATGTATACTGAATATAATTAACTTGCTTGATGTTGTATACAAAAATAATTGTATTCTATATTTTACAAACATGATACTAATTTCAAAATGAAATGGGCCCAACTGCTGTGCCCTGTACATGCCATGAAAAGGATAGACCAAAAAGATTACATATTAAAATGAGTAGGCTACCCTGAGCACTGAGTCTTTCTAACGATGAACTACAGCCAGTTGTAAGCCGACTTCTCTTGGTCCAAACTTCAAAACCTGCGAGTTAAACAGGTAAACTCGCTGAGCAAATTAAAGCTCAAGTGGACTTATCTCAACATATTAAAGAAAACAATTAAACACATACATGTATAGAAAGCACCATGTAAAACCACATAATAAGCACACACATCATGATACTTTGATTATCTTTTGTATTGTTTATAATTACTGTATTAATTCTGAAATGTTATGTCAAGATATCTTGTATGGCTTCCCATTAGGTTATATGTGAACCGAAGTGATAAGAAAAACTGTATGAAACTGGCATGAATACTGTATGCTTTTGACTGCATATGGCCCCATATATAATCATATCACTTCAACGGCCTGTAGCCGAGTATCAAACTATGTGTGACATCCCAGGTTTGTGGCACAACACCTTAGGCGAATCCCACATCAGGCTACGCCAAGGCTGAAGTCCTATTACATAAAGCGGTGGCAACCTAAACTAGTTTGTGACGCGTTTGGGCTGCAGAGGCGGAGGTTTCCCTGGCCCAGAAAACAAAAAACCGTGAGGGTTTCAGGCCAGGTTTGGCACCCAAAGCGGCACCCAAAGCTGGACAATATCACACTAGGCGTATGGGCTGTTACTTAATTTGTATCAGATCAAGCCTTGTCTCTCTGGCCGGTCGGTGAGGGCAAACTCAGCGGAGGACGCTGAGTCTCCTAAGGGGTGTGATTGTGACATTCCCAGTATTGGGGGCACAACACCCTTAGGGGGCCAGGGGTGTATGTGGACATACCAGTGTATGCGGCCACAAAAACCTTTAGGCGGAATCCCAAATCGGCTACGCACAAGGTGAAGTCCTTATTTTTAACATTAAAAAAAAAAGGGTTGGCAACCTTAGAACTAGATGTGACGCGTTTTGGGCTGGCACGAGCGGAGGTTCCCTGGCCCAGAAAACAAAAACCGTGAGGGTTCAGGCCAGGTTTGCACCCAAACGCGCTGGCAGAGCGGAGGTTTCCCTGGCCCAGAAACAAAACCGTGAGGGTTCAGGCCAGGTTTGACACCCAAAGCGGACAATATCACACTAGGGCTGGGCTCTTACAATATCACAAAGATTGTGTATCCTCCTTTACATTCTGCCGTCCTTGCTAAGTGGTTTTGTACTTGGGCCTCATACTAGTATCTACCTCTTCAAGTAAATTGTTAATGTTCTCTTCTTGTGCGGTTGGTGTGAATTACAATGCTAGATAACATGAACTATGAGGCCTAGCATTATACTAGAACTAGAATTGAATTAAATCTTGATTCCCAAATTAGCTATTGTAATCCTAATTTACTCAATTTGTGACTCAACCTGTAAAACTAGATAAGTACTACGCCCCCATGAAATGAAAGTTCAAAGCTTGGTAAATTAAATGGCAATTCAAAATAGTCATTGTTCATTTCAATGGTTGCATCAGTTACATTCTAATCATGGTAGCCTGTTTTATCATTTGACCCTCACTGATATATAATGGTTAAAAGGCTTACTTTTGGCTGAATAATTTGACATAATTAATTTGTTTTTTCTTCTTATCTTAGATCTGAAATTATTTAGTTTTTAACAGATAATGCAGGTCAGATTGACAACAAAACAATATATTCCATTGGTCCCAGACTGAAAGCTTTCTCAGATTGGCTTCTGAACGTAATGGCATCTGGTAATTTGGAAGCCATATTCCCAGCAGCCAGTCGTGAATATGCACCTTTTGTTGCGGAATTGTGGAATAATGAGGCCTTCCAAGCCACTTACAGCCGCAGGCATGAATTAGAAACGCTGCCTAGAGTTGCTACTTATTTCCTAGAACGGGTAGGACAAGCTACATGTCCTCATTGCTATTTTAACTGATTCATGTTCTAGAATAGGCTCTGTTCATCAATATTATTAAATTTCATCTGTTCTTCCATGCATCGAAATGTCAAATTCTTGTTCATGGTTCAGAAATAAAGCATGAGTCCATACCATAGTTGGTTCATTATTGGTTATCTGCTCTATGTCCTGCCTCAGTTTCATGTGGCATCTATTTAAAAACTAGTTAGTAAAGTGAATGAAGAACTAAAATAGACTTGGTTTTGTTCTGAATTTCTCCTTAAAGAATGGAAGTCTTATAGGACCTAACTAGATTGCTTCTCTTAGTCTCATCCTGTTAATTCCTGAAGATCAGTTTTCCAAATCAACAAAGGTTTGTTTTCGTTTGAGATCGTATCTTTGAACGACATAGAAAAGTTTGAATATTTATGTGGGAAGAGCATAATCATCTCTATAGTCATTGCTTTTTATTGAATGCCTGATGTTATCATCCTATGCAGGCTGTTGAGATTTCAAATAAAGACTATGAGCCATCTGATATGGACATCTTATATGCTGAGGGAATTACATCATCCAAAGGGCTTTCTTGCATGGAGTTTACATTTCCCAAGGTAACTCATGATGAATGTGAAGATAATGGCCATGATCCTTTACTAAGGTTAGTTCTTTTATTTATTTCTTTATTTATTTTTGTAATTCTTGTCCAATATTTATCTGTTACGTGTGCACTTTCAGGTACCAACTTATCAGAGTTCATCCAAGAATTCTTGGAGGCAACTGCAAATGGCTAGGAATGTTTGAAGATGTTAACATGGTGTTATTTTGTGTATCACTGATCAACTACGATGAGTTTGTGAACGACGGTAATGGAGTTCCGACTAATAAGATGATTGCAAGCAAGCAACTTTTTGAGAGCATTGTCACAAATCCAACTTTTAAAGAGAAGAAGTTTCTACTCATACTGAACAAGTTTGATTTGTTGGAGGAAAAGATTGAGCAGTCTCCACTTAACCAATGCGAATGGTTTCACGACTTCAATCCAGTAATCAGCCATAATCCCAACAGTTCCAGAAATACAAACCCTTCATTGGCTCAACGAGCGTTCCAATATATTGCAGTTAAATTTAAAAGATTGTTCGAATCTCTTACTGATAGTAAGCTGTTTGTTACGCAAGTTACAGGGTTGGAACCTGACAATGTCGATGAAGCTCTTAGATATGCGAGGGAGATTCTCAACTGGGAACAACCAGACGACCCCATTGATTTGTCTTCGGCCAGCATTGAGGCAAGCTCATCCTCATGATTAACACTACCAATACCATGTACAGGACAAGGCTAAAGAGATGAAAAAGCAGTAAATAGGAAAAGGGGGAAAAGTCTTGAGATATGGATTGGAAGTTAAGCTGCAGAGGCATTTGAAAAAGTCGGATTTACCCATGTCGGATATTGATACCTCTCTGACACTCTCGGCCGTGTCTTGAATGTTTTAAAAAGTGTTTTATTATTTTATTTATTTTGAACACTTTAACATGATATTCTGAAAATATTTTTTTAGATACTTTTAAAAATTGTATAAAATTTTCAAATATATTTATTAATCAAAATTTTAAATTAAGATCTTAAATATAAATTAGATAATTATTTACAATTAAAAAAAAGATAGATAAAAAGGATAAAATAAAATGCCAATCAGTTGGTGGTATGATACAAGTGGGAAGTATTGAATTCGAATCCTCTTGATCATAATTATTTTTACTAATTTGGTGTTAAGTGATGGGCTACCTTCTATTTTTAGTCTATAAAAATCTCTAATGAATTAAAAAAAATGAAACAAAATGAAATATAATATATTTATATGAATTAAAAAAAATAAAACAAAATGGAATGATGTATAATAAAATGGAATGATGTATGTATTATATTGTTTATGAGCAATAGTATTCTTCTTTTTTTGCGTTTTGGAAACATTTATCTCATTTTTTACACGATTTTTCGTTTTTATTACCATGCAATACATATTATTTTTTATTTAGCGTGTCTTACGCATGCCGTACCTCGAATTTTTATGTTTATTTCCATTTCCGTGAACCTAAATTATTGTTGATAAATGAGTTAATTATAAATTTAATGTCTCATTTTTTGAAAATTTATTTTGATGTTTCAATGAAAAATATTTATAATTAGGTGTTTAAATTCTAAAAATATTTTCAATAAGGTGTTTTTAAGTAATGTGGCAAACCGAAAATACACCTAGGACTGCATGTAGCGCTGAGATGTATTTTCAAACTCAAACACGTTAAAACCAAGAGCAAATCAAGAATTCCGTGGTTCATATTGAGTCAAACCCGAAGTGAACCAAAGCAAGACATACAATTATCTTTTAGGGTTTGTAAGAGAGGACAACACCGAACACAGTAGAGAGAGAATGGCTATGGCGGGGTTGTAAAGTTTTTAGAGAGAGTACCCATTAGATAGAGGAGTACTCCAGTGCCAACGCAGTCAGAAAGAGGAGTACCCATTTGATAATCTCTTCGAAACCCAGATAGGGATATTTTTTTATATGGATTTTCTGTTAAAATTGGGGATTGGGTCAGGTTTAGAGGAAGAGAAATGGTTGGGTTGTTTTCTGGTCACTGGTTGTTGCAATTTCATATCCTTTTCGTGCAACGAATTAAAATTAGCCTACTCTTTTCATTTCCATAAATTCTCAATAGAATTCATTCTTGGGATTTTATAACAGAAATCTCACGTTCTAACAAAGAATATTTTTCTGTTTGAATATCTGCAATTTTGCTTGAAATGATATTTTTTTAGTATAATTTTTAAGATTACTTTTAAGGTTTTTTACTTAATTGTTTATCTTTCTTCATTTCCTTTCCTTTTTCACTTACCTTCTTGTTAACAAAAATCAATTCCGTGATTGGTGTCTAATTGCTGGGATGACTGGTAAAGGAGGAGAAATCTACGGGTTAGCAGAATTCTTGATAACAATGGTGAACATTGTGAGGGAGCTATTGCCAAAATGTGAATATCTTAACTGTGTTATATATGTCTGTAATGATTCTTGATCTCAAGCCAATCAAGCACCATTCATATATAATTTCACATCTGTTAGGGACTCGATCTGTTGATGTGAGCTAAGAATCGGTGCTGTTAACTGGGTATTGGTAAAATATTTGTTTTATTATTTTCGTGCTTCATTGAGCTAGCATTTTTGGGATAAACATGCAGTAACAGTATGATTTCTGGTTTGCGACAATATCCGGATACGGCAGAGGAATTTAAACACTTAATTGCAATAAAAATTTTGAAGATGCAGCACTAAAAGTGTATTTTGCTTGGGAACTTGATTGAAAATATAAAGTTAGTTGCATCTAAAACAACAAAATATACAACGCACAAACATGACCAAACATTCGCATTAATTGCATATACAAAAGGCATAAAAAACAAGCGATGACCCTAATTAAATTCTTTATATATTGTATTTTGTTGGGAACTTGATTGAAATATTAAATGTTTCAGTTGGCATTTAAACAACAAAATATACAACGCCACAAACATGACCAAACAATTTATCCGCATTAATTGCCATATTACAAAAAGCATTAAAAAACAAGCGATGACCCTAATTAAATTCTTTATATATATATAATATATATAGTATATATATATATACTATTTATTTTTTTGAAAGAAATATATATATATAGAAAGAAAGAAATCAGCAAGGAGCAAAGCGGTCCATAAGCATACAAATGGTGGCCTCAGACATTGAATTACAACTTTCTTTATTATGAACCACTTTGCTCTCTTTCTCAACTTCCTTTTCTTCTTCTTTAGCTTTTGACAACAGCAACAATGGCCTCTTTGATATGACCTTCTCTTTAAGCTTAGCTAACTCCTTCACACATGTTCCTACAACTGAAGACATTTTTGCCTTTCGTTTCTCTTCTTTCTGTTCTGTTCTGTTCAGTATAAGAATATGAGCAGATGTTGAGGTTTAGATGGGTTTTATTTTATAAGAGAGAGAGAGAGAGAGTTGTGAGCTGGAAGAAAACCAGAGGAAGTTTTGACTGAATAATAGCAGCAGGGACCAAGGAAAACTACGTGTGGCTGCCCATAGATACTGTTAAACCAAAGCATATGATTTTTGGATATTCCACGTTACTGGCTAATACATATCTCCACGAGAGAGGTATTTGGGTGTGCTCGCTCACAACAATTATATATAATATAATGTTATTTTTATAAGAATTCATTTGGATTCTATTTTTCTAAATTTGTAAAATTGGTAAATTTACAAACAAATACTAAATATAAACACAAACTAATCAATTCACAATCCAAAATATTTTAAATAAATTTTATAATTAATTTAAGTGTAAGGATTTTTATATATTTCAAAGAATGAGGCAATAAATAAAATCCATGCAAGTTGAAGAGATGTGACATAGAAATATCATTATTGGGCAAGTTGAAGATGTGGCACTCGTTGAAAAGATGAGAAAAAGAGACCATTATTTTGTTGTCGTATCATTGCACAACCTTCACAATTATTGAACAAAATGATTTGGAACTTTCGATTTATTGACCAAATACAATGGGTTTGTCTGCTGTTACTTTCCCATTGGATTGATCTGCCAGCTCATTGTTTTGAAAAACTTTACACGACATTTTGAGTTGTGTATCATTTTATTTATTAATGATAGTTTGGTTGAGTGGTTCAAAATCGTCGAATTTTGATTCTGGTTCGAAAGGGCGTGGGTTCAAATGACCAAGCTGTCTATTTTCATTTCGAATTTTCTCTCATTTTTTCCCCATTATGTGATTTTTATTTTTATTTTCTCCATTTTCTAATTCCTTTTTAGGAATTCATTTTCCATTCAATAATTTTTTTATATAAAATTTACAAATGATGTTGTCTCAGATTCGGTTCTCATTATTTGTTAAAAATACGTCGTCGTGAATGAAAATAAAAGTTGTTTTTTTAATTTTTTTGTTTTCTATTTATTTTTTAGGAATTTATTTAGCAAATTTCATCATTTAATTATTTTTTGTTTTGCACATTTCAATAGGTTAATTTTATGAGTGAAGTTTGCATGGAATGCAATTCTCATGATTTATCAAAAAAAAAAAAAAAAAAACTCATGAATTTATCAAAAAAAAAAAAAAAAAAATCAGAGACACTAAATTGGAAGGATTAAAGTAATAAAAGGAAAATAACAATTGTTTTACATATTCGATCTAGTGTCATGTAAATACTAAAAACCACAAAAGGCTGAATAATTAATAAACATATGAAGAAATGCAATTAATGGGCTAAAGCATTCCAAAAGCATTTGATAATTGAAAGCATCGAAAACTGGGAAGCTACTACAGTGAGTTGACTCGGCTTAACGTCGATGATTTAACAAAAAAAAAAAAAAAAAAATCAGAAACACTAAATTGTGAAAGGAATTAAAAGTAATAAAAGAAAATAACAATTTTATTACATATTACAGAAATTAGTGTCATGTAAATACTAAAAACCACAAAAGGCTGATAATTAATAAACATATGAAGAAATGCAATTAAGGGCTAAAGCATTCCAAAAGCATTGATAATGAAGCATCAAAACTGGGAACTAACACGAGTGAGTTGACTCGCTTAACTCGGCCAGAACGACTGGATAACAAAGTAAGGGAGCTTCCTGCTGCTGGGTGAGGATCACTAGTACTAGTAGGGCTCGACCCACTTGACCAAATGGTTCGACCCTTTTCACGTAACTTCGCTAACTCACTGCTCCACTTATCAACAGACCCAGACCCGGACATGATTTCAGACAAACAAAAATATCTTCTCCAACTAAAACGACAAAGACAGTTTGAGATATTTCAACCCTGTTCAGTGGTTTATATTTTCTTTGATGCTTTGGGTTTTATAGGATATGGGATGGTTCTGAAATCTGGTTTTCGCTTTTTGAGAGAATCTGGTTTTTGGTTTTGGTGGGTAAAGTTTACGGCGCACACATTTTATGTTTGATATTATATTAGATGTAATTATGTAAAATATCTATGTGCCTGAAAAAATAACAATAATAATAATTGCATTGCAAAATTATAATATTTAGCTTTTGAATTGCATTGCAATAATAATAATCTGGTTATAGAGCTTTTGAATTTTTTTGGGAAATTTATATTTTTTAAAGCAAAATATGTTAATAGCATTGCAAAATTATAACAAACATATAAGATTACCCATGAGTAATTTTAGATTAACTCATTTTATTTTATTGTATTTTTTATTTTAATATTTAGTGTGAAAATGTTATTCAAAGTAAAATTCAGTAACGATTTTAAATTTTTGGGTTTCAATAGAAATTATCGAAGAAGGATATGAGTAATTAATCCACATTTTTTTTAGTGGAGTTAAGATAATGGACCGTGAATTGAAATTTATGGAAAAAAATTGGATGAAATATGAAAAGGTCATTTTTATCTTATTTTTTAAAATTTTTTAACTTTTAAATCTATCTTTTATGGGATAGACTAACTAAAGAATAGGAAATTAATTTATCTAAAATATGAGTCTCAGAGCATGAGCCAACAACATATATTAAACAGAAATCTTCAATTATTGCAATTTTCCAATTGATGAGATTGGCAAAATTAATTGTTATAATATGATACAGCAATATATAATAACACCTTGAACTTCAAACTAAATGGAACTTTTTATTAGAAATTTTTTTACACAGAAAATTTAAAAAGAAAAAATATATAACATTGTTCAAGCACTAAAGCAATCAACAATCGTTGAAATTGAAGCCTCAGAATAAGCCAATCCAGATGATTTGAGTCTTATGCCCCGAACGAAAGTAGCCAAGGACTTGACCATACTTCCTTCCTCGGTTCGAACCACATGGCTAGACTCAGGATTAGTAGGGGTCGAGCCAGTGGACCAAATGGTCTGACCCTTTTGACGTAGCTTGGCATGCTCAGCAGTCCAAATATCCACAAGAGCAGACATATTGCAAAAATCTTCTTGATTTGAACAAAAGGAAAAGGGGAGTGAAAATGTAGTTTAGATATTTATTTGAAGTTTTTGGGCAGTTGATATTTGTGGAGAGGTGAAGTGAAAGAGCTTGTTTATATATGAGTAATGAAAGCTGCTGGTTGTTTTTTGTTGTTAATGAAAACAAACAGAGGCGCACACAATTCTTCCGGGCCACCGGGCCACCACCAGGAAGGAATACCGCAGCTGGGTTTGTGGTTATCAACAATACTGACTGACCGTCTGTTTCGTTTACAATAAAGTTGATGGCATTTGGATTTGTTTTCTTCCTACAAAAATATCTTAGCAATTTTTCTTTATTTTAGCGGTTTAGCAAATACAATTTTTTTTTAATCTAAAATTTTTATAAAATATGGACATTAAATTTTTTGTAAAAAATTACTATTTTATCTCTATATTTTGCTTTTATTACACTATTTTGATTTTCTGTTAAAAACAGAGAGACGTTAAGGACGAAATTTTCATAAAATATGGCATTAGATATAAAAATATTGGTTTCTGCATCGTGAGATAAATATTTAACTTCTGAATGATTCATATAATTACATACAGATTATGAAATAAATATTTAATCCCATGCTATATGAACAACTCGCATGCCACCTGCAATGCGCTAGGGATGTTGGCGATCTGAGTTGCATAACGACTGTCTGGAGAAACCATTGCTTCACCACCAACCAATCCGACTTTTGCACCAATTTGGCACCCTTAAACAGAATGTGTTTTGTGAAATGTTAATTTGAAAACCCTTTTCAAGTCAACAACGATATCGTCACCTCGTCACAGGCTGTCCCGGCTGGAGCACTCAGAATGTTTGTCAACAAGAGTTCAGTTTGAAGTCCTTGAAGTTGGTGTGTCCCTTGCAGGATTGGAGTCTGTCCTCTGGCCCCAGAAGTCTGCAATTCCTCGAAAGGAAGGCATTGGACAAATGGAGAACACCAGATGCACATAACCAATTGATTGCAGTTCTCACACAAAAGAGGAAGAGAGATCCTGAAACCAAATGGATATGGCCTTCTCAGGCGATAAGTCCAGCAGCTTATTCTCCAGCAAGGAATATGTTCCGACCCGAGTCTAGCCATTCATTATCATGAGCATTTGCACTACAGCAGGATGCTCAGACACGCTCAAGAAATTCAAGATCACTGCTTTTGTTTAGAATGCAGACCACACAAGTTCAGATCCACGGTGTCCAACCTTCATACATATTGCACAGATTATCTATACTCATAGCTTGCTTAATCAGATAATCCACTTGCTCTCCAATACTAATTTCTCTGAGAAGTAAAAATATCTCTGTTAGAGGGGGATGAGGAAATGGAAAATGGGATAATTTGACTAATAAAAAATTTGACTGTGTAAAAAAATTTCAGAGTCAAGTAGATTACCTATTTTCAGCAATATCTCGACCATCTATTTTCATCTCAACTCGCCTAAGAACGGACATGGCATAAGCATTTTTACCTACAGGTAACCAAAGATTACAAAAATGACTTCAAAGTCCTACACCAATCCTATATGTTATATTAGAAAAAAGAAAAAACAAGTAACAAAAGTTATCAGTTAGTGCAGTACATGCACTGACTAATTACCAGCTCAGATACTAGTTTAGATGCACATAGCATAAACAAGTAGACAATACCTCTGGCCATCCGATTACCAATGTGTGAATTAGGATTAGCTTCAAAATTTTCATCTTCAATATTTACTTTGCTTAATGAGGATATGCCATCTCCTTTATCGTCAAATTTCACCTTTGAATTACTCTCATTTGGAGGCTGGAAAGATTCAGCATATGCAGTTAAGGCTTCACTAGGTGATGCCACAGCTTTCAGGCGTTCATTATTATTGTTCAGCTCCTCACATCTAGATACCGATTGACCAGATAGTGAAATTTCCTGGTAATGAGTTTGTGAAGAGTGAGAAGAATTTAGATAATCTGACACAACACTGTTATTAGATTCATGCAGAAATTGTCCAATTACTTCTGCTCGATCGCTGAAGCCATCTGGAAAACTTGCTTCATCTAATGTAATTTCAGATTCTGAGCTGCCACTGCATATACTATCTGGTGGAGAAATCCATCCTTTATCTTGCAAGGAGAATCCAGTATCACCAAGGAAATCTTTAGTGCTCTCACTGTCTGATCTGGAGAGACTCTCTCTTCCTTTGTCTTCAAATACATCAGGACCATCATCAAGATCTGTCCTTGACAAACTAATTCCCTGGGATTTTACATCCTGACTTCCTGCTAGTCCTTCAAGAGCCTGCCAGAAATAAAATAACAAAGCGAGAGAGAGAGAGAGAGAGAGAGAGACAGTATATTAGGCAGCAATTCTCAAATTATAGTCACAGAAAATGTGCTAATCTAAGACCTTACCTTGTGGAGATTGCCAGCGTGGAGACTTGCGGTTCGTGCAAGCCTCGTCAGTATCGAATATAGTCCCTTCACAGATGATGTAAGTGATGGTACCAGAGGCTTAAATGTCTGAATAGCCTCCCTAATTCTCAAACAGTATGACTGGTATATGGCTTGTCCATGGATTGGAGATACTTCCATCTTGGTCTCTTTTTCCCTGGTCAATGCATCTGTCATAGCAGTGACATCCTTTGACAATACTGATTCAAGTGGAAGAAGAATAGCATTTGCCTGCCGAAAAACAGATATTATGAACTCATTCATATGATAGTGGCAGTAGAGCATATACCTAGATAAACAAAAGGTTTCATGAACATAATCTGATCTTATGAAATAAATTGAAACACTACATATGCAGAAAGATCGACTTTAATACAGAAGAATGCAATCTAGAAACTAAAAATCAAGCAGATAGGCATAAAAAACCTTCGAAAGATCCCCCATAAGAGAATGATGTACAGCAGCAGCTTCCTTTCCCAGGGTATGAACATCATGCAGATCTTCAGTTATTGCAAGAACCTACATAATGAGCAACAAATATAAAACAGAAGAGACCATGAGAATTTGAGAAAGAGTGCAGAAAGGGAAAGACAAAAAGACTGTCAGTTAAGAAAGTGGCACATATAGAAAATGAATATTGGTGTTTGTATAAGGAAATTAATGTAAGATCACCTCCTATAAATTAGACAGAGCAATAGAAGAAAATAAGGCCATGTTGTGTAGACATTAATTCTCTTGTTACAGTTGTTCAAGATGTAACGGTAACAATGTTGATAAGCATCTGTATCATGATGTCTAACAAAAGGAGAGCAGAGAAAGAGGATCAAAGTTTTAATTGAGCGAGTTAAATTCAGGTCACAAGCTTACCAACAGATACTTGACTCCTATACTGCTACTCATGCATTCCATTATTCTCACTTCATTGTCTATATCTAAAAACAAAGCATACATGCTTTCTTTAATAGCAAAACTTCAGGGACATGCTATTGCTTTTAGGAAGGCTTTGGATATCTAATTAGCCCAAGCAAGCAAGGCAAGGCAAAATTGAGCTGTGGTGATGCTTTGGCAGTGTTCCAACTTAGGTTGTCTTTTCATTCCAATTTCTCCTTTAGTACTTGTTCCATTTTAAGCAACGTTAATTTTGCATGATTTTACCAGAAGATGACTTCAGGTGCTAAATCTGATTTGCTCCATGGAACAAAGCATATCTAACGATGGCAAAAAGAGGGCCTAGGTCACTTGAGGTCACCTCTTCATATAAAAGAAGACCAGAAAATGTAGTGAATTCCCTGAGGATGATGCCTCAGTGTTTTTTGGACTGCGAACAAAAAAAGAAGACAAAAAGAAGAAAAAAGAAGATTGATGACAAATATTTAAGGTTTAATACCTCATCAAGCATGGTACCAGATTCAGAAGTCAAAGCAGTTTGGCCCCTTGAAACACGGCCAAAGGCAGATAGAGCAACACTAGCTTCATATGCACAGTCTCTCATTGCAAGAACAGTGCTTTGTAGCTCACCTGCAAAAGACAAAGACCAGCACATCCAACTGATATTATCCAGAAATAATTTTGCATATTTTGGAGAGCAAAGGAGATTTAGTAAGTGAAAAAAATGAGATGGAATGGATTGGTCCATAGTTTCTGGTGTCAAATGGTTCTCAATCAACCGTTTTGTCCTTAAGCTCTTATTGTTCAATTACTCACTTCTTTTTGATAGAGATACAAAAACCTATTCTTTAAGCCTTACATACTAGCTTGAAGTTTTAAGTTGAGTAGTTCTTTGGTGTGGTATCATAGGCTACTTGACTAAAAGGTCCAAAATCCTGCATGCCCATACATTGTTAATTAAATCTCTGTAAGTATAACTGTGAGCTATGCTAATGCTTCAATAATGACATCACAAAGGGGTTTTCTGGTTATATAAAAACCTATGCTTAGGCCTTGACCTATAAGCTTGAGCCTTTAGGTTGTTGGTCCTTAACCTCTTTTGTTCTTTCTTTTTCTGCATAATTTGTCTTAGGTGTTCTCACATACTGTTGCCATACCAGTGCTTCCACCCCTAGTATCTTACCCATAAATTATATGCATATGCACATATTAACATGGATGATTATTATAATAAACAAAAGGACATTATAACCTGAAGCTGACTTGGCTTTAAGAGATGCAATGCATAGTTCATTAGTTGCAGAATACAAGCCATTTGACGCAGCTTCCATACTGCTTTGTGCAATCTTCCATTCTTGCTCAGTGCCTATGACAAGGTCCAAAAATATATATATATATATATATATATATAAACAAAAGGTAGCATTATAACGCTGAAGCTGACTTGGCTTAAGAGATGCATGCATAGTATTAGTTGCAGAATACAAGCCATTTGACGGCAGCTCCATACTGCTTTGGTGCAATCTTCATCTTGCTCAGTGCTATACAAGTCCAAAAATATATATAATATATATATATATATATATATATATATATTCACCAGTCATAAGAAAGTTCCACTAGCATAAAGGAGTTCATACAATTGGGTCACATGGGAAACTCACGTGTAAAAGAGTGGTAGGTAACCTCCAATTTTGTTAATGCATTCAAGTATGCTTGCTGCCATGTCCTGCCATCGCCACTGGTCCTTAGAGGATAAGTCTCTCCTGGGATCCGAAAAATCCCATCTCTTGATGCTTCAAACTCTAGTATTGACATGCAAACTTTGACAATGTTTGAAGCAGTTTCTCTAGCTTCCCATAGCAATTTCCGTCTCCTAATCAGATGGTCATGAAACTCGGGAGGAATTCCTGAAGTTTTATTCGACATGTTTCCAGTCATGCTGGAAGTTGGACCTCCACAAGCCCATCCCATTGCTCTCTCAAGCTGCCCTTCAGCCACAACAGAATTTCGTTCACACGCTTGCAGGCAGTCCATTGACCTAGCCATTTGTGTTATGGAAGATTGTATACCTTCGAGCAGTTTAGGTCTGCTGAGGTTTAAGATAATGGAATGCAAGTTATCATCATGAGCAAGAAAGTTCTGAAATATAGCTCTGCTCTTGTTTGAAGGGCTCAATGCATCATGCATCCACTCTAATTGCACAATCTCTAGGCCAGTCTTGTGAAGAGCCTCTTTGAGTTCATTTACCTGTCTTTTCATGATAGAAGCTGCTGATCTCACTGCTCTTGCAGTTTCATGCGCATTGCAGTACTCTTCGAGCATAAGCTGAACCTTCCTGACAGCACCAACATCCTTTCTCAGTTGGTCAACAGAAAGTTCCTTTGCCGCCTCTGTCAATTGTTTAAAATTCTCAGTTTCTTTGTCTAACCAAGCTAAAAAGGTGGAAGCAACTCGTTCCTTCAGGTACCGTCCCATGTATTCTTGAAGTTGAGCTTCAAGTTTTTTCTTCACAACATTGAAGAGCTGGTCAAATCCTAAATTTTGATCCACAGATGAAGCAACATCATGTATGCATGAATCAAGAAAAGAATCCATGACGCATACTTTCCAAATAAAATAAGACTGGTTGTCCAATAAGCCACCAAACTTCCAGATAGAATCAGATACAGAGTACCCTGAACTCATAAGATCTGCTAAATTAGAAATCTCTTCAGAATGAGAAATAACACAACCACCAAAAGTTGATAATACTTTATCCACAGAAGCCAATTCAGAGAAGGGTTTAACAAGTAAGGACAACAGTGCTTTACTTCCTAAAATATTTGGCTCTCCTACCTCTTTAGTACTAATCAGAGATTCAAAATGGCATTCAGAAGAAATCAAGACATGTTTAATGTCAGCTTCTCTCTTTATGAGAGAAGTTGTCCGCATCTCCCTTTCATTCCATGTTTGATGTAGTTGGTCCAACTGTGCCCTGCAAGCTTCTTCTTGGGAAGCAAGCTCCTCTGCCTCTTCCCAGGACAGATGATCCCTACCCTTTACAGTAGCTTCCTCGAGAGCCAATTGTTGCTCAGTAATGAGGCCAACCTTAACAAAGTAGTTCTTTTCAAGTTCAACCAAGGACGCCCTCTCCAATTCAACCTCCAATAGCTGCTCTAACGCTGTATCAATGGACCCCCGGATTTGTGAGATGAATCCAAATGCATCCATAACTTCTGAATTCAATGAAACAGCAGACCTCATCACTTCCAGCAAAGCAACTTCAGTCATTTGCTCAATCAAACTCTTACAGGAAAGCAATGAAACAGCAGACCTCATCACTTCCAGCAAAGCAACTTCAGTCATTTGCTCAATCAAACTCTTACAGGAAAGCAAAGAGGTTTTAAATATGAAAGCCCAGTTCTTTTCAGGATAAGTTTGTGGGTGGCTTGCATCTGTATCCACACTAGCCATGTCCCAACCAAAAAATTGCTGCAATTCACTAACAAACCCAGCTACGAGTATGCATTTCTCTACTTGCTCTTCAAACTCAGAGAAAATAGTTCCAAATCTATTGTTTTCATTTCTTCCTCCAGCAGAATTATTGAATATGTCAAGAACCCTGTGCTTAACCTCATTGTACAATGAGTTTACTGCTACATTTAAAACAAATAGCACCTTCTCCTTCTTGTCTTCATGCTCCCCTGGCAACCCAGCCTCCCTTGTCATATCGAACTTTGAAGGCCCCAATTGGTTAAAAGAACTAGAATCTTCTTTCCTTGCAAGACCAGCAGACTGCATGTACTTAACAAAAGCAGAAAGAAGACGATCCTTAGCTTTTGATTCAGTCTCCAAGCCGATAGAGCTCTCTAGCTCTACACTCTCTGCTTCAATTTTCTGTATCTCTATTGCATATTTCTCCAGTCTAAGACAAAGATCATCATGACTATGTTTGACAGAATCAAGATTATCTCCTTGTACTTTTGCAGTAAGTTCAGCAGCTTGTCTTCTGGCAACAGAGAGAATATCAGAGGACACAGCATTTGCAGAGAGTTGGAACACTTGTGCCCAGCCATGTAATGCACTAGTTGTAAGGTAGTTTAAAGGTAAAATTCTCTGTAAAGCCAAAGAATATACTTGGATCCCAGTTACCGCAGATGAAAGTCCCTGATCTAGCTCAGCAATGAGCTGAGAAACCTCCCTATCTATTTCCTGGCATTGTGCTTGTGTGGGCTCAGGAACTATGGTCAATGGAACTCCTGCCACCTGAACAGCCGACGTAAGAGACAAGGCATCAGCTATATTGCTCAGCTTTATGCAGGTATTTATTTCTGGAAGTAGGTTTCTTCGCAGAGCATCAAGGATCCTTCCATGTTGTTCCATCCACGTTGCAGCTTCTTGAGCCATCTCAACTACCCTAGCCTTTGCTTGAGTAAATTCTCGAGCCTGAATTTCAAATGATGCACGAATTTTCTCTGAATTACAAGTCGCTTCAGCAACAACTGACTTGGCAGATGTTTCATGCAGAAGAAGGCTGGATCGCTCTTGGTCAGCTCGATAAAAAAGAGCAGAGGCAAGTTCATATTGATTTAAAACATCGGCAAACCTCTGGAATATGCATTCTCAGTTAGAAGAAACTTATAATTAAGGACAAGCTAAGATCTTTCACAAAAACATTATAGGCAGTAACCTTTCATACCTCAAGAGCCGATTCAACGGCAGGTAAGGTGGATAACAAGAGATCATGATGTTCCTGAGCAAAATTAGAAGACATCAGGAATTATTCATGCATTTACATAATTTTCAGATTAACACGATTTAATAGTAACTAACAAAATCAGTGCATGAAAAGTCTAAGATAGCACGCAGGACAAAATGCCAATTAACGTGATAGACTCTGAAACATCCAGACTGAACATGAATTACAAATAAACCAATATTTTTACGAAAAGTCTAAGATAGAAGACATCAGGAATTATTCATGCATTTACATAATTTTCAGATTGACACGATTTAATAGTATCTAACAAAATCAGTGCATGAAAAGTCTAAGATAGCATGCAGGACAAAATGCAAATTAACGTGATAGACTCTGAAACATCCAGACAGAACATAAATTACAAATAAACCAATATTTTTACGAAAACATCATGTAAAATTAAGTAAATTTATGTAAATTAGACATGAGTACCTGTATCAAGAAAACTAAAGGACAGTAAGAAACCAACAGATAATTTGCACTTCAAATACACTAATCTCAAAAAATTATAGATATTGTCCTTTGAACAGAACGCCTATACAGCTATACAAGAGTCTACGGTGATTAAATACCTGTAAAGGGACACGAATTTCTTGCACCCGAGATGAAAATAAACTCAAACTAACAGCCAATTCCATGCCTTTCCTTTCTTCACCACCAATTGCTGCATCATCATGAAAATCCCCTCGTGTCCATTCTACAAGTGGATCCCAAACAAACACCTCTAGTAACATCAAGAGTATGTCCTTGTTTTTCCTCAAAATGCCAACAACTGCTTCGCAGTTTGCTCTGAAGGTACCTTCGACTCCAGTCAATCCCAAAGCAGCTTCAATCATCTGAGTAAGGCGGAATGGAACAATTTCGGGAATCTTTAGTCTTTGACCTTTATCAAAGCAAATGTTGTAATCAATATGTACAATATCCCCACTGCAGACATCCACCAGAATGTTATCCAAATGTCTATCCCCCAGACCAAGAATGTGGCCCACCATACTCATGGCTGCAACACTTCCAGAATACCTACAAGTGAAGAATGAATGTTTAATCCTGAATGGGATAGGGATACATGCAATGCATTACAAACACAGAAGGGGAAAGAGTATCACTGCAATAGACATAATTTATGATCAAAGTTTAAATTCAACTCCTTTAAATCCTTTTTTCTCCATCTGCCAATTTTGCTATAATAACCACCTTCCAACAATTGATCTGCTAAAGCCAGATACCTAGTGAAAGAAAGACTTGATAGGCTATCAAATTCAGTACAACCATGCAACCAAAATTTGGTCGAGTGTACTTTTCAGGTTTCCTTCTTTCATTTATTCATTCCATGAAGCAACAGCAGATCTTTATGAATAACTAGCATTATCATTTTGTTCGCCAAATTTTGCAATTTATATATGTTAAACATAACTGTCAAGCAACAACATAAGAAACAAATATAGCTAAAAGATTGTATGAGTAATAGTGACATATAAAAGAGGAGCTAAAGGAAAGATAATAAGAGATGAACTGAGACTAAGGTAAGCAATGATTGCATTCATGCAAGCTAACTGGTGTATTGCACAGGCCTCTCTGCCTAGAAAGCTCAAGTGCGAAGCACAAACAAGAGACCTGTGAGATCAGTTCCAGTTCCTTAGAAAATACCTTTTCAGTTTTGAGCTGAATGCTTTGAACCCTTCACTAGCACACCAAAGTTCTTGATGGAGCAGCTGTCTGGGAACCTCCTTCATCAAATCCAGAAGAACTTTACGCTTGACTTCATGAGGCCAGTCTCTACGTGAAATTACTCTCCTTATGCCTTTCTCTTTAAGTGCTGGTATGATTTTACCGTAAAACATATCACTTGGTCGAGGAACAGGTGGTGGAATGGAATTTTTTGAATTGTTTTGACCCATTGCTGAGAGCTGGGCCAGTTGCACACGGTTTTGCCAAGACTTAAAGACACTGTATATACTTATCACATTGTCCACCCACTGGATCAGACCAGCCTGACCACTGATTGGAGTCACAGAATAGTAGCGTATAGCAAGCAAATGCTTACGAGTTGCAAAAGATGAATGCATTAAACCATTTATAGCTTGAAGAAGCTGCATGATTCTAGCATCAAGGCGCAGATCTTCTCGTCCTTTCAAAAGATAAGTGTACTTCTCACCATCTGAACCATGTATAACAAGTTTCTTTGGTTTTGTTTTGGTTGATAAGATAGTCACTTGTTCAGAAAAAGAAGCTATTGTAACAATTCCCTGAAGAGTAGTGTTCAGACCTCCATCAGATTCAGATAATGTGAGTTGCTTCTCAAGGCCAGGCATTGGAACATCAGAAGATGACAACAAAGCCAGTTGGGGTGCAACTTCCCCTAACAATATTGATGACTTCCTCTGATAGGATGCTAATGATGCAGCAATATCATCAAATGGCCGCCACACATCTCCAAGTGCAGCAGCAGAAGATGGAGGAGTCTTAAATGTCAAAATGGCCGACTTCAGTTGTTCTTTGTATTCCTCATAAAACCATAGTTCATGAGGAGTTTGAGGTTTACGAGAAGTTGAAGCCAGGCGGCGTTCCAAGGCCACTACAATCGGAGCCATCATGGCTGAGTACTTAGCAGCATTTATCCTATTCTTCTCAGTCTGATTTAAAGTGGCATTCTCTGCAATTCGTGCAGCTTCCTCTTTCAGCACATTTATGCGTCTTACTACATCTGGAAGAAAAATTAATTCAGATAGATCTTAGTGCATAGAACAATAATCAGCAAGTAGCAGAAACTCAAAATCATTGTGCTCCTAAAAGGTAAAGTATTTGGAGAGTATGCCTAATCTGTTCCAACAGAAAAATATGCTATATAAGAACAATGCTAGTCTATATGCATAATGCTGATTGAATGGTTATTTCTTGTGTAAACCTTCAGGGTCCAACTGCCACATAATGGTTCATTCTAAATTGAGGTTTGGAAGTTGTACGCTATTATTCATGGACCATATTAGGAACTATGTTAGGGGCCCCATTTTATTGCTATTGCAAGTAGCAGATGTTGGACCAAGATTAGGAGTCATATGTGGCCCATGTATGTAGCTACTCGTTAATAGAGTTTTCTTTGGGTCCAAAATTGATTTTGGGGAATACTCAAATTTCAAGCTTTTTGCAAAATCAGTTTCAGGCTCATAGAAAACTATATGCCGAGTAGCTATATCCATTAGGTCAATAAATATATTCCTAATTTTGGCCCAAAATCTGGTACTTGCAATAGGAATTCCAAATGGGCACTAAGTAAATGATAAAACACAGATTTTGCATATCCCAAACGTGAATCACAAAAAGTATAGTTTAAAAGTTGGCAACATGAATAACAGAAATCTCAATATTATGATCTCCACTTACCTGCATGAAGATCTTGAAGTGTGCTGAGCCAGAGTTCCTCCCAAAGAACAGTAACATTTTCAAGTTCATTTATCATGAGTTGAACATCTTGAACTAATCTTGGATATAGCTCCCACTGCATATTACAGGATTGTGATTTAATTTTATCAAATTCTATTAAATCAACCCTTGGCAAATAATGGTTTATATGCAGCAAAATCGGGATGACCAAGAATGTAGTTTAGCAGTCTAAGTAAAAAAACCAAAGTAAAATAACAATTAAGGAAAGATGCTTCAAAAATTATCATAAAAACATTCGGCACATACAGCAGCAATAATAATTATCAGCAGACTGTTTATTTCACAGAAGTTTGTTCTTGAACTGATAATTTCTCAAGACCCTTATCAGCCAAATGTAAAATACTCCCCACTCTAACATTGGATTCACTTGGCTTCCAAACCTTAAAGGCTGTGAATAAAGGATAAAATTATATTCTCATACAAGTAAACTTATTATGCAGTCAAATTGGATCCCGGAAGCATGCATTGAGTACAATGGTGAAAGCACCCTGAAACATACATGGTAACTTGCTTCAGATTTTCCAGGTGACAACCAAAAGGCATAGCATCAAGCAATTAAGATGTTATATGGAATAAGTATAGGTGTCTCCAAATAGGATTTCACTAGAGTCAAAGGAAAAGTTAAGCGAAGAAAACCAATTTATTTTAAATCATCAAATCGATATTAATAAAAATTTTAGATGCACCTAAACGCACTGCAGTAAATAGCTATTTGACAAACAAAATTTCCATTACCAAACAACTCAAAATGTGTTGAAGCTCCTCTGAAGGTTGCTCCTCATTAGCTTTTACATCAACTAGTGTTGGGTACACGATGGACCAAGGAGATTGTTTAGCCAGCATCATTAGTAAGCCTTCCAATTGCTTTCGAACGAGTTGCTCGGGATGAGAACTTAAGCGTGCAAACAACTGGGGAGTGACTTCCTACCAAAAGCAGAGGAAGAATATATAAGTTATTGCGTCAACCCAAAAATAAGGGATAAAGAAAAGTTGAAAATATGACATATCTTTCTTTGTTAAAAATATGGAATATCTTTTTTTTTGTGTCTGTGTGGTGTGTGTGTTTGAAAGAATAAGAGAAGGAGAGAACTTCTCACCTGCCATGGAAAAAGAGGAATTGTTGAAAGAGCAGGTTCAATTGTATCTTTCAGTTCAACTCCATAATTAAGGAAAATGTGTAGTACATATAAGGTAGCCCTCAAAATATAGCTGCCAGTTTTTTGTTTCAGTGACTCACACCCAGAGCCAGCCAACTGACAATCAGAAAGTTTTGCAGATGAATATGTAAGGTACTTCATGAAACCATGAGCTGCATATCCAAAGAGAGACACTCTTCTCCTCCTCAAAGACCACCAAACATTAACTAAATCATCAAGTGGAGATAAAAGATCTTTTTCTTCTAGGCCAGCTTTAGCACATAGTAAGACTTGCAACTGTGATGCTACAGTAACAGAAAGGGGCTTACCATCTGCACCAGGTGCCCCAGCAGCAGCTTCAATTATATCCACTGCTTGCTGCACCAAAGCCTCTACAGGGTTCTTACTTCTGGAATGTTGCACAGCATTAGGCCAAAGTTTCGACTCTTCCCCCTCTATATTTAAAGCATCGCATTCATTCTGAAAAAGTTGCAAAATCACATGCTGCACTCTCTTCATCTCATCTTCAGTCAACCTGAATCTTTCAGGCATAATTTCCGGAAGAAGTAGAGAAGAGAAAGAACATGAGTGGAGGACAGTTTCACGTGGGCCAAATAAAGAGTCTCTAGCCTGACTGAAGCACCAAGATGCATAAGAAATCCATGATTTGCCCATTGTGGAGCAAAGCTGTGCAGATAATTTTGTAGCTGTACCCACAATTTCCTCAATAACAACGCCTAGACTTGATTTACTGCTTAAGTTCCCAACATTGACCGATGATCCATCTCCACTAAGCAAAGAAATATCATCACCAATAAAATCCACTTGCATTTTGTGGACAACATTTTCCAAATTCAGATCTGGATAATCCCTTCTCAACCAACCTGAAAGTTTCAAGCATGCCTTGGCCTTCAAAATATTGTCATCTGAATCAGATATTGCAGATGAAGAAGAAATCATGCAAGGATGAATAAATGACCAAAGATTTGCAAAAGCATCTTCAAACTTGTTCTCAGCATACAAGAGCAAGCAGTTCTCATATTGCAAATTTGACAATAAGAAATCACAATTTCTCTGCTCAGAACAACTTAACACATGGCTACTGAGATAGTTGTTCAGACGATTTGCCAACATTAGGTTTCCCTGTTTACGGGCTAAACTGGATAAACTCATGCAGAGCCTTAGAGTGACTGCAGAAGTGGGAAAATTGGTTCGATAAACCCGAAGAATTTTTAACCATGGATTACAATCTTGATGAACTCTGTTCATAACAGACTGCACTGACTTGATGTAAGAACTTAATATTGATTGATGCTGCTTGGATTTCACCGCATGACCCATAAGATTGTGACATTCTTCAAACACAAAGATGCAATGCAACTGACTAGCAAGTGGCGGTGCTTCTGTTAATGAATCAAGTGGTAAAACTGACAATATTTCCTCTAACATCGACTTGGCCTTGTGGATTTCATGTGGCACCTTGTCTACTTTCCCTTCAAGAAGGCACAGCATTGCCTGTAAAAGCATTTGCTCACTTCTCTGCAAGGCCAGTCTAGGATCAAGTGTGAGTTCAGAGCTACTTTTAGGGGTCAAATCCAGGCATGCCCAAGCTGCCTGAAAATCACCTTCATCAAAGCGTGCCAAGGCATGAATTGAGTTGATTTCATTGCCCGCTGTTGTCAAAGCCCCAGAATAACTCCTTCCGGCATGTTTAGAACGGAGTGTCTGTAACTCTTGTAACCAAGACTCTAGTGACCTCCAATCAGATACAGCAGTATAACTCTCAATAATACGTGCAATAGCAAATTGTACACCATCAGAACCCATAGAGCTGAGTGACTCCTCATTTTGTAACAAGTGAGTGAAGTGAGCAGCGGCTCTTTCATACTCGCCTTCAGCCTGATATACCAGACCAGTGATCCATGAAAAAGGGTCAGATACTCCACTTTGAGTCGGAGACTGGTTCTCATCCACAAGCAAGGAAGAAAATGTCATTAAAGCCCATTGTTGTAAACCAACCAAAGCCTCTGGTTCATGACTTTTACAAAGAGCTAATGCCATGTGCCGTAAAACCCTCAAAATGTCTCCAGAAAATCTCTCCCTGATATTATGAAGATTCTCAGACACCTGTGGCCTGGACTTGTCCTTGAAAGACGAAGCTAAAAGATTCTTTAGCTCCTGCAAACGCATACTACAATATTGAATTGTAGCATCATGACATTGCAATGCTAAACCAGCATTCATCATTGGTTCACGTATGCGAGAAAACCACTCCTCGCAAACCTTCTTGTTTGCTCGAAAGAACAAGGAACTCTGGCGTGTGGCAGAGGGTAAAATAGCTGATCCTTCATATGCATTGTATACATTCTTTTTTAGGGCTTCAACAAATTCCAATAACAACCTCATTGGCAACAAATGAGCACCAGAAGAGCCGATTATACTCAGGTTTCCATCATTCTGCTCAATGTCAAGCTGTAGCACATGTGCAATGTCCAAAAGCATTCTTTCCAATGCTGCAAATGTTTGAGTAGGCCCACCAAGATTAGTTCGAAGGCGTGTTGAAATACAATATCTAGCTGCTTCATGTATAGCCCACCAAGCACCAGCCAAATTATTAACAGAGCAAATTCTTTCCAGAATATCTTCATCCACTTTTATGTCCATCCATAGGGCATTGGCACCAAATTTTCGTGTTTCCTCAAGTTGACATAGGAGAAGGTCCTTTGGACTCTGACGGCTGTGGATGAGCCGTTGGATCCAAGAAGAAAGTGGCACCTTCCATCTTTGGGATATGTAACTCAAAATGGAAACAAGTTGCTGAGAATGAAGTTGTCGAAGCTGCTTCAGGGCAAATGCTTGCTTCCAGTGCAAATTAGAACTGTTACCTATTATAAGAGCAGTTGACCTAGATTTGGTGAATGTTCCTCGAGCATGTAAACCACACACATGCATTGCTGTAGGTATGACATGGGAAAGAAGTCTAACAAATGCATTTTTTATTTCAATGTCTGGATCACCAAGTTTTTCTGTGACCACTTCAGCTACGGGATAGAAAAACACGGGATCTATGAGCCTTGCTTGAAAAAGCAGCTCCAAAACTAAAGCCACATGCGACCTTACTTTTGGTTCCCTATCAAATGCAGCATCAAGTACCGAGAAAATAATATTTCCAACACTACCAATATATCCAAATGCTTCATAAAAAAAAGTTTTCACATTTGAATTCTCATAAATAGGAATAAGATTCTCAGAGAATCTTTGGATCCATTCCAGGGCTACTACCTTAACTGCAAGAGGAGAAAGAACATGTAGAGATTTAACAAGAATCACAGCATATTTTCTCAGATGCTCAACAATAACAGTATCATACACATCCGTGAAGCTGTCATTACCAATTTTTTCATCAGCAACATCTGCAGAAGCTTTATTGCTAGTCTGATTTCTCATGCAGCACATGGTCAAGAACTCAATTGCACTTACCCTGTCCATCGTCTTGATAACATTCACTTGCAACTCCACATTGGCCTGAAAAGGTAGATCAAAAGGATCCAATTTCTCAGCAAGAAAGGATGCCAACTTTTCTGACCTATTAAGGTAAATTGCAGCTATATCTGGTTGGCTAATCAAATTGTTTATCCCGTCCGTGGAAACACAAGTTAACAGAACTTTCAAATCAAATTTCATCAATGCAAACAGCTCAACTTTTGAATAGGGTTTAGAACCTGTAACACTTTTAACCTCATCTCCAAGATTCAGAGTTCTTTTTAGTATGTCTCTTAACACCTCCAGCTCTTCGATCAACATTGTCATTGCCTGTTGAACAACTTCATCATTTCCATGTTGGAGCAAGAAAACATAAGTGGCAGCAGAGCTTCCAGCTACCAAATGATTTGGATGCAAACGCAGCTGAGAGATTGGAGCATCAAATTGTATTATTTTCTGTACCGATGATGAAAGGAGGCCAAGTTTTTGAAGAGATAATAACTGAAGATTGGTTTTTAAAACCCCATGAACTTGAAAGGAGGTGATTTTATCAACTCCAGTTTGGACGCTGCTATTCATTTCCAGGCTTTGAAATAAGATGTCAACTGCAAGTGGATAGAAAGTAGAAAACCTTTCACATAATATTTCTGCCAATAGAGTCAAGCATCTCCATGAATCCCCAATCCATTTTGACCACCCAAACTTCCTTCCAACCAGAGATAAGCAATCCAACAGTCGAGGAAGCATTTTGCTAAGAGATTCACTAATTTGTACAAGTAGATTCATTTCCAGCAACCCAGAAGCAGTAGACTGCAATACAGTTGAAAAACAAGAAAGCAATGCGAGCAATCTTCGAAATTGTGATGGTGTTCCATGACTGCCATCCTGCAGCAACACATCCATGTCACCCAAGAACTTCGATAACAATCCCAGAGAAAATTGCAGATTTCCCACCCAATGTTTCTGAAATTGCAAAAAACTATCCAAAATAATTCTTCTATCAGATTCTGCAAGATCTGGTACCAACACCCAACCAAGGAGCACATCAACAATGTCAAGAAAATGAGGTTGGAAAATTCGAGAAAACTTCAAAGAAATTAAAGATAAAACACCCAGAAGCCGGTGTAATAAATTCAAGGAGGTTCTCTCATCCTCCAGAAGTTCTTGGCATGCCTTGAGGATAGGCAAGACATATCTCTCAATAGCCACAACCTCTCCAACACCAATAAACTCCCGTAGCGCTTCCACTGCAAGTTCTGTGGTTCCATCACCAGCACTAACATTGCTAAGCAACGGCAAAGCCCAGCCAATAAACCGATCAACCAGACTTCCAAGCATAACATGGTTCTGCCTTCCTTTTGATCCAATAAGGATTGAGCAAAGCACAGCACAGAGAGCTCCATATGTAGTAGCTGCAGCCTGCCTTACTGCATATGACCTGAATCAGAGTTTCATTACAAATTATATTGAGCTTTCTATTCCAATTGGATGAATTAGAACTAATAATCCTCTTCGTATACGAAACACTCCAAGTGGTCAATTGAGAATGTGAGAAAGCATGTAAACTTATCAGATAAAATCTAGCTCTCCAGTTCAACAAACAGAGTATCACTTGCAAAATTTAACCAAATTTAGCATTATCAATGCTGCCTTAAAAAAATTAAGAAAAGATAATAACTAACTTATACGTGTACTTCTCAAGACAATTCAAGTGAACAACAATAATGGAGCGATTAATAACTTTTATCTTTGAATTAAGAGAGAATTAATTGGAAAATAATTATAATAACAGTAAAATTAGCCGTAATTCATAATAAATACATATTGCTACAGCGGAAAAGAAAGGCATACTTATCGGAGAGGAGCTGAGAGAATCCCTGGGAAAGGAAAGAAGCAGAGTGAGCCACAAGGAGAGAATTAGGAGGGAAGAGAATCGCACGGTGGAGCGAGTTAATGGCAGCAAGTCGAGACGAGTCGTCATCGTCTGAGTTAGTTGTTTTTGTGGTTGCGGGCGCAGTTGTTGAGGCGGCGGCGGTGGCAGAGGCAGTTGCTGAAGAAGAGGCGGAAGCGGAGTCGTCAGTGGGGAGAGCAACAGAAAGAAGTGCAGCGAGTTGGTGTTGTTGATGGTGGAGTCCTTGCATCATTGCTATGGATTTGCATCTCCTTCTACTCTGTTTAATTCCTCTCTGTATTGCATCAGAGCTTTGCTTCCATTCTGTTTGCTGCTTCGCCTGCTTTCTTGTGTTCTTGTCAAGCGTATTGCCGGAAAACAAAGTTTTGAAGAAACTTGGTTTTATATGTTTTTCTCTTTTATTTTTTAAATTCAGAATCTTAAAGACAAAATACTTTTAAATTCCAATAATGAATATGTCTCCAACTTAAAATTCATTATATATAAAACTTTCTTGTAAATCATAAATTGTGATTAGCAATAAATATTGCAATTTAATATAAATTAACAAATTATTAATTTGAGATGAATTATAAAAATATAATTCATTTATCAATAAATTTTCATATTTTGTATGTCAAATTAAATCTAAACTTTATGTCTAAAATAAATATATACTAATAATTTTAAAAAATATTCGTATAAATGGATTATTCATTGGGAGGATATCAAAAAGATTATTAATGGTATCTTTTTTAAGAATGTTAATAAATTTTAAAATCCACTTCAACGGTCTAGGGAATAATTGCATTAAAGTGAATTTTCCTTGAATAACATTTATTCAACTTAATTTTTTTTTTTAACTATCATCTATGTAAATCTAATTTTTTATATTGATTTAGTTATATTTAATGTTCAAGAATTAAATACTTAGAATTAAAATATAATCATTATGTCATATAACATTATTTTATCAATTATGATAGGATCGAATTTTCCACTCCAATAAGAGATGTCAATAATTTTAATTTAGTATATTTTTTTTTTTGGAAGTAAAACAAACTAATTTCATTCAGTCGAATAAGTTATTTTGATGACGTGTATTATATAAATATGAACAGGATAAAATGGAGAGAAAAATGTATATTGTTATAGCTATATATGTAAACTCTAGTTGGTTATTATATATTCATTAATATAACAAATGATTTTAAAAATTTCCTTCAATTTTTTTTTTCCCACATAAAGCATTTCAAAAATTTTTCCTGCTTATATTTTACTTTACATTGTTATTAATTTTATCAGAAAGGAACTAAAAACAAGGGATTTATATTATTCAGCTATTTATTTCTCAACAAGACACCAAATGTTGACTTCTTGTTGAACGACAATGGAAAAAACAATCAAGAACACAAACCATCGGAGAAATTAGATTTCACTCTGCGTTTGGTTGGATATTACTCTTCAATCTCTTAGACTAATAGACTAGTTTTGCGAAAATGGGGAATGAGAAATGTTAAAAGAAAATGCAGATTGATTGTGTAATAATATAAAATTCAAGTTCTTATTTTAACCCAGAAATAGAACCAGCATTGTGAAACCTCATTTCTCTGTACAAAATAAAAGTCAATCAAGAAGGAAACCAGAAATCAAATCCACTCCTCTCAATTATTGTTACTTGTCCAAAAATAAAAAGCATCAATCTGTTTCACTCTGTTTCTTCACTTTCTATCAATCCAAACATTTTATCATTAATACGATCCCATGTGAGAACACCAAGATAACAAATTCTCTCTGCCTATCTGCACATTCTGTCATCAGTCCATGGCACCAAACTTTCTCCAGGAAAGCTCCATTTACTCTCATCAAGGTCACTAGCATGAAGCTTTAGGATAATAAGTTAGGAGTTATTCTAAACTAAGAAGCTAACCAAGACAATAAATCAAAATCATACCCCGACAAGAAAAACACATCTTCATTTTCAGAAAATTAGCAGAGAGTAATTAAACCATAAAGACAATGATACAAAATGCAGATGGTGCACATATGACATCCAATACAAAATCGGAGAAGAGCAAGAGGAAAACAAGCTGACAGATGATAAAACTATCAATTAGTCTAAAACATTTAATATGATAACAAATTTCAAATGCAAGAACTAGATTCTACTGAATTTGACAAGTATGGGCACAGAAGTTGTTCAAGAGCTTCAGAAGGAGAAATGCTAAAAACAAGCAACTTGGCCAACCACCAATTGGAACATAAGATGAATATTGCTTTTCTACACTAAAATGTTTTCAACTCTATGGATGATAGAATAAATGTTTCCTCAGATTTTTAAATAGTGCCCATTTCTTCATCCTCACAATTTCTAAGACCCAGCTCAACGAAACACATCCCCTTCACCACGATTTGCCAAATAAAGCTCAAACAGTATACCAAGAAAGCTTCCACCCATTAAAAAGCCAGAGTTATTTTTCAAACAACCTGAACATAACCTAACTCCATATACTAAAGAAACCTGTAGGAGCTTGTTTCATATAAATGAGCTCGACAAAATTTCATGAAATTCATTGAAAAGTTCACATTTTCATGTTTGATATAAATGAAAGTTCATTCAGAAATCTACATCCACAAAATTGGTTTACGCATGCTTGAACCAAATTCTATCAAAATTGATAGAATGTGCAAATGAACTCTAAACTTAACAAGGGTATAAGGCACTAAGATTATATTCTCAGTAAAATCTATCAAAGCCAGCTACTTAAATTTATTTACACATGAATTCGAAATGAAATTCGTGTGGATTAGTCCAATTTGCAGCATGAGGTAGCGAGAAATCAAGCAAATTAACACATGAAAAAAAGGGTAACAAAAAGCAACCAAAAGATTAATCATCCATGGAACACATTTCCTACACCATATTCTGTTTTTTTTTTGGTTCACCAATTATAGCACAAACAGCATACTAAGAAAGCTTCAACCCATTAAAGGCCAGAGCTATTCGCAATTCAAACAACCTGAAAACAACCCAACTCCATATACTAAAGAAACCCATAACAAAAGCAACCAAAGATGAATCATCCATCTAAGGACAATATTACAGTTTTCAGAAAATATATTGAACATAAATGAAACTAAAAATAAAAAATAAAAAATAAAACACCAAAGAAACTAACATCTCAATACCAAACTATAATCAATATTGTTCCAATCGTTGTTTACTCGAAGTATATCCATACAACCCTTGATCCTATGTGAGAATCGAACAGACAAATATCACGGTCAAAATTGGACTAAAACACAATATGACTATCCTAGCGATTAACCTATCAACTCGCAAAAGGACACAACGAATAATTTAGAAAACCTTGAACTTCCGTTTTAAGCGACAGCGATTGGTTGCTGCTTCCGAGGCTCGATATTCTTCTTCTTTGTTGATTTACCATCGTCGAGGAAATCTTCGATGTTGTAAATGACGGTGATGTACAGGGAGCAACTAGGGCAGCGGGCGATTTCTTCGCCGAGGCGAAGATCCTCCTTGGTGATTTGAAATAAGTCGCCGCAAGGGCACGGGTATGTGTAAGCTTGTAGCCCCTCGTTCCATTCCATGTCCTCTATCTCCACATCGTCGTAAGACATCGTTTTCGAGCTCTTTCGTCGAAACGGATTCTTGCCTCTTTCTCTGTATGCTTTGGATTTGGAGATAGGAGAGAGGAGGTGAGGTCGGCTACGAGCTGCAATTGAGTTAATAAACGAGTCGAATGAATCGATTCTATTTATTAGTGGTGTATTATACGTTAAGACTCTTTTATATTTTAAAATATTATAAAATTTTAATGGTATTCAATTTATATTTTTACAGAGTTTATTAAAATCTTATGATATTCAATTCAAATTCTTATAAAATCCATAAAAATTTGATAGTATTCAATTATGATTTTTTAAGAGTCAATTATGATGGTATTCTTATAAAGTCCAATTATAACTTTTTAAAAGTTTATACAAATCCGATGATATTCAAAAAATTACTGATGTAGAAATATTTTATAAAATTTTTGATTTCGTTGGATCTTAAAGTATTAGGTATGAATAAAATAGTCATTCGCAAATTTAAATTATCTCCAAACTCAAAGATTTCAAAAATCTTTTAAAATCTAGCAGAGTATGAATCCTTAATAAGGATGAGAGTGGAGCGAGTTCCCGCAAAATTTAAACTACTTGCATAGATACCCGTTTTAAATTTTACTATTTATATTCATTCTAAATCCATTTAAATACTCATTTAAGTGTAGTATTCAAACTTGTTTAAGTTCTACCACTCGTATATGTGTAAAACTCTCGTTTAAAGTACTTTTGAAAGTGGTAGCGTACTGACGAATCTTAAACTACATGAATTCAAACTTATTTAAAATACATTTTTATTAATAATGGATAGAATGCCTACAGGTACCCACTACCAAGCTTGTTTAATATAACAGTTGATGAGTAGCGGGTATCTAAATATTTATATTTATATCCTACCTGTATCTATTATGGATAGTAATTTCTCTATTCATATCCGTTACAGTAGTAATTTAACTGTCCATATCTATTTCAAACTCATTTATAACTATTTATATCCTCTTTAAATGAATCGGAGCGAAAAGAAGTGGGTGCCATAAAATTTTTGTACCACTTTCATCCCTTTCCTTAAAGTGTGAATTAATATATTAATTATTAGATTAGTTTTGAATTAATTCATTTGCTGAAAATTTGATATTTTGATAAAAATTAATATTAACGCGGTTGCTTCATAATTAATTTAATTATTTTTTGTAAGTTTTATGGGATGATTTCAATTTGATAATGATTAATCCAATAAAAAAATTGAAAAAGCTCTGAAATAGTTGAAGAATACAATCTATCATTATTGTGGTCGGACCGCTTGGCTCCATGAGCTGCAAACGATAGGCCGTGCATCAGGGCTGTCTCAATATGCATCGCCTCCTTGCGCGAGCTATATATATATACCTGTTATTTTCTGATGTGACAGTTGTTGGCTTTTGCAGATCTTTCATCGTCGTGGATGGTAAGGTTTTAACTAAGAAAAAAAAAAAAAAAACAAAATAAAAAAAAAAAAAAAAAACGATTTCAGAAAAAATGACACAAGTTACTTTTTGATCCTTTATTACTTTTTAGTTTTTTAATTGAGCCCAAAACTTTTTAATTTATTTAATTATGTTTGAAATTAATTTTTATTGAATATATAAAATTCATTCTAATTTCATTACAGTCAATTAAAATCTATGAAAAAAAGTCTCACAAATTCCATAAAATTCTATGTATAATTCTAAGAAATTTGTGAAAATATTAAGAATACTTTAATTCTATCAAACTCAATTTTTTTTAAAAAAATTTTACACAATCCTAGTCCAATGCAATGCTTTAAGCTCTATTTGCCTAAAAAAAAATAAATAAATAATGCGAGAAATAAAAATAAAATTAACATGCCTTACTCATTGTCGTTTGAGACTTTGAGTTAAAAAAAAACTGTACTTGCCAGGCTTAGTGTACGACTGCCGTTTGAAGCCGCCAATGCCATAGCCTAACCCTCTGGTCTTCTTTCTCTCCCTCTCCCTCTCCCTCTCCCTCTCTCTCTCTGCTTGTATCTCTCTTTTGGCAATCGATTTACAGGAATCCAATTCCTTACCACTAAATATGGGACCTTACAAAGTTCTAAATTCTCAAATGCTTGCACACAGTAAACTCAACCCCGCCTTTGTCACCGCCCCATATCAACTTCACTGCTATTCACTTCTCTCTTCAACTCCAAGCCCGAATACTGACCACCCACAGACGCGGAAGATCTACGCAAACTTTTCCACAACTTCACCGCCAGTAACTACCCACCAAGAACTGCTCAAGTCAATTCAATCTTCTCGTTGGCATTTTATCAAACACCTTGCTCCAAGCTTAACACCCTCCCTTGTTTCCGCTACTTTATTGTCCCTCCAAAAAAAACCTGATTTGGCTCTTCAATTCACAACCCACATTGAATTTAACTCTCTTGATATCAAAACCAAATGCCTTGCCATTGCTGTAATCTCTCCGTCACCATCCCCAAAAGCTAGCTTGCAACTTTTGAAACAAACCATTAGTAGTAATATTGCTACCGTTGAGGATGTTTTTAATGAGCTGGAAAGTGCTCTGGATCAGTTAAATACTAAAAGTTCTATTCTTTTTGATTTGTTGATAAGGGCTTGTTGTGAAATGAAGAGAGGTGATAATGCATTTATGTGTTTCGATATGATGAAGAAAAAAGGTACAGTTCCTAAGATCGAAACATGTAATGATATGTTGAGTTTGTTTCTGAAGTTGAATAGGACAGATGTTGCTTGGGTTTTGTATGCAGAGATGTTTAGGTTGAGGATTCAGTCAACTGTTTATACGTTTAATATAATGATCAATGTTTTGTGCAAGGAAGGGAAATTAAAGAAGGCTAAGGAGTTTATTGGGTTTATGGAGAGTTTAGGGGTTAAGCCTAATGTAGTTACATATAACACAATAATTCATGGATATTGTTGGAGAGGGAGAGTTGAAGGTGCTCGAATGATTCTTGATGTAATGAAAACTAAGGGCATTGAACCTGATTCGTACACCTATGGTTCACTTATTAGTGGGATGTGTAAAGAAGGAAGACTTGAGGAGGCATCTGGACTGCTTGAGAAAATGAAGGAAATTGGTTTGCGACCAAATGCTGTGACTTATAATACCTTGATAGATGGGTACTGCAATAAAGGGAATTTGGAGAAGGCTTTTGGCTATAGGAATGAGATGGTTGAGAGAGGTATATTGCCAACTGTGTCTACATATAATTTGTTGATTCATGCATTATTTTTGGAAGGTAAGATGGATGAAGCTGATGATATGATAAAAAACATGGGAGAGAAAGGGATATTTCCTGATTCAATAACCTATAACATCTTGATTAATGGATATTGCAGATGCGGGAATGCAAAGAAAGCATTTAGCCTTCACAATGAAATGGTAGGTAAAGGCATTCAGCCTACACGGATAACTTACACATCACTAATATATGTTTTGAATAAACGGAATAGAATGAGAGAAGCTGACAACCTGTTTGAAAATATAGTCCGCAAAGGTGTGTTTCCAGATCTTATAATGTTCAATGCCTTGATTGATGGTCACTGTGCTAATGGGAATATAGATCGCGCATTTGCATTGTTGAAGGAGATGGATACAAGGAAAGTTTTTCCTGATGAAGTGACATACAATACCCTAATGAGAGGCCGTTGTAGGGAGGGAAAAGTTGAAGAAGCTCGCAAGCTTCTTGAAGAGATGAAGAGCAGAGGAATTAAACCTGATCATATTAGTTATAATACTTTGATTAGTGGGTATAGTAGGAGAGGTGATATGAATGATGCCTTTAAAGTTAGAGATGAGATGCTGAGCATAGGATTCAATCCCACACTTCTTACTTATAATGCCCTCATACAGGGTTTGTGCAAAAACCAGGAAGGACAGCATGCTGAAGAGCTCCTCAAAGAAATGGTTAGTAAAGGCATTGCCCCTGATGATAGCACTTACATTTCTTTGATTGAGGCGATGGGAAATGCTGACGACTTGCGCAAAACTAGTGATTCATAATCAATTTGTTTGACAACAACATTCGAATTGTTAGAAGTTTTGAGGGGATTAGCTCAAAACCTGCATTTCCTAATAAATTTGCAACTGTGGACTGAGAAGCTGATTGTGGTTCTCTATGATTAACTACTTGACTGTTGGAGTGAGACGGTTTACTGTGAGAATACAAATATATATATGTACTTTTTAAAATTAACTTCTTCCTTATTTGTAAATATACTGAGTTCCCCTGTTGCACAACTTTATATTTCTAAGTTGCTGGAATCAATATATGAAGCGTGCTTAATCAGAGTAACCATTTGATATGCAATATATGTAATGAAACTTAATAGGGGAAACAAACAAAACCCCATGATTTTGTGTATCTTGGAAGAAATAAAACGGCTTCTACTTTTTTTTTTTAAATTTTATTTCCTCATTTTCCTCTTATTCTCATCAAAGACATGCTTAAGCCTTATATTCCATTTTGTACTTTCAATTAGACTATGATTTAGATTTAGATGTTTTGAGTATTTCATGAAGCTATAGTTTTGTCAATTATCTTGATGAAATGCTTCCAAGTATAAATCATTCGTCAGAGAAGAAAGCAACCATGTTGCTATTTCATCTGCTTATTTACTTCCTGCTGGATCTATCCCAGTTTAACTTTCAGTTAGCTTATATAGTATTGCATGATGAATGTTTCTAATTGGGGCATTAATGTGGAATCTGATGGCAGTAACAGCTTTGTTTGTTTGTGCTTAGATATGATGTTATTTGTCTCAGTAGGGGTGTGGTTTGGTCCTTCAGCATGATATGTTTGGGTGACAAGAGTCATTCAGGTGAATGGTACTAAAAGTATGCTAGAATATTAGATATCCTATTCGCTGGCTTCTTCAACGAATAGGTTATCCTACCATTTTTTTCTTATCTAAAAACAAGGGTTTAAAACTTCTCCCTTTAGTTTGCAAACAGAAACCCTGAATAATAAACTAGTTTCTTTGTTGGTTGATGTAGTTTTAGAACCAGAACTAAACTTTTCATATATAAAATCTTCAGAACATGCTCAGCTTTGATAGTTTCCTATTATCCTATCATTTTCCGCATCAAACTTATTCATCCTGCAACTGAAAATATTTTTGCGGCTCTGTTTCTGTTGCAGTGATGCTTTCATTAGTAGAAACGTATAGAACTGCAGAATTGCTTCCTTCTATACGAGGGACCTGACCATCTTAAAACTTCCCTGGTTTGTTGGATCACAAAGTTGCTTATGGATGTTTAGGCTTCATTCATCTAGGTAAATGGAATAGCTTCTGTTGTTCTCGGTATGGCTTCATATTATTTGAAATTTCAATAGAAAAGGTGAACTCTATGAAATGTTTTATTTATACCATTGTGACTAACTATGATTCTAGGAAAGTTAAGGGAGGGGAAATTGAAAGAGGCTAGTCTCCAAATGCCTGAATCGCAAATAACTTCAAATGTCCCAATAATGTCTTTCCATGAATTTCTTTTTTATGATTCTGCCAGGCTTCGTATTCTGCTTTTCCTGGTTGTGAAAAACTTTACTTTTTGAAGTGGAGTTGGACTCAAATGCAAACATTCATATCTTACTACAGTAGAAGGTAATATATCTTGAATCTTACTAACTTTATTGTTGTAATATGACTGTAACTTTATTGTTGTAATATGACTGTCAATTTCTTTAAGTGGGAACATCTTACTTGCTATGGTTGATAAATTGGAGACAGGTCACTCTCCACTATGTGCAGATAAGTTAATCATCTGTCCTTCAGAATCCTGAAGAGTCATATCTTTTGCACATGGCACAAAGACTATGTGGTACAACAGAAACCTAATCATAGTAATCAACAGAAGAATTGAGCTCTTATTCATTGATTATTATGACTTTGACGTTAAAAATTAAACTGAATGACTGATGTTGAATCACTTCTGAAATTTCATTATTTTGATGCTCTTAGAGTATCAAGTGACACCGTCAAATTCCGTGACCCTATAAAATTCCTCTTTCTCTTATTGGGGGACCCTTCTTCTTTCGTGATGTCCCACTGTTACATGCTTGTCTTTTTTATCAGTTTTATTTGTGGAAACACATGCAAGATGCACTCAATTTGGACAGATTGCAATACTGTTCTGCCGTTTGAAAATTTTTTTCCTATGATGTGTTAGCAACTACTTCAGGTATTTAAGGCTTCTGGTGGTTATTTCAATGGAGAGAGATAAGAGAAGCTTGCATGGGGACATTTGTAGGGCACTTTGTACCTGCTTTGGCTTTAATCCTCCTTGGATTATGGCACTCCGTTAACACTATCCGAGCCTACTGCCTGAGAGGCTCTACTAACTTTACTGTAAAGTTTTGGTACCCATTTTACGGCCCTTTTTCATGTATCAAATGTTTGGAGCTTATCTTCATCCTATCTTTCTCCATCTTTGCAATTTTTATGCAACTTTTGGACTTCCCGTACCTCCACTTTGCTTTCAAGCTTGACAACTTTGAACATGCAACCATGTTTCTCCATCTTGCAATATTTGCAGGTTTCACACTTTCTGCAGAGATAACCTGTTCATCTGATATCCTTTCCGGGGTCAGTGGAATCCTTGCAACCTCTGTTTTTGGTCAAGAACTTTTCCTTCTCCATTTCCATTCAACTGACCATGTTGGACTTGAAGGTCATTATCATTGGCTCTTGCAGCTTATAGTGTTCGTTTCTCTTGTGTCAGCTTTAGCGGCAACTACTTTTCCGTCCAATTTTCCTGCAGCTCTCATTCTTTCAATTTCTGTTGTATTTCAAGGGTGTTGGTTTATGATTATGGGTTTTGTGCTATGGATTCCTGAATTTATACCTGAAGGTTGTGTTACACAGTTGTCTGTGGCCAGCTCAAATGACATGCATGGAGCAATTGCATGCAGATCTGTTGATGCAGAACTAAAGGCTAGAGCACTGGCCAACTTGCAATTCAGTTGGATACTCTCTGGAATTTTGTTGTTCATTGGGTGTGTATGCCTGAAATTAGCTGCAAGATGTGCACTGAGGGGTCAGTCAACTGAGTATGAGCAACTCTGCGTTAGAGGTACAGATGTCCCTATAGCCATTGATAGCTTCAAACAAGCTCATCCTTGAGATATTGTATTATGATGAGAAGGGCATCTACATGCCCATTGTCAACAGTTTGATTCTCCTGTCTGTTAAACTTGTTGTCAGCGCTTATCATATATGCTCATATTTTTATGAGTTTTGTACGTGTTAGGCCCTTCTGAATCCGAAGTGGGATTGAAACAGTATGGCTTCTCTTAACAGGGATAGGATACTTTTCGGGTCAGCTTTTATATAGTAAAGTAGATGTAACTTTTGGAATTGCAAATAAGCCCTGGCTGACAAGTCATTCCAGTCGTCCTCACAAAACTATCTAGCTTGTAGTTCTGTTTCTCTCATGTGTTATATAACTAAGCTCTGGTTAAAATATGGAGCATTTATGATGTGTAATACACTTATAACATTTAATTGGAATGCAAATATGCTTATCATTTGACTAGTTTACTAAACTTAAATCTTTGTTTGTTTGCTGAAGAACTAAAGTGTTACAATGCAGATTAATAACATCTCGGTAATGTTACTTATGCTATGAAAAGAATTGTTCTCATGAAGTGACTATATGCTCTCCATGCAACGAGGATGGCATTTCTGGCCTGAATTCTTTACACCCAGTATGCATATACAAGTCTCTAGTTTTCCTTGGTACTTATTCAACTTAACATTCATACAGCACTGCGGGTAGTCTTGGCCTCAAGACAACCTCCAGTTCTTTTGCTTTAGGGACTGTCATTCCAGGACTCTCACTCATATCAACTGGAGTGTCAGATACCGTCCCCAATTCAAACCCATGAAGCAGCCGAGCCAGTGTTAGGTGCAAAACCCGGAGCGCCAATGATACTCCTGGGCACATTCTTCTACCAGAGCTGAAAGGTAAATATTCGAAATCCTGACCCCTTACATCTAGATTAGCGTGCTCATTCAGGAACCTCTCAGGCTGAAATTCAGAAGGGTTTTTCCAAATGCTAGGGTCACGGTGTAATTTCCACAGGTTAACGAAAAGGCGAGTGCCAGCTGGAATGTGGAAGCCCGCTATGGTGCAATCCTCCATGGCTTCCCTTGGTGCTGAGAGTGGAGCAGCAGGGTTCAGTCTCAATGTTTCATTGACAATAGCTTGTAAGTATACTAGATTCTTTATATGTGACTCTTTCACTTGATGGTGCTTTCCGACATGGATCTCAATCTCTTCTTGAGCCTTTTTAAGCACATTTCTGTTGCTTAACAACAGAGATAGAGCCCATGTAAGAGTGATCATCGTCGTATCATTGCCACCCAAAATTAGACTCTGCAATACATGTAATATCAGCCAAAATTTTTGAATGGTTCAAAAATTGAAATTTTGAAATTTCAACTAAAACGTTTTTGACTCGAATTATTTAAAGTAGAAAATGATAATTTATATAATAAGGGTGGCTATTTTTGTTGTGTAGATTAAAGTAGAAAAATGAAAAAGATGTTGATAACAATGTCCATTATGCTGTTTGATAGCGTTATTAAACTTCTTAGGTGTGATTTGACAACCAATATCTTGAAAATGTGGCTTCAAATGTTGAGTGCATATAATTTATTAGCTTTTTTCTATAACTCGTCTAAATGGCATTTAGTCCAACCAACTTTCTTATTTACTTTCAGATATGTTGCCTTCTCATCCTGCTAAGACACTAATACACGTAAGTTCCACAACGCACAAAGTTAAATTTAGCATGCAAGTGACAGGTGAGTATAGCAACTTCTTTTGTCTGGTATTAAAAGTATAGAAGAAAGTGGATGCTTTTATACACAAATCTGTATTGGACATAGGAGGATGAAATGTTGGTCTCTATATTAAACCTCAAAATTGCTATTATCCAAGTGTTTGTTTTTAACTGTAGGAAGATAATATAACATTGAATTTACATTAATTTTAATATTTAATCCCATAATTATTCATTGTAAATAAAGAGATTAATACATGAACTAAAAAATCTAAGAAAAAGTAAATACATAGTCTAGGATTTGAATCTTGATCAATAAATGGGAAGGAAAACCATTTACCAATTGAGTTGTTTCATACCATTTATCTGGAATGCCATTTGGTATTCCACTGGTATAACTATACTAAACTGTATAAGAGATTCATTTCAATTTAAAATTACTAGGTGATCACACTTACTGGTTTAACTTACTGATATAATAATCAATTTAAAAAGGAAAAATTAATGATAGTGCATCTCTTGGTTTAGGAATAGACTCAAATTCGGGCTTCCTCCCTAATATATTAAAAAAGAAAAAGAGGAAAAATTATTAGATTCTTACCAAGCAAGTGCCCTTAATAGTTCTATCAATTTCATCAATAGAGCTCTTACCATCATCCATGACAGAAAGCATAACATGGATGAAATCTTGATCCTCCCCTTTAACACTTCCTTTAAGCCTCTTTCTCTATGCTCCTTTACCCACTTCCCTAAAGCACTATCTATCTCCCTTGCAGTCCTTTTCATTTCACCAACATATCCCATTAAAGAATCCAACCAACCCAGAAATGGAATTGCATCAGAAACCAAGAGCAACCCAGCTAAACGGAAAAAATCTGCTAAAGCCTTAGAAAATCGCCTCGAATCTTGGTCTGTGATGCCATAACTACCAAAGGATCGCTTACCTGCAATCATTTTCACTATTATATTCATCGCCAATTCATTAAACTTGTCTTTCATTTCTACCACAGCACATCCTCCATTCTTTACTGAAATCTGATACAAGTGTTTGATAAAAAACTTAGTTTCTGTATCCCAAACATGCTTAAGCAACTCGAGCCTGCGATTTGAGAGGAGTTCAACCACGGCTAGCTTTCTCATATCACGCCAGTATTGACCATAAGGTGCCAAACCTAGTATAGCATGATTATAACCCATGATTTTGGCTGCTAAAGATTTTGGACGTGTAAGAAAGAGTTTGTCATTTGTAGTAAAACATTGTTTTGCTAATTCCCAATTGCTTATTACAACTGCTTTATGAATTCCGAGGCGGATAAAGAAGATTGGTCCAAGTTCCTCAGCTATGGAGCCAAATACTCTGTGTAGTAACTGGTTTGATCTACCAAGAAAATGAAGGTGACCGATAACCGACCAAGACCCTGCTAGTTCTGGTGGCTTGTTTTCATTTTTCTCGTTTCTGATGTGTTTTACTTTTATGGCTAGAAAGATTGGGATTATAGCAAGAAGAATGGTGTACAAGGTTACTTGTAGATAAAGGAAGAACTTCATGTTTTTTTTTTATCTGAATTCTGGTATGAGAAAAACGGGTATTGCTTTCATGGTTATGTTGATAGCTCTAGTCTTTATTTTTAGCCGGTTATGGCCCCGCAGGGAGGCAGAGTTCATCAAAAGAAAGGACAGAGATAGGCAGGAACACGTTTCCGAAACCGACGGTTTTGAATGCAACGATTTTGGGTTGTTCTTAAAACAATTTGAAAATCGTCGGATTTTTTTTTTTTCCTTCTAATAAAAGACTAAAAGAGGTAAATAAAAAAATCTTGAAATTTATTTAATAAACTACAAAAAATAAAAAAAAGTTGGACGAACTTTCCATAATTTTTGATTTTAAATTTTATTTTTTCAAAGAAATCACCGGCTGTAGACTAAAACCTGCGGTTTTAATTTCAAAACATAGAAAATTAGAACTAAATTATAAATATATGATTTTGAATTAATTTAGAATCAAGAAGCATCGACCATGGTTTGATTTCGATTCGGTGATGATTTATGACAGAATCGTGGTGGTTTCCAGAGAAAGGTTACAATTATTTGTAGACAGAGACCCGACACCATAACTCTACGAATTGACTAAATACTTGTCTTACCCTCTAAAGTTGATGACTCAGCAAATCATCTCCAACCCAAAATGGCAAATTTGAAGTCTCGACAAGAAACTCAGATTGAATTATTATATTTGTAATCATTTAATTGTAATATCTATTCATTCCGTTCCTGGGTTGATCTATATGTCCTTAATGGATTTCATATTCTTGTAATTACGGCTCATATATCATATGCTAATAATTTTAATTTTAGGTGCTGAATTTGAATGATTTTTAAATGGTTTATGTGATAAAAAATTTAAATTGTTTAATTACTGGAAATCCTACAATATTATACTCCAAAAAAAAAAAAAAAAATCCTACAATAGTTTTTTTTAAACGTTGAAAAATTGACTCTATAATCAATTAGTATTTGGATAATTAATAAAACTTAATTATTTTCTCATCTGTCTGTCGGCAAATTTGGCTGTTCTAGTAGTCTAGTAACTTTTAGCTGTTTTAATAGCTGTTAAGTGTTTTATTAGTTGTTAGCTATTAAATATCAGCTATTAGTAATTAATGATTATACAGTAGTTAAAATAAAAGTGCCTAGTACAAATAACTGTTTAATTAGTTGTTTAATATAAAATGACAAAAAAATATAAAAGTGAAGAATAAGGTAAAAGCGAGGAATAAAGTAAAAACAATTGATGGTATAGGTATCATAAAAAGATTATAAAATGCTAAACGATTGATGAAGATAACGTTTCATAAAATACCGTCTTAAACTCTAAATGCTAGAGTATATATTATATTACCGAATGCTATAATTAAATTAAGATATTGTTTTAACTCTATCAAAACACTACACACTACTTTAAACGCTTCTGCCGAATAGAGCCCAAAGCCTGTATTTTGGAGTTTGGAGTATTTTAATATTTGAGCTTGAATTACCATAATTAACAAACCTAAAAGTTGCAAGCAACAATTTGCTCAACAAAAAGAAGTAAAAGAACAACAATAAGTAAAAGAACAACAATAATTAAGCAGTTCTGACCAACTCACATGCAAGATTAATTATTTCATTTGCTACAAATGGAAGAGTAAGACTATATCAGTTGCAAAACTTGAAAGAGCATCACTGAAGGTATTAATTCTTGAAATGACTCAACCCACTAACAGAAAATTTTTTTCAACTCTAGCTTTAATTAATACCTATTTTTCATATATTTCAATTAGGTTGGATGTATACGGAGACTGTTAGTTTAGTTTTAAAACTCAAATATATTAATTTTTTTTCTGAATTTATCGATTAATAAATAAAATTTAAATTGCTGATATAAAAAAAAAGCTTTAATTGATTATTACATTCATGAGTTCAAAAAGCTTAATTAACCAACCAAAACCTAGATATTATTCATGATCGAAATACTTTGATTTTAAACAGAAAATCCATACTACTATTGATCAGCTCAAGTATCACAACATCTCCTTCTTTCAGATCAATGTGTTGACAAATTCTGGCCCATCCAGTTCCAAAAGCCAAGCCCGTAACAGTTCCCCACCCTCTGATTCTAACTAGGAATTTTCTTCCATCAGGACACGCAACTTTTGCTTCTTCATAAACCCTAGTCATGTACTTTAGCTATTAAATAATCGAGAGGCTAATTAGTAATTAATGGTATAGTATTCGGAGTAGGCTTAAGTAAAAAACTTTAAAGACCTGAGAAATGCATCTCCTAGTACCCAGATGTGAACATGTTTAATTAGTTCTGTTTTTTCAATATAAAAAATGACAAAAAAAAATATTAAAAAGTGAAGAATAGGTAACAAAGCAAGGAATAAAGTAAAAAGAATTGATGGTAAGGTATTCACTAAAAGAAAGCTTATAAAAAATGCTTAACACGATTGGATGAATTGATAACGTGTCATTAAAATACTCTTAAACTCTAAATGCTAGAGTAATAATTATTATTAACCGGAATGGCGTATAATTAAAATTAAGATATTGTTTTTAACTCTATCAATAACCACTACACCCACTAACTTTAAACGGCTTCTGAGACCCGTAATAGAGCCCCAACAATAGAGTGCCCAAAAAGCCTTGGTTATTTTTGGAACATTTGGAGTATTTTATAATTTGAGGCTTTGGAATACCATAATTTTAACAAACCTAAAAAGTTGCCAAGCAACAATTTTTGCTCAACAAAAAGCAAGTTAAAAGGAACAACAATAAGTTAAAAAAACAAAACAAATAATTTTAAGCAGTCCTGACCAACTCACATGCAAGGATTAATTATTTTCATTTTTGCTACAAATGTGTTTAATATAAAATGACAAAAAAATATAAAAGTGAAGAATAAGGTAAAAGCGAGGAATAAAGTAAAAACAATTGATGGTATAGGTATCATAAAAAGATTATAAAATGCTAAACGATTGATGAAGATAACGTTTCATAAAATACCGTCTTAAACTCTAAATGCTAGAGTATATATTATATTACCGAATGCTATAATTAAATTAAGATATTGTTTTAACTCTATCAAAACACTACACACTACTTTAAACGCTTCTGCCGAATAGAGCCCAAAGCCTGTATTTTGGAGTTTGGAGTATTTTAATATTTGAGCTTGAATTACCATAATTAACAAACCTAAAAGTTGCAAGCAACAATTTGCTCAACAAAAAGAAGTAAAAGAACAACAATAAGTAAAAGAACAACAATAATTAAGCAGTTCTGACCAACTCACATGCAAGATTAATTATTTCATTTGCTACAAATGGAAGAGTAAGACTATATCAGTTGCAAAACTTGAAAGAGCATCACTGAAGGTATTAATTCTTGAAATGACTCAACCCACTAACAGAAAATTTTTTTCAACTCTAGCTTTAATTAATACCTATTTTTCATATATTTCAATTAGGTTGGATGTATACGGAGACTGTTAGTTTAGTTTTAAAACTCAAATATATTAATTTTTTTTCTGAATTTATCGATTAATAAATAAAATTTAAATTGCTGATATAAAAAAAAAGCTTTAATTGATTATTACATTCATGAGTTCAAAAAGCTTAATTAACCAACCAAAACCTAGATATTATTCATGATCGAAATACTTTGATTTTAAACAGAAAATCCATACTACTATTGATCAGCTCAAGTATCACAACATCTCCTTCTTTCAGATCAATGTGTTGACAAATTCTGGCCCATCCAGTTCCAAAAGCCAAGCCCGTAACAGTTCCCCACCCTCTGATTCTAACTAGGAATTTTCTTCCATCAGGACACGCAACTTTTGCTTCTTCATAAACCCTAGTCATGTACTTTGCAGAAAAGCTATTTGGCACCAGCTGCATGTTTATATAATTGGTTAAGATTCTCCTAAAAGAAATAGAAATTGTAAATATTTGATCAGGTTCTAACCAGAAAACTCCGATTGATACTATATGGTCGCAAGAGAACCTTAAATGCAGGATTTGTCGGTTTATACATATCAGCATCAAGAATTGCTTTCTTGATTTCATCAGACGCCTTTGCAAAGAACTTCCGGTATTTCTCACTGCAATAAACTTCCACTTCCACATTTTTATTCTCATCTGCATATATATTTATTTTTAATATATTAAATGTTAAAAATCATAAAGAAAAATGAAAGAACTCAGTTATAAAATTATAGTTTTGAGCTTACCCTTCTCATTTTCATTGCTTAAAACCAACCTGTCCTCCTTTTTCCCCATCATCTTATCAGTTCTTGATTCTGCTTTTCCATTTTCATTTTCAAAATTACTGTTTGGATAATTGATTTCAAAAGTCGATGGATCAAAGACGATGACACGAAAGTTTGAGTTTCCTTTATATTCAAAGCTTAAAAGGTAACGATGGCAGATTGAGTTGTCTTCAACAAAATCTGACCATCCTTTGTCAAACCAAATGTTTTTATTATCCTTTGTAACCTCAACTTCCCATAGTTTTCCATTACGAAGAGACAGTCTTCCGATTCTTGCAATATCAGAAAGCTCAATTCCAAGTCTCTTGACAAATAACTTTGATAGGATGCTCTTCAAAATCATATATTATGTTTTTAATTCCACAAAATCAAGAAAGAAAAACTATTAGTTCATAAAGAACAAAAAAGAAAAGAGTAATTAACCTTTCTTTAAGGATTATGAAATTATCAGTTACCAGTTTTTTTTTCTTCAATTATATTTTGGAGGATTACTCTAAAGAAATGGCGAGGTGTGACATCTGATGAAGGATTTGACTTCCGGAAAGGCCTCCCTCTGCCACGTTCTGTTGATGGCCAGCGAGGACTCCCCCTGCGTCCACCTCCCGCTGATGGCCAGCGAGTCATTATATGTAACGTCTACAGGCTTGTAACGGTTAATTCTGCTTTCTTTGTTTATAAAAAGGATTTTGCAAGAGAGGCTTAAAGGGCTCTATTTATCTAATTACCTTTGTAAATGAAGGTTAGCTTTGGTATTTCCAATTACTAAAATTTAATTTCTTCGAATTATGTATCTTTAACTTATCACTTTGACTTAGAACCTAAGCTAAAGACTTACCTACAATTTAGAAACTTATTGTATTCCTTGAAAGTTTTAAATTAAAGAATTTAACTTATTATCTTAAATAAATTTTATACAAATTTTAAATTGTTAATAATTAATTGAAAAATGTAAATAATTTTAAACTTTTAAACACTAAATCAAATAATTTCTTAAACATCATTCTCAAAAAAAATATAAAATTACTTGCACACCAGTAGTATAAAACATTATAGTTTTTGAAACTAATTAGTTACACTGTCTTTGTTTTGTATTACATGAATTCTCTTATAGTTTTTTTTTTTTTTTTTTTTAAATTTTTTTTTTTTTTTTAAATTTTTTTTTTTTTTTTTTTTTTAAATCTCAATAGAAGATGTCTATAATTATTTGGCCTAATGAATAGAATTTGGCCCAATGATATTGCAAGCTATACAATAGAAGTGAGAAAACTTTTGTGATCCAGATAACTTAAAATTGAGATTTTTCGTTATCCACATAAGCGAGAAAAAAATACAATGGAGGCTTCTATTATCCATATAAGTGATAAAAAAACAAGTTACACCTGGTTGGCTTGTAAAATCTATTGATTTCACATTTCTTACATCCAAATTAGTATTTAATAATCTTTTTAATAGAAAATTTTCTTTAATATTATTACATTTGTGTATGTTCTTGTATGAGCTGGGAATTTCATTCTTGCGCTTTTTCCCTTTTGTTTCATCCAACTTTCTCCTCTTTCTAAAATCATCACATTCTGTCTCGTGATTTTCTTGACTGGCTTCTTTGATTTTTTTTTTCCATACTCAGTTATCTCAAAAGTAGATGGATCAAAGATAATAAAATGGAAAAAAAAAAATTTCCCTTGTATTTGAAACTGAAAAGATAGCGATCCACAATTGAATTTTCCTTTATAAACTTTGACCATCCATCCGCAAACCAAATGTTTCTTTCATCGTTTTTTACCTTCACTTGCCATTCATATCCATTAGGAGCACAAAGTCTTGGCACATCAGAAATTCGATCTGATCCTATGCTCTTAACGAGTAACCTTAACGGAATCCGCTGAAAATATTATCCCCACAAATCAAGAAGTTAAAGAAAATATAATCAAGAATTCAAGAATCAAGACTCTACGACCAGAATTGGATGCAGAAGCAAATTAAAGATTTAAGTGAAAGAGATAAAAATAAACCATTTTTGTGTGTTAATTACCATTCTCTTGTCTTCAGTTATCTTTTCAGAGATCACTCTAAAGAAATGGCGGCCAGGTGTGCTCTCCAGCTATGGAGGTTTTGACTCCTGGTGAGGTCTTCCTCTCCGTCTCTTTGATGTCCGGCCAGGCGATCTTCTCTGTTCAGCTGATAGCCGGGAAGTCATTATTGTTTTTGTAATTCTTGCAGAGTTTTATGGCTTCTCAGCCTGATATAAATCTTGCAAGACAGAGTTTTTACTTTTTATAAAGTTATTTTTCTGAGGAAGATACACATTTTATGGTTTATAATATTGAGCAAAGGAATGGATCTGATCCATTATCAATGTACCGGAATTGTTCCATTCCATTCATTAAAAATTTCTTCCATTTTTAATATATTGGGTTTTGCATGTTTTGTCAACCAGTAAATTTAACAGCAATATTTATTTTCTTTAATTCATCTTCTCAGAAGAATAAACTGAAGCGATTTAACCAATCTCTCGGCAAATTTCAAATCAGTGTCAGATGATCTGATCAAGTATTGCCATAACCATATTGGCTTCTGGTCAGAAAATTTACGTTTCCAATTTCTAGGTAGGTGATCTATTATTTGCAAATGGAAGTGAAGATCAGAACATGTGATTTTCTGGTTTTAAATGTTTGCAGTAGCATCGCAAACTGGTCAAAATATGGATCTGTTCTATTTATATTATCACAAGTCACAACAGAAAATTCATTTGTTCTGCTTCCTGAAAAATTCCAAAAATTTCTGACACACACATATATGCGCTCACATTTAAGAAATCTTTTAATTAATCCTTTGAAAGATATTTGAATTAGAAGTGGCAATAATATTTCCAACAAAAGCATCGCACTACATTAAACAAAAAGCTTAATCAACTGAACAATTACTGTATCAGCATCATATATTAGACTGTAAAACCCGTGAAATTCAACAACCCAAAACCTAGACATCGTTCATGATCGGAACACTCTGATTTTAAACAGATAACCAATAAAACTATTGATCAGCTCTAACATCACAACATCTCCTTCTTTCAACATAATGTGTTGAGAAATTGCAGCCCATCCCTTTCCAAAAGCCAAGCCAGGACCCCAGAGACTGATTCTAACTCCGAACTTTCTTCCATCAGGACACACAAATTCTGCTTCTTCATAAACCCTAGTCATGTACTTTGAAGCAAAGCTACTTGGCACCAGCTGCATATATATGTGTACACATAGATTATTAGTTAAGATCTTCTTCATAAACCCTAGTCATGTACTTTGAAGCAAAGCTACTTGGCACCAGCTGCATATATATGTGTACACATAGATTATTAGTTAAGATTATCACAGTGTAAGTAAATAATTAAGTAGTTTAGGTTCTCACCAACATACTCCGCTCGAAGTTATATGATCGCAAGAGAACCTTAAAGGCAGGGTTTATGGGCTCAAACGTATCAGCAGCAAGAATTGCTTTCTTCCTGCCTTCTTTAGACAGTGATTGTATTCTAGAAAATTTCAGGTATTGCTTACTGCAACAGACTTCCATTTTTTCTTTGTTCTCTGCATTTTTATTCCACCACATGTTAATTTAAATTCAAGTTAAAATTATATGAATAAACTTACAGAATCTGGTTTTTAACTTACTATTATTCTTGCATGAGCTGGCCATCTCATTGTCAGTCCTAGGCTTTTTCCTTCTTGTTTGATCCAACATTGTCCTCTTTCTAAAATCATCACATTCTGTCTCATGATTCTTATACTTGGTTTTGTCTTCATTTTTTCCATACTCAGTTATCTCAGAAGTAGATCGATCAAAGATAATAACATGAAAACAAGAACTTCCCTTGTATTCAAAACTTAAAAGATAGCGATCGCGAATTGAATTTTCCTTCACAAATTTTGACCATCCATCGACAAATCAAATATTTTCTCCATCCTTTTTTACCTTAACTTGCCATTCATTTCCATTAGGAACACAAAGTCTTGCCATATCAGAAAGTTGATCTGCTGATCCTACCCTCTTAACAAATAACCTTAAAGGAATCCGCTGGATCATTATCCCGACAAATCAAGAAATTAAAGAAAATATCATCAATAATTCAAGATTCAAGACTCCATTACCAAAAATGGCTACGAAGCAAATTAAGGTGAAGGAAATTAAAAAACACCATTTTCTCTTTAGCATTATGCATGTAAGGAATAATTTAATTATGTGTGTCAAATTACCAGTTTCTTGTCTTCAATCATCTTTTGAAAGATTACTCTGAAGAAATGGAAGCCACGCGGGCTCTCCGCTGCTGGAGGTTTTGACTCCCAGCAAGGTCTTCCACTCAGCACCTTTGGTGGAAGGCCAGGCCTTCTTCTTTGTACAGCTGGTGGCCAGCGAACCATTATCATTTTTTTTTTTTTTTTTTTTGTTAAATCTTACAGAGTTTTAAGGCCTTCTCTGCCATCTGAATTTGAAAGAATGAATTTTTGCAAGAGCTTTTTTTTTTTATTCTTTCTTTTTTTTTTTTTTTTTGACCATCCATCAACAAAACAAAATATTTGTTTTTTTCCCATGTTTCTTACCTTCACTAAAAGAACCATTATCATTTTTTTTTTTTTTTTTGTAAATCTTACAGAGTTTTAAGGCTTCTCTGCCATCTGAATTTGAAAGAATGAATTTTGCAAGAGTTTTTTTTTTTATCTTTCTTTTTTTTTTTTTTTTTGACCATCCATCAACAAAACAAATATTGTTTTTTCCCATGTTTTCTTACCTTCACTTTCCATTCATTTGCATTAGGAACACAAATCTTGCTAAATCAGGAAGTTGGTCTGATCCTACGCTTTTAATAAATAACCTTAACGGAATCCGCTCAAACATTATTCCGACAAATCAAGAAATTAGAGAAAATATAATCAAGAATTCAAGATTCAAGACTCCATGACCAAAACTGGCTACAGAAGCAAATTAAGGTGAAAGAAACTAAAATAAATCATTTTCTCTGTAGCATTATGTATATGTAATGTAAGGAATAATTTATGTGTGTTAAATTATCAGGATCTTGTCTTCAATTATCTTTTGAAAGATTACTCTATAGAAATGGTGGCCATTTCTGTTCTCCATTTCCAGAGGTTCTTCTCTCCCTAGTTGTTGGTGTCGAGCCATTATTAATTTTGTAACTCTTAACAAAATTTAATGGCTTCTCTGCCTCCTGATTTTGAAGTTGTGAATGTTGGAAAAGAGAGTTCTAGAATATTTATTTTTTTCTAAACATTCACTTTCATGGTTTATTGGCTCCGGAGCCTTTGGCACGCGTGTGGCGCCTAGACTTTGCTCATAGCCACGGCCAGCCTGGTTGTAAAGTCTGAGCAGGTTCTGTCTGGTTATTTAGTATGTATTGTTGGTGTTCTGGTTCAGGTGCTGTTGTAGTCTGTTGTCTTGTTTGGTCTAGGGTAGTCATATTTTCATGTGTTGCGTTTCAGGTATAGTGTTTGTGTGTTCTGAAATCTCCAATTCCAGGTTGGCGATTCTTCATGGCATACATATTCAACAACAGGAAACAACAAGCCCGAATTCAAGAGCGGTCTCCATCCATGGACAGAACCCTACTCAGAAATGAATAAAATTTCAGCAATTTAGCTTTTAACTTGAGTTGTGTCATGCAATTTAAAACCAGGAAAGAGCGAGGCCACCTAAATTTGGGTGAAAGTTGGACAAACAAGGGTAATTTGAGGATTTCACAAAACCATTTGAAAAATTTTTTTAAAAAAATTACTGGAACCGCCGATTCGAATAGGTAGAACACTGGTTTTAGCCGTTTAACATAAAAGTTAGCTCCGCAGGCTAGACATATGGAAAGAGCTTTCAAATTCGATCTGAGTTTTAAATGTGATTGACCTTCGAGCCATAATCTCTTTCTTTTTTCTATATTCACCTACCCATAAAATTAAAAAAAATGAGAAAAATTAGAATAAAGTTCATGCTAAGACTTATATGAAAAATTCACTAAAAATAAGTGTAACCTTTAAAGTTCTTAAATTACCCTCATTCGAATATTTAAAAAAACATTAAATAATTAGTTAAAGCATTCTAATTGCATGAGAATGCTCGACTTGACAATTTTACTGACATACACACTCCAAATGGAAAAACAAGCCAAGTTCGTGAAAAGAGCAACAGCCTACATTTGCTCTCATTACATAACAAATTTGCCATTTTTCGTTGAAGAAACGCAGTAAAGCAAAACAGGAAAGATAACATTGCATTTGCATCTATATCTCAATTTTCTCAATGCAGTAATCCTTAAAAACAATTTTGTATATTCTTCTTTTTTTTCCATTCGATACTATACAATAGGTATGTTACGATCTATAATCAGACACTGTGCAATTGAATTAAACTTAATTACAATTTCAAATAACAATTACATTAAACCCATTACAATTAACCTACTGAATCTGATCTTATAACTTACTCTTACACTCCTTGCATGCGCAGCGCATTTCAGTCATGGTCATTTTTCCCCTTGCTTGATCCAACTTTGTCCTCTTTCTAAAATCATCACGTTCAGGATCATGATTTTCACGCCCGACTTTTTCATTTTCATTTTCAAAATCACTGTTTGGATAATTGATTTCAAAAGTCGATGGATCAAAGATAATGACATGAAAGTTTGAGTTTCCTTTATAATCAAAGCTTAGAAGGTAACGATGGCAGATTGAGTTGTCTTCAACAAAATCTGACCATCCTTTGTCAAACCAAATGTATTTATCATTCTTTGTTACCTCAACTTCCCATACTTTTCCATCACGAAGAGACAGTCTTGCTGTTCGTGCTATATCAGAAAGCTCAATTCCAAGTCTCTTGACAAATAACTTTGATGGGATGCTCTTGAAAATCATGTGTTATATTCGTGTATTCCACAAAACATCAAGAACGAAAAACTGTTAGTTCATAAAGAACAGAATAAAAAAAAGAGTCATTAACCTTTTCTTGAAGGATTATCAGTTACGAGTTTCTTTTCTTCAATTATATTTTGGAGGATTACTCTAAAGAAATTGCGAGGAGTGACCTCTGATGAGGGATTTGACTTCCCGAAAGGCCTCCCTCTACCACGTTTTATTGATGGCCAGCAAGATCTCCAGCTCCGTCCACCTCCGGCTGATGGTCGGCGAGCCATTATATGTAATTTCTACAATCTTGCAACTAACTGCTTTCTTGGTTTATAGTAAAATTTTTGCAAAAGAGGCTTAAAGAGCTCTATTTATCTTTGCAAATGAAGGTTAGATTTGGTATTTCCGATTACTAAAATTTAATGTCTTTGAATTTTTTATATTTTGAGTCAAATACACTTAGGTCTATTTATCTTTGTAAATGAAGGTTGCATTTATATTTTAATTATGACTTGGACTTAAACTGAAAATTAAATTTTGAAATCTAAAATTTAGTAACTTATTATTTAGCTAAAAAAGATGTTGAGACATAAAAAAAAAAAAAAAGATGTTGAGACTAATTTTTATATTATTTATAAAAAAAATAAGAATTACTTCACATTCTTTGGTAGGAGTTCCAGCTTCCCATTTCATACGATATCAAACCAAATGAAAACTTTTTTTTTTTTTAAACTTTTTTGTAACTTAATATGAAAATTTAGAAATTAATCTATCAAAGAATGAATAAAAGAAGCCAAAAACAAAAAAACAAAGCCAGAGACCTTTTCGTTTTGGTAGCTGAGAAAAATTTTAAACCTTTTTCAGAACCTAAAGTGCAAAGGAAAAGAAAATGAAAAACAGAGGAAACTGGCAAGAATAAACAACCACCAGGAACATCAGACCAAAAGTTCAATTTTTAACATTCTCCACCAAAAGAATAAACACCAATTCACTAAATTATACAACAAAAAAAAAAAAAAAGATGTACCATTTTCTTGGCTTGTAGAGTATATTCAACCCTTACTTTGAAGAAACGCCTGGACGTTCCTTTTTCCGGAGAAGTAGACCTCAGATGAAGATTCTTGGTGGATTTCTCTACTATCATGTGATCCATTATTGCTTTTTGTTTCGTCATGGAAAGTATTTCTCTTTTTAATTTCCAAGCACACTCAAATACTCTGTTTTCTGCCTTCCTCTGTTTCTTAGAGTGCCAAAAACCTGTAAAACCAAAGCCATCAGTCAATATCCAAAAAATAAGGTGGTCGCACATAATAGTAAATAATAAGGCATGAAGTTCATGGGAATTTAATGATGGATGCCTCTGTAGAGCTCTTCTGTTTCTCATATTCGACATAAAGTGATACTGGAAATGATCCAAGAAATCAGAAAGTACACAAAAGGGAGGGAAAGCCATGTTTTTTGATTTCTTGCTGCTGGCCGCCTGGTCCCATTTCTCTTTCTTTCATAACCCGGTAATTTTATTTAATAGTTAATTAATCCACTTAAGAAATTAATTACAATAAGGTTTACCATAATTGAAGTTTAAAAAATTCTAATGTAGAAGAGTAAAGGTTTGATTTTTATGGCAAAAAAAAAAACTTTTATCTAATTTTCTTTCGAAGTTGGCAAAGAATTGGACGCAGAGTTGTATTATAATATAATCAAATACAAATTAGTAGTTCTAAGTACTTTGATTAATTCAGTTGATAGATTATGAAAGTGATTTTAAATGGGTTCCTTGGTTTATATGCACACTATTAACTCTCCTATGCTGGCTTCAATTTGAATAATAAAAGGATTAAGCTTGACAGGGAAAATTTCCCACCCAAATGACTTTGCAAGATAGGTAATATTCATTTTTTTTATGTGATTAATAGAAAACTTGCACCATTTGGAGAAATGACAAACAAGCCCTTATATATATATACTCACTCTTACATGACCTTTATATCTTACATTACGAACATTGTTAAAAAAAAAAAAAAAAAAAAAAAAAAAAAAAAAAAAAATTTGCACCATTTGGCAGAAATGGACAAACAGCCCTTATATATATATACTCACTCTTACATGACCTTTTATATCTTTTACATTACGAAACATTGTCCTTAAAAAAAAAAAAAAAAAAAAAAAAAAAAAAAAAAAAAAGCAAACAACAAAGCTGTACATAATCTTTTCTGGCGTGCAGAGCCAAATTCCATAGCATTACTTGTTAACCAAGCTTTTGATCTGCCCTAATATGCAATACAAGAAGTGAAGCAAAACTGCCAGGAATATCTGGCCCTTAAAAAAAGCTGCATAGAAAGAGAACAATGTTTCAACTTAGCCATTATTTTCGGGTTGGCAAATCTCAACTGCCATGAAAGATTGAAAACTTTCAGCCCACATAATTATAAAAAAAAAAAAAAAAAAAAAAAAAAAAAAAAAAAAAACAAACACAAGCTGTACATAAATCTTTCTGGCTAGCAGAGCAATTCCATAGGCATTACTTGTACCAAGCTTTGATCTGCCTAATATGCAATACAAGAAGTGAAGCAAAACTGCCAGAATTATCTGCCCTTAAAAAAAGCTGCATAGAAAGAGAAACAATGTCAACTAGCCATTATTTTCGGGTTGGAAATCTCAACTGCATGAAAGATGAAAACTTTCAGCACATAATTATTTATCAGCTCAAATAGACAGACATCTCCTCCCTCCAAGGTATTCTCCCTGCAAAATATTTTCCATCCCTTTCCTAGTAAACTTCGTCCATATCCTTGCTGAAGGAGACACACTGCCCACTCTTTTCCATCAGAAACCTGAAGTTTAATGTTCTTAGGACCTCTACTCAAATACCTTTTGGCAAACTTAGAAGGCACATACTGCAAAATAAGAAAAAGTTTCAGCTAAACTAATTTGAAAAGTGAAACTAAAAATCTTCATCTTAAGCATATAGAATGTAGTAAAGAAGAATTACCAGAATACTGTTCCTGCAATTATATGGTCGCAATAGAACCATGAAAGATGGATTTTTAGGCTTCAACATTCGAGCAGCCTCAATTGCTCTTTGACTTTCAGGAGATGGCTTTGCACATCCAAACATTTCACTAGTAATTATTTCCAAATCTTCTTTATAATTTTCTACTGACTGATTTGCACAAAATATAGAAATTTTCAGCATATCATTTTTTATCAGCTCGAAGAGACAAACATCCCCTCTCTTTAACTTCTTTTCCCTGCAAAGTACATTCCATCCCCTTCCTAAATTCACACGATGACTATCCCAACAAAGATTAACAGACCAATCTCTTCCATCAGAATCCTGAATTTTAATAAACTCAAGACCTCTACTTAGATACCTTCTCGCAAATCGAATCGGCACACACTGTGAAAGAACAAAATGCCATTGCAGCTTACCTTATTTAAAGAACAAACTAAATCTCCATAATCAGTCATATTTTATATAAAGAAGTAAATAAGACTTACCACAATGTTTTTCATTAAACTGGATGAGCGTAAAACAACCATGAAAGATGGATTTTTAGGCTGCAACATTCTAGCAGCTCGGATTGCCTTCTCACTTTTTGGGGACACTTTAACACATTCAAACTTTTCAGAAGTAATAATTTCTGTATCTTCTTCACACTTATGTGGCGACTTATTATTATCTGAGCTTAATAAATTCACTATTTAATAACATAATAAAATCAAAATATGCTTCAAACTATAAAAATAAAAGAAAAAAGCTTACCAAGCTGAACTTTTGAGCTAGACATTCTTTGTTTGTGAAACTTCTCTCTTTTTGATTCATTAGTATCAATGTTAGTTATTTCGACTGCCTCTTCCTTCTCAATTCTTTTTCTCTTCGTGTTAACATTTGGGTTCACCATTGAACCAACACCTCCACATTGCTTCTTGATCCCTGAATTCCGTGCACCAGCACGCCTTTTGCTAGAGTCTCCTCTAGTTGGAGTTTCAACAAACAATTTGCTTTTCAAAGAGTAACTAGTAAATGGGGATGGAATTGCAGAGTTATTTTTGTCCACTCCATTCTCATAAGGAATTAAACAGTTCTGACCACAGACAGACCCTTTATCTGGGTACTTGATTTCGCAAGCAGTCTTATCAAATATGAGAATACTAAAATTTGAGAAACCTTTATATCCAAACACCAGAAAATATCCAGTGCAGATTGAATTATGCTGTACAAAATCATGCCAACCATCATCAAACCAAATGTCACTTTCAGCTCTTGTTAATCCCACTTTCCAATCAAGACCATTAGGGATTATGAAAGTAACAACCTCAGAAAGTTCATCCCCAAATTTCCTCACAAATTTATCTGGAATTCTCTGCGATTAATTTCTTCAATCAAATAAAAATTATTTTTCAAAAAAGAAAAAAAAAAAATTGAACTAACTACATGCAATTAGTCACTTTCATTATTAGTAATTAATCTGTTTGGTTGCTGAGAAAGTAGTAAGAGCAAAGAAAACATGACGCCCTAAAAATTCAGAAATAGATAAAGTAACAACTTATAATCGCATGCATTCAGGTGAAAGTCAGAATTACCATCTTCTTTTCTTGTATTATACTAGGAAGGATAATCTTGAAGAAACTCAGCAAAGGTCTGTCTACAGGAGAATGTGGCAGCCCGCGATGGTTCCCATTGTTGATTTCCACTTCCCTCCGCCAAGCCATGCATTTAGTAAGCTAAAGAAAATCCTAAGCTTGTGATTGCCACAGTGAACACTACACTGTGCTTTTGTGGGCTAAGAATGACTCTTGTAAGCTTTGAAGTGAAATATAATAGTGACTAGCGGCCAAGAACGAAAATCTATGCTGTCTTAAAATGAAAATTCTAATTTCAAGTTAAATAATAATAACAATAATAACTCACCACATTCCATTGCAAGACGACTCGAATGCTTCTTCAAACGACAATGCTAGTAGTCATTTTTGGCATTAATTACCCTCTGCTCGAAAATGCCATTTGGAAACGACAACATCTTTTATGTCACGGCAAATATAAACGAAACTACAAGTCTACGAACCCTGATTTGTCATGGAATCTGGAAATAAATTATAAGGGTTGGGATTATTGCATTTTATTGTTTGTTTTATTATCTTGCTGTAGGCTTCAAATTCTTCTTGCTCGTTATTTTTTTAAATCAGTTTTGCTTAAAACAAAAAATAAAACCACAGGTTTTCTTGCTTAGTTTTAATTTACTGCTTTTGATTCATGGTGGTGAGATTTATGAATGAAAAATATTGATTTTTGCAAATATTTTCAGTTATTACTGTTTTTTTTTCACTGAATTAGATAACTGTATATAGAAGTTTCCAAATTTATTACAATTCATATAGTAGCAGCTTTTTCCGCAACCATCAATCTCTTGCCATTCTTCTGCTTTGGTCCAAGTCACAATCCCTGTTTCTGTGAGGCTCAATTTGCTCCGCAGAAATTATTTTCATAGATAAATTATTTTCCGGAAAGCAAACAAAGGGATTAAAGCTTAACGTATTTTCCTTGTAAACTCGAGAATATTCGAGGTTTATACATTATCTAGCTTTGTTTTATTTTTTTATTTTTTTTCAATTTGCACAATATTCTAAAAATCTTATTATGATAATGCAGAGGCTGCGCAATTAGAATGAGAAGCCTATTGATTTGAAGAGCTACAATTCCCATTTCTTGAACATAGGACAACCAACATAACAAAAGAAAAATATTATTGTACAAAGACTTGAAAATTTGGACACCGTCTGCAGCGAACTCCTGAAAACAACCAAATATCATCAGGTAGTAACATATTAAGACAAACAAAAGTTAAACACTATCTACAATTTAGGTTGCATTTTTGCATTGCACGTTATATAAAAGTGACCGTATCAATGTTAGTCAACCTGAGAAAAGGTAATGTTTGGAATCATAAATTCGTTATCGATGATGCAAAAAAGATCATTTTCAGTCAGTTAACAGAAAAATAAGAGAAGATTAAAAGTACCTGACAGATTTCTGCGAGTCAGAAATCAGCAACTAGTAAATCATGATTACTTTAATGTAGTTAAGGCATTGGGAGTTGGTTAACTGGTATAACATCTTCAAGGACACGAAAAATGGTAACTTTCAGCAGAATGTCCATCGTGTTAACCAGCTCAAAGACACAAACATCTCCCTCCTCTAAACCATTTTCCCAAACAAATTCTGTCCACCCCTTGCACAACTTAGCTTTCCCATGCCCACAGACACAACGGACAGGCCATTCTTTTCCCTTCGAAACCTGAAGTTTGATGTATCGAGTAACTACCAAATACTTTTGAGCAAAGTCATTTGGTATATGCTGCATAAGCAAAATATAGAATCTTTATGTAACCATATTGCAAAGCAAAACATAGAATCTTCATCTTTGTCAAGTGCTCACCAGAAGAAATCCTCTATAAACATAAGATGGTCGCAAGATAACCCTGAAAAAGGGATTATTAGGCTTGAACATATCAGCAGTAGAAATTGTTCTTTGTTTCTCTTCTGGTGTTACAGGTCTCCACCTCCTTGTTAGAGATTCAGAAGTGATTTTTAGACGACGTGAGTTTTCATAGGCTTTCTGTTTGATTTTTGGCTCATATTTATCTGCAATTTGAATGAATTAGTAATTGAAAAAGTGAAATTGTAACACTCCATAAAGAGTACATTTGAGTTTGTAGAGCTTACTAGGATCAGTTATCTGTCTTCTTTTTCTAGTTCTCCCATCTGCTTCCCCCATGAAAGATAAACCAAATTTGTCAGCAGTACTTGTAAGCTCACTCTCATTGAACTGTACACCTATGTCCCGATAAGAGTGAAATTTCTCTACCACATCATATGCATCCTTTCTTTGAATCAACCCCTCTCTGCTGACCTCATAGTTACCAGATGGAGTCCAGGTGCAATGCCCATATTTACCAAGATAATTGCTTCCTGGGCTATGGGATGTAGAGCCAGAACCCAAGATTTCCATGAGGCGATCATTTGTCAGATGTTTCTTCTCAGCAATATTTTGATTATCTTGAAATTTTTCCTGCAAACTACTGGGAAGATTACATGGATACCTTATCTCGGAAACTGTCAGATCAAATATGTAAGTGTTGAAGTTTGAATCCCCTCCATATTTAAAGACCAAGAAATACCCAAGGCGAACGGAATAGTATTCTACAAATTCATGCCAACCATTGTGGAACCATAACTTGCCATCTTTTTTTTCAAGCTCCACTAGCCAGATACGACCATTCGGAACAGTGAGGGTAGCAATAGAAGAAAGTTCATCTCCATATTTCTTGACAAACTTTTCTGGGATTTTCTGTTGGCATAGAAATCAAGTCACACTACATATTGATAAAAACACAACTTTTTAAAGGCCAGAATATCATATTCTAACTGTGACATCCAGAACTTTTAGAAACTTCCTAAACTTCACTTAGATGATCCGACATCAAAATCTTTATTATGTTGAAGAATTAGTGCAGCATAAAACGAAAAAGGATGGCTCATAGTTCCTGGGATTTGACAACCAAAAAATAAAGTAGCTTGTGAAAAGTGCCATAAGTATATAAAAAGGCAGTAACCTCAAATTGGAAGCATATAATAATGTTTTTTTTTTCAGACAAAACTTAATCTACAGTTCTACAATGCAATGAAAGACCCGTACATATTAGTCTGAACTAAGGAGACGTTCCTCAGCACTGCAGAGGTGGGGATAAGAATGATGAGAAAACGAAAATCATCCAAGACCAATAGGAAATAAAAATCACACCATACAAAAGGACAACAAAAGTAAAAACAAAGACTCAGTAATTAATTGATCAATCAGCTTAAGCTCAATGGCAGTACAGCCGTTTCTAGAGTTGGAAGGTTGCGAGTTGCGAGTTTAAACACCACAATCACAGCGTAATTAACCAAAAAAGAAATTGGTAAAATGACCATGCAAGAATTCCCTATGAATGAACTATTAAATCTTGTCTAGCAATTTCTTGATTTTCCCAGCAATCAAACACAGTTTCAAGACTTCTTGATTTGAATCACAAGGTCAGAGTAAATAAATATGTTAAAGCTAAGCTGAAGTCTGCAAAACAGTTATAATCCAAATATTCCCACCAACCAACCATACTCCGTCTTTCAATTTTACACACACGAGAGGGAGGGAGAGAGAGAGAGAGAGAGAGAGAGAGAGAGAAAACAATATAATTGCGGCTGAGGCTGATCAAACACAACATGCGATTATTTTAAAATAAGTTAAAATAAAATGGACTTCCAGAAGCTTCTAAAACATGGGTTTCGAATTTTCTCAGTTACCAAACAAATCAAAAGCAGTAACAAGAAGAAATGCGAGTGAAATGAGAATACCAGCTTCTTGTCCTTGAGAATGGAGGCAACCATCAACTTGTAGAACATGCAACTTCCTTTTGCCGGAGAATCAGGCCCCTCCGGTCCGTCCAACCGTGACATTGTTTTTTCTCAGATATTTTCTTCCTTTGCCGGGAAGTTCCTGTTGATCACCAAACAAAACATTTCTTTTGATACCTGTGCAATTTAATAAGAACAAATAGGAAAATTTTTTGGTGCCAAGTGCTAACAAATTATGGTGTACGAATCACATATCTACCTCACTAGTTAGAATCAAATCGAACGGTTATTAGATGCTGCTGTTATTGCTGCCTATTGGATTTCATGCGGGACCTATATGATAACTGATGTTGACTTCTTCTTGAGTGAGACCTGAAAAAGATTCAAGGTATTCCAATAGTATACATATGAGACACTGATGCCTCTCCGAAACTTTCAATTTATAGAAAAACATTTACGATTTTTTTTTATTTTATTTTATTAATTTAGAATAATTGTATGAAAACAGAACACCATGCATTTGAAACATTACTAAAACTATATAATTAAATTCTAAAAAATAATAAAAAATATCATAATAAACTAAATCAATTATTAAATAATAATAATAATAATAATAATAAAGGAACAATATATTATTGAACTGTTGAATGTCAAATCAACATTGTAAACCTACATTTAAATTAACAATATCTATATGTAGTATAATTATCAATTGAAAATAATGATTTAGACTTTTTTTTTCTTTATTTTGTATATCTTTTATTTTTTATTTTAAGTATATATAATTTTCTATTTTATATTTAATACCTCAAATTAAAACTTTTACTAATAAATATATCCAAAAATTTTAAAAGTGTCCTTGGTGCCCTTTTGAAGTATTCAAAATTAAAAAAATAGTATGACATTTTTAAATATTTAGTACATATTTGGATGTCGGTTGCGATACAACTACAATTTGGATTCATTAAACCTTTTAAGGTATCTTGCAACTTAGCTTACGCGTGAAACTTTATTTTGTTGTTCCTTTTTACGTTAAATCTACGTTGTGTTAAGCTTTGTTCCCATAAAAATCTTTACTATCCTTTTGAGATTTACTAATTTTTAAAATGTGTGATGCATGTTTTTTATACTGTTACTCATATTTATGATTTTTAATTAATTTTTTAATGTACAAGATTTCATATTGAATTTAAGGATTAATCCTTTATTATCAATAATAAAATATTAGTCCTTAAAATTAGGGGTGAATCGACCGAACTGATTCATTTCAGTTCGGTTTGGTCAACTATTCAACGAAAATTTGATTTGTTGGTTTATTCGATTTGCAGTAAATTTATCATTTAATTCGAGTCGGTTTAATAGACATCGATCGGTTAGACTTAAAATGGAATTGACATGACAAAGACTGATTGAACCAATTGATTTAATTTGAGTCAATTTGGTTCAATTCAAATGTCAATTTTGATTCAGTTTAATATGTAGTCCAAAAACTTCAATTTATATTTTTATCTTGATTTGAACCGAACCGACCATTTACTCCCAACTACTTAAACTTCCTAATTGAGTTAAAATAGAGTTGAAATGTTAGTTATTGTTGCGCATGGTTATTCTCCTCGTGTATACTTTTATATATATATATATATATATAACTGAGAACCAATTGATTAAGAGCAATTGGCAATCAAATGCAATGATTCAGTTAATATGCCTAGTCTCCAAAAACTCAATTTATATTATCTTGATTTGAACCGAAACCGACTCATTTACTCCCAACTACCTTAAACTTTCCTAATTGAGTTAAAAATAGAGTTGAAATGTTTAGTTATTGTGCCCGCATGGTTATTCTCCTCGTGTATTATACTTTTACTATATAATATTATATATATATATTATATATATTTTCTCAAATATATATATATATATATATATTTCTCAATAGAGTTACATTAGCAATCTAATGTATGCTCCAAGATATAAACAATTATTAAAACATAACATTTAATTAAAATAAAAATTTCCTAAATAAAAATTAATCTAGTTTATGTAATATACTCTTCTCCATTTGTATTTTTATATGTACTAGTTTTTTTCTGATATGTGCTGTGCATTAACTATGCTCGTTATATACTAATTTTTTCTACTCATTTAAATTTTTTTATCTATATAATATTAAAGCATAAATTCTTATTAAGATTAAAATAAATATAATGGCTAATTTATATTACATGTTACCCTAGAAGCTACTTGTAATGGTACTTCTTATATATCTAATTTTATTTTTATATAATGGAATGATATCAAAATAAGTTCAATGTAATCTCTAGATCTAATCCTTCGACCTCTAATTTATAAATATAGATTATTAAAACCCTAATAAGTGCAAAAAAAAAAAAGTCATCACTTAATCTCAAACCCTCGCCGACAATACCAAATCAATATCTATATACAACTATAATAATAATAAAAATAATAAGTAGGGGTTGAAGGATTATATTATATTCTTATAATATTTAATATGTACCTTTTATAGTACAATATAACCAATAAAAAAATTAATTATAAAAATTAAAAAAATAACAAAAAAAATTTAATAGTAGAATAGGATTAGGATAAACTTTTATACTGTTTAAATGTAATTATTGTTATCAAACTTCCATTGTTTACTTACTTTCTTAAATTAAATATTACCAAGAAATGAGATTGAATTGTTATATTATTTACCATATTTAAAGTATACATATTTAAAATATAATATATTTTTTATTAAATTAAAATTATATTTTTTATTATAATTTGATAAAATAACTATCTCATTATCAATTAAACTAACTCCATATATACCTTTCTTAGTTTATAATCATAATTTTCTATGTCAATAGATAGATAAATAAGAAAATAACAAAATTAAATTATCTTTATTTTTTAATCAATTAATCAATAAAATTAAAATCTTTAAAGATTATTATATGCTTATCATATTTAACATATACCTTATTTAATATATAATATAATTTATTATTTTATTCAACAGAATTTATATTTAAATGAAAAATTAATATTAATCTAAATTAAGTTATCTTTATTTGTTCAACCAATAAATTAAAATAGTATATTCTTACCATATTTAATGTATACCTTATATAGTATAAAATAAAATTTCTTAATTTATCCATAATTTAAATAAAAAATTAATATAACCTTACATTACCATGATCTTTCAACCAATAAAATTAAAATTTTTGATATTTTTGTCAATTCATATTTAGTATTGGCGTTTTTGACTATCCCAATATTTCTCTACTCATTCCTAGTTTATATATATATTAATTAGTTTTTCAAGTCAATTGCTTCAAATTTCAACCACAATTTCAGCTCTAGCGATTTTCAAATATTTACTGTGACATTAAAAAGAAACAAAATAATAATAAAGAGAAATAACTTTTTAAATAGCAATTAACTATTGATTTGGTGTATGAGAAAATGATATACATGCGAGTTGTAATGTAATTAAATATATTTACATTATAGCGTTTATATTAAAAATGAATTTGATATATTAACTTACATTCTATTACAGCTTCTCAAATGAAAATTTAAAGAAAAACTTTTTTGAAGTTCTCAAACTAAAATTATTGATTATAATGCATAGGAAATTGTTTTTTTTTTTTTTTTTTTTAATTTTGATTCCTCAACAACTAAAATTATTGATCGTATAATGCATAGCGGTTAAATTTGTTTTTTTTTTTTTTTTTTTTTGTATTTTAAAAAAAGATTCTAGAATATATTAAGCCATGAAAATATATTTATTATTATTTCTTAGACAATTTTTATACAATTGAAACTTAACATAATCCTATACCAGTATTTTTTTTTTTTTTTTTTTGTAATTTTAAAAAAGATTCTAAATATATTAGCAGAAAATAATTATTATATTTCTTAGACAATTTTATACAATGAAACTAACAATCTATACCAGTAGAGAGACTGTTATGGAAAAGAAAAATGTTCTTTCAAAAAGAAAAAATGTACAATGGTTAAAATGATATTCTACAAAGATGTATAGGATTTGGGTCATATCAAATACATGATCATATCAAAGGACTAATATGTAAAAAAGATTAAAATGTTTTTGGAGGTTTTTTTATTTATTAGAAATCCGGTAGGTCCGAAAAACATCGTAACTACACGACAAGGATAACCCTCCTCCCTATACATCAAATTGGTGAAAACTCTTATAATTAAGAGGTTTCGAACCTAAGATCTCAATTCCTCAAAAAATTCATAATTTTATAAGCAAAAAATAATATTAATGAGATAAAAAAAATTTGAAAATAAAAATACTTGATTGCAAAATGTATGGCAGAATATACAAATTAACCCCTTAAACTTTACAAGGAAAAATAATAGGTAGCATTCAAAAAAAATAAAAATAAAAATAAAAATAAAAAAAAGCTATCATACTCTTTTTGACGACATTGTCCCCTGGCTGATGGTTGAAAACTGTGTATTGCACGTGTAATGACATGAAAAAACTGACAAGTCCTCTTTTGACTGCCTTAGTCCTTTCATTTTATCTTTTGCTTTTTTTTTTTATGCTCAAGAATTTTGATAATTTTGTTTTTGGATTGAATGAATGTGCATGGCTATTGATTTAGGTTAAGAAGAGAAAGCAAGACTCGATCAAGAAAGGAATTGATTTGATTGGTTTGTATTCAAGAAACCAACTTGTAACCACCAAACAGAATGCTGTGATGATCATTTGAAATCAAATGATCTTCATTAAAAAAATCAAAAGAGCTAATACTTAAAAATCCATGGAAGCAATCTCTCCGTAAAAGTAAGGAGAAAGCTGCGAACATTAACACTTCTCAGAAATCACAAATGTAGGATGTTTCGTACACTGAATTACTCCCTTCATCATAGGATGCTTCGTACACTGAGTTACTCTCTTCATCACTAGGGTGGTCAAAACATCAAGTTATAGACATCAAACAACGATCGAATATCTTAGTATGAAAACCAGAGCAATGATAATCACCCAAAAGGAAAAAGCTGCCTGACAAAGTTTCTTAATTCAGATATTTCCCAGCCATCAAAATCTATCTTAGCTTGTTGAAGCAAATATTTTATTTGTCAAAGTCGATCCATACGTCCAGCACTTTCAAGAACACGAAATACAGTAACTTTCAGCACAATATCCCTTGATCTCAGCAGCTCAAAGACACAAACATCTCCTTCCCCCAAATTATTTTCCAATGAGAATTCAAACCACCCTTGGCTTAATTTAGTTCCACCTCCCCTATAAAGGCATCGAACAGGCCATTGTTTCCCATCAGATAACTGAAGTTTAATGAGTCCTGAAAGCCCATGCAGATGCCTCTCGGCAAAGCAAGATGGCAAATGCTGCACAGAGAAAAGGAGTTACATTATATGCTATGCATAGCATGCTGTAAAATGAAAGTAAAAATAGCAGAAGACTCACCATAATGTATCCCTTATATAGGTAAGATGGTCGCAGGACAACCCTGCAGAAAGGATTAACTAGCTCGAATGTTTTGGCTGCAATTATTGCCCTTTCTCTTTCTTCAGCAGTCACACTTCGCTTTCTTGCTGAAGCATTTCTATAAAATCCAAAGCGCATGTGACCTTCATCTTCTTGATGAGTTGATGGCTGCTGGTCATCTGCAGTTTCATTGAATCAATAAAGATGAGTATTTTAACTTCCTGAGGTTTAACAAGATGATGAGGCATACAACTTTAATGAACTAACTAGAATCAATATTCTGCTCCTTTCTGTGAACCTTTCGAATCTTCTTCACTGATTCATCTGAAAACTACAGTGTCACATCATCTGCAAAATTTCTGACACTCGATTGAATTTAACTTAATATCTACATCTTGACATGGTTTAGACGACTTCTCTGCTAAATCAGCATTCTTTGAAGAGTGCAGATTTTCTTCATCAACAAAGAATTGCAGCCTCACATCTTCAGAATCTTGATCTGAAGATTGTGATTTAAAAGAACCCCCTAATGGACGGTGGCTTGCTTTATGATCCACATTCCTCCAGTCCATATGTTTAGGTGCATTATGCAGCAACGGAGCTTTACAGGTTTTGCTCATGGTGTTTTGGTTGAAACATTCATTGAAATTCTTGGGTTTACAGGTATCAGAAGAGAAGCAGGTAGGAGTACAATCCAAGATTTTAACAGAGTCATCACCTTCCATTTCATCAAGCACATGATGCTTCTCATCATCCTTAACAGGCTTTGTCACAGTGCGAGCATCTTTTATCTTATGAGGCATCAAAACAAACATGTAAACACTAAAATTTGAATTCCCTTCATATCTGAATCCCAAGAAATGGCCAACACAAATCGAGTAGTGCTCAATAAATTCATGCCAACCATTACAAAACCATAATTTCTGGTCAATTTGTGTTACTGTCACAAGCCACATTCTAACATCTGGAACAGTCAGCGTGGCAAAACCTGAAAGTTCTTGGCCAAATTTCTTAACAACAAACTTCTTTGGAATCCTCTGGACTTGCCAACAACCATTTTAAACTATAACTTTTGCAAGAACTTTTACTAAATATTACGTTGCACAGGATTGGATTTGGCTTCAAAAGAGCCATACAAACAAAAATTACTGAAAGACTTGTAAGTGTAACCATAGTTCAAGTGAAGCAGAATAAACAAGAAAAAAAGAATAAACAAATAAACAAATCAACAAATCAAAGTGAAACAAGCACCTTGAGCCTTAGAGACTACTTGTACATTACTTGGAATTTTTTTTTTTTCAGTATGAAAATTAGTTTTCCCAAAAGACTGGGGATTTCTTTTTCTTTTAAATGGAGGCATATTTAGGATAGACTGGTGCTTAATTTGCCAATTTTAACCTAAATCAACTTAGAAATCACCACGCACTTTTCTGGGCTTTCAAGGATTTATCTGATTTGGCACAATTTGAACATAAAGTTCCATTAAGGAAACTAACGAATGAAATCACTAGCCAAAAGAACTTCCACTAAGCAAAGAGAGAGTTCACAACCAAAATTTTGTCCAAAAAAAAAGGTGCAGATTTCTTTTTCAGATAAACCAAGATTCATGCACTATCTAAGAGAAGTATATCCTTAATTTTATTTTTGATGCTAAATATAAAAGATTCCATTAATTCAAAGCAGAGTTACAATGTAACAAACCAGAATTCAAGAACAAAAAGCACCAAAAAGGACAAAAATAAAATTAGAACTAAAGAATTAGCGTGTTGTACAGCAAAGGACCTAACTTTGACATTATTTTTCACGCCCAAAGGAAAAATAAAATAAGAGACGTTCTGCTTTTTATATCTATTTATAAATATCTTTTTAAAGGGCCAAGAAGAAGGAAGAGGAGGAGGAGAAGTTAAGAGAAAAATCCACCTCTGCCACCCTTTGTGCTTATTATTTTATTTCACCCCAACAAAAAGAAACAGGTAATAAAAAAAGACTTGCAGTTACCACTAACCAGCTTCTTCTGCTGTAGAATGGAAGGTACCATTAGCTTGTAGAACTGGCCACCACACTTATCGACTTGAGAATCTGTCATTTTCCCAGCTCGAAAGTCTCAGGTAAAGGTAGTGATGATCAACATTTTGTCAAAGAGAGCCCCAGTTAAGCTGGGATGGGTCCAAAAACTACTTGAAGAAGAGAGATTACTATCAGATAGTCGCCGAACACAGCCGTAAGCAAAAGTATCCCACGCCACTCTCGCCTTGGAGTTTGGGATGGACGACTAAAATCAAAATAATACTCCCGTTGTATTTTGTTTGGATAGCTTGATAAAATATGAAATTTAGTAAATAAATTTTTTTTTTTTTTTGACCTTTACATATAAATTCAGATATCTTATAAATATTTTGGACATCTAAAAAAGGGAATAATAAGCAAATAAAATAAGATTGAGAGTAAAAAAATAATGATTACTTCTTTTTATTAAAATAGTGATATTGTGATTATTTAATATAAAAAAATAAAACAATTTTTAAAAATATTTATTTTAATTGATTTACAAATTGAGCATATTTCATCTAAAAAATATATCTAATTAATTATTTTTCAAACCTAATTATATATAAGTATTAAATTGAACATAATTCTCTAATATATTTTACTAGAAATATTATATTTAATATTATATTTTCAAGAAATTGGAGCTACCACATTCCTTCATGCATAAAAATTTAGTTTCTCCCTTTTCCATCCATCACCTAGTTTTCTCAACATAGTTTTCACCCTCCTGTTCAGATATAATAAAAAATAAATAAATTTATTTTCTTTTGTTTTGAAAAATATAAAATTTTTAGATGAAAGAAAATGAAAATTTAATAATTATCCCCTCATTTATTTTCAAATAATAATAGGACATTCAAAAAATTTTATTAATTATTTTAGGGTATTTAAATAATTCAATAAAAATAAATAAAATTTTTCACTTTTCTCCATTGTTTTCTCTCCCAATTAAAAAACATGTGAAGTAACATTTTCCAAACAAGGATTTATTTTTGTTCTTTCAAAAAAATACTCCCTCCAAACACAAGTAAAATTTTTTTTTCCTTTTTACCTTCTTTTTTTCTCCAAATTGGCACACTAGATATTTAAAAACAAGTATTGATGCAAATGCCTTGTTGAGGCTTTCCTGTAAGCCCATGTCAAATGATTAGTGAAACTTTACATCCTGTTTGCTAACCTGGAAACAAAAAAGCCATGAATTGTAACTTCAGATCAGAAGAATACTCGCAGCTACCAATTTACTGCCATTAGAACCAATCTTAAGGCCAAATCAGGCTTTTGAATAACAATTTCACTAATGATTACATTATTACCGGAGTTGAATGCTTCATGCTCTAGCTCTTGAGTGTACTCAAATAAATCAGAAACGCCTTGGAATATATTAATACTAATAAATCATCGATAAATTTAACACGGACCAAAGAAAATCTAAGAGAGGGAGAACGCAGGTTGCAGAATCCTGTTTTACAGTTGCCAACTCTACCCACAAAACATAAATATAATGGAACAAAAGTAAAAGAGCGAGGAAGAAACCCCAAATTGGGGTGTAAAGCTGAAGTCACAGCATCAAGCCTCCTATTATCACACATCTAGAAGGGAATATGAAACAAATAGCAAATTTTAGATAACCAAATTCAATGCTAGGAAATATACAAAAACTATTCGATTTTGTATTGTTTTGGGGCAAACATGACTATACAAAATTACATGTTGGCTACATGAACTGGAAACTGAGACCGGAGCATTTTAGCTAATTCAACACACCTGCAAAGCACCAAACAAAACCAAGCAATATATTCGAAGTTGATTGAATTAGTTTCCGTATCACATTCCCCACATATGATGTCAAGAAAGTACCTCAAGTTCTCTAACTAGTTCTTCCTTAAAATCTCAAAATCACACCATTAAAGCAGCAAACTATCAAAAAGAAAAAAAAAAAAAAAAAAAAAAGTAACCTCAAGTTCGTCTAACTAGTTCTTCCTCTTAAAATCTCAAAATTCACACCATTATAAGCAGCAAACTATACAAAAAGAAAAAAAAAAAAAAAAAAAGAATTTGAAAAACCATGCGTCACTAAACAATTTAAATTAGCCTAAGATTGCTATGAAAAAAAAAAAAAAAAAAAAAAAAAAAGAATTTTGAAAACCAATGGTACTAACAATAAATTAGGCCTAAGATTTGCTATGCTTATCACTCGACTGGACATTCTATTTACAGGCCTATAAAGCCAGGAAATTATCTATTGAAACATCTAAACAATGGAAAGCTCCACTATTTTGCTCTGAAAAGTAATAGACATCAAACAACAATTGGATATCTTAGTATGAAAACCAGAGCAATGACAATCACCCAAAAAGAAAGAGCTGCCTGACAAAGTTTCCTAATTCCGAAATTTACCAGCCATCAACTTATATATATCTTGGTGCAGCTAATATTTTGTTGTCAAGGTCGATTCATACGTCCAGCATTTTCAAGAACACGGAATACGGTAACTTTCAGCACAATATCCCTTGATCTCAGCAGCTCAAAGACACAAACATCTCCTTCCCCCAAATTATTTTCCAATGAGAACTCATACCACCCTTGGCTCAATTTAGCTCTACCTCCCCTATAAAGGCATCGGACAGGCCATTGTTTCCCATCAGAAAACTGAAGTTTAATGAATCCTGAAACCCCCTGTAGATGCTTCTCAGCAAAGCAAGATGGCAAATACTGCAGAGAGAAAAAGGAGTTGCATTATAAGTTATGCAGCATGCTGTCAGATGAAAATGAAAATAGCAGAAATAGGTAGTGACTCACCATAATGCAACCCCTGTATAGGTAAGATGGTCGCAGGACAACCCTGCAGAAAGGATTGACTGGCTCGAATGTTTTTGCTGCATTTATCGCCCTTTCTCTTTCTTCAGCAGTCACAGTTCGCTTTCTTGCTGAAGCACTTTCATAAAATCTAAAGCGCACGTCAGCTTCATCTTCTTGTTGAGATGATGGATGCTGCTCATCTGCAGTTTCATTGAATCAATAAATGATGAGGATTTTCACTTCTTGAGGTTTAACAAGGTGATGAGACATACAACTTCAATGAACTTACTGGGATCAAGTTTCCGCTTTTTTCTCCCTTGTTTTTTAGGTTTTTGCATTTCTCCCACTCCATCTGGACTATAAAATTTCACATCTTCTATGCAATTTTTCCCCTCGATTGCATTAAACTGAACACCAACATCTCGAGTATCTTGGTCCACCATGTGTGAAATACTAGCACCCTTTGACAAGTGCAGGTTCCCTTCACCAGACCAATTTATGTAGTTAAGTTTAGACTCATGGAACAAATTCTGCAATGCTGGAGGATTGCAACTTTTTTTAATTGTCATTTGATCAAGACGTTCATCAAAAACCTTACTTTTCAAAGAATTGGGAATTAAGCACGGAGATGAGGAGCTCAAGTGTTCGATAAAGTCATCATCTTCCATCTCTTCAAACACAAGATATCTTCTGCCACTTAGAGCATTAGATTGATAGTTTATCTCAGAAGCAGACAAATTGAATATATGAACAGTAAAAACTGCATGCCCTTCATATCTGAAAACCAAAAAATAACCAATACGTATAGAATAGCGTTCCATAAATTCTTGCCATCCTTCATGAAACCAAAATTTGTCATCAGCTTTTATCAATCCAACAGGCCAAACAGGACCACCAGGAACACTGAGTCTTCCAAAAGCAGATAAGTCATTTCCAAATTTTCTGACAAAATTATCAGGGATCCTCTGCAAGTACAGCTTTTCATTATACTCCATGATTCAAGATTGTAGAAGACACAACATAACTCATAACATATTGGAAGATAAGGTTGTTGCATACATACCTAATAGTTGATAGCCACTCTAAGATGACAGTTTCTATTTAGGATATTTATCAATATTTTAGAAAGCTAGTATTTTTCTAGCAAATATATATAAGAGAGGAAAAACGAAAGCAGTATCATACAATTATGAGATTTCAAAAACTGCTGAGACTACATGGTCATTTACCAGTCACATTTAAATATTTAATATAATCAATGCCTAGTTCGTCACAAAATCTGTAAGGTGTCGCAAGAATTTCAAGATTCAAGAAGTACCAAAATTTAATGGTTGTTAGTGACTGATTGACTATTACTATTAGAAAACATCAAGAGTGAATCTATACAGTTGAATTTCAACCACATATTCTTTCACAAGAGCCACGACATAAGAGTATAATATACATCAAATGATAAAGCACATGTCTATTGCAGGCTCAAATGATTAGTAGAGTGATTGTTCCATTTCTGAACATTCAATAGTAACCCAATGCCTCCACTTGTTTTATAAATTGAAATATTATGTAATAATTCAATACTTGTTCTATTCTAATTCTGCTAATAAATGAGAGTAGACTGAAAATAAGAAAATGACTGTCGCAATTGAGTATATTTAATCCAACAGATGGATGTTATCATGCCTGCTATAACTGCCAAGTAACAAAAGAAACTGGTGCTAAATCTTGTAGCTGAACTATAATGAACTGAAAGAAGCAATTATAATAGCTCAAGAAAAATAGAAGTCCTATAAGCCAGACAACAGAAAGAAATTTCTGACGATAGTAGACAATTGAAATTTGTCACATTTCTTAAACACGAATTAGGAAAAAAAAAATTACAAAGTTGAAAGAAAGAAACAAAAACCCGTGAACTGTCAGCTATTACACTGAACTAAGCCTTGATAGTGGACACTCTTCATCTTAGATTAATAAAGAGAAGAATAAGAATTGCAAGTATCTAAATTCCTGCTATCCCTAATCTAGTTAGTCCTCTGTCAAACAAAAAATTGGGATTGTTATCAAATCCCTAAAGAAACACGTATGAAAAGGATGCGTAAAATAAAAAACACAATCAAAACAATTTTAGACCACCTTTTTCAAATACCCTTTGATCTCATTCACCAAAATAACCTTTTTGGGTTTCAAACTTTTTTACACTTGGCCTCTTAAATTCTGAAGTTTTATCAAAATTCCATTCCACACATAAAGTCACAAATCATCTAGCAAAGACTAACAAGGAAAATTAGAAGACATGTGTATAAAAAGAAACGAAAAATGAAAACATGAAGAGAGGGCGAAAGAGAAAAGATTGTCGTTACCAGTTTCCTGTCTTTAATGGTGTTTGAGAGAATTAACTTGTGAAAATAAGGTCTAGGCATTTTGGGGGATTTTGGGTTTTTGGGGTTTGTGGGTATTATATGAGAGAGAAAGAGAAAGAGGGAGATGGTCAATTAGATCATGATTTGATGATAAGACCGCTAATTGAAAGAGTTTCTTTGATTTCAGATCTGTTTCTCCTCTCTTTCTTCTCTCCCTCTTTCACTACTGGTTTTAGTCAAACAGTGCCTTAAAAAACTCTACTCGACCTAAAAAGTTGAACGAGTTGAGTTCTGACTGACTCACCAGGTCAAATCGGCCTGACCCAATCGAACTCAAATGGCCAACTCAGAAACTCGGAGTTTGTTTTTATTTTCCTTTTTTGGACAATAGTAGCCAATGATTGAAGACATCTTTTGGTTGGTACTTTGTTGTACTTTCCCAATATCAGCCCTTTATTATTTTTCACACAGCTACTACTGATTTTTCTTTACCTCTATGTCAAATATTAGATTGAATGGTACCCATCTGATGATAAGAATTATTTTTTTCAATAATTTCATATATTGATGTTATTGTTGCTCAGCTACCTATTCCAAAAAAAAAAAAAAAAAAAAAAAGTCAAAATAATTAGATTGAATGGTACCCATCTGATGATAAGAATTATTTTTTTCAAAATTTCATATATGCATGTTATTGTTGCTCAGCTACCTTATTCCAAAAAAAAAAAAAAAAAAAAAAAAAATTAAAAAAAAAAAAAAAAAAAAAAAAATTCTCTTCTTTTGATTTCCTTCATTTATATTATACTCGATCAATATAATCAGACAGATTTTAATTTCAAAATAGAATTACACATTTAAATTTATATCATCTTATACGGTTTCATTTCACTCTTTAAAAATAGTCGATTGCATTTTTTAAATTTTTAAATTTTATTTTTCATACATTATATATGAAATTTTTTTGGTTGATTCTCAAAATGCCCCTATCTATCCTTGGTGTGCCTATCATTTCGCTCTGCATATCTATGAATATAACAATACTATTTTTTCCATATTGAGTGATATAAGAAATTAATGCAATAGATAATACTTGCCTTAGTATATGGATCCACATCCATCTATACACTAGGCCAATAAATAATTGCCATTTAAAAAATTATCACCATTTATTTTATTTTTATTAATAAAAAAAACCAATATTCTAATTTTTACCCAATGCTTTTTTTATGGTAAAACCATTTTTTTTGCACATTAATATTTATACAATTGTGTTCTACCATTACAGAAAATACTTATTTGTATCTGATATGTGAATAGATTTATTATAAGGAAAAAGACTAAATTTTGATTATTTGGTTAGTGATTATTAGTTAAAAAAAGTTTAGTAAACATTTGTAAATAGAAATTTTCACCTTGAATGTTATATTTTGCTATTCCACATTGATTTAGAACAAGGTGTTTAGTCAAAATATAAGACTTTGAATATTATATTTTCTTAATTAGTTCCCATATGATTTATGATATGATAATTACGTAATATTAATTTTTAAATTTTTATTACATCATAAATATTCAAAACAATGAAGATATAATGCATTATTTTTTATTTTTATTTCAAAAATCAAAAGGATAATGTCAATGTCAATCCTTATTTTTATGCAATACAGAATCAAATACATTAGTAGCAAATTTCATTTATATACTGATTAATAAAATCTGAGTTATAGGCTCTTAATTAATTTTGGAAGTGTTTAGGTACAAATCAAGGGGAACGAGTCAATGTGATACTAGTGTCTCGTGAGATCAGCTAACTCGGATTGAGTCCAGAACGAGTCAATGACGTTTAAAACGCCGAGTCGAATCGCTAAGGGGCTGCCCTGCCCCACAATTCCCAACTCTGGTCAGTGTAGTCCTTTATTCCATTCGTCTTAGACGAGGTTCTTATGACACGTGTCGATCCAGGGTGGGTTGGGACCATAACCAGAAACCAATGGATGGTCCAACCCAATGACAAGACCAATTATTAGTTTTTTTTTTTTTCAATGGAACCAATAATATTCGGTAAAATTAACTATTTTAGTTAACTCCTAATTATTCTGTTTTATTACGGTTTTATAAAGCTAATCGTTATATGATTAACTTTTTATAAAACAATTATCTTAACTTTTAAAAGTTAAATCAAATATTATATTACTGAACACTATAAAAATTTAATGTTTATTTAAAAAGCTATTACGGAACGTAGTCTTTTTATTTTATTTATATTTTATTATTCTATCTTTATTTAATGTGCATATTTATGATAAGTATATTATTATTGCATCCACAAAAATAAACTTATTTTTGTTTTCCTATGGATAAAAGAAAAAAAGTTAGTTAACATAGTTTGAATAATCAATTTTGCCTATAATTTTTCTAAAATACTTGATATTATATTAATATTAGATATTACTTCCACTAAAGAATTGAATAGTCAAATCTTGGGTTATAGTTCGGTTTGAAAAGTAATCACAGTTCAATTTCGATTTTGGTTCAAAATCATAGATAATTAAATTAATTTTTATGCTCAAAATATGTGATTCTGGTTCAAAATAACCAAACCAATTTGGTTTGGCTTGATATCATTCAGTCCTATTTTAGTTATCGTGAAAATTCATTCAGTCAGACCGAACTAAATCAATTTAGTTTGATTAAACTGAATGCTCACCTGTAATTTCAAATGATAAAATTAAATCAATTAAATACTTATAAATAAATGAAAATATGAAATTATTGTTTCAAAATTGTAATCACAAATCAAATCAAATATTATATATATATATAAGCTAAAAATACCCAAAAAAATTATTACAAAGAGGTGTACAAGATTACTAAATTCAGAACTTTAAGATGCATGATAAATTCCATAAATGCCATAAATTTTTTTTTTTCAAATATATGATTAAACTTACGTATTTAGCCGAATTAAATAGAAATTTCTTGATAAAAAGACATTATTAAATAGAGATATATTAGAGAATTAAGAAACTAATTTTTACTTAAAAACCTAACTTCCAACAACCGTTAACGGGACAAAGGTAAGATTCAACCAGCTTGCATACATAACTGTCTCGCGCGCTCTTAGCAGTTTCGAAGGACACATATACAAGAAAACACCAAATATATATATGTATATTTTTTAAACAATATTCTAACAATCTCCCAATTCTCTGTAATTAGGTTTCTTTTCCATGTTTAACAGCTAATTAAAATTATAAAGAAAATATTTGATCGAATCCTTCATCAAGCTTGCTTTGGAGATCATTTAGATTGTTCACGGTAAATCTTTCTTTTTATCTATTTATTCCTTTTATTGATTCATGAACTGTTGCATTGGGACATTCCAATATTAATCAGAAACTAATTATAATTTTTGTTTTGTGTGGATACTTTTTTTTTTTTTTTTAGACAGATGTTTCTAGTGGCGGATGTGGTGGTGGCGGCGCGATGTGCTGCGATGAGTATTTGGTGTTTAATGCAATGATACCAATGACTGTGTTTAGCCTTTTTTTTTTTTTTTTGTCAAGAAATGATGTTTCAGGTGGCGGAGGTGGTGGTGGCGGCGGCGATGGTGGCTGCGATGAGTATTGGTGTTAATGCAGATGATACCAATGATGTGTTTAGCCCTTGTTTAGATGCTAAAGTAGCAAAATCAGATGGATTTACGTTTGGTCTTGCATTTTCTAGCAAGGAATCATTCTTTTTTGATCAAGTTCAACTTTCACCTTGTGATATTCGTCTTTCTCTTTCTACCAAAACGGCACAACTTTCTATTTTTAGGCCAATAGTTGATGAACTTTCTTTGCTTACTATCAATAGCACCACCTTTGATCCGGTGAGTGAAAATGGGATTAGTTTTCTTTAATTTCTTTCTTTTTTCTTTTAATTTAACATGAATTGCATTTCAAAATCACAACTTTAGAACCGAGAAAATGATTTCCGTCGATAACTCTGGTAGAATTTTGTTCAGAACGTAACTAGTAATATAGAATTTAATTTCAAATGTTTTGTAAATGAATTTCATGAAATTTTTTAGAACAAGCTCTTAATATTCGCTTATAGCATAAATTTTTCAGGTTAAGTTTGGTGGTTATATGGTAGCATTTGCTGGAAGGAAGTATGCAGCTAGATCACTTCCAATTATGATGGCTGATAATAATTTGATTATTACTAGCTTCACTCTGGTAAATGAATGAACAAAGGCATGGTTTTTTTTTTTTTAAAGATGATCTTTCTGTTCCTTTTTTCTAAAATAGCATCCTGACATTTATGTGAATGTGTCACAGGTCCTTGAATTCCAGGAGGGTACTCTTCAGAATTTGTATTGGAAGAATTTTGGGTGCGAAACTTGCTCTAGTGGTTTTGTTTGTCTCAATGAGAAAGATTGTGCAATTCAGACCTCAAAGTGTACCGTTCACGGTGGCTCTATTGACTGTAGCCCGAGTATACAATTAGCATTCTCTGGTACTGACAAGAATCTCGAATCTCTGAATTCGTGGTACGAGGTATCAAATCTCCGGCAATACTCTCTCCATGGACTATACTCGGATCTCCAAGACTCTGTTAACCAATTAACTGGCCAGCTCTAAGAGATAGATATGTATACTCTTTTTTTCAGTTATATTGCCTTGCTATGTGATGCAACAGTTAATTTATCTATATATTGGTACAACAGTTTTGTCTTAATTATGGATTTATTGAATATTGAGGTGTCTGTCTTAATTGTGTAATTCTATCCTGACATGTAATATGCATAATCATTCTAGAATATATAGACTCAGTGATTAAGATGGGAAAATACAAGTGCAACCATTCCAATGCTCCATCAAAGAAGTAATTTTCAATATTGCCAATGAAGATATTAAGAAGCTGAAATCACTTGCCAAAAGTAGTGTATATGTTTCACAAGACTTCAAATATATTTCTCCTTTTATATACAACAAACAAAATTGGAGACCCTAACTATGAATATGGGAGAATATAACTTCAAAAAGACAGCTGACTTTTATGTGATTACTCTAGTGTCAGAAAGTCTCATTCTTCCAGCTTAATAGTAGGGATTACTCTAGTGTCAATCTGCAAGTTTCGTCTGCTTTTCCTTCATCTCATTATTGTCATCACCCTCCATGTTTTCTGTTTTTTCTTTCTGCCTGTTACCATTATCAGAACTGCTATTGTCATCGATATCATCACTTTCATCATCAATATCAATATACTTGCTACTATCAGAGCAGTACACTAGTTTTTCCTTTTCTTCCATCTCAACTTCATCGTCATTGGATTGAAGATCAAAGTCTTCATCGTGGTTCTCCTCTGCACCATCAGTGACAAGATGAGATTCTTTATCTGCAAGGGGCAGTTCTCTCGCTTCAGAGTTGTCTGAGTGAATTTGAGAGAGTCGGGTTTGAATTAGGTAATGTGCCACAGACTTGAAGCCCAGTCCTGTAACCTGAAAAGCAAACCAAAGTTAAGCACTGCATGCTAGCATACCAAATTACCACTCTTGCACTGCATGCTTAATGTGCAGATTAATTTGTAATGACCTTTCTATATAGAGAGCCAGTGGCCACCCATCCTTTTGCCTTCCGGCAAATACTGCAGTTGCAAATTCCGCGACAAACAGGGCAAACCCAATTTGGATTCTCATTGACTTCAATCACATTCTCTCCATATCTGCACAAGATGGAAACAGAACTGACCAAATTGCCAATATTGATGAAAACATAGTGAAAGACTGATTTGTAACTTCATATAAAGTCAGTGCCAGATTCCAAGAGGAAGTCCTCAAATATGAACCACTAAAGGGCTTCTTTAACATTGAGAATGTAAGTAAATACCTCATGTATAAGCAATCTCCACAAAATTGCCCTTGGACAACATTACATTCGCTGCAGTGGGTGTGACGCCCAAGAGTTTTCTGCCTGCAAAAGAGGATGTCATCTCTAAGATCGCGTCAAAAAAGCAAGGCAAATTAAGTTAATAGGTTAGTAAACAAGCTTCTAATATCATCATCTGCATCCAAAAAAGAAAAACATGAATCTGCATGAGGTCTCAAGCAGGAATTAGTGAAACAAACTACACTGGTGACATAACAAACAAGCAAACAGAAAATGCCATAAATAACAGAAAATCAGAGTTCATTGGAATTCAACAAATATATGCCATTTTCTCATTAAATTCCTTCAATTTCATCAATGGAATGTGCATGCATAAAATTGGGGCAAGAAAATTTCCAGGATTCCAAACAACTGAAAAAGCAAACATATTGAGGAAATAGTAGAAAGGGAAAATGTCATAATCTCCAAGAGTAGACAAAATGAAGATTAAAATTAAAATAAAGACAGAAAGAGAGAGAGTTTCGACCACCTGCATTGATGGCAGGTTTCACCATTCTCCGGGTCATATATGCGTTTTCCGTCTGTGCCATATCCATCCACAAATAAAGTCCATGCTGTCTTACAATCACCCAAAAGTTTCTCATGTTCTTCCGTATACACTTCTGGCTTAGAACCTTCTCGCAACTGAACCCCAATACCTTTAGCAGACCCTTTCTTTGCCTTATGGCGAAGCTCTGAATAATTAACTGGAGTCTGACTCTTCAACCTAAAAACCATAAAATAACCAAACAAAACTACGACAGACAAATATCTGGAATTTCAAGAGCAACAGAATCTGCATGTCTCAATTTGATTGGCAAGAAAAGCAGGGAGGGAAAGAAATTTGATATTTTAGCCCAACAAAAAATCCATAGTCTTTTCAGTTGAGCAAAATTCATTTCCCCAACAAAGGACTACAAGGGAAAAGACATTCTTTCAACCAAACAGAAGCAAGGACTAAATCGAAATAAAACCTATTAAAGCTAAGAAAATATGAGACTTTTCTTTCCTTTTCTAGGAACCCAAACAGCATCAAAGAGGGGAAAAAAACCGCACAATAAAAATCATATTTACTTTTAAAAGGTTTTCTTTTCCAAAACCCAAAAACGCAAGCTTTTTTGACAAACCAAACATAATTTTGAAGAAAGAAAAACCTTGAGGAGCGCCTTGGGGAATCGGAGAGGGGCAAAGAAGGTTTGGGAAGTTTCTTCTGACTAGAAACGTTTCGAGGGGTTCTGTTAGTTGAGGCAGAGCGAGACTTGAGAAGGTCAAAAAAACCCAATTTCTGCATCCTCTCTTTGTTCTCTTGGATTCTCTGCTCTCTCAACTTCTCATACCCTCCATTTCCCTCATTATTACCTTCAAGAACCTCTTCATTCCTATTGTCGCTGTTGGCGTTTTCACTCGCCATGCCTACAACAGCTCTCTTTCTCCGTGTCGACACCATTGTTAATTGTTTCTTTTAAAAATGTCCTCTACTGGAGAAGGAGAAGAAAGGAAGAGCTCGTTGCTTTTTCTTCTTGGGTGGCGGGAACAACGGAACAAACGCTGTGGTGCTGTCGTTTTTTAATTAGATAATGTTCTGGAGCGAGTGGAATCCACAGGCTAAAGAGACAAGAACGAGGAATAAAAGGTTGCTACTTGCTAGTTGCAACACGGAAAAATTTTAACTAATACCAGATTTACAAACTCACTCGTGTATCAAATTAATAAGAATGAAATGAGAATAAATTTTTTATTATAACAAAGTATTTTTTACTGTATATCGATTAAAAAAAAAAAAAGGGATAAAATCAAACCCATTTAAAAAATCTTCGGTGACATTAGTTTAGTCCATGGCCACTTCATGAACCCCGTGAAGAAATGTAATTTCCAACTAAATTAATGAATATCAAACTAATGAAAATAGTAATAATTTGATAAAAAAAAAAGAAATAATTTCTATTTTTATTGAGCCTCCCTTATATAAAAAAATGAAATTTTAGTACTTATTTATTTATTGTATTGAAAATATTTATCTATCTATTTGTTAACTTAAGGATTAGGTGATATTCTTGAAATTATGTAAAAAATTAATGTATAAAAAAAAATAAAAAAAAATAAGAAATGGAAAAGTATGACGTTACATCTTAAATCAACAATAGCCTTCAATGCCCATAATTTTCTGTTATTTCTCAACTCATTTGCTTATTATTTCCTCTCTCTCTCTCTCTCTCTCTAATTATTTTATTCTATGATTCAATTGACACAATTTTTTAGCCCCAAACGACACGTCATTCTATATAAATGCAACCTCAAATGATACGTTTTACCATAATTAGCGACTTAAAAATTTTAGTACATTCACTTAAAAACCTTAAACATACTCCATGTCACTAATGTGTGGTCAAATTACTATACAATTCACAGGACAGGAGGGAGCTAAGGCCCGAGTAACAGCCATGACTGTAATCTCAAAATAATCAAAAGAATTTCTGTATGAATAAATCATATACTATTATGGTGCGAAACGACAAGTCAGTCATATTCCTCAGGTTTATGATACCCATCATCATATTCAAGTCAAACGACGTCTTTTCAACAGGGGCTTTAATAGGGATTTGTGGCTGGTCAACGACAGGTCTAAGCATTGATACTATAGCACAAACTCAAAAATTCCAAACGACCATCTTTTGTCGTTTACCTCTACTCAAATTACAAAACCACCTATAATGAATGAACGAATGATACACTGATCCGTCTCTCAAGTATGCATCATTACAGAATCCCCAACACAAGGGCATTTCTTGACTAGGAGCATGATATGCACAAAAGATTTCTATACACTCTAAATGTCGACTTTGTACAGTTACAATTAATATGCTGCATAGCTACATCTCGTGCACCCAAAAATGCCGTATGCATCACCTATCAACATTGTTACAAGTAGATAAAATGCATACGGTAGGCAAAGCCAAACTAATCATCCATCAGACCATCTTGGAAGTGAGATTTAGATACTCTGAGCTTTCATGATCATCCGGTAAGGCAATCACGCATCTTGCTAGGAGCGCGGAACTTGCATCTTCGCATGAAGATCTAACACAAGATTTCGGAGCTCAGGGAAAACTGAGACGAGTAATAGTTCAAGTATCGAATATGCAAGTTGCTTCATACATATAGTGGACTGCAATTTCCAAAAGATTGTCCCAGTTGGTTTCAAGTTAGAATGTAACATATACACACTGTCTCTCTCTCTCTCTCACACACACACACACACACACACACACACATATATATAATGTACAGATGAAGATAGATAATACAAAGCTTCCACAATGCTTCAAGTAAAAAGAACAAAAGGATCAGGTTCAGACTTTCAGTCTCATTATAAATAGAGCAAATGTTTATGTTATGCAAAACTACTCATTTTCTAACCAACCACAAGAGCAAAGGGAAAAAAGGGATAAACAGCCAAACCTGTGTGAAATAGAAAATGTCTCTTGCACATCGTTTGTACTGTTTGGTCCCAATCAAGCCAACTAAGGCTGTTGGTGCTCCATCTAAAAAGTGGCCAACTTTATTAGTTATCTCCAAAACTTTATAAGAAGTTCAAGATGATGATAATATCATTAAGGTTCAAAATTTGCAATCTAATCATGTAAAACAAAGGAAGTAATAGATCTGAACCATCAAAGACACTAGTATCAAAGCTGCCAACTAGCTTAGCTAGTAAATTGCTGGAAGTTTTTAGAAACATAAGATAAAATCCCATTGAACAATGGGATGTGAAGGAATTAAAGAATTGGTAGGTTTAAACGCCTTGTCATGTAACCTAGTCAGTTTTCTTCCCCATCTTTTCAGAAAGTTGATGCTAATGATTTTAGTACTAGGAACTGAAGACAACTTTCTGAGGCTGGCTTCCTGTTATCCACCAACAACTAGCAGCAAAGCACATTGCACAAATCCAAGCATACTACCACACATAGAATTCTCATGGAATTTAAGCATTGGGCGACTAATAATGTTTGAACAGAGGAGGAGGAGGGGGAAGGAAGTCGAAACTATTTGCCACATCTAGAAACCAGTTTAAAGGGTATGATTAGATTTGTCATTGAGTAAAACAATCAAGAGCAGTGACAAGACCTTAAATTTTGAAGTGCCAATACTTATGAGAACTGTACTCACCAAAGAGCATCTTTTTTATATCACTTGCTCTACGAGCAGCTTCAAGCTGCTCCTCAAAGGAACTTTGTTTAGGGGCCTTAGGACCAGCAAATTGGCTAACATCAAAAGGAGTCGAATTTTGTTGACCATCACTAACTGTGCCTTGTGCAACCCCTACTCTTGTAAAGAATGTACCATTCGGCCACAAAGCCTGAAAGTAATCCATTGTTAGATGATGCAACAGATTCTTTGATTCCTGATCTAGCATCAGAAACATCAAATCATATTATTGTTAATTGCCAAACTTATAATCATTAAATCACATAGTACCTTGCAAAAACAATACAAACATGCATATAATATAACACCTTGAGGCCTCAACCCTAGTACTCAAAATAAATAAAAATAATGCACTGATACGTCATGAAATAAAAACTGATGCACATATCCAGTTCTCAAACAAAACCTTGAAAGCAACTAACTGGAAGTACCTAATTCCGTACTTTTCTTCAATCTTTAAGCACCAAATGATGCAACCTTCATAATATATATATATATATATATATAAAGAAACTTTGGTTAGGCCTCATAGACCAGCAAATTGGCTAACATCAAAAGAGTGGCTCGAATTTTGTGACCATCACGAAACTGTGCCTTGTGCAACCCCTACTCTTGTAAAGAACGGGGGTTACCTTCGGCCACAAGAGCCTGAAAGTAATCCATTGTACATGAGTGCAACAAGATCTTTTGATTCGCTGATCTAGCATCAGAAACATCAAAGTGCATATTATGTTAATTGCCAAACTTATAATCATTAAATCAACATAGTACCTTGCAAAGAACAATACAAAACAGTTGATATAATATAACACCTTTAGGCCTTCAAACCCTGAGACTCAAAATAAATAAAAAAATAAGTTGCCACTGTACTTCATGAAATAAGAAAGCGTGATGCACATATCCAGTACTCTCAAACAAAACCGTGAAAGCAAAGCTAACTGAGAGTACCTAATTCGGCGTACTTTTCTTCAATGCTTTGAAGACCAAATATGCAACCTTCATAAGTATAGTATATTAGTGATAATTATATATAGTAGGTATATATAGTATATATACATAATTACCACATTTTATTATTTTCATTGTTGTATATAGAATTTCAAGTTCAAAGCCTTTCCATGAAATTTTTTCATTAAACTTAAGAAGAGTCTATGAGAATTACTAAGTTCACAGCGCTCATAACATCCCATTAGAAACCAGATACAAAGATTGCTAAGCGACCATGCAGATTCCCGAGTATTGATACATTTAAAGCACACATTATATCTTCTAGAATAGCACTATGAAATGCAACAACCCGATCTATATATACATAAATGTACACATTTTATTATTTTCATGTTGTATATAGAATTTCAAGTTCAAAGCCTTCCCATGAAAATTTTCATTAAAACTTAGAAAGGTCTATTGAGATTGACTAAGGTTCAACAGCCTCAGTAACATCCCATTAGAAACCTAGATACAGATGCTAACACCATGCAATTCCCTATATACATAAAGCACACAATTATCTCTAGAATACACTATGAAATCACAACCCCATCACTTAAGGTATTGGTTCAGTACTTACATCTTGCACCCACCGAATCCCTTTAGCAACAACATCCTCTCTCCGAAGCCAATAAATCTGCCTTAAGAGCCAATCATCAATGGCATCTTCCATTATCAACTGTAGAATTTGTTTTGATATCCAAAAGACCTGTCTTCTGCACCAAGGAAGAAGGGTAAAAGTTAAATTCTTTATAATGCAAAAATAATATAATATGAAGCACGCTTGAGCATAAAGAGAAAAGAAACCATAAAGATGTAGCTGGTTGTTCCATACATAATAAAGACGATCCATGATAGTACCCCACAGAACGGCATATATCATAACATACATGTTCCATTGAGAAGTATCTATCATTCTACAGAAAAAGGCAAAACAAAACTAAGCAGCCAGCCAGCATCAATGCCAGGATTCTCCTTGAGGGAACAACAATCGACAATTGAATATTGTGGAGTAGTTACCAAAGGATCAGGAAACCAAAGATTAAGCAAACATTGAAAATAATCACAAGGACAAATTATATGGCCCTAATAGAATTCCTGTTGAGGTTGCAGGAGTTCTGTGGAGATCAGATTGTTCAAAAATATACTGAAATCAAGTGAGATTTTGCCGCTAGATTAATAGTCCAACAGATGAGTGCCCCTTAGCATCCCCAACACACACACCACCTTACTTCCAACCACCCCCCCCCCCCACCACCCCCCCCACCCCCCAAAAAAAATAAAAAAAAAAAAAAGGAACTACCCATAAAAAGAATTTGATATAATTGAAAAAACTGGAAAAACCAAAAGTTGCTTACACTCGTCTTTTCTTTCTTTCAATAATTATCTTATATTTTGCTTATTATTAAAGCACCAAAAACAATTACACTATCCAATGGTGATTCAGCTATAGTACTAAAATCACCAACATGATGGTTTTCATTATTCAAAAAAAAAAAAAAAAAAAAAAAGAACTCCCAATAAAAGAAAATGATAATAATGATAAAAAGGAAACCAAAGTGTACACTCGTCTCTTTCTTTCTCAATAATATTTTAATATTTTGCTTATATAAAAGCACAAAAACAATACACTTCCAATGGTGATTCAGCTTAGGTATTAAATCACCAACAATGATGGTTTCATTTTCACATGGAAAAAAATGATGAAAAACTTTAAGCTAACTTAAGTTCGTATTTGATAGTTAAGATTTTACAGGCCCAGCATTTCTCTTGATGCTACTTATGCATTTTTAGATGTTTGTTTCACACATTTATGAGACAGAAAGAGGAGATTAGATGTGAGGACAATTATTACACCACAAAGCATACCCACTTATTTGGTTGGAGTGAACCAATTTGAATTTCACAGATAGCTTGAAACGCTAACATCTTGCATCATGGCAGGCACTTGACCAAGCAGCCAAGTGACAAAAAGCATAACAATAAGAACCAAATGATGAATAGATTCATTAAATTGATGAAAAAGATTCACCTCAGCCAGCCTCGCCTCTTAAGCTGGAAGACCTTATCAACCAGATTTAACAGAGGTACACTTACATTAGGTGGAGTCCACTGCAAGAAAAAGCAAAAGAGAATAATCTAAAAACAGAGTTGAGATATCATGGACCTCAAAATTTAAGCAACAAACCAAAGAACAGGAAACTCAATCGAGAATTATGGCCTCCTCTTAACAAAAAAAAATCGCTTTTCAAGATTTTTAAAAGGTCACTGAAAATAATAGAAGATATACAAAAAACAATGACAAAAAGGTTCCTAGTATGTAATCTACATCGCAATTTCTTTTATGGTCATCAAAATTGATTTGTCATACTTCTACCGTCACTAACTGAACATCTCCAAACAAAGTTTCTGGTTGAAATGTCTAACATTGCTCGTGAGAAAAAACCAACTAATGAGGTTATTGTACTATTGAAGCCTTCTGTAGCATTCTCCAATCTACAGTCACCTAGGCATATCAGCAATTGGGTACGCCTATTTTTGCAATAAGGAGTTCAGTTCTGCTTTTGCCTTAATAATAAATCCTATAATCCTCTGCTTTATATCTGATATCCAATATCCTTTGCAATTTCTATCAAGTATTACAAAACAACAGTAGTAAAGCACTTCATCAAATTCACGTTTAGCTTTCAAAGGGGCTCCTTGAACACTCCTACCTTGGGGTCAATCGACACACAAGTGTTGGGAACTTTGAATTTGAATCACTCATGCTAATTCAGGTGACAGTTCATGTCATAATGCATTTTTGAATTGGACACGAACACCAAAAGTAGTTAGCTAATCAACAAAAATGTATTATTAGGTCTGTTTCAGTGCAAAACATCTGAGGAACAGCATTTGGAAGCAAATAAGACACATTTCAAAGATGAAGAGCAAGAAGTGGTATCCTAGATCACTTACTTATGAATACAAAATTCATCTGCATGATTAATATAGGAATCGTATGCTACTTGAGATAAATTTTTGATTGTCCACCATAGAAATAATACTAAATTGCATTCATTACAACAATCAACATAGCATGAATAAATTCATTTATGTAGAAGAAACTCCTACCAAACGAATTAGTTGTCCATAAACTCAGATATGTAACTAAAGATGCTCCTAGTATCTTTATTGCCAAACATTACATAGAAAAATGGGAGAAATATAACTCAGTTAAGCACCATATACCTCAGGTGGCATTCCAACTGGGTCCTCCATAGGACTGGAGGCAGCCGCTGCAGGATTTGGTATAGCAAAGCCAGCCTGGTTAATCCATTCAGTGTTTGCCTCTGGACTTTGTTTCTTCTTTGAGGCTAAGGTCCTAGACTCCTGATCACGCTTGACCACTCCAGGTGGGAAACCCTTTGAGTCCAACTCATTGTCTGAATGCCAACTGCTAGATTGTTCACTGGACCCATCCTCCTGCCTATGGCTTTCTTGCTTAAGACTTTCTTCATTACTAAGAAGGCTATTCACAGTTTCTGATGTATCTTGCCTTGAAACATGTTTATTCATCTCCTCTGCATGCCATGACAAGTTCCTGCTGTAGATTGAAGGATTGATTTCACCAAGGGTCGAAGGCGAGCCAACAACCTTGCGCATTAAGCCATCTGAAACCCCTTTAAATTGACGCACAATATCATCTACGGCATCATCCACATTCACTGTTGTGGTCCACAAACAAAGTTAGAGGGGAAATATTCCAGTGATTGTAAAAAAATAACCATCGTATAATCATCCACAGATTATCATGTTCAGAAAGATGCATGCATGTAAACCTGCATCAACAAGCTATTTTTCCACTCAAATAAAAGGAGAAAACAAATCAACAGCTTCAAGTGATGTTGAGACATTAAACAATCTGGGATCCAAAATGAAGCTTTTACAACATATGCCAGAAGAAGCAACTTTATGAGGCCTCCAAAAAGGGTGAACAGCAGCAGATTATATACAAAAGTTATTTTAGGTGTAGATTTCGTAATTGAATTGCAACATCCTGTAAGCAACATTATGTTTTGGTTTATCTTATTTTATTCACTAACAGAGTTTTCTGTATTTTCTATTTACTAGCCTATTCTATAACAGCCCTTGGTGACTAAAGGCACCCATGTATAAAATTAATTTAATGAATAAAATCATTCATTTTATGAATTGTTTCTCCCCTCTCCTCCATTTACTTTTTATAGTTATCATCCATCAAAAACAACATCAAACTCCCAACAAAATTGAAGGGGAAAAAAAGTAAGTCTGCATGCATGTGTTCATCAAAAAGAGAGCACCACTGACAAATTTAGCACAATATATAAACAACAATTCAGAATAGATAAGATGAACATCTCATGACTGCAAATAAAAATAAAAACAAAGATATGCCTATTTCATTCATCAAGAATCTTTTTAAGAAACTCAAAAAGGAGGAAATATATTCTTCATTTATAACCATCACCAGTACATGAAGCATATTCTGAACATCTAAACAATGAGGTTGTTGAAGGTCTGGAGTTTTTGTAGATATTGGGCAGGTGTTTATGGATGTTGGATTTCAATGATGAACTTAATCTCAACATCTAGAGGGTTGAGTATGTCCTTGGATAGTTTTAGGATATTTTAGAGGAGGAGCAATTTTGAAAATTAATATGATATGATAATCAAGAAGATATTCCCATACCTGCCAGCGTTCTCATCACCGAGGGCGATTTCCCAAAAGAGTAATTCTTCAAAAACAAAAGAGAAAAAGCATAGAATTTCAGAACCATTCAACGTACAAGACGGAAAAAAATAAAAATAAAAAGAGAGTAGAGATAACATATCTTCAAGAAACGCCCACAACAACATATATTAGGATGTAAACAGAATTCACACCTTTGACGAAACACTAAGGAAATCCCACACTTCATGCTGTTCAGCAACATTAGCTATGGACAAAAGATCCTGAAAAATGCAGCATATTAAAAGCAGAAAAAGGTGAAGTAATCTAAAGAAGAAATGTAAGGACTGAACAATACTTGCAAATATTTATCAAGCTGGATGCAACGTTGATGAACAAAAGAATCCTCTGTGCTTGACGAGAATATCCTCTTGGGGGGCAAGTGTAACGTGTAATTTGGAATGTCTTTAAGCTGTCTATGCAATCTCTCAAAATTCCTGTATCTGCATAGGAAACAAATGAGAAGAAATATAAGCAAAAGAAATCTTGCTTATCCACAAAGTACAGGAAGCCTCATAATTATGAAGTTAATGTCTAGACATACAAGAAAAGGTCCAAAATTTCTTAAAGCTAGCATTAATTATCCTATAGATGAGAAAGGAACCTTCTTTTCACGAACCAAGTTCTGCTTTCTGCATCTGTAACTGCAATTGAATAAACTGCAAAAGATTTTGACCCAAGTTTCTCAAAGTATGCTCCCATAACCTGAAGAGAAACAGGTAAACAAGGAATAGGAATCTAATTAGATTCTTGCAAGCATCCAGGGAACTCGATACAAAGCAATATTCAAGAAGCTCTTCAACTTCGAATCCTACATTGCAAGGGAGGCCAGTTACAAGTTCATATTTTACATCTTTAAGGCTTCAAAAAAGTCAAGTTAAATAATACCCACCCGGCACTTCAGCTTAGGATTAGGAACATGGGGTGCCCCACTGTGGAGTATCGTATCTGAGACCTTCTTAACAGCAAGTCCTTCATCAGGCCTGCCAAAATCTGGGCTATAGAACTCTGAAATAATGGATCCTTTGCCATCTCCTGTAAATTTCCTTTTTTCAACAGGCAGGACTTTCAGAGCAGAAGTGCTATTCGATCTCTTAAGCCTACTTTTATTTTCATCGACTGAGGGAATGTTAGTGCTAGTCAATTCATCATTGGCATGAGTCCTATCAAAAGACAACTCCTCATCATAATCCTCAGTAAATTGTTTACCATTTTTATACTGATCACCTGATGAATCATTGCGACTTAATTGATGCTCTAGCTGCGCAATAGCTTTCTCTTCTGCTCTTGCTGAAAGTATGTTGCTGTTAGTTAAAGTTTCCTTCCCTGCATCTATAGTGAATTCAGCGTTAGTTGCTGCAGAATCCTTCACCATAGGATGCTGAACACCTGCTTTTAGTTTTTTGGTCTCTTTCCTTTTATAATTTCTTCCTTTTGTCCACATGTTCTCGAGATTTTCAGGTGTAAGAACTTCAGTTCTTCTCTGGGTTGCTGCCTCTAAGACCCGTGCCCAATCTGCATGACGTGGATTTATAGGATCTTGCTGTTTTGAGTCACAGTCCAAGGGTACATCTCTAAGGTCATCAATTTTTGACAAAGTCAGGTTAGTCCCTTGAAAGCTTTTTTCATTATCAACAATATCAGTCCCTTGACTATTTAAGGATGAATGTTTTCTTGAGGAAGAACCGCCATTATGTACACCTCCAGCAGGTTGATCACCGGTTATCTCCATTAGGCCACCATCTTTAATGGCAAACAAAACATGTTCAATGATCTCATTGATATACCTGGGGGGAAAAAAGGGAGAGAAAAGCATATATAGTCAGATATTCTAATGAACTCAGGAGACAGTACAAAAATATACCTAACCTGACAAAGTGGATTCTTCCTTTCTAATGAAGTAACCATAGAATTTTAGATACTATTTGTCTCATAAAAAAACAGGGATCCAAATTCCACTTTGCATACCATGGAATAAGATATCAATGGAGTAGGCTGACTGCAGAGGACAGAAGGTATAATGCACTTCATCCTTTAAGTGGCAACTACCAAATGGTTAGTAACATATTCAGTTTCACCACTTAGATTTCCTATTAACAATAGTTTCAGTGGGATTCTTTAAATTACAATATCATACCAGAAATGAAATGCACATTCTTATGTTGATAGGAACTGGCAGATGTAACATCTAATTATCTTAGAACATGTTCGTATTTGTCCCTTATATTCAGATAAGAATCATCTAATTCTTTGGAGAACAAGAGAGAGAAGGAATGTAACACATGGCCAGGGGGACAACCAAAAGCTCAGATAAAGTGAAGGAGGAAACTGTAAATCTTACACAGGGCTTGCAAGATTCATAACAGGCTGCAATATCAAGCAAGTTACAAGCTCTCGAGCAATAGTTCGAACCAGTGGGCATTGAGCTTCTCGAGGTCTTAGCACCACAGCTAAAACTCCACCAATTAGGCGTTGCAGAACCTTTACCAGAAAAGGTGGGAAAAGTTAGATAAAGTGCAAATGATAGAATCAAAATGGGAAACAAACTTTCGTCGAAACACACCACTCACACCTTGTACTCACTCTCAGCAGATATCAGTGCAGGGTGAAGCTCCTTAGACATCATCAGATGGTGCTTCAGCCTTTCGTCTCTCTCATCAGTAGAAAGTGTTCCCATTACATCAGCACCTATTGCAACTTGGTTTCGTCTAAAAAGGTCCAAATGATCCCCTATTAAATCAATTATATCCCTGCAACATTAATATGTCACTTAATTCTGATGTATTCACTGCTGCAGACACAAATCACACGCTTTTTTCTTTTCCAGAAAAGTCTTAGAGGGAAGGAAAAAAAAAAAAAAAAAAAAACCCCTGCAACATTAATATGTCACTAATTCTGAGTATTCACTGACTGCAGACACAAATCACACGCTTTTTTCTCTCTTCCAGGAAGAAAGTCTTAGAGGAAGGAAAAAAAAAAAAAAAAAAAAAAACCTCGTCAGGCAGGTCAACTAGGTATCTCCTAAACCTCTTCCTGATATCTCACCGATAGCATCCAAAAAAAAAAAAAAAAAAAAACCTCGTCAGCAGGTCAACAAGGTTTATCTCCTTAACCCTTCCTGATATCTCACCGATAGCATCCATGATAACATCACGCATTAACTCAGGTGCTTCCTTGTCTGGCGTAATCTCTGAATACCACAGATCTATAACGAAATCCTTCAAAACTTTATCAATAAGATCATTGATTGCAGCATCCACTATTGGAGAATCAATTTTTCTTTTCCACCTTGGTGGCAGAGGTGCAGAAGAAAGTCGTGAATCATTCACGGACAATTGTTTCTTCTCCAAATGAGACAAATAAGACAGTCGATGGGTCCAGCGCCGTGCTTTCCAGCTGAACTCCACCTCATTAGACAAAATGCGCAATCCAGAAACCAAAAGAATCGATATAGGTAAATTTATCCACATTGATGAACTTGTATCTGTAATAGACAACAACAAAAGATATATCAACATCAACAACAACATATTTAAAAAGCTTGATTGGCCATCATCACAATTGGGTCATAAAGAAAAGTAAAGGACAGGACATACGCATGCACAGATGCCTACAATAATTATTATAGTCACAAATCTACCATCAATTAGAACTCTAGAAAATAGTAAAGTCTCCGCAATTCATTTAAAGTCTCCATAATTCATTTAAACTAATATAAAATTGAACAGTTTCCATTTTATTAAAGAAAAACAGCAGGAAAAAACACTAAACTCAAGTACTTGAGTTTCTACAACTAGGGGTGTAAATGAGTCGAGCAGACCTCAAAACTCAGGACGACAGAATTTAGCTCGAATCCAAGAGCCTGGAAATTTTATGCTCGACCTCTGCTCGACTTCAACCCGAAAAAGTTTAAGCTCAAGCTCAGCTCAAGGCTCGAGTAAGCCTAAAATAAATGATATATATGTATATATAAAAGCTCAATAAGACTCAATGAGCTTTCAAGCTGAAAGCTCGAGCTCGAACTTGAGCTCAATTCTAGCGTAACTTTTTTTGAACTTATCCAAGCCAAGCTCGAATAGCTCGCAAGCCATCTCCGCTTATTTACACCGCTACCTATCTGCAACATCATTCAATTTCTTACAAGAAAAAAAAAATGATGATGGAAGTAATATTAGCCTCAGAAACGGCACAAGCAATTGTATTCCAGTTACACCCACCTCATCTACATGTAGAAGCTGAAAACACAAATAGATAATGCAGATAAGTTGAAGAAACCTAAATTCAATCCAAATAACAGCAAATGCAAATTAAATTGCTTATTTCATTCCAAATGACAATCACCTCACATTAAATTACATAAAACAGAACCGGAGCAAACTCTGGTCAGTTTAGCATGAATTTCACAATTAATAAGCTAAAAGAGGACATTGAAATGAAATTTCGAAAGAGCTTACGAGACAAGAAGTAAGTAACAGCAAAGATACACAAGGCCCACCAAACCGTTCGAAGTTTAGCCTCCTCAATCAGATCCTGAATCGTCTCCATCGGCTTCATCTTTCTTTGTTTGCTTATCTCTAAACCCTAGAAATTCCTCTTGGTTCTTCTCGAGAATAATAGAGAAAAAGAGAAAGAAGAGGAGTTCGATGAAGATCCTTCGATCTTTTATTAAAAGAACATAAATGGAGTCAATATCGATTACTTTTCTTCCAAGAGCATGGAAAGAAACTCTGGAAATAGCCTGGAATTTGATGCGTGTTTTATTTTTTTCTTTTTATTTTCATTATTATTATTATTATTGCCTGATATAGTTCTGGAGAGAGAGCGACGATGTCGTTTCTAGTCGACTGACACAATTTGGTCTACGGTATTCCCACGTCAGTAAGAATACTTTTCTGTTTTTTTTTTTTTTTTTTTAGAGAGCGACGATGTCGTTCTCTAGTCGGACTAGACACATTGTCTACGGTATCCACGTCAGTAAGAATACTTTTCTGGGTTTTTTTTTTTTTTTCTTTTCTTTTCTGTTCCGACGATTACTGGTTTTTGTCTGTCCATCCAATTATTTTCTTTTTTTTTTTTTTTTCTTTTCTTTTCTGTCCGACATTACTGGTTTTTGTCCTGTCATCAATTAATGGCGTAACTCGTAAATTTATAATTTTACGGTTTAACACCTCGTAGCAGTTAGCACCTTGAACTTTACAGGAAACCTATCATCCCTCGAATTTGTACTTTTCAATATCAATTTTGTAACTAGTTGAGCACACAAAATAAATTAAAACACGCGCCATAATGCACCAAATAAAAGAAAAAGAAATGCCACGTTGCCGATGAGGTGTCAAATGAAAGGAAAAAATATCAACTTGACTTTGGTTCCCTTCAGCTCCACCTCCTTTCCATTCTTTTCTAAACTCATTCGTTTCTAAACTGGTTTCACAAATTCATGGATGGTTTATAAAAAAAGATTTTAATATCAAATGGAAAGCAAAGACTTTGTCTGCGTAAAGAATCTCGTGATTGGACCAAGAGGAAGAAAGTTTGGGAACTGTCACAAAGCTTAATGTGTTAACTCTAGAGCTAAATTTATGCATTAAGTTATCAGTTAATCATAGATGAATACATGAATTCAACTATGTACGTCTATTATACATGTGTCATTTAAATTTTATGGATGATTTATTATACTTGAACTTATAAATTTTAGTATCACTACATGCATTTTTATAGGAACAATAATAATTTTTAAAATACTAATGCAGTAAATTTTAAATTTTAGTACAGCTACATGTAGTAATTAACTTTTGCAAGATATTGGTTTAATGTCTAACTAGTATCCTTGGACAAGATACAAGTGATTGTATAGACAAATTTCACAAAATTTTGTAAGAATATAATTAAAATTTGATTTAATGCTCTAATATAATCAAATTTTACTGTTTTTTGATGTTCTACTATATTTGTCAAAAAAAAAAAAAAAAAAAAAAAAAAAAAAAAAAAAACAAAGTTGATTATACTCAATGTAAAAATTGTTTTGCATTATACTCAATTGATTCCAAAACTTGAAAATGATATATTTTATTTTGAATAAAAAAATTAATTTTCTTAATATTTTTAAAAAAAAAAAAAAAAAAAAAAAAACAAAGTGATTATACCTCAATGTAAAAATTGTTTGCATTATACTCAATTGATCCAAAACTGAAAATGATATATTTTATTTTTGAATAAAAAATTAATTTTCTAATATTTTTTTCCTTGCATCATGCTGTCAAGTATCAACCTTGACTAATCTAGTGCTCCTTTAAGTAAAATTTTAGCTCTTTTTATAAATAAAAAATTTGAGCAAACCTGTAATTTGTGTCACCTATAAATAAATTGATATCGCTTCAAAATTAAACTTAAATAAAAATTTGCTACACAATAATGGCAGCTACACAATAATGGCAACGCTCTCATTTGCTCACTAAATTAGTGAAAACAACCGTGATAATTGTGATCGAGAGGACTCGAACTCAAAGCATCTCACTCCTCACATAAGTGAGAAGATGAAATTAATATAACATTTATTGATCTTTTTAAAATTGATACAATGTTTACAAATTTGAACTTACTAGAATTCCGATTATACAAAATTCAATATACTTAAGATAAATTAATGGCAATTGGAAGGTGGCTTCCAAAGACCACCCGCTTGAACTTATAAATTATTAGTTATGTGTAAAATCCTTCATCTGTTGCGCATATTATTTGTTTACATTTAATAATTTTGATTGGAACTTTTTAATTTTGTTTCCTTTTTCTTTCTAAAAGGAACATTCTATTTTCTATTTTATTATTCTTCTTCCAAACCCCGCCCATCGTATTTGCACACCTCGCCGCGTTTCGCCAATCTACTAGACAAAAACCGGCGTTTAGTGCTTTTGTCCTCTGTAAGCGTAATATAGGACCCACATTTGACCCAAGAAGCCATACAAATCAACGATCCAAAGTCCACAGTTTTTTCCATCTTAAGCCAATCCAGCGGTCACCTTTCATCTGTCCCTCCCATCAAGAACATGCAAAACACATAATATATCTAAGAAATAATATAAAAATCTTAAGCAAATATATTACTAGTAATAATAAAAAATATTTATCCTTATCCATTTCCAATGTTGGGTCCTAAACTGCACTTTTGAGTGTATATAAAAGTATCGCCCTCGTAATTCTCCTCTTTATCTAAATCTTTGTTGAAAATTGAAATCACGAGAGGTTCAGTTTTGCTGTGTGATTAAGATGATAAAGTCTCTACTTCTTCGTTCTTGTTCCTCTCCTTTGCTTATCGAAGCTAAGGATTTCAATCGCTCAAGCGCTTCCAGGAGAGCTGTTTCAACTCTCACCTGCTCTTCTTCTTCTTCTTCGAGAAGCAGTTCTTGTATTCCTAAGCTCGAGCCGTTTAGCCGAACTAAGCTCGAAAGAGCCGTTAAAGAACCGCCGTTGATTGAAAAGTCCGAGAATGAACTCGCCGGTGAGTCTTATTTCTTCTTCTTTCTTCTTCTTCTTTTTTGTTTTTGAAAAGTCGGTGTTTTGTTAATTTGATTTATGAATTATTTGCTCAGATCTATTTCAAGTTGCATTGTATTCGAGATCTGATATGTTGAAACTGTTTGGTGTAGATTACTGTTCAACACTTGAAGGAGATGATTCTTATAGCTGCTGGAGCGCGTACTTTGAGTTGAAAGATTTGGAAGTAAGTAAACCTTGAGAATTAATAGGCATGTATATGATATATTTGATGATTAATATGCTCGATGCTGTTGATTTTTAACTATGAAAGTTCAAGTTTGTTGAATCATCTAGTTGAATCTTGGCTTATAGTTTTTGTTTGGTTGCTGAGAATCGGTTTAATTTGCTGCTCCTTAATTTTCTTTTCCTAAAAAAGAAAAGACAAGAGTAGGCAAACCATACAGATTCAATTTTTTCAACTAATTGAATTGACATTTGTTGCAGAGAGAGTTACCAAAGGAGGATTTAGAGAAGGTGATTCTTCAATCTGGTGGAGTGAAGTCCTTAATGGGATGCTTACATGGAATTTCAGCGATGCAAAAAAAGGGGAAGAATGGTTTTGGTTTCATGGCACCAATGACCATGGAGAAAGAAAGAGACAGATCATGTCCAATACCAGATGGATTGCCAAAATCGAAGGAGGAGCTTGAAGAGGAAGAGAGAGCAAGAATGCCAGATTCACAGTATACTAGATTACTTCGAACAAAAGGAAGATTTCCAGCTTGGTACTCACCTGCTCCTGACCATGAAACGGATTGATAAATAAGCTGCAATACGTTGAAAGTTTTTCTTGAGTTGCTTCCGTGCATAGCTGATATGAGTATATCCGGTGGATGTATGAGATTTATGATCTGATTGTTTCCGCCCAAGTTATTTTCACAAAATTAGACTTTGGTCTGTGTAATGGGAAGTTATTTCTGCTAGACTTTGTGAATATTATTGCAGTATTTCGGTTTCGAGAAAGCAGAATTGTAACATATATGAACTGTATCATAGCTTATCCGTAGTTGTGTGGCAATGGATGCTCTTTTTCGAGCTCCTTACTATTGTAAACTTCAATAAAAACATCCATATTGATATAAGATCAACAGAATAGCTTTCTCTAACTTTGGTTAGGCTCTGAATGCCAAAGCTGAAGTATTATTTATTATTGGAATGGGAAAAGGTCCATTTCTGTATGTCTGGGGTCCTTTAAGCTGAAAAAATTGACAATACAAGGAATTACAGTATACAATTGCATTATTAGTTACATTGAGCTTATTAATTAGTCAAGCTAGGCATTGATAATCAAAGTTTGGTGTTTGATAGGATGTTATTTGTTTTTGAATTACATTATCTTATTTTTGTAAACAAGAATCATGGTATCAAATGCTAAGTGTCAAAGGAAATGAGCTCTCTTGTGTAATTTTCATTCCTCATTGAATTTAATAGATGCACATGATATTACAATAAAATCACAAAATTGAGCATCAGTTAACGAAATGTCAAACGAAATTCAATTCCTAGTTTCTTTCTAACCATCCACTTGGATTTTCATTTTGGCAAATGCAACCAATTCTCGCAAAACCAATCCCGTCTAAATTCTAAATCATAAATCCATATAAAAGGGTCTAAAAATAGATGTTCTGACAAATTCTGTGATGTGTAAAAAAAGTCTAGAAAAATAATTTTCGGTGCCTAAAACTAGAGATCTGTTTGTTCGCTCTTTGAATGGCTGCCAAATCTTTTCTTTCTTCACCCTCCATATAACATCCCTTCCTTGGTTGTCTTCTCTATAAGCAGCCCCAGGAAATTCCTAGGTGGGTCAAACATGGCTAACCTTCTCACAACAGCCTCGGGCTGCTTCTTTTCCTTCACAATAATCCTGTTTTCTTCCTTGTCAACCTTCTCCTTTGCCTTAACTAATTCAGAAGCATCTCTCATTGCCCATCGGCAGCTCTTGACGCTGCGCGAAAATGAACAGCTTCCTAACGAGTACGAATATGAAGTTGATGTTAAAGTAACATTCGCAAACCAGAGGCTAAAGAGAGCATATATAGCTCTCCAAGCTTGGAAAAAAGCAATATACTCTGATCCATTTAATACAACAGGAAATTGGATTGGCGCCCATGTCTGTTCTTATAATGGTGTGTTTTGTGCGCCTGCACCTGATGACCCGAAATTGAGCGTCGTTGCAGGTGTTGATATTAATGGAGCTGACATTGCTGGTTACCTTCCAGCTGAACTAGGGCTTATGACAGACCTTGCATTGTTTCACATTAACTCCAACAGGTTCTGTGGAATTGTTCCTGAGAGCTTTTCCAAGCTAATACATATGTATGAATTTGATATAAGTAATAATAGATTTGTTGGTGAGTTCCCGAAAGTTGTTCTATCGTGGCCGGATTTAAAGTATGTAGACATCAGATTCAATGATTTCGAAGGGTGTTTGCCTCCGCAGGTTTTCCTGAAGAATCTTGATGCTTTGTTGTTGAATAACAACAGATTTGAATGTGGCATTCCTGACACAATAGGCAACTCTACAGTTTCTATTGTTACATTTGCCAATAATAACTTCTCTGGATGCATTCCTCGCAGTATTGGTAAAATGGCCAACTTGAATGAGATAATTTTCACCAGTAATTGTCTTACTGGTTGCTTTCCTGCAGAAATTGGTATGCTTGGAAATGTTACAGTTTTCGATGTCGGCTTCAATCAGTTCGTAGGAAGCTTGCCGCAAGATCTTTCAGGGTTGAAGAAGGTTGAGGATTTGAACATTGCTGGAAATAAGCTGACAGGATTAGTTCCTGAGAGCATTTGCAGATTACCTTGCTTGGCAAATTTCACTTTTGCCTCTAATTACTTTAACGGAGAGGATCAAGCGTGCGTGCCTGATTCTAGTACAGATGTTGTGTTTGACGATAGAGATAATTGTATGTCTAATAGGCCAAACCAGAAATCTGCTCAGGTATGTCAACCGGTGGTGAGCAGACCGGTGGATTGCAGTAAGGACAAATGTGCTGGTGGAGGAGGCTCTCCAAATCCACCAACTCCTGCTACGCCGACACCAACACCTCCATCACCGACACCGACACCGACACCGACACCACCATCACCGAAAATAGAAGTACCTGTGACTCAATCACCACCCTCACCAACACCACCCTCACCGAAAATAGAAGTACCTGCGACTCAATCACCACCCTCTCCAACACCAACACCACCATCGCCTGTCCCTCAATCACCGCAATCACCAAGAATAGAAGTACCTGCCCCTCAATCACCACCATCACCGATATCAATATCAACACCACCGTCACCAGGGCCAGAGATATCACCAGCACCATCATCTGACCCACATGAACCTTGGAATCATGGGCATGGAAGACCACCAGCACCGGAACCAGCACCAGAACCAGCACCTGAGACATCAAAACCACCATCCCGAACTCCAGGGCCATCTCCACCAATCCAATCGCCTCCCTCACCGCCCCCAGTTCAATCTCCGCCAACTCCAGTTCACTCTCCCCCACCGCCAGTCCACTCGCCCCCACCACCAGTCCACTCTCCACCACCACCAGTCCATTCTCCACCTCCCCCAGTCCACTCCCCTCCTCCCCCAGTTCATTCCCCTCCACCACCAGTCCTTTCCCCACCACCACCAGTCCTTTCCCCACCTCCCCCAGTCCACTCCCCTCCACCACCAGTCCTCTCCCCACCACCACCAGTCCACTCCCCACCCCCACCACCTGTCCACTCACCTCCACCACCAGTTCACTCTCCACCTCCCCCAGTCCACTCACCTCCGCCACCAGTCTTCTCCCCACCTCCACCAGTGTTTTCTCCACCACCACAAGTCCAGTCCACTCACCTCCGCCACCAGTCTTCTCCCCACCTCCACCAGTGTTTTCTCCACCACCACAAGTCCACTCACCTCCGCCACCAGTCTTCTCCCCACCTCCACCAGTGTTTTCTCCACCACCACAAGTCCACTCACCTCCGCCACCAGTCTTCTCCCCACCTCCACCAGTGTTTTCTCCACCACCACCAGTTCACTCACCTCCACCACCTGTCTACTCACCACCACCACCTATCCACTCACCTCCACCACCAACGCCCTCTCCACCACCACCAACACCCTCTCCACCACCACCATCTGTATCTCCTCCTCCTCCTACTGTTGTCCCTCCACCACCAACACCCTCTCCACCACCACCAACTGTATCTCCTCCTCCTCCTACTGTTGTCCCTCCACCACCAACACACTCTCCACCACCACCAACTGTATCTCCTCCTCCTCCTACTGTTATCCCTCCACCACCGGTAGATGACATTGTTCTCCCACCAAATATCGGATTCCAATACTCATCGCCGCCTCCACCAATGTTCCCAGGATACTAACTGATATATACTTAATTTTTGTAGTCTCAAAGGGCTAATATACATTGATACACACTTCTGTTCTGGAACTGTAACGTTTTCATTTGACACTCTTCATGGAATGAATATTGTTTCTTATTATCTAACTAATTAGACATTGTATAATGATTTCCCTCTTTCTTGTATAACGGTTGCACTTTTTGCTTGAATCTAATCAGTGGACATATGCTTGAATTAACAAATAATTTAACTTAAAATGCATTTTCAGCATTCTCTTATACATATAACTACACAATACATATACTTATTACAGTGAAAAAAATTGGCTCTTTATTTTAGTCCTCAATTTCTTGAAGCATTTCCACCACTCTATCCATGGAAGGCCGGTTTTTAGGATTCTGAGAAATGCAAACTTGAGCAATTGCAATCATTTCTCTCACACAGTATTCCTTTACTTCTCCCATTTTTTTGTCACATATACCTTTTAATCCTTCTCTCTTTCCTTTTTCTTTCACATATTCACCTAAGTTGGTAATTGTAGGTCTCTTCCCAGTGATAAGCTCCAACAGTAGAATTCCAAAGCTATAAACATCAGATTTAGGCGTAAACATTTTCGGATAACTTTGATAATTTGATGCTAGTTCAGGTGCAACTCTTCCAGGATTTCTTCTGATGATGGTTGCTGGAGGTACAAGGTAAGGCGTTTCGTAGCCTGAGAGACAGGCAGAGAAATCGGTCCGAATCAAGATATTGCTGGACTTAACCACCCCACAAACAAGATTGTTGCCTCTTTTTGTAACCTGGTTATGCATGAAGGCTACTGCCATTGCTGCACATTTTGCTAGGTGCTTTCTTACTTCCCAGCTCAATGGAGTAAATTGAATTCCTTCGCACCCTAATAGCATAGCAATATCTATAATTATTAGTGTTTGGACTTAAAATTCAAAGGAATAAACAAGCTCTGACAGTTTCTGTAGATTTCAATGAATTAGAAATCATCAACTTACCATGTAAAAGCTCTTGAAGACTTCCTATGCACAAATACTCGTGAACAAGAAAGGCTTCTCCACCATACCAGAAACCACAATACATTGGCAAGAGCAAAGAGTTACGAATTCCTGCAAAGAAATTAATCCAGGACTCCATTTCATCTGGTTTAACCAATCTTTCCCTGATCATTCGAACTGTAACTAAGTGTCCACAGTTAAGAATTACCTTGAACAAAGACCCTAAGGTACCTTCACCAAGCATGATTTTTGGAAGTTGAGCTAGCTCTAATATACTACACTTGCTATTAGCAAAGATTTCGTGTTCAAATATCAACTTCAAAGGAAGTGTGACCTTCACCTCTGGTAGTGATTCTGGTGTTATGTTGGTTACTTTTCCTTCACTGGATATGGTTCTTGATTTTATGACTCCGAGGAAGATCAAACGAATTGCTGCGTAAATAATGCAAAAAGGAGAATATAAGGCCTGCGGAGTACAAGATAGCTTGTTCATGTCTGGTATAGAATTTGAAAGAACCTTTAGTGCTGCTTTTAGCAAGCAAAAGAAAATATTTGGTTCTTACAAGGTTTTTTTTTTTTTAAATTATTTTTCCTTTTTTCCAGTTGCTTCTGATGTTTCAGCCATTGGTTTTTTCACCTGAAACTTTGGAGATATCATCATCCATGAAAATGAGCACTGTTCTTTCTGATTTTCATTACATTTTTCTACCTTAAATTATTATCATTATTACATATCATTTTCGCAAGAGGAGAGACTACATTCATTGCACCAAATCAGCTAATTTAGTGTATCAAAATTTTTATTCAAACAAATAGTTACACGTTAGAGTGATTCACTGTTATATATATATATATCAATTTGTAAAATTACATTAATTCAATTTACAAAATTCACATATTCAACACTTTCATTTATAAAATTATTTTTATTTAATACTTATTAAATAGATAAAATATATAAATATCATTGTTTTTATAATTTATGTTAAAAAATATGAATTATCCTGTTGGTTTAACATAGATTGAGTAATTGAAAACTGTAAATTATGTTAAATAATGCGATTCTATAAATTAAATTATTTATTAAACTAATATAACTAATCGAAGAGTTTAATTAATATGTATAATTAAAGGATGCCACCAATTTTTTTTTTTTTAGGTTGAGATTTATTTTTTGAGCTGCAATCGAAAACTATTCAAAATTCATATTTGTTTGCCAAATTTACAAGGATAATCACTGTTTAATCTTTATGGTTTATTACACTATTAAAGATCTTAATCGTTTAAAATGACACCATTCAGTTTATATACCAGTTGCACTAAGCTTATTTCATTAATAATTTTACATAGATCTTTAATAATGTAATTGACCAAACCCTAGGGATAAAATAGTAATTACACCTGCAGAAAATGACCAAATTGAAAATGCTGCCGTTTGTCCTAAAACGCGTTACCGTTTTTCATTTTAATTGCTTCCATCAGATGTTTGAATCAAACCGATAGCTGGTGACGGTGAGGTCTTGGGTCTATCTCAAGCCAGCTCTTGTCTTCTTTCATCATACAAAAGCAAAATCAAAAGCCAGTATAACCAATCGAAGACCTATCTGTACTTCTATCAATTTGCACGTCAACTGAAAACTCCATTTCCATGATAAGAGCTCAAAAATTGTTTTAATATAAGCATTTCTGGATTCAAATTATACAGAATGGAAGAGAACAAGACTCCACCGACAAAAGATGATAAACAACTCGAACTACACCACCAAGAACAACAAGAAAAAGAAGAATCCAAGGGGGAGCAACCACCGGAACCTAAGGGCAGTGGAGGAGGATGGGGAGGCTGGGGATTCTCTGTTCTTTCAGATCTCCAAAAAGCTGCCGAAGAGATCTCCCGCAATGTAAGTTTTCATTTATTGCTTTTTTCCAGTTCCGGCATTGTTTTCGAAATTAGGGCTTTAATTTAGGCGGTTGCTTTGGTGTCAGATCTAGAGTTTTGGAATTTTTGGAGGTTGCATTTTTAAAATCCTAACATTGTGTATTTGCAATGTGTAACTTCTATTTGGATGCAGGCTGCGGAAGCTGCAGAGAAAGCAGCAAAGAGCATAGCGGATATGCAAATTGTTGCCGAGGATTCAGAATCTTCCAAGGCAGAGGAAGAGCGAGAAGAATCGGATAGTGATAAGGAAACTGATGATGAGACTAAAAAGCTACGGAAATCTACTTTAGATAAATTGGAGAAAGCAAGTGAAGATTCCTTACTAGGACAGGCAAGTGTCACAATTTCTCATGCTTTGAAATATGCCTGATGATAAGTTGATATGTCATGTTTTCAATGTATGCTTATTCTCTGTTTAGTGTTTGGTCTAAATTTGCCATTGCAATAGAAATACTCTTAATTTGTTTGGTTAGATATTGTGGCGCCCTTCAATTCTGGAAGCATCATATTGTTTCTTCTTTTTTGATGTTTTTAGGGTTTGAAAGTTCTAGATCACTCTGTGGAGAATTTTGCTTCGGGAGCATGGCAAGCATTAGGAAATGCATTGAAAGGAGGTTCCAATTTTGTTCAAAAGTAAGTATCACTGTAGTTGATCTTTTCATTGTTTTGTTTATTGGAATTTATGTGTTATTAATAGAAAATGGATAATGGTTCATATTGCAAGATCATAGAGTTTGCTGGTCTTGCTCTCTAATAAACCCTATCTATCAGCTAGCTGAAACTAGTAAGTCAATGTTCATATAAGGAAAAAAGGGGGTGGTTAATTACTGCCTATTGAAAAGCTCCACTAAGTTTCTAGGGTGTTAATGAATAAGTTGGAATGTAGGGCTATGTACTTTAGGACTAGAAGAAAGTGCTGAATAAAAAATTTGTATTTTCATGGGAATCTTTATTATGCAGTTGTATTTGTCTCTTTATTCCTCTCTCCCTCAATTTGAGATCTCGAAGTTGTATCTATGCGATTTGCTTTCAGTTTTTGTTTTGCTCATGCGAGGCTTGCCTTGATCTTTGTTTCATAAATCTGAGCTTGAGTAAAATAAAAAAACGGGTTGTTAGGATTCACTTACCTAGCTAATTTGCAACCATCTATGTGGAAAAAGTTCGTGTTTGGATAATTGCAGTAGGAACCTTGTGATGTGCTTAAGCTCACAGATAAATATGCAAAATTTTGAAGAGAACTAGCCTTTGCAACCATTATATGTCAGAAGCCAAATTTGATGTAATAACACAAAACTGAATAGGTTCCTATGCAATGCAGTTATTCTATTCCAAATGAGTTTTCTAATTCCTGCATCTGTTTTTTCCCTTACCCGCACCCCCCCTTCTTCTGTTTCTTTTCTTTATACAGGCTTGAACATTCTGCTGTAAACCTTGCTGAATCAATTCAAAATGGTAACTTACCAGGAGGAGCTGGTTCAGTTGCACCATCCTTACTAGAGGTTAGCATGAATGTCATCATGTTGGTCATAAATGTTCTTATTTTTTGCTAATTCTTGCCTCCATGTTACAGACTGGAAAAGCTTTTACCACAAAGGGAATACAAGTGCTTGAATATGTTGGCAAGGAGACCATGGATCTGCTGATCACAGAGACTGGTATTGAAGTTGAGAAAACTTCTAAAGGCTCTGAACAAGAAGCTGATGAGGATCAGTTACTTGAGGAAGTAACATTTGATCGTTGCTTCTATATATATGGTGGTCCAGAACACTTGGAGGTCATTTTCTTATCATTTTTATCGAAGTTTGTTTTGTTCAAATGATAGTTATAGTTGATATTGAAATTGTTGAACTATAATGTTGTAGGAGCTTGAGGCCTTGTCCAGCCATTATACCCTATTATTTAATCGAAGAAAAGTCAAATTACCACTTGAACAGAAATCTGTATATGATGGAAAGCTTAAACTTGTTCAGCAAATTTTGGATTTGAGTATTGAAATGGAAGAGAATGGTATAGAGTCCAACAAAGGGAAGAAAATAGATGCTGGAACAGAGGGAAGCAGTGATGAGATGAAAAACTTACATGATTCGAGTGTCAGCAAAGCTGCTGACATGGCTGCAGGGTAATCTCGCTTTGTACATAAACAAAATTTTTGGACCTTTCATTTTGCTGTACTGCCTGTACGCTTATTTGTCTTGTCATGTCAGACGTGTATTTCTAGCCTCATCAACTTAACTTTACTAAAATATTGAGAGTCTGAGACTATCTGAATTACGTAGTAGTGTAATGCTAGTCTATAGCCTCCAGTTGATCATTTTTGCCTGTTAGAATTGTCTTTAGGGACATCCTTGTTTAGTTTGGTATTTTATATTTTCGAAGATAAATTGCTGCTGATGATGTTTGCTATCCTTTGTGCTGGAAGTGGTCATCTTACTGTAATAGCTATATGACTAGTTTTTGTGCTTTGACTTTTGCTGTTTGCTATAATTTTCTCAAAACATGTTGCAGGTTTACAAGTGCCCTGGCAGGACTGACTGTAAATGACATAATTCAAAGGACTACAGGCAGACTAGAAACTCTTCACTCAGAAGGCGTTCATGTATGGAAATATGTTGGATATCATGCGAAAATCTATATTTTATATAACTTCTTAATACTTTTCCAAGTGTGTAAATATTTTAAAAATGCATATCTTTGCAGAGGCTTTCCGAAATGTCCAGTTCAGCAGTGTTTCAACTTCTGATGCTTGGAAAATCCATCATATCCACTGCTAACAAAGTGCAGGAGGAAGATGTTGATGTAGATATCATGAATATTGAGTGGCCAGAAGATTCTGTTGAAAAAGCTAAAGTAATCCGAATAAAGGCACAATCAATGGCAGGATATGTGGAAGCAGTTTGCAATAGTTTTATCACAGGTTGGTCTTATAATACTGGTAGTGTTTGGATATGCACAACATTTTTAAGTTGATGGAAGAATTACATTGATCCAATAAAGTTCTTACTTGTTGCACTGTGTTACTATAGATGTTAAGGGTGTGCCTTAGGCACAAGGTTCATCGAGTGTTAGATCTAGTGCCTTTCCTGTGGTCACTTGTTTGGTTGTTGACCTAACTGAGAAGAACACTTTATTGCCTAGTTGCACACCTTTTTAAGGGGCCCAAGGAGCAACAAATGCTTGCCTTTGTTTATCTTGATCATCTCCATTTATCTTTTTTATTTACTTGATCTTATTTGATCTAAACTATTGATTAGGTATTAGTTTTTTTGTGTATTTTAATGCACCAAATCAAAATTAAAGACAATAAAACTGAGTAGGAGCATAACATTTTTAACTGAAAATAACACCAAGAATTGAAAAGAGAGAGATTGAGATAGAGAGAATAGTACCTGAAAAGAAAAAGAAAATAAGAAGACAAGAAGACAGTGATTAGAATCCCCTTTAGCCAATCTCCTTCTCTCTCGTTCTTTTTTCCCGCCTCCTTTCCTACTCTTCCTTTCTTTTATCATCTGTCTCCTTCCCTTTTTTTTTTTTCTTCACCAATTTCTTTTTGTCGTTTTTACTGAATTATAACCCTTAGGGTTTTTGTCATTCATATGGAGATAAGGTCTGACATCCCCTTTTAGGTCTCAAATATGGAGAATGTCTCTGTCCCCTGTTCTTTTAGCCCATTGCCTTGGTAAAGGATTCTAGCAATTCTATTGTCTAATTGTAATTACTGTAAGATATCCTACATGGAACACATGCCCGTTTAATCTAAAAGAAGGGTTACCAGTTAAAAATCACTTGCTGAGGAACAATAAACAGGTGTATTTTTCGTGTTGCCTTCTCACTGTGGATACTTTTAGCAATTAGTTCTGAACACAAAAATGAAGCATAGCATATGAGGCATACGACGAATGATTTGGGTTATATCTGTATTCATAATGTTTGCATTCCTAATTGCAGTATCATTGTTGTTAGAGATTCAAGTTTATACCTTCGTATAAAAAAAATAATAAAAATTTGAATAAAGGAGCTTATATCGATCATAGTTTATGCAAATTATATGAGGTGTGATGGTTGATAATTAGTTGCTGATAACACAGCTCAACAAACATTACACAAACTAGAAGACAGCATGATTGGTTTTTTCTCATTTGTTTGTTTGCTTCTTTTTTTTTTTTTTTTTTTTTTTTTTTGAATAAAGGAGCTTATATCGAATTCATAAGGTTTATGCAAAATTATATGAGTGTGATGGTTGATAAATTAGTCTGATTAACACAGCTCAACAAAATTACACAAACTTAAAGAAGACAGCTGATTGAGTTTCTTTCTCATTTGTTTGTTTGCTTCTTTTCTTTTTTTTTTTTTTTTTTCTTTTCTCTGCTCCCACCTTCCTTTCTTCTTCACAAACACTAGTTTCTATCTTCGTCACATTTTACTATGAACAAAGGCTCGGCTTTTAAGAGGTTTAATTTCTTAGCAGACGTGTGAGTCTCGTTTTTTTTTTTTTTTTTTTTTCTTTTCTCTCTCACCTTTTTCTCTCACAAACACTAGTTCTATCTTCCGTTCACATTTTACTATGAACAAGGCTGGTAAGGGTAATTTTAGCGTATAATTCTCAGGCATCTCTGACGTAGCTGAAGCTTATGTTGCTGCCATGAAGAGTGCTACTGCTGATTCCCATGATGGTCTTCCGAAGACATCAGTGCAGGAAAAAGCCAATACCTTCTCTGAACTTATCCACACAGACTGGAAAACGGCAGTGAGTAAAATCCAGGATGGGCTACAATTATTATCTTATGTAGTTATGTTTACATCTACGCCATCTGCTTGAAAACTCTCTACACTGTCATATTTGTAAATAGCTGTTCAATTTTAGGATGGTTTTTCTTCTTACTGTCTGAAAATGAATTCATCCAAATTCAGATGGAACTAACTTCTTTTTTGTCTTTGAAGAGTTCAATTTGAATGCTAGTTACATTTTTTAAACAGTTTATTTCCCATGCAAGAAAAATATATTTGAAATGAATAAGAAGGGAAATTGAAAAAAAAAATTTACATGTTTGTCATGGATTTGATTGGTGGTTGGATACGATAAGCCAATGGTGGTTGAGAGTTGAAAATGTTTCAATAATATGATATGAGCTATTTGTCTGTTGCTTTATTAGTTTATTTTTTTAAAATGATTGAAATTATGAATTATTGTAGTGTTGAGACAGCAAGCACTGTGCCTGGAATGCAACAAAGAGTGGGGAATAGAAGTGATTTCTTCCACTGATAGCTTCATTTCGAGATGATTAGGATTCGATTTTGAGGATCATAATTAATTGCTGGTCTAGCCTTATGTTTTTCCATAAGAAAGTCGGGTGAAAGTTGTTTGTTTGGCTAATAAAAGTTTTAGGATTTGTTTGGTAAATTCAAACTTGAGACCTCTTACTTCTCACATGAATATAAATACTAACTAGATCACACCTGATTATCATTAGATACTTTTACTTTAAAAATCACTATATAAACAGTAAATATTAATAATTAATTCATATCTAATTATTGACAATAAGTAAATCAGTTAATCTCTATTATAATGATTTACAATTTTTAGCTATGTTATACAGAAACGTGGAATCATGGAAATGATGCAGAAATGGATACGGAAAACAATATTTTTTTAACATATAAGAAATGGATGCATGGGGAAACGCGTAAATATAAAAATATAAGGGTTATATTTATAAATATAAAAATATAAGTTATTATAAACCATTTAATATATTTAACAAGTTATAGTCAAATCAATATTTAATCATATCCAAAAAATTACCAGTTTCATGCTCATAAAATATACATGTTTATGAATGAGAAATGAGTTTATAAACGCGTACAATTTATTTATGCATTTATTTTAATTAGAGAAATGAGTTTTTGAGAGTTTTCAGTTTATAAAAACGTATTTAAAAAGAGAAAACGTGTTTTCAAATTACTCAATTTACAGAAACTGCCTCAAAACATTTTTGGAGAGTTTCTAAGTATTTCTGCACAGAAAACGTTTCTGAAACGCGAAAACATCAGCCAAACGAAATTTCCCTGCAACATTGGTTTTTAGAATAAAAGTGTTATGGAACAAAGTTTTCATGGCAGTTAAAACACTAAATTGTCTAAAAGTTAAACTCAATCAAGTTTAGATGATGAGATTTTTTCTTTGATGGATTATATGGCAATAAAAGAATTTCATATTTATTTTTGATTAATTTGGTAGTTTAGAATTTGCACCTCATAATTCCACTCCAAGAGTCTATATTAGTCAAATAAGGATAGTTAAAATTATTCTTACAAATTCAATTTGTAAAAATAAATATATCTAAAATTCAATTCTATCATATTTTTATAGATAATTTTTTATATTTTAAATTTATACTAAAAATTCAATTTATAAAATTAAATATATCTAAATTCAATTTTACGATATATATCTTTATTGATAATTTTCAATATTTTTTATATTTTTAATATTGAAAATTTGAAATACCCAACCATATAAAAATCATATTTTTAATATTTTCTTAAGTTTTTACCTTAATTGGGCCAACTTTTATGAAGCCCATCTTGAGTGGTAGCCCACAACCAAAATACCCAAACACAAAACCCTAATTACTATTTAAGTACTACCTATTTCAAATCTCACTTCCAAGACTATAGCTTCTTCAACTTTGCAGCCGCCTGCTTCACCTCATCCTCTCTGCAAACCAGATTATTATCCAACAGTCAAAAATGTCAGGGTAAGATTTCTATTCCTTGATTCATCAAGTTTAATATCTTCTTAATATTACAGAATCCGGTTTTATAAGATCTAAAAAATATAAAAATATCTTCTTGATTTGAATTTTTAGCTTCATTTCCTGATAACACAATTGGGATGCTAATATTATGTGCAGTGAGGAGGGTGCCGTTGCCGTTGAGACACCAGCTCAGCCACTCGGCGAGGCTATGGACTTAATGACTGCATTGCAGTTAGTTCTAAGAAAATCATTGGCTCACGGTGGTCTTGCTCGAGGTCTTCATGAAGGCGCGAAAGTGATTGAAAAGCATGCTGCTCAGCTTTGTGTATTGGCTGAGGACTGTAACCAGCCTGACTATGTTAAGCTTGTCAAAGGCCTTTGTGCTGACCATGGTGTTGGCCTCTTAACTGTTCCTAGTGCTAAGACTCTTGGCGAGTGGGCTGGGGTTAGTATTATTTCTTTTGTGAAATTATTTCAAGATTTTAACTTTTAATTCTATATATTGAATAGGGTATTTGTTATATTGATGAAACTTGTTGTTGGCTTGGTAGAATCGTAAAAAATGTGTAATTCTCCTCTGTTTACAGTTTTTGGCTAAATATAAACAGAATGTGGTGAAGTTCATTTGAATTGTTGCTTGAGCTTTCCCTATATACTTAGATCTCTAAGTGGAAAAACAATGATTTCACATTCATTATTTGCCTTGCAATTAGTAATTAGTGATAGAAGATAGAAAATGTAGCAAGTACTTGACATCAGTTTCATTTAGTTATGATTTTATGGAATCTCTGGGTGTAAGACTGTATGTACCTAGTTATGTGTGAATATTTGTTATTTTAATTGGCTGTTTGAGTGTCGTTATTTTCACTTCACCAAAACACTAAGTTCCCCTGTGTGAATTCATCTATTTATTTCTATTCTTGTACTTTAAGCATAATGGCTCAGTTGTTACTTTTGCATATTGTAAATGAACTTTATGGAGTCTATAATCCCAATTACTTCAAGATTCGTTTTTTCGCTTCAATCATACAATATGTTTGCTCAAACTTTGAATCAGCACCTTTCCTTGAATTATCTCATAGTTTTTGTTTATGCTCCTGTGTTATTGCACTATGGTTTACTCTTTCTGTATTGAAATTTATTCACTTTCTTGATCTAAGTATGACTTGCACATTTTATTTAATAATCATCTCATGGTATTTATTTGGTCCTTACTACAGTTGTGCAAGATTGATTCTGAGGGTAAGGCCCGGAAGGTAGTTGGTTGCTCCTGCGTCGTAGTTAAGGTGAGACTCTATTTCGTATATTTGTTTGTCCACACTTCTCTTTTCTTTTGATCTAGTCAATCTCATTATTTTCTTTCTCTGGTTTGCTTGTTTTATAGGATTATGGCGAGGAGACTGAAGGTCTTAATGTTGTTCAGCAACACATCAAATCTCACTGAGTAGCTGTCAAATTTGATTTATTGGGATCTTAATGGAAGAGTATTTGTAGAGACCTTTGTTGTTTTCATGATACCAGAATTTTTGAGTGTTTGCTATCTGCAGTTACTTTTGATTGAGTTGTTTCTTATTAGTAGAACGTCATTCTTGATGTATGACAATGCGGAATCAGCAACATTTTGACATTTTGTGAAATTAAAGTTGTGCTTAGCATTTTAACCTTGACAATGAATCTCCAGCTGGCCTCTGCATGCATCCTTAAAACATAAAAAATTCCAGAAAAAAAAAAAAAATTCTAGCCTTAACAGTTCAGGTTTGACTGAAGCAAGAACTTGAATGTGTTCCTATCTTGTACAGAACAGTCAAAAGAACTTGTTAATGGTTCCAAATAGGCATGGCCACGGTTCCGGAACCGGCGGTTCCGGTTCCAGAAAAGCTGGAACCGGCGGTTCCGGTTCCAGAAAAGCTGGAACCGGAACCGAACCGAAATTGGCCGGTTCCGGTTCCGGTTTGGAACCGTCCGTGTCAAAAGAAGTACTTCGTTAAATGGTTCCAAATAGGCATGGCCACGGTTCCGAACGGCGGTTCCGGTTCAGAAAAAGCTGGAACCCGGCCGGTTCCGGCTTCAGAATAAAAAGCGGAAAACGGAATCGAACCGAATTGGCCGGTTCCGGTTCCGGTTGGGATACGGTCCGATCTTCCTGTCCGCCAGTTTCACGATTTAACCGAATTACAAACCGACGGTTCCGATTGGGTTTACGGCGATGCGCATAATTTGAAATTTTAAATTTTTTAATAATCCGGTTTAACAAAAAAATTTATCATTAACATAAAAATTTAAAATACTGTTTTAAAAATTTTAAATATCGAAGACCACTAAAAAAAAAATTATTTGAACAATAAAAACAATTTGATCAACAATTACATCCTAAAAAATTATCAAATTTTTAAAGACCGTTTAAAAAAAAATGTTCGAACTGCATTTTTCTTTTTTTTTAAGTTTTCTGAACCCTCTCGCTCTCTTCTCTAAAAAACAAAAATTTCGATTGGATTTTTTTTTTTTTTTTAAGCTTGAAACATAATGATTTTTTTTTAAAAAATTTGAAAACTCGAATTTTTTTTTTTTTTTAAGTTTGAACATCTAATTTTGTGAAAAAAAAAAAATTGGGCTGCAACTTATTTTTAAAAAAAAAAAAAAAATTAAGTCTGCCTACGTATCCTCTTGGGGTTTAGAGGAATCAAAGCCCGATTCACCCACGTAGTTCTTACTTACCTTATATTCAATGTCACCCCTTTTTACCTTAATCGCGTGATTTGCACACCGGTATGATGTTCCCGTTGAGACCCATCGGTATAAATCAAATAAATCTTCATTTTCCGTTTGGATTCGTTTCTTGGGCTCATTTAGTTCGGCTGGTCCAATCATCACCGGCACGCTTGTGCTTTCTAATGAATCGGGTGTCATTACGAGATCCGCTGTTTCATCAATGTATGTTACCTCCTTGGAACTTAAAACAGCTTGTCTCAACCGCCAACAGTCAACAGTGGAGACCGGAGCTACTAAAATTTGTTTTGCAAGTAAAGAAAGAATTGAAAAAGTATTTGCGTGACGACTCCACCAATCTAAAATTGGAAAATCTGCATCAGCATAATCATCACCAAACTCAAAAGAAGTTGTTAGATAATTATCAAATTCAGAAATAGAACTGGATTCCCTTGTTCTTTTTTGTCTTTGCAATGAAACTTATTGAGCAACACCAACACCACTTACCCTTTATGTTGAAAATTGTGGAATATTAGATTGAGAAGAAGTAGAAATAGAAGTAGATGAACTAGAAAAAACTTGAATAAATTCATTAATATTATGCATAATATTTTGTTTTAACTTCATGCATTACCTACATATAGTATATCTAACATTATCTTGTACATCAGATTTTATAATACTTCATAATAAAATAGTCAATTAATCACATAATACATTCCATTCTAGATCTAGGATCAAATACAATAGCAACAGATTAAAGAGGTTGGTATATTTTAAAGTAAGGATACCATTTTTTTTTCGAAAATTGAAAAAAACGTTTACAATCTGTTTATATTCATTCATTTTTGAAATTCTTTGGGTGCTTGCTTAAGTAACAATATTAATATACAATAGGTAGAAAAATTAAATAGATGGTGGGATAATAAAACCCCCACTAAATTTATAGTTAGCATCATTAAAAATTTTTTAAAAATATCATAAATATTTTTAGTGCACCAAATGTCCCAATTGTGAGTGATATAAATTAATGATCCTCAATTATTATTAGTAACAACAAAACATTAATAATTCCTTATAAGCAAAAAGACTCGTTAGTAATTCATATGTCTTGAAATTCCAACGAATATATGGGGACATCCTTGGAACGTTTTTGCGTCTTTTATTTATTTCTTTACAACCAATTTAGCCAACTTTTCATACTTGTGGGTATGTGGTCACATAAAATATGAAATAGCTTTTTTAATCTGGAGCAATAAAACAATCAAGAATTATTTTAAGACCAGTCTTGTACACATTAATATTTAAAAATGGGAATGCACATCTTATATGAAAAAATTTACCCACTCCAATATTTGGTTCACAAATTCTTTCTTAAGTTTCGAATAAATTAGAATCTAGTATTTGCGAGAAGCATTAATCACATGAAATCTAAAAAATTTTTTTTTTTCAATGGTATATTCATCTAAAATTGGAAACAATTACTCTACTAAATTATTCTTGTACAACGTATGTTTATCATCAAAAACACGAAAAAACCAATAATTCGTTTTTTGAATTTTGCCAATCGATCATCAAGTCCAATGAAATGTAATAGCCCATATCAAGATGCATTTGCCATGTTACCTCCCAAACATCACAACAAACTTGCAAACCACGAATTTTCAATTGAGAAAATTAAAAGCTGCTAATCTTTTTTTTCTCCTTTATCTATACAAAGAAATAATCAGGTTCCGTCTTTATCTGTTGTTCTGCTACTCTTTAGCACAAGGATTTAAGCTTTTTGACAATAATTATTAAAACCTACTTTTTTCACCAAAACTAAAAGATAAAACAAAACAAAAAAAAAGATGTTCATAGAACAAGTTCCATAGAAATCATTTTTGCTAATTCTTCTTTTTGTATTTTTTCAGAATATTTAAATAAAGAAAGGTTAGAAGTGTACCCGGAAATTTGTGTTTGAGACCGATCAACTCCTATTTTTGTTGGATGTTTTGTCTCCAAATGCTTCCAAAATGATCCATAGCCGCTTCCAAAATGATCCATAGCCGCCTGCTTGTTTAGATTTATAAGATTTTTCACAATAATTGTAAATTACATAATTGCAAATTATATCGTACATTTTCTCACCTTTGAATTTTTTTGTGAAATGAATGGAGAATATGTCGGAACTTTATCTTGCTCTTGTAACAATTTTTGCTCGTAGCTCTTGCTCTTGCTCTTCATCTTCTTAAAATTGCTCATTAAATTCGGATTCTTGAGTTGGAATATCCAAATTTTCATTTGGAAAACCCTCAAAATTACATTGGTCGGGAATCATATCATAGATGTCGTTTGTAGGGATAGATGATTCTCCAATTTTTCCCTTGCCCTTACCCGAATTTGAGTTTCCTCCACTTGACTTGCCATACCTACTAATGATAATAAAAATATAAATTTGGAAAATTAATAAAAAAATTAGAGAAGAGAAATTACGCCTTAATAGAGATTAATGGACAAATAATTGGAGATTGGACTTTGAAGAAATTATTTTCCAATATTTTGGACAATAATTTGTGAATGAAAATTAGAGAGATTGTAGAATAGAGAATAATATAAAGTAGAGAAAGTAGAGATTATTTTGTGTGAGGGGATTGTAAATGGAATGAGGTATTTATAATAAAACCAAAAAATCATTTTTCCACAAATACCCTTCAAACTAGCCGTTATGTAGCCGTTTATAGTTTTTAGGAGGAGTAATTTGGAGATTTCACATTCTATTTGAAAAATAAAAAAAGCTGCTAGAACTGCCAATTCGAACCGCTGGAACAGCTAGTTCTAGTCGTTTAACATTAAATTCAAAATCTTCTTGTGACCGCCGGTTCACGGTTCCAAAAATGGTGGAACCAAAACCGAACTGTAGGCCATCGATTTCATTTTCGATTCGGACCGATTCAGGTTCCCATCGGTTTTGGTTTCGGTTCCCACCGGTTCAGAACTGACGATTCCGATTCCAAAAAATGTAATACAGCCGGGTCTACCTAGCTGTCCATCATCCTCTCTCCCGGTTCCGGTTCTCACCGGTTCCAGTTGCGGTTCCGGGCCGGTTCGAACCGACGGTTCCGGTTCCCGGAACCGCAATATGGCCATGCCTAGTTCCAAAGCGTCTCATTCTGCAAGTTCAAATTTATGTGGATATAAAAATTTACGAGGATAATCGTTTAATTTAACGTACAATTAACAGGGACTAGACTATTAGTTTCATCTCTCAATTACTTGTTAGCTAAGCTGTAGTGGGTTGCCAGAGTCCTTTCGCAGTTTTGTCTACCTATACTGATACAGAGGTTAGTCCAACGTAGATCTTCCCCATCTTGCTGACCAATTTTTTATGGATCTTACAGAAGGTTTGATGGTCGTCCTTGTTAGAGATTGGCTTCAAGTAATATAAAAGGAATAATTGAAAAGTGGAAGAAAATGTCTAAATGAAAATAAAAAATCATATTTATGTTTATTTTAAAAATAATTCTTGTTCAAATCTTGAGCTCTAAGCTAAAAGAATGTGCACAACTATTCCAAGTTATTTAAATATATATAAGAATATCACAAATTTTAATTTTTCTTTAACTTTAATAGATAAATTTTACCTCAAGAAGTAATCATCCTTATCTCTTCTATTAATACAGGAGCCAGTCAGGTTCTGCAACCTGGTTTTTGTGTGTCATTGGTTTTCCTTTTTTTGTTTCTTGGTGTTGTTATGTTTTTTTCAGCCTTCCCTACTTGAGCAAACTAGAAAAATTTGGAGACAAAAGTTGAATTACACAAGAAAGAATCTTCTATGACTGTATAAACATAGTCCACTCCTCAACCACCGCATACCTAACTCCATATATTATTAATTTTTTCCTTTTATTTTTCTATTAAAGTTATAATCCCATAATGAAATCACTTATAAATCTAATTTCTCTTTCATTTGCTCAGGTCACACATACCCAGAAATTTAACTATCAATTATAGAGCCATGGGAGAAATTGATCCAGCTTTCGTTCAAGACCTTGAACAAAGGCCTAAATTCAAACGCACAGAAATTGAAGAAATCCCAGTTATAGATCTCTCTGTTTCAAACACTCAAGAGCTAGTTTCAGAGATCGGAGAAGCCTGCAAGAAATTTGGGTTCTTTCAAGTGATTAATCATGGAGTACCTTCAGAGCTACGTCAAAAGATGGAAAGGGTTGCTAAAGAATTCTTCGATCAGCCATTAGAGGAGAAAAGAAAAGTGAAAAGAAATGAAGTTGATCCTATGGGATATTATGACAGTGAACATACCAAGAATGTTAAAGACTGGAAAGAGGTTTTTGATTACTTGGTTCTTGACCCAACTTTAATCCCTGCCTCAGATGATCCTAATGATAAAGAGCTAAGAACTATAACTAATCAATGGCCTCAATACCCTTCTCAATTCAGGTATTTTTTTACTTCTAATTTTCAGTTGATCAATTAGATCTTAATTAGGGTTTTTTTAACTATTCTAATGTTCTATTCTCTAATGACAAGGGAGATATGCCAAGAATACACTAAACAAGTGGATAAACTAGCTTTCAAGTTATTGGAGCTTATTTCGCTGAGCTTAGGCTTGGCTGCAGATGTGTTAAATGGGTATTTCAAGGATCAAATAAGCTTTTCAAGAATTAATCACTATCCACCATGCCCAGCTCCACACCTAGCTCTTGGTGTGGGTAGACATAAAGATGGTGGTGCCTTAACTGTTCTTGCTCAAGATGATGTTGGAGGGCTAGAAATTGCTCGGCGATCTGACGGAGAATGGATTCCTGTAAAGCCAATTCCAGATGCCTTCATCATCAATATTGGGAATTGTATGCAGGTATATATATGCATAAATCTTATATTAGCTTAATCTTTATCTCAATCTGTATTTAACTAATTATCTCGGTTAATTATAGGTTTGGACCAATGACTTGTACTGGAGTGCAGAGCATAGGGTGGTGGTGAACTCAACCAGAGAAAGATTTTCTTTCCCTTTTTTCTTTTTCCCTGCACATTATGTCCAAATTAAGCCATTGGAGGAGCTGCTGAATGAAGAAAATCCTGCCAAATACAAGGAATTCAACTGGGGAAAATTTTTTGCCAGCAGAAATCGCAGCGATTATAAGAAACAAGAATTGGAAAATGTCCAAATTGATCATTTCAAGGCTTCATAGCAACTGTTTGGAGTGGATTCTATGTGTTTATGACTGTTATGAGCAAATATGAATTTCTATTGTGTAATGCAAGAGCTTGAATGTTTAATAATCAATAAAAATACATTCCAAATATGTTCGTTTACCATCTTTTACCACACAGAGTTCTAGTTTGGTTTTAGTTTTTATTTAAAAATTTAAAAATTTTTATCGGTGGTTGGAACTTCTCCTTTGACCACGAACTTTGATATTATAGACAAAAAAAAAAAAATTAAAATTTTTTTAGAATAAAAAAATAAAAAATAATCAAATTCAATTGAATTAAAATTTGAATTAACAAAAAATTTTCTCTCTATCAAAAACAGATTAATTTATTTCTAATTTCACACGAATTAAGAAAAAGTTATCGATATGGATACACAATAAATTTTATGTATATTTATTTCTCTTTTATCGAAAGTCTTACGATATTTTAATTTTTACATTATCTATTATTGCTCTGAAATTATGAATTTTAATAATACTATAAATTTTTTATATACTAATAATAATAATTTTTAAGATTTTTATTTTGTACATAGTAATATTAATTTGAGATATGATTATTATAATTTCTAAAGTAATAATTTTCATGTGTTTTAATTATTTAATAAAAATTTAATCATCTAAATTTTACAAGTTAGAATATTTAATTAAAATATCAAATAAGTTAAAGTATTTTTTTTTTTTTCTGAAAAGTATAGTATGATAATGCCGTCCAGATTCAATGTATCTGAGGAGCAAAAAGAATCTGGAACTCCCGAATAAATCATGTCCGTCCATTATAATCAACAAAAAGATGCAAAAATTAGACACGCAACCACTAATTACAAATTAAAAAATTTTTAACCGAAATCCTGTCTACATTCAGAATATTCACTGCCTATAAAAAAACATATTAAACCCCCAACTTTTTATTTTATCTCAAAAAATCATTAACAGAATCGGAAAACACCATGGGAGAGATAGATCCAGCCTTTATTCAAGAACCAGAGCACAGACCAAAACCCACAACCGTTCAAGCAGACGGAATTCCCGTAATCGATCTCTCTACTGCAAGCTCTTCCGAGCTTGTTCAGCAAATAGGAAATGCATGCAAAGATTGGGGTTTTTTCCAGGTTATTAATCATGGAGTGCCGTTGGAGAAACGAGAAAAGATATTTGATGCATCGGCTAGATTTTTTGCTCAGCCTCTAGAAGAGAAAAGCAAGGTTAGGAGAGACGCCAAGAAAGTGTTGGGATATTATGACACTGAGCATACAAAGAATGTTAGAGACTGGAAAGAGGTCTTTGATTTTACTTTACAGGATCCAACTACTGTTCCTTCTTCACATGAACCCAATGAAACTGGAGTTGCTAAATGGTACAATCAATGGCCTGAGTACCCACCTGAACTAAGGTGACTTAATTTCTTGAATTTTGTTTTGTTTCTGTGAATATTTAATTGTATGGTTTAATTAAGTTCTGTTCTCGAAACTCAAATTTTCTAGTGCATATAATTAACTAATGAGCAGGGAAGTGTGTGAAGAATATGCTAAAGAAATGGAAAATTTGGCTTTCAAGTTGTTGGAGCTTATTGCCCTGAGTCTAGGCCTGAAGCCAGACAGATTTCGTGATTTCTTTAAAGAGCAAACAACCTTTGTTAGACTCAACCACTATCCACCTTGCCCTGCTCCTGACCTAGCTCTTGGTGTTGGTAGACACAAGGATGCAATTGCCTTGACCATCCTTGCACAAGATGATGTTGGAGGACTTGAAGTTAAGAGAAAATCTGATGGAGAGTGGATTTGGGTCAAGCCAACTCCAAATTCTTACATTATCAATGTTGGTGATATCATTCAGGTAACATTTCTCAATCACTTAAATTATCTTTGCCTATTATTCAATTGAAGAAGAACTTCTTGTCTCAGAAGAGCAGGAGTTCAGGTCCTGACAATTTTGATTAGTGATATCATTATGTCAGTCTTATCAATATTATGGCTTGGCAAATTACACTCCTAGATTTAGTCTGGTGCTAATTTATCTTTGGCCTGATAACAATAGAGCCAGACTCAAGTTTCTTCTTCCTAATAGCGTCATTGCTTGTGCAGGTGTGGAGCAATGACGCTTATGAGAGTGTAGAGCATAGAGTGAAATTGAATCCTGACAGAGAAAGATTTTCTGTTCCATTCTTCTTCAGTCCAGCGCACTCCACTATGGTAGAGCCCTTAGATGAGATAGTAAATGAGCAAAACCCTGCCAAATATAGGCCTTACAACTGGGGCAAATTTATTGTCACCAGAAAGCGCAGTAATTTCCAAAAGCTCAATGTTGAAAATATTCAAATCTACCATTTCAAGATATCAGAATTAGCAGATAAAGTAGAGGGAGCATTGTCCATCGCTAATTAGTACTAATAAGAAGGTTCTCCCTCCAAATTGATCTTTATCTTCTGTATGTATAAATAAAAATATGGAGTACTGTTAGACTGTTGGGGATACAGTATGTCATCTCCAAGATCCTGTTTGAATATTTGCTATAAATACATAAATAAATAATAAAAAAAGCCATTGAAGCAATTTTTATTTGGGTTTATATAGATGTTCATTTGATGTCAATATTTGCCTTGAGAAACTTACATATTTATCCTTTTAAATTGTATAATGTTACAAAATTGCCCGTAGTTCGATGCCCTATTCGTACCACTGATATGATTCTTAACGAAGACAATTAGATAATACTAGATGATTTGAAAATATGTATCAATACGTAATTTGAATATTTGAATTGATTGCACTTAATTATAATGATACTATCTAATCTTACCTCACCTCCATAATTCTTTTTTATTAGACTCAAATTGATGCATAGAATTCCCCCTTAATTTTTTTTAATTAAGAGAACTACTTTATTTTGATTAATATAAAGGTTTAATTTTTTAAATAAATTAAAATTTCTACCATCTCTAAATCACAGTGTAACTGCGTAATAATCGCATAATAGAAAATTTCACTCAAGTTTTGATATGGGATATGATTTTTTTCCTTTGAAAATTGCAAAATTTATATATTCAGACAATTTATTACATATTTTTTTATACACGAGAAATTCAATAGATCGAAATAATTAATATTGTAAGCTATACCACAGAAATAATTAATAACCGGAGACTTTTCTCGCTCCATGTATTTTTAACAAAACGCGAGGATGTCAGTCTGAGCACACCCCATTGACAATAATATTTTACATGTTTAAAGGCAATACCTAATTAATCCAATAGAAAATGGCATCTGGAGCGCGCATGAATGATGTCCTTCCATCTTATGACCCTAAATCAGACCCATCGAATGAATAAAAGTTAATTTGACCTCTGAAATCATTTAATAGGATAAATAAAGTCAGATTGAATTTTTTTTTTTATTAATTTAACCTCCTAAACTTATTTTAAATGATAAAAAAAATCATATTTAATATTCGGTCAATTTAATTGTTGATTTTTCACTGTACTTACATGCATTTAATACAATAGTTAGGATCAGACTGCATAATTTATTAAAAATAATTAATTAAATATGAAATAGAGGAAAACAATATACAAAGTATGTTGTACACCTCCAGTGATTTTGAGTACATAAATATATATTAATTTGAATATTTTAATATCGACCTTTACTATTGGGTTATTGCATCTATGCATTGCTCGAGTTGACAAATTAAAGTTATACTACATGTGTTATAAATTTATTGTGTTAAAAAAAGTAATGCTTTTATGGATTTTAAACTTCTATTCAAAAATGTTAGAAAAATTTGATCAACGTATTTTAGTACATAACAAGAAGGATAAAAATCAATCATATTAAATTGAATCAATTTATTAATTTATAAATATTTTAAAAAATAAATTCAGGGCCTAAATTGGTCTAAAAAATCAAACATGATGTTTTTAAACAAGTTCATGATCCAAATTGATTTTTACTCCAATAATGAATGGTAGATTGATTTGATAATTATACGAATAATACCAATTAGCGAATATGTGGTATGAGTTAGGATAAGAGAAACATCAATTAAAATAATTATTTTAGCTGTGTAGACTCCAATTTATATTGCAGTTACAGTAATTTTAGTGTTTTTAGCTTGCGTCCTTTATTGTCTCCAACAAAAGTGAAACAAAAATCAAAACAAAGAGAAAGCCAAATTAGAAGAGGTGCGGCAATATAAATCTACAGTAATAAAATTTTTGTTGTATTTACTTTTTTTTGGCATATTTATTTATTTTCATAATTAATACGTTTTGGTTAATACCTAATCTAGCTTTGAACCACTTTGACAAATAGGAGTTTTAATACAAACAATTAATCAAAAATCTTTTTTGATTAGCTCGGTCCTATTCACCAATGTGTAGGCAAGAAATTTACTGCCCTGTAACCAAAAACTCTCGACTTGCATTCTCTCTTCGCTTATAAAATAATTCTCTCTATCTTTATGGGTTGCCCTCAGACTTAAAACGTACAATAATTGTATTGAGTTCTGCCTAGCTTCACAAACCACTACTTTTTGTCTCAAAAAATCCTTTAGCCAATCAAAAACCACCATGGCAGAGGTAGATCCAGCCTTCATTCAAGCCCTGGAACACAGGCCAAACCTCACAATTATGGAAGCACAAGGAATACCCCTAATCGACCTCTCCACAACAAACTCTTCTGATCTCGTTGAGAAAGTTGGAAATGCATGCAAAGATTGGGGTTTTTTCCAGGTTATTAATCATGGAGTGCCGTTGGAGAAACGAGAAAAGATATTTGATGCATCGGCTAGATTTTTTGCTCAGCCTCTAGAAGAGAAAAACAAGGTCAGGAGAGACGCCAAGAAAGTGTTGGGATATTTTGATGCTGAGCATACAAAGAACGTTAGAGACTGGAAAGAGTTTTTTGACTTTAATGTACAGAATCCAACTACTGTTCCTTCTTCACATGAACCCAATGATACTGGAGTTATTGAATGGTACAATCATTGGCCTGAGTTCCCACCTGAACTAAGGTGACTTTATTTCTTGAATTTTGTTTTGTATTTCTGAATATTTAATTGTATGGTTTAACTAGGTTCTGTTCTTGAAACTCAATTTTTCGGCTGGTGTAATAATGCATATAATTTAACTAATGAGCAGGGAAGTGTGCGAAGAATATGCTAAAGAAATGGAAAAGTTAGCTTTCAAGTTAATGGAGCTAGTTTCCCTGAGTCTAGGCCTGAAGCCAGATAGATTTCGTGATTTCTTCAAAGAGCAAACCACCTTCGTTAGACTCAACCACTATCCACCTTGCCCAGCTCCTCACCTAGCTCTCGGTGTTGGTAGACACAAGGATGATGGCGCCTTGACCATTCTTGCACAAGATGATGTTGGAGGACTCGAAGTCAAGAGAAAATCTGATGGAGAGTGGATTTGGATCAAGCCAACTCCAAATTCTTACATTATCAACGTCGGTGAAATTATTCAGGTATAACGTTTCTCAGTCACTGAAATTATCTTTGCCTATTATTACATATATAACTTGGTAAATAAAAGCCATTACTTGTGCAGGTATGGAGCAATGAAGCTTATGAGAGTGTAGAGCATAGAGTGAAATTGAATCCTGACAGAGAAAGATTTTCTGTTCCATACTTCTTCAATCCAGCGCACTCCACTGTGGTACAGCCCTTAGATGAGATCGTAAATGCGCAAAACCCTGCCAAATATAGGCCTCACAACTGGGGCAAATTTATCGTCACCAGAAAGCTCAGTGATTTCAAAAAACTTAATGTTCAGAATATTCAAATCGATCACTTCAAGATATGATATCAGAATTAGCAGATAAAGTAGAGGATGCAATAAGGTTCTCCCTACAAATTGATCTTTATCCTCTGTATGTATAAATAAAAATATGGAGTACTGTTAAGACTGTTGGGGATATATATAGTATGTCATCTCCAAGACCTTGTTTGAATATTTGCTATAAATAAATAAATAAATAAATATGCAATCTCCCGCTTAGCAAGTGCGCAAAAAATCATGAAATATAATTACAAATAAATAAATAAAAATATAAAATGAATAAACAAATGAAATATTAAAGTGAAATAGTAAACTTTCCGAAACTTCCCTTCATGCAATTCCAATCTTACGTGATCACATGTCTATCATCTCTATGATATTCATCTTATAAATATGTTGGCATTTGGGTCCAATATTTGCTGTCATATAACATTAAATGTCTCACCAATATTTTATATAAAATTTACTTTTTACATGTAATACTCTTTTATTCTATATATCTTATTTTTAGTTTTATAAGTTATATCTTCATTTATCATATCACTCTTTTAAAATACAAAATTTAAATATTTGAATTGATTGTACTTAATCATCACGATACCGGCTAATCTTACCTCACTTCCATTCTTTTCAATTGGACTCAAATTAACAGTACATAGAATTTCCCATTCATTTTTTTTTTATTGAGAGAACTACTTTATTTTCATTAATACAAAGTTTTAATTTTCCAATAAAATTAAAAATTGTACCATCTCTAAATCGCCGTTTAATTTCGTAATAAAAGAAAGATTCACTCAAATTTGAGATGCGATATAATTTTTCTCGAAAATTAAAAAATTTATACTCCTTCCGTCCTATTTTATTTACATGGTTTGATAAAACACACATATTAAAATTTTAGTCAATAAAAATTATTTTACCCTTTTGCTATCCTTAACTTATTAATAAAAATTTTTTATTTAATGAACAATTATAAAGGTTATCATAGAAAAATAATTATTTACATATCTAAATTTAGAAACCGTGCAAATATTTTGGGATATTAAGAAAAAGAATAACGAGTAAATAAAATGGGACGGAGAAAATATATTAACTTCTACAAGGAAACATATCCAATTGGTAATAATTTTTCACATGTGGAGAGGTAATATCTTGAATTAAGAAAAAGAAAGAAAAGAAAAGAAAAATAAAGAATTAAATCAATTAATCCAATTGTGGAATAATCACATGAATGATGTCCTTTCATCTTTATGATCCCAGATCGGACACTCAATCATGTAACTATCAATCTTCAGAATTTTTTCAAATTTTTTCCGAGCTCGAATTTGAATAGCTTCCAGATCGGCTTGGCTTATTTATAGCGGTGTGCACGGGATTATGAGAATCTCAACCCATTTTCGAAAACGGTTTCAAATTTTTCATTCCGAGAAAAACTCTGTATTAATTTCATAGTTCCGTCTCGTAAATATTTATGGGACGAGATTGATTTTTTGATTAAAAATGACTTGTATCGATTCAAGTTCTGTCTCATCCCGTCCCGTCCGAAAATTGGAAATTCCTTTCCTTTTATTTCTTTAAAACTACTTGTCTTTTTTGTATGAATTTTAAATTATGCTCCTAAAAATCATTTCATCTTTTTTACTTTAGTTTTTTTATGATACCAATTACTACTCAATTAATAATAATACAAAAAAATAATATGCATTTTTTTAAATATAAAATAAATCAAGTAACAAACATGATTTCAACATAGATTTTTCCTCTGTTGTTCCACGGTATATGTTCAGTAATTTTTTTTTAATAAAATTTTTTCTATTAAATAAAAAATGGAAAGATTAATCAATAAAAGAGAAAATAGTAACTTCAATTAATCTAATTGTTGGATTATTAATTATGCTTAATGGTATCATTTTTTATTTTTCAAATAATATTCAAGATTAAATTACGTAGTAGCGAATTTAAATTAGTTTAAACACAATAGTGACAAAAACAATGACGAGTTAAAATTTATAAAATACATATAAAGTTAAGTTGTATATAATTTTTGTATTATTTTATTTTATTGTATTTAACAATTTTATTAACTAGAAAATAAATACTTAAAAATCTTTTATTATAACATTAGTAGTAGATCATCAATTATTGAATTAATCATTTAATTTTATTATTTTTTTAAACTCAAATTTATATAAATGTATTTTGTTTGATTGTAATTGATGAATATAGTAATTTTTTTATCTTTTTTTGATGAAAAATAATTTAGTAAGACTATGAAAAATTCTGATTGATTCCCGATTTGACCCATTTCGTCATGTTCCGTCTCAAAAAATGGGACAGAATTGGACGGGACTACATATCTATTGGGACGAGATTAAGACTCCATTTTTTACGTCCTACTATTTTAAGATAGAACTGGAAATTATAAATTTCCGTCCCAACCCGATCTATGCACACCTCTACTTATTTATACCCTTACACTAGTTGCAGGTAAATCTTATCCTAAAATAATTATCCTTATCTTTTATGGGTTGGCCTCAGACTATAAACTTATAATAATTATGTCGAGTTCTGTCAAGGTTCACAACTCAAAGAATCCTTTATCCAATCGGAAACCGCCATGGGAGAGGTAGATCCAGCCTTCATTCAAGCCACCCCAAAACACAGACCAAACCTTACAATAATGGAAGCAGAAGCAATACCCGTAATCAATCTCTCCACAACAAACTCTTCTGATCTTGTTGAGAAAGTTGGAAATGCATGCAAGGATTGAGGTTTTTTCCAGGTTCTTAATCATGGAGTGCATTGGTTTTTCTATTTAAATATAAATTTTTTAGTTAGTATATTTAAATATAAAACTTTACAGGCAATTATGTTATTGAAAAATGCCACTGAAATTTTTTATTTTAAATAATATATAATTTTAGATGGCATTAATTTTTTAAATATGGTAAGATTATAATTAATTATATCAAATGACGGTTACACAAATACTATTTATAATTTGCATTGATCGTATTATTTTATTACTAAAATTTCTAGTACGTTAGTATAAATAAATAAATAATATTTATTTACAATAAATTCTATTAAGGGAAAGCTGATGACATACATAATAGAAAAATTTGCACTCAAATTTGAGATCCGACGTGACGTGATCTATTTTCAAAATAAAAATAAATAAATAAATACTTAAGCGCCATAGCATTTGAATTTTATCTCCCTATGGTAAAATTATTAATCTCATAACAAACAATCCACAAAGCTAAAATGGTTAGTGGTAATTCCCAGAAATACTTACCTATCCCTGGTAATATAGGCTCATCTATACATCGAATTAATTCCAAACAGTAATATTTTGTGAAAAAATCTTTTTTGATTAGTTTTATCCCATTCATCAAGGTGTAGGCAAGAAATTTAGGGTATGCTCACTCATAGAAAATTAGAGTGGTTTTCTAGAAAATTTTCTAAGAAAATTAGAAAATATATAGAGTTTTGTGTTTAAATCAGTTAGTTTTCTATTTAAAAAATTAGAAAATAAATTTTCAATTCTCCAAAATTTAACTAAGATTTGAAAAACAAGTTTAAGTTGTTTTCAAGAGTTTTTCTTTATAATAAAAGACATGTTTTCCAATTATTTTTCATTTTTAAAAATAACATTTTTATAATTAAATTATAATATCTATAAATAATTTTTTCTATAAAATAGTTAAATAACATAAAAATTTATATTATGCTTTAATAAATAATTAATTTTATTATTACAAATACATTATATCCATTATTTTTTAAAAAAATTTACAAAATGATAATCTATTCTTTGATTACTTAGTCTATATCCACCTTGCATACGGCAATCAGGTGTAGACAAAGGAAGATGTCTAAGAGATCGGGTCCTCTCTATTAGAAAATTAGTTGAAGATGTCGTCTTCTCTCTACGAAAAATTTTTCTATAAACGCAGCACAAAGAAACAATAATAATACAGAGAATATCTTTATCGTTTAGGAATCAGATTACTCTTATGCTCCTAAGTTCTAATCATTAAGATTTCCAGAAAAATAAATTCTTCATTATATTCTTCCTACCAATATGTTCAAAACTAAAGATCTTTGTAAAAAGAAGGTTTTATCTCATTATATCGAAGATTTTCTCATATACTTATAATATAACAGACATGCTTTATCCATACTTCTTTCTTCATCTTTAAAATACATTATTTATAGAATCTAAAATATGTACATATTCATACTTCATTATAAATGAAATTTTTGTGTCAATGGAAAATAGGATCGCTCTATAATAAACGCCATGAACATACTACTTAAAGAGTGTCTCTACTTACTCGCTGTGTAAATACATAATTATTTTATCTACTCTCCAAAAATACTAATATTGATTTCATCCTCATTATTCTATTTTAGATAGAAACATATCTCATCAATGCGGTATATACAAGAAATTATATTATTTATTATAAATATTGCAAATGAATTAAAATTCAAAAGAGCTATATCTATCAATAGAAAATATTCAAATGCTATTTCTAACATTTCTATTTCTTTGCGGTCTATAAGTGATAGGAGTTATGAATATTCTCTGTATAATATAAATTAGTGAATTATCATTCTATAATTGACCACTTATCCAAAGCTACAGTATGACAACGTCGATTAATCATTTTCAAAGTATACGACACTCATTTCTTAAAAAATATAAAAAATCAGAACACTAATATGAATTTAATCCTTATTGCTAAAGTGAAATTAACATGTCCAACCAAAAGTGAGATTCAACTGGTGCATATTTCTACAAACCTACAATTTTGAGTTCAAAACTAATTAGTACAATAGGAATAAAACTCACTACAAAACTTTCCGCGGATAGCAATAAACTCTACATTGATTCGTATTGTCCAAAAGTCATAATAATATAATAAATAAATAAATGCTTGGAGTCTGCCCCATCATAACAGTTATTGGGAATTATTATCCCTATTCGGGAGTAAGAAGTGTGCCTTATACTCGAGGTCCTATCACTTTCCGCATACTAACACACGTAATTCACGTTAAAAGACCAAACAATGCGATGTAACATAGTTATATACTAATCGTCCTCCTCTTAGATAATATACTTACCATCATCACTCCTGATAAGATATAGATCAATCACACCCAATTTTCATGCTTATACATCTCCTCGAGATTCATTTCAAACCTCATAATTTATATTAGAATATGAATCTTATTTTATTAGCTCTGGGTCAAATTCTTATAGGTGTAGTACAAGTCAAAATTCAATGTTAACAGTAGAGCCAAAAAGTATCTCAAAATATATTATATTCTTTATTTTTAAAAAATCTTATAAAATGATAAAAAATTATATTATTATTATAAATATTGAATAATAAAAATTCAAAACTTTTACATAAAAAAATATTCAAATTTATTTTCTAACATTTTATTTCTTTTAATTATGAAAGTTATGAATAATCTTTGTGAAGTTAAATTAAAATATTATTTTTTATTATTACCAAGTGAACGCATTTTTCATTTTTTAAGAAAACTATTTTCTTAAAAAATAAAAAATAGAAAATAAAAAACTATTTTCTGTGAATAAATGTAACCAAAAAGTGTCAACTTCTATTCTCTCATTGATAACATATACAATAGAAAAATTCACTCAAATTTGAGATGCTACATGACTTGATCTATTCTCAAAATAAAAATAAATAAATAAATAAATGCTTGAGTGCCCTAACATTTGAATTTTATTTCCCTATGGTAAAATTATTAATTTCAAAGCAAATCATCCGCAAAGCTAAAATGGTTAGTAATAACGTCCTCCCTAGAAATACTTACCTACCCTTAGTGATATAGGCTCACCTATACATACCGAATTAATTTCAAACACTAATATTTTTTGAAAAAATCTTTTTTATTAGCTTGGGCCATTTAGGTGTAGACAAGAAATTTATTGTACAGTAGCCAAAAGTTCTCAACTTCCATTCTCTCATCGCCTATAAAATAATTCTCTCTATCTTTTATGGGTTGCCCTCAGACTTAACACTTATAATAATTGTGTTCAGTTCTGTCTAGCTTCACAAACCACTACTTTTTATCTCAAAAAATCCTTTATCCAATCGAAAAACCACCATGGGAGAGGTGGATCCAGCCTTCATTCAAGCCTTGGAACACAGACCAAACCCCAAAATAATGGAAGCTGAAGGAATACCCGTAATCGATCTCTCCACACAAACTCTTCTGATCTTGTTGAGAAAGTTGGAAATGCCTGCAAAGATTGGGGTTTTTTCCAGTTTATTAATCACGGATTGCCGTTGGAGAAACGAGAAAAGATTTTTGATGCATCGGTTAGATTTTTTGCTCAGCCTCCAGAAGAGAAAAACAAGGTCAGGAGAGACGCCAAGGAAGTGTTGGGATATTATGATGCTGAGCATACAAAGAATGTTAGAGACTGGAAAGAGGTTTTTGATTTACTTAAAGAATCCAACTACTATTCCTTCCTCACATGAACTCAATGATACTGAAGTTGCTGAATGGCACAATCATTGGCCTGAGTACCCACCTGAACTAAGGTGACTTTATTTCTTGAATTTTGTTTTGTGTTTTTAAATATTTAATTGTATGGTTTAAAAACGTTCTGTTCTTGAAACACAATCTTTGTGCTTGAAGAATTTCATTTGGACTAACAATGCATATATTTTAACTAATGAACAGGGAAGCGTGTGAAGAATATGCTAAAGAAATGGAAAAATTAGCTTTCAAGTTAATGGAGCTTATTGCCCTGAGTCTAGGCATGAAGCCAGATAGGTTTCGTGATTTCTTTAAAGAGCAAACTTCAACCGTTCGACTAAATCACTGTCCACCTTGCCCTGCTCCTCTCCTAGCTCTCGGTGTTGGTAGACACAAGGATCCTGGTGGCTTGACCATCCTTGCACAAGATGATGTTGGAGGGCTTGAAGTCAAGAGAAAATCTGACGAAGAGTGGAGTTGGGTCAAGCCAATTCCAAATACTTACATTGTCGATATTGGTGATATTATTCAGGTACAAAATTTCTCAGTCACTGAAACTATCTTTGCCTATTATTCAAGTAATTGAAATGGAACTTTTGTCTCAAAAGAGCACGAGTTGAAGTCCTTTGCTAATTTATCTTTGGACTAAACAATAAATCCAGACTCAAGTTTCCTCTTCCGAATATAATGTATTGCATGGAAACGGGAACGAAGAAACCTGGAAACACAAGAAAGATACAGAAAAATATTTAAAATATAATTTTATACGAGAAGAGGGACATGCACAACCGTTTCAGAAACTTAGATGGCTCGGAGTTTCCGTGCATCATAGCTAATACATAATTGCTTGTGCAGGTATGGACCAATGATGCTTACGAGAGTCTGGAGCATAGGGTGAAATTGAATCCCGACAAAGAAAGATTTTCTATTCCATACTTCTTGAATCCAGCACACTCCACTATGGTACAGCCCTTAGATGAGATGGTAAATGAGCAAAATCCTGCAAATATAGCCCATACAATTGGGGCAAATTTATTGTCACCAGAAAGCGCAGTAATTTCCAAAAGCTTAATGTTGAGAATATTCAAATCTACCACTTCAAGATATGATATCAGAACTAGCAGATAACGTAGAGGAAGTATTATGTATCCATCAGTAATTAGTAATAACAAGAAGGTTCTCCCTACAAATTGATCTTTATCTTCAGTATGTATAAATAGAAAAAAAAAAGTTGTACTTTTAGACTGTTGGGAACATTGCACGTCATCTTCAAGATCTTGTTTGAGCGTTTGCTATAAATAAATGGTTATTGAAGCAATTTTATTTGGGTTTATGTAGATGTTGATTAGATGTTCGTTTGACGTCAGTTTAACGTATATATGTAAATGTTTCACATAGGACAATATGTATATATGTACAATATGTTAGCCTTTTGGAGATAAGATAATGACCACGACAAGACATCATATATGTATAAATAAAAGATGGAGACATGGAGTAGTGTCAAACTTTTAGGGACACCTAATACTCTTAATCTTATTTTATATCATAGCAATAATAGAAAACGGGCATTAAGACAACAACAGGATAACAATAATACACAAAAAATTATATAATTTTCATATCATTGAAGGGCAATACAGAATCCAATAGAAAAATTGCATTGGAATGCAATAAATAAATAAACAGAAACCTAACACCAAACTTCTGTTTTTAAACTGCAAAGCAACCCAGAAGAGAAATGAGGGAGAAAAACCAAAAATCGACAATAGTTTCTCTTTTCATCTTCCTTATCTCTATTGACAATGGAATATCATTAGACAGAGTGCCCAACAAACACTTTGTGCTAATACATGGAGCCTGCCATGGAGCTTGGTCATGGTATAAACTTATAGCCCTACTAAACTCATCTGGTCATAATGTAACAGCAATTGACTTAGCTGCTTCCGGTATTGACCTCCGGCAAGTCAACGATCTCCGGTCAATATCCGATTACCATCGGCCGTTGATGGAATTGATGGAATCTTTACCAGAAAATGAGAAAGTGATTCTTGTTGGTCATAGCTTAGGTGGTTTGGCAATTTCTCAAGCCATGGAAAGGTTTCCTCATAAAATTTCTGTTGCTGTTTTTGTCACCGCCTTGATGCCTGGTCCTTCACTTAATATTTCTACACTAAATAATGAGGTAAGTTTATCTTGTTCTTCCTTCAAGGTTAAAAATACAGGAGTGGTAAGTAAAAATTAATCACCTCAATAATAATAGTGCTTTTAAATTTTGATCCAATTTTTTATGTTGACCAATAATAGCAAATTAATTAATTAACAGGAGGCGACTTATCTATACCTAATATATAAAACTATCCATACACCAAACTAATAAAAAAGGAGATCATAAAAATATTACTACTGTCTTTTTTTTTCTGGTAAATAGTCATAAAAAAACTATTTTTTATTGGTTTAGCGTATGAGTAGCTCATACATCCAGTATATATAAGTTTTCTCTTAATTTTATTTTGGAAAAAACTAAGGCCTAATTCGTAAATTTGACCATATACTTTTTGCAATTATTCTTGTGATCCTTTAAACTTTACGGAGTACCTATTATGACCCTGCACTTTCATATTTCAATAATAATTATGCTCTTGATAAAATGAATTGTAAAAGTGTAGGGTCATAATTGAATCCTGAAAAAATATTTCATTTTGACGACAGATATAGTTATTAAATATATGGTTATAATTGAACCATCTTAAAGTTCAGGAGGCCACGAAGATAATAAATTAAATTTCAGAATCAAATTTATGCATTACCGAAAAAACTAACAATAACTTACAATGTGAATTTTAACAGTTGTATTTATTTTGTTATGTTATTATTGAAGTCATTTAGTAGGCAAGGTTCTCTACTGGACAGCCATTATATTTATGGTGATGGGCCTAAAAACCCTCCGACAGCATTCATTTTTGGCCCATTGTTCTTATCATCCATCATATACAAGCTCAGCCCAATTGAGGTAAGAACTCACTCAAGTAAATTTCTTATCTAGTAAATTTCTTAAACGTCACCTTTGACCACAGGATTGGGCATTGGCAACAACCTTACAGAGACCATTACCATTGTTTAGTGAAGAAGACCAATCAAAGGAGATAGTTGTAACGAGTGAAAATTATGGATCTGTTTACAGAGTTTTCGCAATTGCAGAAAAAGATGAAGTGAGTGAGAAATCTTTTCAAAAATGGATGATAGAGAGAAATCCACCAAATGAAGTTATACAAATATTAGGAAGTGATCACATGGTTATGACGTCTAAGCCAGCTCTACTTTGCTCTCATCTTTTAAATATTGCTATCGAGTGTTGAGATGAGTGATTTGACACATACTCTCTCTGTTTAAGTGAGATTGAAGGTTTAATTCTTATAAATAGAGTTAATATTTACTGAAAACACTTTGTTTTTTAGTAGACCGATGAGCAGAATTTACTTCTAGTTCAGTGAATTGCGAACGACTATGGTACTACTAAAAATAAATTTTCACTTACTTGAAGATTTCAATATTGTAGCAACATTAAGTAATCACTTGTATTGTATCGTATTGTATTAGCAACGGAATTTGACTTGGGGTGTAAGTGGAATTTGATTAGTCAATTCAGAATTTCACTGCCTGAGCCAAACGCGGAAAGGTGGAAACGCCAAAATTCTGATCACTCGCTTCAATTCCAATTCCCTCTTTCTTTTTTCCTTTTTTTTGTTTTTTTCGGTTTTCTGGAAGAACGAACTGTTCTAAATTCGGAGGCCAATTCCTAGAAATTCGAATTCTAGACAGAATAACATGCTTCGCTTTTCATTGCCTTATTCTTAATTTTTTTTTTTTCTTAGTAATAGTTTAAAAAAAAAAAAAAAAGCTTTGCATGTTTTTAAGGATATTGTGATATGACAACAATTACCATTTTTAATTTAAAAATTACTCTTTTTTTTTAATAATATTGATAGAATTAATAATTAAATTATGAAATCGTATTTTTTTTAAAAAAAATTGAGAGAGATATCCGAATTTAAAATAATTGTCAGGTTGTATATATACGTTATCACTAGACTGTACTTGGTATACACCAATCATGATTTTTAGAATTTTGTTATTCATAATGATGAATTTGAACCATATAATTCACAAACTAATAATTATTACAAAATTAATTTTTTAACACATTTGTTTGTATCTTTTTATCATATAATTCTTTCATTCTTTGATTTGTTTGCTTATTGAACTTTTAGTTTTATGATGTGATATTTTATAGAAATTATTAAATAAAGGAAACCATGGTCCAATAATGTAATCTATGGGCAGGAATAAAAAAAATTCCCTCATGGCAACTTGCCTCTTTGTAATCGGTGCTAGGAACTTTCTTTCTTCTTCGTTTTTTTTTTTTTTTTTTTTTTTTTTTTTTTTTTTCTTCTTCGTGCTTTATTTTTTTTTTTTTTTTTTTTTTTTTTTTTTTTGAAAACACAGCACACACCTACCCTTCCTTTATTTATTAATCAAATGGCATTCACATTGGTTAAAATTTTTTTTTTTTTTTTTTTTTTTTTTTTTTTTTTTTTTTGAACAAACAGAAATATTTTATATTATTAATAATGGATTACATGGTTAAATACAATAAATATGGGCTATTTGGTACTTGGCAAGAGAAAAATGAAATTAAACAGAATTACGCAAAAAAAGCAATAAAATATCTAAATCCCTCTCTAGATTATTCTGAAAAAAAAAAAACTCTCTTTAGAAAATTTTAAAATTATTCTTCATTTTTTTATTTCAAATATTTTTATAAGATAATATATAAAAAATAAATAAAATAATAAGTCCTATATTTAATTTGAGAATCAATATTGTTTTGGAGTGAAAAATTGATATTTTCTTGAACAAGAAAGTTTCTTACATTAAAGGATTTGGAAAGCATAAAAAGCAAGATGTAGATAATTTAGTTATCTTATTTGAGAAATATAATAAATTAATAATAATATATCAAATATTACATGGGATTTATATAAATCCGAAATTCAGACATATTTTAACGAATTAAAAATCGTCTATTTTTTAATAATAAAATTAAATTCATAATTTGTTTAATTTGGAAAACATAAAAGAATGTTTTTCTAGAATTTCGCCGTAAAGGTGCCCTAAATTTCCACTTTCATGCCATACCTAAATGCTTTAAATCTCCTCCTTCCTTTTTTGTTTTTTTTTTCTTTTTTCTAAATTACCAGCAAAAATTGTCTTCAAATAATTTTTTTTTTTTCTCTAAAGTCAAATGGTTTACTTTATAGACTATAGAAGAGAGTTATACATCATGATGATTATTAACGACATAGTTGAAAACCTTTTCATTGGATATAATACATTAATTTTCTATTTGTTTTCTTCATAATGTATTATTATTTATTATTTTTAATCTTCCAATATATATTTTATAATTAAGTAGATTATAATGCACCCATGCCCAAAATGTGTAAAATGAAATCAAAGTTCTTTTCTTTGCTCATCAGGAATTCTTCTTCTTTTTATTTGTTCTTTACTGCACTAGAAATAACTTAGAAAGCACTTAGAAATTACAAATCCTAAGAAAGACTTCTATTTTCCAGAAGGCCAAATTTGCAGTACAAATTTGAAAATGATAGCCAAACTTTACAAGTATAAATATAGGAGGGTCATGCATGCATAAAACACAGATCAAGCAAACAAAAATGGAGCAAATAATAACAAGAAGAAACCTCAGATTCATTTCTTTCATCTTTTTCCTTCTAAATATAACATCCATGGCATTATCAATGCCACCTCATTCTCCTTTATCTACACCAAGCAAGCACTTTGTGCTAATACATGGTGCTTGCCATGGTGCCTGGGCTTGGTTCAAGCTTCTGCCATTGTTAAGAGCTTATGGTTATAATGTTACAGCTATAGATTTAGCTGCTTCTGGGATTGACCCACAACAAGTCAACACTTTTGGATCAATATCTGATTATTTCAGACCATTGAGGGATTTAATGGCATCTTTACCACAAGATGAGAAAGTGATTCTTGTTGGCCATAGCTTTGGTGGTATAGCTATTTCTCAAGCAATGGAGTTATTTCCAGAAAAAATTTATGCTGCTGTTTTCCTTACTGCTATTATGCCTGGTCCTTCCCTTAATCTTTCCACCATTACTCAAGAGGTATTTCTTATATTTCTCTTTTCTTTTCTTCAAACCTATGGAGAATCTTTAAGTTGGTTTCTATTTTTTTTTTTTTTAAATTATTTCTTGTTTCTCTTGTTCTCCATTAAAGTCAGAAAGAAGGGTAGGTGATCAACTAGACAACCGCTATACACGCGGCGACGGCAATACTCCGGCTACTCTAACCCTTGGTCCCATGTTCCTAAAATCAAGAATGTATCAACTCAGCCCAACTGAGGTAATCATTTATATAGCAATTTTAGCTGATTAAATATTAAATGCAGTTAAGTAATATGATAATAACGTTGGCAAGTTTTCATATAGGATTGGACATTGGCAACGACATTGATGAGACCAGAACCTCAAATTAGCGAACACGACTTGTCGTCAGGAGAATTAACGTTGACGACAGAGAAGTATGGGTCTATTAAAAAAGCTTTCATAATTTCAGAGAAAGATTTGACAATAGAAAAGGATTTTCAAGAATGGATGATTGCAAGAAATCCACCAAACCTAGTGGAAAGAATATTTGGATCTGATCATATGGTGATGATGTCTAAGCCACGGGAGCTTTCTGCTTCTCTTCTGCGAATTGCTCAAAAAGTAAAATATCTGTAAAGCAGCCTAACAGAAAGTATGTCATTGTCAAGTTGTTTGATATTTCTCTAGAAAATAATTTTTTAATTATTTTGTACATTCATCAATAATTGGTGTTTTCCTAATTTATTTTTTTTCAATAATGAATTTTATTCATTAAATATTCATCTCTCCCTCTATATATACTAGCAATATATCTGTGCTATCGACGGTTAAAAAAAAATAAAATTGAGAGAATATATAATATCTTGCTATCGACGGTTAAAAAAAGATAAAATTAGGAGAATATATTATATATATTATATATATAATATATATATATATATATTATATATAATTATATATATATAGATTCTTGAATGAAATTTCTTTTTTATACTTGTTAAAATATTATAAGATATATTCAATAGTAAAAAAAACTATAACGTAATTTTTATTATTAAAGTACAAATTAGATAGTAGACATGTTGTTCAGGAATATGGATTAAAAATATTACAATTTATAGAGATAAATAAAAAAAGTAAATTGACAAGGTGGTTAACTTTATAATTTGATTTATTTTAAAATTAATGTAAAATAATAATCTGTATTTCATTAAATTTATGAATAAATAATTTTTAATTTATTACAGTGGTTAAATAATTAAAAGTGGTATAAATCTTCAACTTATCATTTTATTAATACTATGATTAATCAATTATATTTAACATAATTTAATTTAATAAAAAAATTTTAATTTTTTAATATAAAATAATAATTCTCCATATCATTAAAATTTATAAATTATGAAATTTATTTATATCTTTAAAATTTATATAAATTGTTACTTAAAACGCTATTAATTTTCTAACGTTATATTAATCAATATGCGGGTTTAAAATTTAAAAATATTTAAATGTTAAAAGCAAAAAATATAAAGTTCTTGCAAATCTAATCGTCTTTTTATCTTTAATTTTTCACCTAAAAAGTCTAAAGTTATAATATTTATTTTTTCTGTTGTATAAACTTTAGTTCCGAGCCTTTTTAAAAAAAATAAAAAGGAACTGAACTGTAGTACAAATATTTAAAAAAGAGATTAATTTACAGGTGAATTAAAACCAACAATTTATGTAAAAAGTTTTTGCATCGTTAGGCAAAAGGAACTAAGTTCTAAAGTGATAGCATATAATTTTCCTATAATAACAAATATAAAAAAAAAACGATTACATATAAATATTTAAAATGATAGCATTATTTTTAATTGGTTATGCAAATAATAAAAATATAAAATATTATAATATAAAATATTATATTTAATATTTTCATCATAATACCAGTTCTCGTAAAAAAAAACGATTACATATAAATATTTAAAATGATAGCATTATTTTTAATTGGTTATGCAAATAATAAAAATATAAAATATTATATTTAATATTTTCATCCATAATACCATCTCGATCTATACTCGTAAAATCTCCATATATTGTTGAAAGACACATTCCACAATCGTGATACCCTCACTTTTATTTTCCAATCATCTCTATTTGTATTCAAATTTTCAATTATATCGTACTTTTCACTTGTATTTGATAGTTTACGACTGTAAAAATATGTTAAATAATTTTTAAAAAATGAGACAAAAAAAAGTTTAAGAACTACTTACCCCATTAGTGGAAATAGTTGAAAAACAAAAAATTCTGAATTTAAAAAAATGAATAATCTATTTAAAAGGAGGAACCAATACACTTTTGTCAAAAATACATAAGATTATAGTGATACAACATTAATTTTAAGAAAGTTAAAGTGTTTCTTAAGAGTAAACAATTTAAAATTAAAAAAAGTGCATTATTACACCATTTAAAAAAAAAAATGAAAACACTAATAAAACTATACAAATAACCAAATCAAACGTTAAAAACATTAATACACTAATAAAACGATGAAATGTTTTTGTAACTTCACAAATTTTAAGCTATTAATACATTAAGTAACCAAATCAAACCAAATGAAAAACACTAATTCAAAATAAATTCAAAGCAAAGCAATACATTAAAGAATCAAACCAAATCAAATCAAATCAAATCAAAAACACTAACTCAAAATAAATCAAAATCAAACCAATATATTAATATATTTAATAATCAAACCAAATCAAACCAGAAACACTAATTATAAATAAATTTAAATCAAATCATGACAAGTGGAAACCTAATTGAAGGAATATACCATATGTCAAAATACCAAGTGGATATGCTACATGTTAATTTTTTAGAAAAATGATTGCTTTATATATATATTGATTTGATTTGATTTGCACAGTATTTTTATAGTTAAACTGCGAATAGTATCTAGATAAAATTCTCACAACAGTGAAAATTGAATTGGTTTTTTACATTACATTTTAAAAATATCACATTAACAAGAATTGGTTATTCTTCCTTTCGAAAAAGAAAAAGATTATTCTTAAATATGAATTTTCTCACCTAATTTGTGAATAATTAAGCATTTCAGCAATATTAATAAAACTTAATTTCCATCCAGATATTAGGAAAATCACTTCATTTGATTTCAATGAAGTTAATATCCTTAAATTTTTGTAGCCAATTCTTTTTTTAACAACTAATATGATAGTACTGTAAGTTATAAGCAATATTAGAAAATTTTCACTTAGTTGTCAAGTTAAAAATTAAAATAGGAAAAGAAGTTTAATAAAACTTATTAACTGTAATTCTATTCAACTAGAATTTAATTAAATAACTTTGCTTATACGAATGCATGATATAAGTTATTATAATAAATAATTTAATTTGATTTATTATTAAATTTTGGAAATTTAACCGATGGACGATGACAATTAACCTAAAAATTAATTTGATTGCTGACCTAAAAATTTTTGAATTGAATAAATTATTTAATTCCAAGCTCGAGGTAGGGAGGTATAATTATTTCCAACCTAATTGGATATCCAAATAGGATTATGGAAATTGGAAATGGAGTTCAGGTTTGGGGACAAGTAGTGAATTAAAGAAAATTTATCTTATCTTCAACAAAGAGATATGATACTGGAAAAGAAACCACCATCCACCTCAAGCCTCACCCCACCGCAAGAATTGCAAAACACACACAAACCCTACTTCTAAAACAAAATAAATAACAAAATATATATTGAACAAACAGGAAGCTCTGTTCAGTTATATTTGACAGCAATTCGTAACAGAAAAGCACAAAGATCTACTGGTTTAGACATCATAACCATATGATCAGATCCTTCCATTTTCAGAACTTCCTTTGGTGGATTTTTCTTGGTCATCAATTCTTGAAAATCTTTCTTTATTATCATATCTTGTTCTGAAATTATAAACACCTTTCTAACAGATCCATAATTTTTCCACGTTAGCATTAGTTCCTTTGACATGTCTTGCTCACTAAATAAACGCCTTGGCCTTACCAAACTTGTCGCCAATGTCCAATCCTGTGGATTTTTGAAATGTTATTAGCTCATTAGAGATCAGTTAAACCTATATATCATCGAATAATTTCAAGAAGAATTACCTCAATTGGACTGAACTGATACACTGTATTTTTCAAGAAAATGGGACCAAGAGCCACAGTGGCTGGAGGATTCCTTGGACCATCATCATATGTATAACTGTTGTCCAGTTCAGGAACTTCCCTGCTCCCGTACTTCAAAAACAACAAAGAAAATATTGGATATATAATAAAATTATAAAATAAATGTTTATTGTGATCACTTTTTTTTTGAATAAGTACCTCTTTAAGCAGAGTTGAAACGTTGAAGGTTGGGCCAGGCATACAGGCATTGAGAAAAACTGCAACAGAAATTTTATTTGGAAAATGTTCCATTACTTGAGAAACTGCAAACCCACCAAAACTATGACCAACAAGAACCACTCTTTGTTGTGGTGGTAAAGATGCTACGAAATCGTTCACCGGCAGGATATAATCGGACACCGACTGGAGAGACTTGGGTTGTTGTGGGTCGATCCCATAAGCAGCAAAGTCGATTGTTGTAACTTCATGGCCTGATAATCTTAGTAGAGGCACAATTTTGTACCATGACCAAGATCCATGACTTGCCCCATGTACTAGCAAAAAGTGCTTGCCTTCTTCTGCCTGAATGAAGCTGCATTTTCTATCGTGAGAAGGAAAATTAAAAAGGAAATTAACAGCAAGTATTTATGTTTCTTTTGTTGCTTCATCTTTTCTTCTATTAATGGTTTTAGTATTGGTATTTCTCCAATTTATAGAGCAAATACTGTAAATCGAACCAGTGAATTTCCCGTCTGTCACATTTTGTTAATGGTTCTAATTTTTGACGTCAAAATTATGAGTATCTCGTTCTGAATTTTCTTAATTTTAATATAAAAAGTTTAGCTTAGATGATTTCTAAGATTAAGTATTAATCCCTCTGTTACTCTCAAAATTTGTGGTATTAATTTCAGGAGATGCTAATTATTATAAAATTAATACTTCTGTTTTCCTTTCAGCTTGGAAGGTGAGGTGTGGATCAATTTTTTATGCACGTGACATAAAAATAGAGTCTCCTTTGCCTTCACTTTGGACATTAACAGTTGGTTTCTTGATTTTCATACACACAGAAAAACAATGGAGGTGTGGTTGCCCATATTTTCTGTTGTTTTTTGAAAATGATATTAAAATTTTCTCACACATATCTGACACTAAAAGGTTTTTACAATAATAATGTTTTAGTTATATTACAAAAACAAAATTATCAAACAAATGCAGGTTGTCGATTTTTTCCCCCTTGAGGTCCAATAAACCAAATGAATTTCATAGACTACACAATATGAAAACTCTCTTCTTTGTTCACCAAATTAGTGAGAACTATTATATTATTATCGATAGATAAATCTATTTAAATTGATCAAATAAGATAATAGCGAAGTCATTGGCTTTTTACAACGTTTAGAGGAAATTCAGTGCAACCGTTTAATGTAGCTGGCAGCTGTACAACGAGGGCAGATGCTGTACTGATTCAACAAGGTATAGGTTCTTTTATTTATTTTAAAAGTAAAAAAATATATATGAACGTGATAATTTGTGAAAATAATTATTAAATATTTATCACAACTGAACTTTAATTTCAAATTATGAATTCTTTATCTTTATTCTACTTTGCTTATAGGCAACTCTGATTACGAAATATCATTAATAATTTTTTATTTATATAACAATAGAAAATAATATATTCATTTATGAAAATAATTACATCTTTATCGTTTTTTTTTTTTTTCTCATTTTAACAACAATTCTTATTAAGCTTTAACCAAACAACAAGCAATCATTATGAGCTATAACTATCACAAATAACTGAACCAGGACCTTATAATTATAAAAACATCAATCTAGCAAAAAAAAAAATTACAAAACACATAAATCCTAGATAAGGTGATCAAGGTTTCCAGAAAGCCTTTCGCATGTTTGTTGGCTCTGAGAAAAATTCTGCATCTGCCTTCCAATCAAATTCAATATCTAAAGTAAAATAAAGCGCAAAATATATCTTAAATAAAAAGAATCATAAAAAGGTATGCATATGGAATCATAGCTAGTCATCTCGAATCTGGAGTTCAAGAGTTTCTCTCAAGATCCAATCTCTAAATCCAACAATGATGGCGGTGGTAGATAAGAAGATGCCTATGATTTTTTCCTTTCATTGTTGTTTTTGTATGGGTTTGAGATTTCTTCAGTGATTTTCATCTTTTCTGAATTCTGTGTTTTAAACATGAATTCATCGGGTTTATTTCATGTACTTCTATCGTGAGTTTAAAGCAAATAGTCATATTTGGCAGCAATTCCTAACAAAGAAGCCCAAAGATCTAATGGTCTAGACATCATAACCATATGATCAGATCCTGATATGCTTAGAGCTTCATCAGGTGGATTTTTTTCAATCATCAAATCTTGAAAATCTTTCTTTATTATCATATCTTCTTCTGCAATAATAAACACCCTTCTAACAGTTCCATAATTCTCCCCTGTTAGCATTAGTACTCTTGAAATGTCTTCGTCGGTAAATAAAGGTCTTGGCCTTACCAAAGTTGTTGCCAATGTCCAATCCTGTAGATTTTTCAAATGTCATATATTAGCTGATGATAATTTAGTTAAACATATATATAATATTTATTTTCAAAAAGAATTACCTCAATTGGACTGAGCTGATACAAGAAAGTTCTCAAGAAAATAGGACCCCAAAGTTCAGTGGTTGGAGGATTGTCTGGACCATCATCATACGAATAACTGTTGTCCAATTCTGGAAGTTCCTTCCTGTCATACTTTAAGAAAAATATTAGGAACTATGTAAGAAAAATATTAGGAACTAAAATATAATTATTTTATTTGGATTAGTACCTCTTCAAACAGAGTAGAAATATTGAAGGTTGGGCCAGGCATGAAGGCAGTGAGAAAAACCGCAACTGAAATTTTATTTGGGAAGTTTTCCATTACTTTAGAAATTGCCAACCCACCAAAACTATGACCAACAAGAATCACTCTTTCTTGTGGTGGTAAAGATGCTACAAAATCGATCGCCGGCCGGATGTAATCGGATAATGACCGGAGAGACTCAGGTTGTCGTGGGTCAATCCCAGAAGCAGCCAAGTCTATTGTAGTAACTTCATGGCCTGATAATCTTAGTAGAGGCACAATTCTGTACCATGACCAAGCTCCATGAGCTGCCCCGTGTATTAGCAAAAAGTGCTTGCTTGCTTTTGGTTGACATGAAGCTCCATTTTCGACAGTGAGAAGGAAAATTAAAAGGTAAATGAAAAACTTGTGATTTTGTTTCTTTCTTTGCTCCATATTTTCTTATATTCTTGACTTTAGTGTACAAGAACTTTCTCAATTTATAGACTACTTAACAGCATGAATCAAATGCCTACAGTAGCGCAAGTTGGGCATATGGAAAGAAATTTCAAGTTTGATCCCCACCAAATACATATATAGAGATGAGTAAATAGTCTTAACTGTGATTAAGTCTCGAACCGAATTAGATAGTGGCTGATAATAGGATCCGGACTCTAATGGTAAAAAAAAAAGATAAATAGTGTGAATCAAATAATTAAATTTTGCTATCCTTATTAATTATTTTGAACGAAAAGCAGAACATCCCAAATTAATAACTCATTCAATACACGAAAACCTAACAAAAGAAAGTTAAATGAAAAAACTTGATACTGAATTGCATCGGAACAAAAAAAAAAAAAAAAAAAAAAAAAACGGAATATTAGGAAAAATAAAAAAAAAAAAAAAAAAAAAAAAAAGAGCAAACGGAATATTAGAAAATGGAAAAAAAAATTTCGAGATAAAAATAAAACACTACAATAAAAATCAAGACATCCAATCTAATAAATTCCCACCTGCAAAAAGATAAACTCACCGTGTCTTATCCAAACATACATGTCATGCTCTTAGCAAAAAGCATCTAAAAGAAAACAGGGCAGTTGAAAATTCTGAGTCCAAGCTTGGCACGATTCAACAAATTTAATAAAACTGCTATGTTTTTATAGAAAAGGTTTAGTGTAAATGATTTCTTACATAAAATGTAATCTTAATGATCGAAATTGAAAATAACTAATCAATTTTGTAAATTAAAAATCTCTTACGGTATTTTATGAAATATTAATTGTTACAAAGATGTAATTTATAATTTGTGATAAAAAAAAATTATAATTAAAATATGCTTAAATCATAACACTCTTTATGTAAATTTATAATATATTATTTATATATAAAAGCACCTCGAAAGCGAATCTAAATTGATAATAAAGAAAAATATAAATAGCTGTAAAGTAACATTAATTATTGAAAAAGATTTCAGTTTGAAATTGCCATCCAAAAAATTAATATTCAAATCTATTAGTGATGTGTTTCAACAAATTGGATAAAGCAATAATATGTGACGTGGTTTATCATACCAAGAAGTTTTTTCAGTACACAATTTTTTTTAATTAAATCGAGATTTTAAAAGGATAAACTGAATTTTTGAAATTAAAATCAAATCAAATTAAAATTAATATGATAATTAATTTGAAGCGAGCCGTCTCATTTTAATTTATTTTTTAATTTTTTACAAAATCAATTTTATTTTAAATTTAAACGATTCAATTTTATAAAATTAAATGAATTATATTTTCAATTCAGTTCGATTAATCATATTTTTCGATCGTGGTAGCTAGCTTGTTAGCTCAACCACTTCCGAATATACTTTTTCATTTTCAAAAGGACTTAAATCATCACGTCATGCCTTATTAAGAAAAATAAATTGACTTGCTAGTTTTAAGTTTGAACAAAAGAAAATATTTTAAAACAAAAAAAGGAAACTCTTCGTTAGAAATTAATGATGATACGTCTTATTGTATATAGTAAAACGTTAACTTGTACGAATTAAACTTTAAACTTCCAAAAAAAAAGAAACTCATAAGAAAAATTCAATTAGAAAAGAAATTAATTAGAAATCTGATTGATAGAGCCATCCATTACCTTTTTGCTTTTGACTTCTTCTCTGTCTGACATCTCCGAAAATAATAGGGATAAAGTAGCAATTTTGATCAAATTTCGGGGACTTTATAGTAATTTGGTCTAATCCATAACATACCCACAATGTTCTGCTATGGGCCTAATTATACAGGTAATCGTTGTTCTATCCAACCCATTATTTTTAGCCCATCAGACTATTCTTTCTTTTTCAAGTCTATCTATTCTTTTTTTTTTTTTTCAGAAATAGTTTTTAATTTCTCAAAACATTTTATTTATATTAAAAATTTGAACTAAGAGTAAAAAGTAGCTAGATACCATAAACTAATAAAATATATTAAAAAATAGATATCTCCTATATTTTTTAAATTCATATAAAAATATATATTTTCTCAATTTCACCATGTTTTTTTTTTCTTCCCATGTTCATCTATGTAATTTGTTGTCAATATTTGAATATTCTGTTCAACTAAATTTGCATTGGGCCACAATGAATCTTCTTTGACCATATTTTATTTATAAAATCAAGGATATTAAATTAATTATATAAAATAAATAATAATCACAGGGGAATAACAATCAAACAAGGTATATGCCTTTCTATTTTTTAGTTTTTTTTTTTTTTTTTTTTTTTTTTTTTTTTTTAGTTGAAATTTCAACATGCATATCATGTGTCAAACTTGTTTGGAGTATTATTTTGATTAATTTGTAGACTAAAATTTGATATTTTTTAGTTTTTTTTTTTTTTTTGTTGAAAATTTCAACATGCATATCATGTGTCAAACTTGTTTGGAGTATTATTTTGATTAATTTGTAGACTAAATTTGATTTTTGATTTTCAATTTTATTAAACAAATTGAATAAAAAAATGAATTATAATAGAATTATTATCTCTATCCCACTTTAAGAATTATGTACTAATGATTTTTCAATTTTACTTTTTTGTTTATGAGAGATAACTTTATCTCTGTATTTTGGTATTCTTACTAAGTAATTAATTATTTTATCATAATTTAAATGTTTTAATTACTTCTTAAATTGGAAAGCCTCGACTAATTTGAAAGATCGTTACAAGACGCGAAAACTTTAAACTACAAATAAAAATAAAAAAATAAATATTTCGATTACAATTAAAGAGGTAGAACCAGTACTTCTTTCGTTCTATTATAATTATCAAATTTTAAATTATTTTTTCTCCAACTTAGTTGTAAATTTAGGAAATTAATCAATTATATGCTTACTTTTTATTTTTTATGATTTCATTAAATACACATTAATTATTTATTTAGGATATTAATAAAAGTGCAAATTAATGTATAAAATCATTGTTTTTTGTCCGAGTTGGATGAGTTCTTTAGCATTAATTGGAACTGGAGTCTTCTCTTTACATCGATGTTAAAGTTCAAAGCAAGTTACTGCAATTGGACTGTTCTGTCTCTAGATATTTTGGTTGTTCTCTAACAGGACTTTTTTCAATTTATTATTATTTATAGTAATAAAGTTTAATTCGATTTTGAATTTATTAATTCAATTTATTCTCTGAAATTGTAATTCGCGACAAATGGCCTGGATATTTGAGTAAACGCAGAAAATTTTCAGATAAATCACCGAATTACAAATTTAAAAAATAAATTGAATTGAAAGGTCAAATTCGTAACTTTCTCTTTTTTTCCAGGTGACACGTTCGGGACTTTATTTCAATCTTAATAGAAGCCTCCATTATATGACTAAACTGTTCTGTATCTGGATATGGGTGTCCATCCTATGACTCCATTAATATGAGCTCAAGCTTCAGAACACATCAAGATTCAAGAACACCCACCTTACGAAAAAGCAAAAGAAACATCAAGAACGCTTCAATTTGAAGATAGAATCTGAAAGAACTCAGAATTGAGAAATTATACTTGCATCTCATACAATTCACAAACTAAAAGTTTCCCTTACATTTACAAATTCCAAAACCCATAATTGAAAAACAAAAGGAAAAAAGAAAATAAACCAGAAAATAGCAAAACCCATTAATGAATTTCTTGAAGAAAATTGTATTGCGGAACTTTCATGGAAGAAAGCCAACAAAAGGAACAGCAGGAGCAAAATGGTGATTTGGTAGTGACTGAGAATGAGTTGAGGTGCTCTGTTGAATTACAATTCCAATTGCTTCAGCTACAACAAAAACAAAATCAAGAGCTAGTTTCATTAATTCCATGCACATCTCCAACCTTTGGATCACCATTTCTCTGCAATTTTTTATATCCTATCCCTCTACTTTCCCTTTTCCTTTCTTTTCTTTTCCTTGTTCTTCTCTCCGCGTCACCTCTACCAGTCTTCCTTTTTCAAAAGCCTGTATATATAGTCCCAAACAGGGAGACTAATTATTTTTTTTTTTTTTTAGGGGGAGAGAGACTAATTAATTAATATTTAATTCTAGCAGATATGTATTACCTCTTTGTAATTATTATTTTTGTAATTATTCTTGTTTTAGTTCTATTATTTTGTATAAAAATAATATAAATAATTGACCTGTCTAAATTCAGGCCCATCGTTCTACTCATAAATTAAATTAATAAAAACATAATTTTCATTAAAATAAAATATTTCTAAATATACAGGAAGAAAAAGAAAATATGAAAATTTTTTAAAATATTTTTATTTTCATTAATTTAATTTTAAGTGGGCACATAAATTCGATTTAGAAAATTATTTTTCGTAACATAGTATGGTCTATAATTTTTATTTGGCTTTTGAAGATCCCAAAGGGCATGTTTTGCATGTCTCTTCCCCTCCCTTTCAATGGTTGAGATATGATGGGACACATTATTTGATATGGTAAATCAAGTGGAGAAAGGATAAGCCTTTTATTTTTCAGAAAGTATATAGATTCCCAAGTTAAATAGATTAAGACTAATAAATCATTTCAAATAAGACAATTAAAATTTATAATAATTAACATAAATTGACAAGTGTTGTATTAAATTTATCCACTTGTTCCTTTCTTTCTTTTTTTTCTTTTTCTTTTTCTTTTTCCTTTTTTTTAAATTTTTCTTTTTTAATTTAGTAGTTACTAATAGGGGCCCACAGGCTGAATAAGAAATCAACCTAATTAATCATTTTCACAGCTTGATTAAAAGAGAGATTATTGAAAGTATATAAGATTATATTGGAGAAATAAATAAACATAAAGTAGATAAGTATTTCTGGATTGGAATTAATGAAACATCTAACTATCCATTTTTAAGACATGAAGGATGAGAAATTGGATTTGATTGGCACAGGTGGCTTTAAAATGTCCCCACAAAGGAATGTTGTTTCCAATAATGAAATGGGCCTACTCAGCAACTATGGGACCGGTCACATTATAATATTTTATTTATATTAAACAAAAGAGAGGAGTGTTTTTAATAGTTGTTTAGAATTAAACACATTAATTTATATTTCAATATTTAATAATATTAAAAAAATGGTAGAACACAAGAAAATGAATCCATTTATATTTTACAAATTTCTTTCACATGTCGTATACGGACGGCACTATTGGTTAGATACATTTTTTCTTCATTTTATAGTGTTATACCTGGTGCAATCATTGAAGTTTAAAATACTAGGGGGATTGGTTTGGGTATCGATTCATTTCTTTTAAATAAGAGATGAAGTGTTTAATATTCAATTCAGTAGGATGAAAATGTGATCCAGCACAAAAACTTAAAATTGAAAATGAAATTATTATTTGCTAAAGCTTAATTAAATATTATCAATTAATTTTTTATTGTAATTTAATATATTTATTTATCATTGGAAGCTTTTATGGGTTGAAATTTACACAACAAGAGACAACTATGGTTGAAAGAATTCAAACTCGATACCTTTAACTACTCAAAGTGAGAACACCAATTAAAACATCAATGGACAATGTTTATTTATTTAAATGCAACTCAGTTATTAGGAGGGATATGATTACCAAATGCCCAATAGTTTTAATATTTACTTTGGGCCAAGACTGGATCACGAATTAGGAATGATTTCCTGGGCTAGACTAAGCCCAGCCCGGTGAGTAAAAATCTCAGGTCCAATTTCCGGCCTGAAGACTCAAAAGCCACGTTAAGCACGTATAGGCAAAAATAGCCGTTGAAATTTGAAACTGAGACATAATAATGATTGGTATCACTTGACCAAAAAGCCCCTGCCCCATTTCAAATACCGAAACCGCGAGACGCTCACCTCACCTCTCACTCACTCCATTTTCAAATTCTATTTCCAATCTCAGCCGTTCATTCCTATCCCCAACTTTTTTCGATTTAAAAGTTTAAACCCAAAATTTCAAACACTGAACAGAAAAACAGTGATGTTGTAAGTAAGCTCAAATCCAAGACTCAGAGAGAGAGAGTGAGAGAGAGAGAGAGATATGCTTACTCGAACCAAGATCCAGTAATTTCTCCATTTTCATTTTCAATATTAAACCCAGCTGAAATCAGCTCTTCTTCTCAAGTTTCAGTGACTCGAAATCTGAGGATTTTGTTCTTCACTTCCACTCTCAGGTACTTATCTATTCACTGAAAAAATGCGGAAAATGTGCATGTAAATTATTAGTTTTTTGACAATTTTTTTTGTTCGTTTCAGGATGTTGAGGGATTTCAAATTCCTGCGCCGAAATTCGGGCAAGCATAATGAGGAAATCGAAAATGTGCCTGTAAATCCTAGAGATTCATTAGGGAGTCAAGCTAGCACTGACTCATCTAGGCCTCCGTTGAACACGATTCAAGACCCAGCCCCTATTCCCCACCCTACTAATTCTAAATTGGATCAAGAAGGATTGACTGCTAGAAGTAAAATTTGCAGAACTCCAACTAAGCCCAAGACCAGAAATGCTGACTCTACTTTGCCTCTCCGTACGCCAGATAAACATGGAGGAGGAGGGGCATTTCCGGCCAAGCACCGGTTTGGGTGGGCTCAGATGAATGAGCCTAGCTCAACTCCCAGTGAATCGCGTGATGAAGTGAGAACTGATTTCAATAGCTATTCAATGCAGCCGAGCCGAGGAGGTTTGCCAAATACGACTCCAAGATCCTCTAGGACAGTGGGGAGGCCTGTTTCAAGTTATTCTGAAACTAATTCCACGCAGAGCACACCGACCAAGAGTGTTTCTAAGCCTCCGAGTTCAGGGATTAGGAATAAGTTGGATGGGAGTATTGGAGGAGGGCGTATGGGGAATTTCGCTGCATTATATAGAGGTGTTCCTGTTTCTGGTGGCTCAAGTACTACAGTTGTTAATACTGTTGAAGTACCTCATTTTGATCTCAAGGAGGATCCATCATTTTGGATGGAACACAATGTACAGGTATGTCCCGTTTATAGTTTGATTATTGAGGTGCTTGTTTTCTTTGCATATGTTTGGTGCAGTCTCCAGAAGTAACTGGGATGAATATATGAAGAAAAACTAATGGTAGAGATGGCATTTTTTTTTTTTTTGAGAGAGAACTTTGGCAATTCAAAGCCAATTTGGAATCCTGAACAATGTTTTGACTTAAGTTAATAGTAGTATTCAGAGTGAGGTGAAACAGAATGCTATTGCTGAACATCTTTTATAAAATAGCCTTAGCTTCAGTTAATGATTATAGGGTTTTCTGGTGAATATGTGCTGATGTTTGAGAGACTGAATTCGGGATTGAGTTTTTCAAATTTTTTATTTATTCTTTGAATGGATACTTTGCACTTGCAAGTTAAGCTGAAGGTTGATGAAATTATATAGGTTCTTATTCGAATGCGTCCGCTCAACAGCATGGAAAAGAGCATTCATGGTTACAACAGGTGCTTGAAGCAAGAAAGCGCCCAAAGTATCACTTGGATTGGGCAACCAGAAACTCGTTTCACATTTGACCATGTAGCCTGTGAGACAATAGATCAGGTCTGGTCCGACAGTAGAGATCAATTAAATCTTTACCCAAAAAATTCAGTTTTGTAAGTTAAGCAGTGTTACATGATTGTCATTTGCAGGAAACGCTTTTTAGGATGGCTGGTCTCCCAATGGTGGAAAATTGCTTGTCTGGTTACAATAGCTGTATGTTTGCCTATGGTCAGGTAATCTCCTGCGCACAGGATGCTTTTGGCATCGTTTATGGTTTTTCATTTGCATTTCCACAATGTGAAGTAAATGCCGCCAGTCTGAGCTGTACATATGCATGATTACATAGCAGGTGGTAACTTGCATACACTTCCTTTTCTGTTTCTTTTAACTTTTATGTACTCGGAAAACAATGCAGCTTCTGAGGTCTGGACACGTTGATGCTTGTCCTATTGGACTCAAGTAATGTTATGCTTTCTCTGTTGAGGCTGTGTTCCACCTATGTTGACAGATGATATACCCCATATAAGAACCTATTTTTGTCCTTTTTCTTCTTTGCCTATATGAGAGAGAGAGAGAGAGAGAGAGAGAGAGAGAGAGAGAGAGAGAGAGAGAGACAGATGATATACCCCATATTAAGAACCTATTTGCGCCTTTTTTCTTCTTTGCCTTTATGAGAGAGAGAGAGGAAGCGAGAGAGAAGATGAAGAAGAGAGAGAGAGAGAGATTCAGAGAGAGAGAGAGAGAGAGAGAGAGAGAGAGAGAGAGAGAGAGAGATTCCTCTAACAGTTCTTCATGTGAAGACATCTGCCTGAGATATAAGTATTGATATGACGCAAGATGGGAGCACTAAGATTTTTTTCACCCTTGTGTCTTTGTTCTAAATGGTATTTGAGGAGGGTGCAAATTCTCTTTGTTATTTTGCCTGCAAAAAAAAAAAAATTGAAAAAGGGTTTTACTTCAACGGTTTCCCATTTTTTGGCTTAGAGTTCCCGAAACTCACTGCAAGTGGTTAATTAAACAAATAAGCATCAATCCATTAGTTTTTAAGCATAATAGGTACAGAAGCTGGACATTGCAGTGTTTTGTAGGATACAAAGATGTGCAATAATCGTGTTCATGCAATTAAGAGAGTCACAACATTCTTTCATAAAATCCCCATACAAATATATTGACATAATTTAACAAAAGAAATTTTGGTCATGCAGACAGGAAGTGGGAAGACATACACAATGCTTGGTGAAATTGATGATTTAGAAGTCAAGCCCAGCCTACATCGTGGAATGACACCAAGGATATTTGAATTCTTGTTTGCAAGGATTCAAGCTGTATGCATTTTACTCTTTTCCTGATCTTTCCAGTTCACCTTTGACACATGCACATAGAACATAAACTTTTTTTTACATTCTTTGCTTACATAATTACATGTGCAATGGTAAAAGTTCTCAGATGTAACTCTAAGCATAAAAAATGTAATGTCTTTCTCTTGTTAATGCTTAACTTCATTTTTACTCAGGAAGAAGAAAGTAGAAGGGATGAAAGGCTAAAATATAATTGCAAGTGCTCTTTCTTAGAGATTTACAATGAACAAATTACCGATCTCCTTGATCCCTCATCTTCCAATTTGCTTGTAAGTTTCGTTATTATCAAGTGACTTAGCTATGATATGTTTTCAGATAGTTTTAGTCATGCCATTTTATTTGTTTTTGCCTTTGTAGCTGAGAGAGGATGTCAAAAAGGGTGTCTATGTAGAAAATTTGTCAGAATTTGAAGTTCAAACTGTGAGCGACATTTTGAAGCTATTGACTCAGGTTAATCTTTACTTAAAGTCTCTGTACCTTCTGTGATCGTATTCACTTGCATGGGTGCATTTTGATAACTGAACTTTGTTAAATGTAGGGTTCTCTAAATAGAAGAGTTGCAGCAACAAATATGAATAGAGAGAGCAGTCGGTCACATAGTGTTTTTACATGTGTAATTGAGAGCAGTTGGGAAAAAGATTCTACAACTAACCTACGGTTTGCTAGACTGAACCTAGTTGATCTTGCAGGTTCAGAAAGGCAAGTTTGTTGCTTTCAACATTTCCTGAACTATACATCCTTTGCATAATATAGTGACCTATTCCTGAATGATGACCAAATTAATTATCAACTACAGGCAGAAAAGTTCAGGTGCTGAAGGTGAGCGCCTAAAGGAAGCAGCAAATATAAACAAATCATTGTCCACATTAGGGTACTGAAATATTTCCTAATTTTGTTTGGACATTAGACCTATCAGTCTTTTCTGCCCTCTTGTTATGTTTTTCATTTTCCTGGTTTAATTCTTTTTCTGGCAATATAATGAATGCCATTATTTGCAGTCATGTAATTATGATTCTAGTAGATGTGGCAAATGGGAAGCCAAAACATGTTCCTTATAGGGATTCAAGGTTGACCTTCCTTCTTCAGGTTAGTTCCAATCTTGTTTGCTTACTTTCCTCAGTATTGTGTTTTTCGTTCACTATATAATACATGGTACGAAATATGATGCAGGACTCACTTGGTGGAAATTCAAAAACAATGATTATTGCTAACGTTAGCCCTTCCATATGGTTGGTCACCTATTTGAAACTACCTCCTACAGTTTCAATTTTCTAGTTGCCTGTGAAGTTACAATTAGGCTTTTCATTTCTCTAACTTCTGCCTTGCAGCTGTGCAGCTGAAACACTAAATACTTTAAAGTTTGCTCAGCGAGCAAAACTTATCCAGAATAATGTAAGCTTGTACTGCACCAATGTTCTGTGGTTGACTTTCTCCAGGGCATTGATCAAGTTCACTAATTTTGAATTTCACCATGTTATATAGGCCGTGGTGAACGAAGATGCCACTGGGGATGTCATAGCACTGCAGCATCAAATAAGGCTTCTAAAGGTGTGCCATTAATTAAGTTTCTGTTAAATGTATATATATATATATATATATATATATATTTTGTCAATAACTTGTACTAAAATTACTGTACCTTTGTTGAGTAGGAGGAACTATCTCTCCTAAAACGTCAAAACGTCTCCAGGTCTTTGTCATTTGGTTCAACCATCAAATATAGAACTACTGATTCCATCGACATTGAGAACATGTATGAAGCTGATCAACAACAGGTTGATGGCTTGCTTGGATCTGAAGCAAAAGGTGTTATCAGAATGTCTACTAAGCAGGTATACTAGGACATTTTGCATTATGATGATTCAGGAATACAGTATGACTAATGGAGCTAGTTTGAATTGTTGCTACTAAAGAAAGCAAGTAGGATGCCTAATTTTTTTTTTCTTGCAAAGTGTTCGCCTCTTCAGTGACATGATGGGGCATTTTCCTGCTCATAGGCACCTGAAGTCAAACAAGATTAAGTTTATTATTTACCTGTTAAGATGTTTCCCATGCCTACCAATATCTAGCTTGTGCTTTACCTGGCTTTCCTCCATATTAATGTTTCTGTTCAGCAAATATTGCATATTAATAAAAATCTATGTTCAAACAGTTGAAGTCTTTGGAGATGACACTTGCTGGTGCATTGAGAAGAGAACAAATGGCAGAGACATGCATCAAGAAACTTGAAGCAGAGATTGAGCATTTGAACCGTTTGGTATACTACTTTTGTTGATACAACTTCCTTCTTTGCCTGTTTGTCAACTGTGGTCAAAATTCCTGTCATTGACTACATCTCAGGTTCGTCAAAGAGAGGAGGAGACCAGGAGCACAAAAATGATGCTTAGATTTCGAGAAGACAAAATTCAGAGAACAGAATCACTACTCAGTGGTTCATTGCAGCAAGATACTTATTTGCTTGAAGAGAACAGAGCCCTCTGTGAAGAGATTCAGTTGCTTCAAGCTAAAGTAGATAAAAATCCTGAAGTAACTCGCTTTGCATTGGAGAATATAAGGCTTTTGGACCAACTCAGAAGGTAATTTTTCTTTTCCTTGTTTTGCCAGAATATGGTACTAGATGCTCAATTAATTACAAAATTTCACCGATAGATTTCAAGATTTCTATGAGGAAGGGGAGAAAGAAATACTCTTGGATGAAGTATCTGGACTTCGGGAACAGGTATTCATGGAATTAGATGCAAAAACTTATTTTTCCATGTATGGGACCTGAACTGAAAAAGCCTTGTTTTGCAGCTGCGTCATTATCTTGATGGGAAATCCATACAGCATAACCATCCAAATGTCAATAGCCAACCTCAGGTTTGTATTTCGTACCTTCTCAAATTATTCTGGTTTTCCTCTCTCAAGTCTTAACATACTAAATGATGTGGGAAGGATCAGAAATAGCTTTGAAGCTTCTAAATACTCTTATTGCATTCTCCTTTCCTTTTATTCCTGCTTGTGCAACCTGATAGACTGCTATAGGTTTGATGTATATCAAGTAGCTAGGATCTTTCTGTTTCTTACTGGTTTGGAATTCCCCCCTCATTTACTCAGGAAGCTAGGCACATCATCAATGAAGACAATTCTCTCCACTCAGAGGTTGCTTACTGCTTTCTTAACAAGAAATTATTTAACTTTTTTCTCCATAAGTTTATTAATGCATGTGACACTCCCTTCTACTTTTTTCTTTCAGTTAAAGAACACTCTCAATGAGTTAGAAGAGTGCAGGCGTAACTTAAATTCTTGCTTGGAAGAGAATCAAAAACTAACAAGGTGAGGAACTCAGTGCTTTTTTTCATTCGGCATCCTGTTTCTGAGCTAAAACTTTTTATATGTATTTGTGGTTCAAAATCCCTCTATTTTTTCTGCGAGTTTTTTGGCTTTATTGATGTGCTTTTGATTCCACATCTTTTGCAGAGAAATAAATGATCTAAATTTTCTGTTAGAGAACCTCAAATCTACCACCCAAGATGAAGATGGTAATATCAGAACTACTAAGGTACTTTTGAGTCCTGGAATATCTAGTCTCAGAAAGATGCACACTTTCTTTTAGTATCAATACATGTTCTGCCGAGTCATATGCATGTTAGTATTATCAATACCAGCTGTCAAGATTATGATTGTTTTAAATATGATTTCATTTAATAGGATCTGCTGTAATTTGGGGATATAATTGGAGAATTGATTTGCTGTAATTAAGGGATTACGCTGTACCATTACTAAATATACACATAGAATGAAAGCCAGGGGATACAAAGTTTACTACACAATATTCTTGTTTTGTTAAGTATGTGTATGCTCTTCTTTTTTGTTATATCTCTTATTTCATGCATATTTTGATCAATGCACGTTCATGATTTTCAGGATTCTTCGAAAGCTCTAAAATCTGGACTTGGAAATCGTAAGGAAGATCAGAATGAGGTGGAGAGCATTAATGGTAATTCATATGCGGAAGAAATGTTGGATTTGCAGCTGGAATTGGACATATTGAAGATTATTCTCAAAGAAGAGAAATCATCTCATGCTGAAGCAGAGGAACGGGCAGCATGCTTGAGTGGAGAACTAGAGCTGGCACAAGAAAATTTTATGTTTATAAGCAAGCAATTTAGAGATGTAACTCTTGAATTGAAAGAGGCAAAGTCAGTTGTTGAAGCCTTGGAGTCTGAGCAAATACTATCAATAAATGACATGGAAGACCTGAGGAAAAGTAACAGCCATTACATGGAGCTTTTACATGAAAAGGAGCTTGAAATAATAGCTTTAAAGGACAAACTTTCTAGAAAGGAGTTAAGAGATTGCCCATCTAACCATTCAGAGAGCGAGGACTCCACTTTACAGACAAAATTGAAGAGGATGCAATATTCCCTTGAGAAGGCCAAGAGACTGAACACATGGTACCAAAATGATCATGCATTTCAGACGACTAATGAAGAACAAAGGGATGAAATCCGTAAGCAGGCAGAGGCTGAAACTGCTGAGGTTATTGTCTGTATGCAAGAAGAACTATCCTCTCTTCAGCAGCAAGTTCATGATTGCCATTTGAAAGAGAAGGAGACTAAAGAAGGTGTGATGCTTCTCGAAACTGAGTTGAAGGAGCTGCAGGGGAAGTTACAATTGTTAACTGAAGACAACAAACAGTTACATGGAAAGCTGGAGTGTAAACGCGAGGAACTGAAAAAATCATCTAAAGAATGGGAATTGTTGGCTTGTGAGATGATGGAAATTCTTGCAGATGGGCAAGAAGCACTTACAGATGCCGCTGATCAGCTTAACCTTATATCTAGCTCCTTTCCACAAAAACGGATCTGGATATTTGAACAAGTTGGCAGGTTAATTAGAGTCATCTCTGAAAAGGAGTTATTGATTGAAGAACTTGGCAAATGTTTAGAGGACGCAAATAATAAAAGAAGTGAAATGGAGTGCATGCTTAAGTCCTTGAGGGGAGCAGCATTAGTGATCAATGAAGCACAACAGCAAGAGTGCAATGAGAAGGAGAAAGAAATTGTCCTCCTGAAGTCCCTTTTAAAGGAGAAAATATCTACCATTGTAGAGCTCGAGGAGAAGGTCAAACTGGCTGAACTTCATGCTAGCAAATCATCAGATTGTGCTACAGCTGCTTTTGTTATCGTGAATAGGCTTTCAGAAGTTAATGTTAATAATCTTGATGAATTAAAGTATAAGGCTGCCCAACTTAGTGAGTCAACAGAGATTAATCAAAGGAAAGACATCCTTTTAGCAGATCAGGCTGCTGTCATTGAAGAGGCGGAGGAAAAAATTCAGTCTTTGAGAAAAGAATTAGTGGAGTTGAAGGAAACATGTATCGATCTTCAACATAGACTCTTGGAAGAGGAGAAACGTGCTAATGACATGACAAAAAGAATTGAAGATCTCGAGGAGAATGATATTTTGAAGACAAGAGAAAAACTAACTGAGTTGCAAACTGGCGTATCGTCACTCAGATCAAGCATGAGCATCTCATTGAAGCATGACAGGAATCATGATTTGAATGAAACAAAGGGGGATCATGAGCCTCTAGAAAGAAGCCATGTACGGGTAAGCTAATCCTCTTGAGTTCTGCTCATTTAATGCTCCTTTACTTTTAATTTTAGGCTACAGTTACAAATTGGCCCTCTAAGTTGATCAAGAAAGCCAAACGGACAGCGGCCATTTTCTAATTTCCTTTAATATATGAAATATGCATGTTTTAGTTTAAAATTATACTATTTTTAAAAAAATTAAAAGAAAAAACCAAATGTAATATTTATTTCTTAAAACAACTTGCTTATTGATTACACAAATTAGATTTGATTGATGAAATTTAATGATTAAGGAGTTAGATTATGAAAATTGAATTATGATGGAATAGTTGAGTTTATAGCTAGACTTAGAGGGCCTATTTTAAACTTTGGGGCTCATTTTAATGCCATTGTTGTCTCTGATATGAGTTTGATTTAACTGCTATGTCTGGAAATTGTTGCAGACAGATGCTGGAGAGGACTTAAGTGCTTGTATCCCTGAAAGTTCTGTTGAAATAGATTCCTGTGAGAAAAAAAATGAAGGATTCAAAAGAACTTCCAAGGATGTCTGTGATCGAGATGTTACCATTATTCTTCTCAGAAAGGAAATTGAGTCTGCTCTTGAGAGCTTGCAAGAGGTTCAAGTGGAAATGGCTAAACTACGCAGTGAGAAAGAAGAAATATGGATGTCAGAGAAACAAAGTCAGGAGAGCTTAAAATGCTTCTCAACTCACATACTTGCAATTCAAGCAGATATGAATGCTTTTGAAAAGCAGTTTGAACTAAAGATAGATGCTGGCAATCATAAACTACAATCACTTGAACAAATTGTCCAGGAAGCTGGAATTCATTGTTGCCAAACAAAAGAGGTAGCTTGTTACATTTTTTAAATTTGTAATCTCAAATTTCTGCTGCAACCAATTGATAATTTGGGGTTTCCTGAAGACAAACACCTCATATCATTCTACTTATTTATATAATTCATGCGCTATCTGCCTGAACAAGAATAACTGTTTTTAAAATGATATGACAAATAATGAACTGTTGGCATTTCCTGCAATTACTTTTGACTATTTAAGATTTAATTATCAGGCATGTAGGTTTTATTGCATCCCCATACTATTTATCCGTTATTTTCTACATTTCTTCTACAGTTTCTTGAGATGGAAGTTGGTGATGCAAAGATAGTTGCAGCCCAGAAGGCAGCAGAGGCTTCTTGTATTTTTGCGAAATTTGAAGAGGCCCAAGATACCATGAAAGAAGCTGATATTATGATTAATGGACTGGTAATAGCTAATGAAACACTGAAACTTGACATGAAAAGGCTGAAACAAATTGAAAGCACATTAACCAATGAGAGGGATATGCTGATGAATGAGGTTAGAAGTTTGCAATCCATCAATTCTCTGAAGAATGTGCAAGTTGAAGACCTTGAAAAACAGTTTCATTTAAGTTTGGTGGAAACAAGCGATCTAGTTTTGGAGCTGGAGGGTATTATTGCACAGATTCAAACCTCTTTCAAGGAAAATTTCAATTATCTGGTGTGTGATTTTCTTTCTATCACGGCTCTAGTCTTAGACTCAAAAAAGTTGGTGCGGACATGGCTTGAAGATGTCTGGTCTGAGATAATTTTGAAGGATTGTGCTGTATCAGTGCTGCATCTCTGTCATATGGGCATTTTGTTGGAAACAGCGACAGGACTAAATGCAGAAAATGGATTGTTGCAACATGGCTTGTGTGAATCAAACACAATTATAGCTGATCTGAGAGAAAACAATTCTAAGTCAAGTAAAGATCTTCAAATGTGCAGAAATCTGAAGGGGAAATTACTGGCTGATATCAAAAACAGTTTTGATCGGATCTTGAGGAAAGAGGAGGAAACTGGAGATCTTAGCACTAAGTTAACCACTTTTGAAAAAAAGATCTTTGACCTACAGTTGCAGGAGGAATCGATGTTACAAAGGTCCAACTACATGGGATCACAGCTTTCTATTCTAATGCAGGACTTGGACTTCAGTAACAGGAACATTGCCCAGTCTCTTATTGATCAAGAGAAAATTCTGACAGAGAAAGAGGTGCTTCTAAATTCTCAGGCTGAGCTTTTCCTGACGGACTTTTGTTCAAAAGACATCGAGTCACTTGTCTTGGCATCACAGCTGGAAGAGATGTCTCTCCAGAAAGATGAAGCTGAGAAAGAGAACAGAAGTTATGCTTCCGTCCTTGAGACTTTGAAGGAAGAAATGGTTCTTTTAATGGTGGATGGAGAGTTGAAAGAACAAGTTCTATTGGCCAAGGATACTGAGGTTCAGGATCTTTTGTCCTGGCTGAACCAAGGCCATTTAAGAATTACAGAGATGAATGAGGTAAACAGGAGCCTTGAAGGAGAGATTCAATTGCTGAAGGATGCAGCGTGTTCAAATGATGTGTTGAAAGGTGAATTGGATGAAGTCATGGAAAGCAAGGCAAGACTGTTAATTCAAATTCAAGAACTAGAAGCTGATCGCGAGAAACTGCTAAATGATTTGAAAACCAAAGAGATAGCATTGGATGGCTCCTCCAGTCATATCTCCATTCTTGATCAACAAAACCAGAAATTGCAGAAGGATATCTGCTTGTTGGAAACTTTATCAAGCGTGCATCAAACTGAACTAGACAAGAAAGATGTAGAACTTAGCAGAATGAGTGGTGTGGAAGACGAAAATGAGACACTTAAAAGTGAGGCCTGGAAGTTAAAGACAGATAACAGCATAGTTCTCCAAGATTTGGAGAAGAAAATTTCTGAAATTGAATCATTTTCAAGCCATATTAAGATCACTGACATGGAAAATCACAGGTTACAAGAGAGAATCTTGTCCTTGGAGACTCTTCTTGCTAGTCTACAGACTGATTTGGAGATGAAAGATAATGAAGTGAATGAACTACTGCATTGTAAGTCCGTTGCCATGGCAGAATTAAGCTCAAAAGACCATGATTTGCAAACATTTGCTGATAAAATGAATGCATTAAAGAATGAGAACATTCTTTTGAAAAATGAACATAAATCTCACAAAAAAGTTATACATGAAGCTCTCTCCAAGTCAAGCCTGAACAATATGAAGTGTGTTGATCTGCTGGGGGATGTGGATAAATTATTTAGTTTGCTGGACAAAGAAAGAAATACGGTTGTAGAGAAAATGTTGTCTGAGATATCTGAAGCTGTAGAAAGGACATTAAAGTTTTCAGAAGAAATCGAGTATCTGGAGTGCCATGCTAAAGAGCTGGTATCTGACAACAGTAGTCTCCAGGTTGAGTTATTAAGGAAAGATGATATTTTGAAAGGACTGTTGTTTGATTTAAGCTTGCTACAAGAGTCTGCATCTAGCACTAAGGATCAAAAGGATAAAATTGAGGAAATGATGGCCTCCCTGGAGGCTTTGGAAGATGATCTTGTTTTGAAGTCAAGTGAGCTTGTTGAAGCTGTTGCTCACAGTCAGATGCTTGAAGCCCAGTTGCAGGAGAAAATAGGTATTATCTCTTCTCTTGAGTTGAATTTGGCGAAGGAATGTGAGACCCTGAAATTGTCTACTTGTGAAAATATGGAGCTGAGAGATCAAATTGAAGAAGCCTTAGCTGCAAAAAGTTCTCTTGAGGAAGAATTATCAGAGAGAAGGAATTTGACTGAGAACTTGGAGATGGAACTCTCAGAAATGGGTAGCACTCTTGGCCAAATGAATAGTACTATTGAATCTTTAAGGACCAACTTGGATGAAGTTGCTAATGAAAGAGATCAGCTACAAATGGAGATGCATATTTTGAAAGAAAAGCTTGAAAAGGCACAGGCTTGGGCTGAAGAAAATGAAGCTATTGCATTGGAGGCCCAACAGGTAAATTCTATTTTGCATTCACATTGTAAGTTGTAACCCTGACCAACTTACCGCCACAGCAACTGCCAACTTGAATGCAATTAGCCTATTTTTCATGAGCTAAAAAGTTAAGCTCCATGTTGCTAGCATATGCTATTCAAGCTCCTTTAGACGAAGCACTGCACCTATCTTTTGATGTGCGATTCTTCTAATTTGTTTCATGGTTTGCAGATAGCTGAATCTAGGCAGACCTATTCTGAAGAAAAGGAAGCAGAGGTGAAGCTACTAGAGCGGTCTGTTGAAGAGCTAGAATGCACCATAAATGTACTGGAAAATAAGGTTATATATTATGAACTCTGATGATGTGGCATGTACTTTGTTTTATGACCACAGCACCCTATGCATTTAATGATTTTTAAAGTCTGGTCAAATTTTGCGAATAAAATTTTTCTGATCTCCATCCTTATGCTCCAATTCTTGTTAGGTTGACATTCTTAAAGGAGAAACTGAACGACAAAGATTACAAAGAGAGGAGCTAGAGGTGGAGCTTCATGCTATAAATCATCAGATGCAGAATGTTAAAAGTGCTGACAGTGACATGAAAAGGTTCAGGTCGCTTTATAATTTTTCCAATTCAATAGAAGTTTGCTTGCTTAGATGCTGTAAATGTTTCTTCAAAACACCAATACATGATTCTACTTTGTCTCTAGGCATTTGGATGAGAAGGAGAAAGGCCTTGAAGAAGCCTTAAAGCACATACAGATTCTTGAGAGGGATATTGCTGAGAAAGATGCAGAGGTAAAGTTCTTTGTCACACTTAGTTTGGTTCCATTCAAATGATGATTGAACGAATTTTGGTAGCACATTGCTTTATAATGAGGTCTCAGCATTTGAAGTTTATGCTTCTGTTAACATGCAACAGATCACCAAATGCAAGGCACATATCTCTGAGTTAAATTTGCATGCAGAAGCCCAGGCCAGTGAGTATAAGCAGAAGGTATGCTAGGAGTTTATACTGCTTTTTCTTCTCAAGTTAATTGAAGTTTGTGAACTGATCATGAAATTGGGAACAGTTCAAGGCCTTGGAAGCCATGGCTGAGCAAGTAAAACCTGAAGGCCATTTCTCCCACATTGCAAATTCTTCATCAAACAAGTTAGAGAAAAATGCCTCCAAGTCTAGGGGTTCTGGCTCCCCTTTCAAATGCATTGGTTTGGGTTTGGCACAACAAATGAAATCTGAAAAAGATGAGGAGCTTACGGCTGCTAGGTTGCGTATTGAAGAGCTAGAATCCCTAGCAGCTGGTCGACAAAAAGAGGTAGGCTTTGCCAGTCCAATTATAAATTCATCATTGTGTTGACATCGTTCTTGTTGTTAGATGTGCTTGTGCTTTTTTCAGGTGTTTGCATTAAATGCGAGATTAGCTGCTGCGGAGAGCATGACGCATGATGTTATTCGAGATTTATTGGGAGTAAAATTGGACATGACAAATTATGTGGTAAATTTACATAATTAATCCCATTTTGGTACATCTGTGTTATGAGTGTGGTAAACTACACATTACCATACTTTTCCCATGTACAGATGTTAGTATTGTACTCTCAAATAACCTTGACATAAAGCCATTTCCTACACCTGAACAAGAGAAGGAAATTAAAAACAAAAAAAATGAAAATAAAAGGTTTTGTGAGCATCTTTATTTATTTTTTCTTTGGTTAATGACAGTCACTGTTGGATAACAAGCAACTTCAGAAGATAGCAGAGAAAGCCCAACCTAATAGCACGGAAAGTCAACCAAAGGTTCTTTTTTTTATTATTATTTGGTGATAGTAAAATCGGATAACTATTATTTGCTTTATATTAATTGTGCCCATTGTTCATGCAGGAGAAGGAAGAGCTTATTAAACTCAAACAGCAGCTCAATGAATTTATTGAGGAAAGGCGAGGGTAAGCATGTCATCCCTCAAAATATTGTGACTTGACCCCCTACACTTTCTTCACTCCCTTTTCCATAACATAGAGAAAGGGGGGAAAAATGAATGTTAGAAATTTCTGAAGCATGAATCTTTACATTTTCTTGGCTAGATGGCTAGAGGAAATTGATCGTAAACAGGCCGAGATGGTTGCAGCACAAATAGCATTGGAAAAGCTTCATCAGCGAGATCAGTTACTTAAAGCAGAAAATGACATGTTGAAGGTAATATTTACAAGCCTATGACTTGTAAAATTCTTCAGTACATTCAAGAATAAACTGAAGTAGACCTTTGTTCTTTTTCGTCCTTTTAAATATTGTATCTAATTTATTTGCTTTTTAATCCATCCAGATGGAGAATGTAAATAATAAGAAGAGGCTGATGGAACTTGAAGGTGAAGTGAAGAAGCTGTCTGGCCAGCAAAACCTCCAGCAGCGCATTCATCATCATGCAAAAGTCAAGGCAAGAATCGATCGAATTTCTGAACTATATCAAATTGAAACGACTTAGTTAACTTCTTTCAAAGGCTATTGCTTTCACAAAGACCTCTAGTTTATTATTAACTCTCTTCTGAAATTAACTTGTGATTGATCTATTATGACACAATAGGAGGAGAACAATTTCCTTAAAATTCAGAATGAAGACCTTTGTGCTAAACTGCAGCGTTCAGAGATCATTCTTTCACGGGTTAAGGAAGAGCTTGCACATTATCGCTCTTCCATTGGTAAAAGTCCTTACATAGATTTTGATGGGGAACAACAGTTGATGAACAAACTGAAGGTTAGCTCAAATAGAGAAAACTGTTCTGTTCTGACTTTTGACCTGCAGCTAAGTTGATGGCTAATCAAAAGTAAATCTCATCACAGGAAACTGAGGATGACAGGGTACAAATAGCACAGAGGTTATTTGGCTTGTGTACCAGTGTTCTGAAGGTATGTGCATAGAATCATGATTTTGATTTTTTCATTGAAATAAAAAATAAATAAAAAATAAAATAAAATAAAATAAAAGAGAAAATAGGAAGTATTCTCATGCTATATAAATTTCCAGGTAGCTGGAATAACAAAACCTGTATCCAATGTAACCCCTGCTGCTGCTGAAGAGGCACTTGAGCAGATGAAAAGTAAACTTACTTCACTGGAAAGAGAATGCCAAGATTTGACAATTAAGGTAAAATACACACGCTTACATTACTAGAAAATGGTGCTTTTGTTTCTGCTTTCTCCTTTTACTTTGCAAACTTTAATCACTATCAAATAACTCAAGAATCTAAACCCTTTTACAGAACAGAATTACCACTGAAAAAAATCGATTGTTGGAGGTAATGGCTCAAGCGTCACCAGTAAACTCAAGGATAGATGAGAACTGTCAAACTCCAAAAAGGAGTCAAACTTCTTTTCTTTCTGCTTTAGACAGATAGAACTCACTGCCTCAAAAAGGATATGGTTAAGTTAGCTTTTTGCTAGCAATTGTAACAATACAGAGAAAAAATGGATACGTTCATTTGTTGTTTTTGTTTTGGTTCTTGTCAGGTTGAGCTGTGTACCATTTTTTTTTTCTCATGCTGTATATCAATTCTTTTGTTGTGTACTATTCCCATGTAAATAACTAAATACATAAAATTCAATGAAAATTGATCCTTTCCCCTTTGTAGATTTCAAATAAGTGCAAGTCTTGAAAATAGATTTACCTTCCTTTTTTTCTTGCCAAATTTAACCTTTTTTTTTTTTTTTAAACTTCAGTCTCAAGTGAAAGACCTTGTTCAAATGCAATTAAAGGTATTAAATGGTTATTAGCAAAAAAAAAAAAAAAGGTAACGGTTCATTATCAATTAAAAATAGTATTGATATGTAATTTTCTTTTCATGAATTTTCATCAAAATTATAATTGTTGCTAAATAGGTGTATGTGTATACTTTAACTAAGTTATTTAATTTTTAATTTATTTAGTTTTATTATTTTATTAAAATGTTTTTTTTTTCTATTTCGTGATTGATTCTCATAATATATATGTTTGATAATTAAAAAAGAGTCTATATATATATATAGTTATTATTATACAGATGTATAATTAAATTATATTTACTTAGTTTAAAAATCAATTAACTTGAATACTTACTCTTTTAACGGAATATTAAAAAATAAGTGTGATTAACATGAATCAAACTTATTTTGCTAACCATGTTTTAATATATACAGATGTATAATTAAATTATATTTACTTAGTTTAAAAATCAATAACTTAATACTTACTCTTTTAAACGGAATATTAAAAAAAATAAACGTATTAACATGAATCAAACTTATTTTGCTAACCAATGTTTTAAATTAATTTTGCACACGGAGAGCCTAGTAATACGTGTGTGATCGAACTCATAATATAGATTCAGTTTGAATTGTCTCTTTTAGTGCTCAAAAAAAAGATTAAATTATTTTTCTTTTCTAAACCCTTTCACACTCAAAATCTAGGGTTTTGGTTTTGGCATAGACCGCATTTGGTGCTTTGGAATAATAAGAAAAAAAATTTCACTTTAGCTGTAACTCAAAAATATGTCTTTATTCTCTCTTTCTAATTCCACAATTCACAGCTTCCATCAAAAGCATCGAATTCCTTAAGGCTTCAATTCAACTCAATTCAATTCCCGACTTCGCATATATAATACTTCAAAACCTGTCAATACTTGCTATACAACCCAAGCTTCTCTGTCTGTCTGTCTGTATCTCTGTAATTTTTGTAGAATTTGACAGAGAAAATGAGCACTTCAGTTTTCAACTCAGTTTACCTTGATGGTGGCTGTTTGTGCAAGGTCAGTGTTCGAAATGAGAGTTCTTGTTTTCCAATTTTTTTTTTTTTAATTTTAATTTGAAGCTCTGCTTAGGATTTTACATATGATTTTCAGGGTCAAGTGAAATTTTCAACTTTGAGAAAACGAAATGAGCACAGGCAATGTGTTGTAAGATCCGCGGCATTGTCAACCAGAAGCTTGCAGATTAGAAATTCGAAACAGGAAAAGGAAGCTCGTGTTGCTCTTCTTGGTGCCAGTGGCTACACTGGTGCAGAGGTTTGTGCATTCTCTTTAAATAAATGGAGAAAATAGATTTTTATAAGGATAAAAAGGTTTTCTTTTTTTCCTTCCTTTCTTTCCTTAGTGATAAACTAGGATGACAAAAAAGCCACATATGTTGCTAACTGCAGCTAGGAAAGGCATTTTTGAAATGTTCAGTTAGTGAATTTTATTTGTTATAGAAGTTGCACTGCTTCTATCAATTTGAAGCTTTTAATGCTGAGAAGGCAAATTTTTTTTATTTATGTTAGAGAAGAAATGAGAAATCAAATTATCCTTTTTTTTTTTGGCAGATTATACGACTCCTTGCAAATCATCCATTCTTTGAAATTAGTGTAATGACTGCGGACAAAAATGCTGGCAAATCAATTGAGTCAGTGTTCCCTCATTTCATTTCAAAAAAGGTTTGACACTCCACATTTCTGTAGAATTCTAATCAAGACCATGGTGGTTTACTGTGTGTGAGTTAGAATATATATGAACAAAAAAGCTAGAGTTAGTCATATTATTGAATGGGTTAAGGTTAAGGAGTTCCCGTGTATCATATTTCTAATTCAACTAAAATATTTAAATATTAGTCGAAAGTAAATTGAGGAGTTTGTTTGTTACTGTTTTTAACCAACTGATACTTGATTTCCTTTATATTTGCAGGATCTACCAGTTTTGGTTTCCACTAATGATGCAAGTTTTTCTGATGTGGATGCTGTATTCTGTTGTTTGCCTCATGGAACAACACAGGTCCATTCCTTTTCTCCTTGTATCTTTTTGTCCATTTCATCAATATTTTCAGGGTTGATAGAAGTTTATTTCCTTGAAAGATAAGTTATTTACTCAGTCACTTTCTCCCCATTATTCAAGAATCCGTTTCTATGCAGGAAATCATTAAAGGTCTTCCCAGAAAGTTAAAGATCGTTGATCTTTCTGCAGTATGGTTTGAAACAACAATCAAAACAGTTTGCATTATTTGATAGTCCTGTTTATTTTAGGTATTGTTGACTAATTTGAAAATTCAGCATTGGCTCATATCAAGTATTGCCTAACAATTTTCTAGGACTTCCGTCTACGAGATATTTCTGAGTATGAAGAATGGTATGGCCAGTCACATAGAGCACCAGATTTGCAGGTAAGGTACTTGAGATCCATTTCCTTTTCGATTACCTGCCTAAAACATAGAATTTTTTGTTTGTAACAGGTCTAATGTAGATTTTCATCTGTGGGGGATACTGTAGTACAATCCTAAGAATTTGTAAATACTTTTGGAAATATAAATTTTAAACCAAATTTAAAATTTTGAATTCTTTATTTTTGAGCATCTACTTTCAACTATGTATATGGTTTCCTTGCCCTTGAATTCAACTTTTTCACCAGTGTTTATTTATTCTTTCTCAGATATAACAGCATCAAATACTGGACATTACTTTTATTTTTCCGGAATTTTTTCTTTTTAAATCTTTTTTATTTTTTGATAAAATGTTTGGACAATTGAGTACTTGTCAATGTACGCAAAAAGGTTTTGCTTACATAATATCAAATATTGGTAACCTAACCAATCAAAGGCAGAATATGAAGCCTATCACAAAGGTTCTTGAAGTTCCACAAAAGAAAATTATCTTTTTTCCTCAACTATGAAGTATAGAATAATATTATTTCAGTATCAATGCATAGGATAGTTAAATTATGTGGGTAGATAAAAAATCTAGTAATTTGTGATATAAAGGAAAAGATCTTTTGAATATTATTAATTAGCAGTTGCTAGTGTATGAAATGTACGCCACAAAACAAGCTTGGTCTCATAAACTTTAAGATGTTATGACCCATTACTACCAAAATACAAATATTGGATATTTTATTACACAAGTGGAAATTGCTCTAGAGTTTCTTTTTTGTCTGTTTCTTGATTTGAGTATTTTGTTCTAGGATTTCATGTCCAGTTTATCATCCTTCTCCCAAATGTATGATATTTTTTATACTTATCTGGATTCAGGAAGAAGCCATATATGGTTTGACAGAGATTTTCAGAAAGGAAATAAAATATGCACGGCTAGTTGCTAATCCTGGTTGTTATCCAACATCAATTCAACTCCCTCTTGTTCCTTTACTAAAGGTTTGTGCTGGTTGTTATGTTTGAATTCTTGTTTCCTGGTATATAATGTATTACTTTTCTGTGTTCTGGTGAGAAAAAGTATTTGGCAATGTTTATTTAATTTTCCATTATCTAGCTGCTACAGCCTATAGGTATTGCTAAATACACTTCAAAAACAAGAGGGCTCTACTTTGCTTGCTTTCTTTCTGATTGGGGCAAAATTTTTAATTAGAAAACAGCAAGAGAAAATCACATTAGAAACAACAGGAATGAAAAATTACGTACCCAGTAATAGATGAAATACTACATGCAAATCTGTATGCACCTAAGGGATACACAAGCATGCTGGATGTTTTCAGAGAGAGAGAGAGAGAGAGAGAGAGAAGGGGAGTTTTGTAGTGCGTGTGGCAGGCGTTGGAGAAGAAATTAGCAAAGTTATTGGCAAGGAGAGGGGAAATTGACTGATAAATTGTTTATCATAAGAGAAAAGTTAATCTGGTAGATATCCAGCCTATCCTTTAACCTCCAGTGTGATGTTTTTTCAATAACTTGATTTTATTAGTTTTGAGACATGGAATGCACCAGCACTTGACGGCTTCTCAATGAGGCTTATTGGATCAAGCTTTGGTAACAAGAATGTGAGATATACTCGTAATGACAATTCTGAATTCAGTGTACTGTTCTACTGAATTTGATTTTCTTGCTTATGTTTATATAGCAATATATGGTAGTTGTTGTTTTGATCATGGATTTCCTAATGCTGGTGATGTGTTTTTCAATCAACTACTTTCCAGTGCCCGATGATTTTCTGATTGTTGCAGGCTAATCTCATTGCATATAAAAATATCATCATTGACGCAAAGTCTGGCGTGAGTGGAGCAGGTTTGGGATTCTCTGCTGCATCCTATATCTCGATATCATGTTAGCAGTATATTTTGATTACTACTTGCATCAATTTCTTCACCAGCTTATTATGGCTGATCATTGTGCAGGGCGTGGTGCCAAGGTTGCAAATCTGTATACTGAATTAACAGAAGGAATTATGTCTTATGGTGTTACACGGCACCGTCATGGTGAATCTCAATCCTAGATATTGGATCTTTGCATATATAATGTGCACTTTGAAGTCATGAATGTAATATATAAAAGAAATGCAAATTCGCACTTAAATTATTTTATATTCGTATGTTATGTGCACTTTTGTGTTAGTAATTATTTTTTATTTTAAATAAAATTATTTTCATGGTGTATGGTTGGAATATCTTGTTAAATGCATGATCATGTTCAATTGTGATCTGAGGTAGTAATATGGATTCTGGTTTTGAATTGCAGTTCCGGAGATTGAACAGGGACTATCTGACGTTGCACATTCAAAAGTAACTGTCAGTTTCACCCCACACTTGATGCCAATGGTAACAGTCCTGCACCTATGTATGGTAAAACCAATATCCTTTGTTCTGTTTGCTGACAGAAGAATAAAGCATTTTCTGTTTTTTCTTTGTATTTTATCATTCTTTAGAGCCGCGGAATGCAATCAACTATATATGTGGAAATGGCTTCAGGAGTGACCACTGAGGACTTGTACCAGCAATTGAAGGTTTCCTATGAGGTATTTCTTGTCCTAATTGTTGGATGAAGTACTACTACTTATATTGCTGATGAATAATATTTGATGATAATGGAATCAAGTCTTTTCCTTTGATATATGTGGAAGCACATTTCTTTATGTATTTCTGTTTTATGGTTACGATCTATTCTCTTTTGATTAGGCACAAGCTATTCATTATTTGTTTTTATTTTGTCATTAGAATGAAGAATTCATTAAGTTATTGGAGAAAGGAGTTGTACCTCGCACTCATGATGTTCGAGGTTCTAATTTTTGCTACCTGAATGTCTTTCCTGATCGAATTCCTGGTAGAGCAATAATTATATCAGTTGTATGTATCACTCCTCTATAAATATAGTTAATTTATACCTTTTTTTTTACTTTTTTATAACCACCGGTTAATCTTTTAAAACCCTGTTGCAGATTGATAATCTAATAAAGGGTGCTTCTGGCCAAGCTTTACAAAATCTAAACATAATGATGGGATTTCCAGAAAATACGGGGCTTCACAACTTGCCCTTGTTCCCTTGAAACATCTATTCCTCATCCTAACACAAGTAAGCATGTTACTCATGGCCCCTGGAGACTTTACATGACAAAGGCTGTTTCATTATGCTAGTATATTATGTTTCTCTAATTCATTTCTTGGACTGCCAATTTTTTGTTTTTTCCGGGGGTCAATTCTCTGGTCTAATTTATAATTGTTACGTAGTAAAACCCAACCTCAACTGTCACCATCATAGAATGCCTTCGAGCTGCTTTACCATCTTTGCTGATTATACAGTTATGAAATATAAACCCTTTGGACCTTGTAATGCATTAAAATTGCAGCTGATATTATTGTGATAACTTTCAACTTTTCTTTTCTCAAGTCTATTCATTGTAGCTCAGACAAGGTTTCAAGCTTTTAATTCAATTATAAAATTTGAAAGACTAATTATGTCCTTGTTCCCTTGTATTATCTATAAACTACATTGGATGATGTGTAATATTTCTTTAGTTTTTGCAGGTAATATGGAAAACTAAATTTCTGAAGGCTCTTATGGCGCCTTGAAGAGATCTTCAGTGAGGCTGACTGTTGAGTGTTGAGAGTGTTGCTATTAGCATGGACCAACTTAATAAAGATTAGATATATGCAACTAAATAAGTAATTTTTGTCTTTTGTAATCTTAATTTAACAAAGCAAAAACTTTTTATTCCAATGAAATTTCCATTCCATTTTGCCTCAACAAAGTAAAGATAGATGGAAGCTGGTTGGAACTTTCCTTCTCAGATGATGAAACTGAAACCTCATTTATCAAAAAAAAAAAAAAATGTTAAAACCATCAAGATAATTATTTTCTAATCAATTTTAAAAAAAGAATAGAACTTTCTTATATTTTTCGTTATGGTGAAAAAAGTATTCGGATTTTATATTTGGTATGATATAATGAACTATAATATAATCTGATTAAAGTCCTAAAGAAAAATTTTATTAATGATATTCAAATGATTATTTTGGTTAACAATAGTTTTGATTTATTTTTTATACTAAAGTTAGACAAGCTTATGTTTATTAGGATTTTGAGTGTTAATTTCATTAGTGATATCTGAACTGAGAGGGGTATGTATTTTATCGTGTCTAGGTACAATAATTTGTTTATCTTCTAAGTTAAAATACCATCAGTGAAATTAATCTGGAGTTTGAAGAATAATTAGTACTTCAATTCAGATTATTAGATTACATGTGGCCTAATTAATGATTATTTTCTTCTCCACGTTGGATGAAAGAAATCCTTGTTGTTCGAATCCTGTCAAACGGAAAAGTTTCTCTTCATCTTTTTTTAAACGACTAGACCGTTCAGCCAAACGACTGCTTATCTTAAAGAGAATAAAGATAGTTGTTTGTTGCTTGCTACAAACACGAAGTCACCAGTACTGGATCAGAACTCCCACCCGTTAAACCCTCCATTTGAAACTGCTTTCTCGAGTGAATTTTCAGAATTCAAGATCTTATCTTTCTTTCGTCAATCACGAAACGCCAATTTGGTTCCCAGCTATTAATCTACTAAAAAAAAGAGAGGTCTCAAGAATTAAGAACATCGAAAATGGCAGTTCCATATCCTTCATATTTGTTATCTTCTTCTCCTCATGTTCAAACCTCCACTAAAATGGCTCTCAGAGTTCGTTCTCCTTCCATTCAGAGAATTACTGTAAGCTTATTCTCTCTCTTATATGTATAGGAAACAAGAAAGGAGTTTTATGCTTAATTTTTTGGGGGGTATTTTTCTTGAGTTTTTTATGCGGTTTTGTTACATGGGAATATGATTTTAGGAAATGGGTTCTGGAGAATTTTAAGCTAGAATGATTATTTCGTGAATTGAATAGAGTTTGATTGGCTAATGAGGCTTATTGTGTCGGATAATGACTGTATGGTTTTGTTCTTATTTTGGGTTTTCTGTTGAGTTTGAAGGTCTATAGCAATGAGTCTTTCTGGGGATTTTTGGTAAATGATTGATAATCTCAAAAAATTCTATTCGGTTTCTATCAATGATAAAACCAGATTTCAGATATGTGTATGGAGGAATAAGTGAATCATGCATATAAATTTTAGTATTCTAAACAACTGTGACGTTGCTTATGAACAAAAGGTTAGTCTTTAGATTTTACAAAATAACATTGTGTTTCTTAATTCACACTTGGGTTTTTGTGTTTAACTAGATGATTTTGATTTTTTTTTTCTTTTATGGGACCGGTAATTTTCTACGGTAGTCTAGAAATTTCATCAGTTCTTTAAGATATGAATTTTTCAATAGAAACATTTTCATTTGAGTTTGATAGGTTCTTGTAATCATCTTGTTTCTGTAACCTGGCTAGCAAGAAGCAGGCATAGTCCTTGAATTATGTAATGTTGAATTCATATAGTCTGACTCTCACATGCCCTATTTGCTTGATTGGCATGATGGAAAGAGTAAGTTTTTCTTTGACTGCTAATTGTGGAGTGATGTTGTTGGCATTTGCGGCTGGAGTGATGAGTTCTTATGGACGGTTATTTTAGGAGTCTATTTTACTCGACCAATTTTTAACCCATTGGTTTGACCTATGTTCGTTATTTTTTGTATATCTCAGTATGCTTTTCTTTGGTTCAATGGCTAAGTCAAACAATTGAGGTAATTTATCCCTTCCCATCCAAAGGTTTGAAGCTCATACCTCCAAGATGGAATTTCTAGTACTCAGAACAGTTATGATTTTCTAAATTATTGTGAGTTAATGAGCAAATGGAACTTAGGCTAACCTCCATATAATTCTCTCACCAAAAAGGGACAACCTACCTGTAAAGTTTCAAGATCTCCATCAAGAGTCTTAGGTTCAACCTTTGCTGGATGGGATAGGGGGATATGGTCCATAGAAATTGGAAAAAGAAGAGCTACTCAGTATAGGCAGGTCATTTAATATTCTAATGTACAAAAAGAACAAGTGTAATACATAATCAGAATCACTAGCCCCCCCCCTTACTCTTTCTTTCCTTCATGCCTTCCAAAGCCTGCCACCTAAAATGGCTCTCAGAGTTTGTCTCTTCCAGTCAGAAAGAATTTACACATGTAAGCTTATTCTCTCTCTCTTTATATGTATAGGAACAAAAAGGTTGAAGTATTTAATGACTTCTGAAATTTTTGTTTGCCTTGGTTGAGTAGTTAGGAGAATTAGGGTATTTTCTGAATGGATTATTGTTATCGTTTTATTTTACATGGGAAATATAAGATTATTAGGGGAACAAAAGAGGGTGTGCATCTGAGAATTTATTAAGCTAGATGTGATTATTTTCGTAACTTGAATAGAGTTTTGATTGCTAATGAGGCTTCTCTTGTGTCGAGATACATGACTGTATCGTTTTTTCTTATTTGGGTTTTCTGTTGTGAGTTTGAAGGTCTATAGCAATGGTCTTTCTGGGGATTTTGTAAATGATTGATTAAGCTCAAAAAATATCTATTCAAGGTTTCTATCAATGATTAAAACCAGATTTCAGATACTGTGTTCATGGAGTGGAATAATGTGAATTCATGCATATAACAATTTTTAGTATTCTAACAACGTGCTGACGTTGCTTAATGCAAACAAAAGGTTAGATCTTTAGATTTTTAAAATACATTGGTTTCTTAACTTCAACTTTGGGTTTCCACAAATTTGATGATTTTAAGCTTAGAAATGATATTTTTGATTTTTTTTCTTGTCTTTTTTTATTAGGAGAAACTGTAAATGATGTGATTACTATCACTTAGTCGGTAGTGTCTATTGATCAATTTCTATTCATGTTTTCTTTTTGACACGATATCGCAATTTTTCAATAAAACTTTTCATTTGAGATTTGAATATATGTTGCATTGTAATCCATCTTGTTTTACTGTACAAATTTGTCTTGAGACAAAGATGGGCAAGGAATTATTAAAGATTGTATTTTTTATGAAATAAGAATCATTATTTATTCACTTAGAAAAATTATTATCCACTGTTCCTGTTGCATTATTATTTTATTGACGATATATTGGTGCTCTCTGCATGTTCACACATGACTTACGCCTATTTCATGTGATTAGTGAATCTCTTGTGTAGTAACTTAAATAGATGGGACAATAAGATGATAAGTTTTTCTTATTTGATTAACTGGCTATTGTATATAAGATGTTAAATGTTGGCATTATTAATATCTGAGTGATTGTTGTCAATTTGCGAAAGCTGGTATATGAATGATGATGAAGTTCTTATGATCGGAATATTGTATTTATATATGGCTAGTGCATTATCATCTTACATTCTTGAGTTCGATCCAATTTTTACCCATTGGTTTGACCTTATCGTATCTGTTAATATCTTTTCATGATTCTATATCAACCTCAGAACTGATGCATTCTCAGTCTGTTGGTTGTGAACTTAATATGGCATAAAGTGTCAAGACAATGAATCTATATGAGTAATCTATTCATCTACTCTGCAGCTCGCAATTGATTAATACTTTTTCGGTTTATGAATAGTTTTGCAGCGGTAACAATTTTCCACTTATTGTTGATCTCTACTATATATTTCCCACCTTGCATAAATAGCAAAACAATTTACAGTACATTGACTTGCAGTTGAAAAGCTTTAGTGCGAAGGAACATACTAAATGAAAACAACTCTAAAATGACACTTGAATTATCAGAAAAACGCTTGATAATTGATCAAGCCGATAGCGAAAGGTTACCAAAGGATGTTGCAGATATTACATTATCTTTCGCAGGGGTCTCAGCGGAACTTCCCACCGTTCAAATAGTCTGAGTAAAATAATGAATTTATGAAGTTGAAAATACATGACCTTTGATTCCTATAGTATCCAAAAAATGTCTAAACACTTTTTGAACTGTAAGGACCAAATCGAAACTTATTCAGCTGATTTTATACTTCATGGGGGTATTAAATTATTCTTTGATTTACATTTATTAATTTTCCATAAAATAAATTATTAATTTTGATATTCGCCTTCAATAGAATTTAATTACAACATTAACAAAATTTGAGGTAGTAATAAGAAAGAAAAAAAAAAAAAAAAAACAGATTAAATATAAACGATCCTTCATTTTGCCACTCATCTCATAAGAGTGTTTGAGAGACAATGGGATGAATCTTGCTTCATATGTTGCAATGTGGGATTTCTCAGCATCCATAACGTTTTCCAAACTTCGACGAGGCGGCTCCTGGGTAGCCATACCTCAGATGGAATTTCTCAGGCAAGTACTACACGAAACAATTTTATGATTTACGCTAAAATTACTTGTGCAAGTTATCCAATTTCATTGCAATATGGAGACTTAGGCTAACGCGTCACGACCCAATTTTAATATATTTTGAAAGAGCTACTGTCGTCACCAAATAAAGCGCTGACTAGCCACCTATCCGTGCTAAAGCCTTTATTCGACGAATCTCGCATCAAAAGATACTTAAAGGTTTGCAGACTCTATTGACTGGATGGGTGGTCATAAAGAGCAAAGAGGTTAATGGGATGGGTCCAAGTAGAAATTACGTGATAAAAGAAAAGAGACTACCTCAGTAATAGGCAGGATCATTTTAATATAATAAATATGTACAAAAAAATGAACAAGTGGTATACCACCATAAAAAACATAATCAGACTTATACATTCCTAGCCACCACCCATCGCCGCCCCCACCACCCCCCTCCAAAGCAAATCCAAGTTATGTTTTGGAATACCATCGTATGTTTGCGTTTTGACTGAGATGCTAAAGGGTATGAGAAGGGAAAAAATGTAGCCCCGAGATGGTACGGATAGGGATGAAAATATGCCTGTGATGACAGTTGTGCAATACCAAACAGGTGCGGATGGACATCTATAAAAAAATTATATCAGATCTGTTATCGGTTTTATTTGCGAAGTGAGAATAGTCGGTAATCGTGTTGAGTGTGATTAATCAAGCGAAATGGGCCACTACTCACCCCGTAATATTTTCTCCAAAAAGAGCTTTGCAGTCACATTTGAGTGTATCTATAGAAATGCCCCCAAATTCCCACGGATCTTTCAGTAATACCTATAGTCAATGCAATCTGTTCCTCATCTGTGTACTCTTAAATTATAGCTCGTGCACAGGCCCCATATCATGGTTAACAACCATGATCGATGAAAATTTCCAATTTGACACATACTCTGCAAGCAAGGCAACAGATCCCAAACCCCCCCCCCCCAAAATCCATAGTTGTTGGAATAATGTTTGTGGTTTACTGAAGTCTGAATGGGTAACATATGCCTTATGATTGCTAATGAATATATATATCAATCTTCCTTTATTAATAAAATCTTTCTTTGATTATATCAGGGGCCATCACAATATTTTGAAGCTTGCAGTCACAGTTTGAGTGTTAAACCCAATCAGATCTTTCAGAATACTAAGCTCAATGTCTCTTGTGCAATAAATATGGCTGCAGGCCAATCAGGTGACCCTGAAAAATTTCAATTTGAGCATCTCTCAAGCAAGGCAAGAAAATTATGGGACAGTTGTCCTCAGCCAGTCAAGAGTTTCCCCTGGAACAGAGCACTGGAGAATTTTATTCAGCTCATCCTTGACCTTGTTGTGGCTGTTATCAAATATTTGTGTGTACCTTTACTGGCAGTTTCCTCCCTTAGTGAGATGTCATACTGTGCACATCAGAAGAAGTTGTTCTATGTTCCTTTCCCGCTTCTTATTGGCATTGCTGTTGCTGGGGCCCTAAAAGATACTGCCTTGGAACTATCTCCACGCCTCAAGGTTGCAACAATAATCAAGTGCGAATAACTTTTTAAAAATCCTAGACTTTAACCAAGTAGACCTGGGTGACACTCAACTGAGTCTTTTTTGATTCTGATAAATCAGCAAATCATAAATGGCAGGACATGTAGATGACCTGGTTCTTCTAACTTAGATGCATCTGAACTAAATTGTCACCCAAAAGAAATGAAATTGACGACGAAAGTGCTTCTCTAAGAATCTGCTTCCTACCTAAAGGAAGAGAGAGAGAGAGAGGGGGGGGACTCAAATCTTTTTATGTGCTACTAGTTAAAAAATTCACATGCACCATTTGATGAAAGTGCAAAGAACCTTGTTTTTGATTGAGTAACCTATTACTAGTGAAACTCTAGTTCATATTTTTCTGTTATGACCAATTATCTGGTTTGATTGGCAGGATGCAGAAGTTCCATGGCATCTGATTGCCATAGCAATATTTTTTACCTTGATCAAATTGCCGGGGCCATGTTATCCATACTGGGGACGCATTTTTGTTCCACACATTGCTAATGGGGTGCTATGGAGAACTCTGTGGTCTGCATTTCTGTGGTTTAGAAGACCCAGAAAGGGATCAGGAGCAGTGTTGCAACAAAATTCAGCAGATAGCAGTAATTCTGAAACAAATACTCTAATTTCATGAGGTACTTGGTTATATTTCGGCGCCAATTCATATATTTTCATTCCTTGATCTGACAATATCATCTTTTTTACTTTTGATATTTTAGATAGTAGAAGGGTCGCAGTTGCACCATTGGCATCGATGTTTCAACCTTTTGTAATTCCATTGCTTCATTGTTGTTCTCTTTTTCATCTGATTTACTGTCATTGATGTTTCAGTGAATCAAGATTGAGATCAGACATTCTGCAAGTTTAAAAGAACACTGAGAAATGAGAGGCAATTTTGATCAGCAGATTAAAGATGAATGATAAATGGGAAGCAATTTTGATCAGCAAGCTTGGTGGATTGATGTTTTGCAGTTGTTAAGATAAATGATAAAGCAATTCGCTGCTTCTATTCAGTTTTTTTTCACCAAACTATGAAAAAAGATTTTGGAGTGGTGTTTAGAAGCTAATTATCTGTATTGTTTCTGAGCAATAGCATCCATTTATTTGTGCTAATTGCTAAGCTTTTCTTTTGCAGATTTTTTTTTTTTTTTTTTTTTTTTTTTGCTTAATTGCTTAAGCTTTTCTTTTGCAGATTTTTTTTTTTTTTTTTTTTTTTTTTTTTTTTTTTAAAAAAACACTATTTTGAAGCCAAGACATACATAAACTGTATTGAGTGAAATCTTTTTTTTTTTTTTTTTTTTTTTTTTACACTATTTTGAAGCCAAGACATACATAAACTGTATTGAGTGAAATCAACGGCTAAATTGACCAAATATGAGCTCTTTACTCTTTAGGAAGTTGAAAGCCTATCTTGGACAATCGTTGAAAATAAAAGGTAGTAATTGTATCCCCTATCATTTAAAATATTATAATTAGAATCTTACATAAGATCATGTAATTAATTAGTAGGGTTTTTTCTTTAATCATATGAAAGAATTAGAATTTCAAAAATCTACATTTATTATGATCCAAAAATAAGTGTTGGAAATTATACATGAACTCAAATAAAATAATAATGTCTCTAATCCAATATAAAAACGGACTTTGGTTGGTGGTGTTGTATCTACTAAACGACGTCGTAAGAAACTCCAAGCCCGAGGGAGACTTGGCAAATAGATCAGACTTTTGGGTTAAAAACAACGCCGTTTTGGCTTGATTATAATTTACATGCGTTTAAAGTCTCTACCCCCCCTCCATTTCTAAATCTAATAGTTTCTTCTTTTCAGATTCCAGCGCGAAACTTAGCCACTGAACTCGGTGGCGGCTCACCGTGTTTTCCTTGCCGGAAACGAGTACAGGATCCATGGGAGAACAGGAGCAACAACAAGAGCAGAAAGAGTTTACCGACGGAGGAAAGAGAAAGCTGGACGCTTTCGAACTCGCCAAACAGAGAGCTCAAGAAATCGCCTCTCGAATCGCCAATGACGCTGACCAGAAACGCCCTCGGCTCGTCTCCGACAATTCTTCAGAGCCTTCCTTAATCTCGAATTCCGTGTCTGTCTCGTCATCTTTTTCTGGTAATCCCCACCCCATTCTTTCTCTGTGGTTTCTAGGGTTTGGGGTGTTTAGTTATTTGTTTGCATACCAAGTTGTATTCTTTTTATAACTTCAATTTGCCATGAAGTTTTGACATGTCGTTTGGTTGTTCATTGAACTGAAATTTCAGTGAAAGTCAGTATCTCTTGTTCTATTTAGTTTTTATTATGCTTGGAACTTCACTTTAAGACTTATATGTTGATTTTGTCGTAGGGGGAGATGGGAAATTTGGGGAAAGCAGTTTTAGGGTACACGGTGAACTATTTTGTTTAGTGTTATTTATTTATTATTTTGGTGTTTTGATGTCGGATAGAAACCCTGCATTGCACGTCTAAGTTATCCAGAGATTTGGTTCATTTATGTTTATGACACTTATGATTTATAGGAACTTAGCTTAGCGCCGTAGCCTTGGAGGAAACTAAACAAAGGTTGAAGCTGTATCATAAGTTCTTAGCAAACAGTTTATGCAGAATGTTGCTGCGAGTTTTTAATTTTCTAGCTGCCCAGTGTGGATTGAGATGCTTATATGTTTCCATTAGGCGTTATAATATGTTGGAGGAGGAAATTTACTTAGAATGATGCTTTATTTCAATGTAGTCATGAAGTGGTGGTAGGTAGTTGGCCCGTTGGCTATTTATTTTGGAACTTTGCTCATTTTATTCAGGAAACTACAAGAATGGATTTGAAGAAATATTTTGTCCTGGAATCTCTCCTGTGTTGTATGCTGTACATCTATTGCTTATTTTGTGGCTAAATTCTTCCATAGTTCTATATCGTGATTAATAACTGCAGCATTTGTATTCAAACTTTGTATATTTCTCTTCTTTTGCTCGCATTTTTTGTTGCCTTTTTCTTTACTTGGCTTATTAATCTGTGTTATCATTCTCCTGATTTGGAGGTTCTGAAATCTGAAGCAAGCTGGCAATTTATCATTTCATCATTTTGTAATACAACAACAACAATTAAGCCTTAGTCCCAATCTAGTCGGGGTCGGCTTATGAATCCTTTGTTACCATTTCCACCCTCTTCAATTAATAGGAAGAATTAAGCAAAACATAAAATAGGGGAGCAGAGAATTTTGAAAAACAAAATAATTTTGATAAAAAAATTTTGAAATTTTTTTAGATCATTTTTAAGTAATAAATAAGCATAAGATAAACAATAATAATAATAATAATAATAAAAAAGCAAGCCTAGACAGGTTGGGGTATGATATATGAATCTTTTTGTCTGTGTTATGCCCTGTTCATCAATTCATAATGCCATACTTAATTATCTCTGAGTTTTCCACATCATGATTGCTTAGTTAAATTGGTTTCAGTTCCCTTTTCTGCCCAACCAAGTCTTTATCATGGTTCACAAGGCATAAGTAAGAAAATCACAATTCCTAATGGCAAGGTATGGCATTCTGTTGCTATTTTTAAATATAATGCACTGTCAAAAAACATCCCTGTCTAGTAAAGTCATTTGTCTTCCCTCCAGGTTGGTGTGGTTATAGGCAGAGGAGGAGAAACAATAAAATATATCCAAGTGCAGTCCGGGGCCAAAATTCAAATTACCAAGGATCAAGATGCTGATCCCCATTCTCTAACAAGGGATGTAGAGTTGATGGGTAGTTCAGATCAAATTAGCAGGGCAGAAGAACTTATCAATGATGTGATTGCTGAGGTGCAACTATAGTCGAGTTTTTTGTGCCTCAAAAATCTTGTTTTGGAAACCCAGAAGGCTCATTCTCAATATAATTATGCCTTTACAAATTTTTGGAACAGACAGATGCAGGGGGCTCTGCTTCATCTGCAGTTCATGGATTGGATACAAAGCAAACTGGAGGTGAACAGTTCGCGATGAAAGTCCCAAATGACAAGGTAAATCTAGCATCTTTATATAATGAGAATGCTAAAAACTAAATTTTCTAACTTACGCTGTTGAGTTTTGTAGGTTGGATTGCTTATTGGCAAGAGTGGTGACACCATAAAGTACATGCAAAACAGATCAGGGGCTCGTATGCAGGTGTGTAATAACAAAATGTGGATAGTAGTGCAAAAAATCCTCGTGTCTATCCTCACAGCATTCAATATTGTGTGCACATCTGGGTCGTCTTGCATGGGATCTTAGTAAAAGTATAGGTTTCCAACTATCTATGGTTTCACTCAAAGTAAAACTGAGCTGACCTTCAATTAATTCACCAAAAATGTGAGGGTTGCTTATATTGGATGGCAGATAGGTTAGTGCTTTTGCCCATCACCCTCTAACCTTTGATTTTGATGATAGTGTTTGTTTTATGAGGAGTTAGGCAGTGTGATGGTAATTCATTTTCATAATTTAGATTTGTGTTTATTTTCTTTTACTTAGATGGTACTTACCCACAATTCTTTAGTAGTCATTATTATAAAGCAATTCTACTCTCAACTTCCCTCCTTGTTTAACTCTCAAGATAAGTAATTTTCTATTTGAAATAATTGATCAATATTGTCTAGTTGTAGCTCTGATGGTTCATATTCTTCTACTAAGTCGAATACACGAACAGAATTGCTAATTCTGCCATATGAATTTTGACTCTTTTGATGGTAGTTTCATTCCAATCTATCATAATTGATAGATTTTCAGTTTTTAATTTTGAATTTCTATTTAATGCATTCTGAGTGGAAGTTGTTAACCATATGTTTCTTTCTTCAGATTATTCCCCTCCACCTTCCTCCTGGTGACCCATCAACAGAAAGAACGTTATATATAAATGGTTCCACAGAACAGATTGAGGCAGCCAAAGAATTGGTTAATGATGTAATCAATGGGGTAAGTAATGTTAGAGATATTTTTATTCTGACCTATCATTACAATTTTAGAAATTTTAGTTTGAAATAACTGGGATAATCGTGTAGCTTTTTCTGTTCATCCATCATTGCTATCTTACTCACTGAATTAGTGAGCATAAATAACTAGTCCGCGAAAGCCTCTTTTAATTGGGTTGGCATTATTTTTCTCATTTACTGCAAAACAAGGTCCTTAAACCCAGGCCACGTTTTTTTCTTTGATGGTACACATCTCAAATTTGTTTGTAACTTTGCATGCAGCATAATTGCCATCAGTGCAATTTCATGTGATCTTGTTGAAAGTATTAGGTTTGATTTAAGATTTATCCACAATAGCTGGATGTTTGTTATTTGGTTGTTCAATTTCAAGCGTTTTACTGAATTATTACTTGGTTTCTTTCCTGTAGAAACGTATCATAAATCAGTCTGGATCGAGTAGCTACCCACTGCCAGTTAATCCTCCTAGTAATTGGGCCCAGCCAGGACAACCTGTTATGCAACAACAGCCCCATTATGGGTATGCACAACCAGCAACTCAACCTATGCCCTCTTCTTACTATGGCAACTATGCCCAGCAACAATCTTGGGATCAGTCAAACCCATCAACAGTGTCTCAAATGCCTCAGCAAATGACTGGATATGGTTACTATGGACAACCACCCCAAATGGGATCTGCTCCTAGCTATAACTACAATCAGAAGACTCATGTTACAAGCAACACTTACGATCACAGCTACAGTCAGCAGGCACCAAGTTATGGGTCAGCTGCTGTGTCATCTCAACCAGATGGGGCAATTCCTTCCCAATCCACTCAAGCAGCCCCTGCATACCCACCTCCTTATAATCAACCAGTGACCAACCCTCAAACATACTGGACTCAACAACCACCCCAAACAGGATATGATCAAACAGGGTACTCCCAAATTGCTTATGGAGGTCTACAACCAGTCCAGTTCATGCCCTCATCAACTCAGCCAGTTTATGGACCAGGTGGTTATCCTCTTGAGCCATCTCCTGCAACTGCAAATTCTGTTCAGGGGACACATCCTCTTACTTACGGGCAGGCACAGGTGGAGACACAACCCCAGTCACAGCAGCCAAACAATGGCCATTCACAGTCATTGGCTTATGGTGCTGAAACTCAGGATGGGAATTCAAACTCTGCTGTGCAGGAACCAGTTGCTTCTCAAAGCTGAATTCCAACGCATTCAAAGGTGGCAGTTAGGTCCCTTTCTAAAGATTATTTGTTCCCAGCATGAAATTCCTCTTCGTTTGTATACTACGATGTTATCATGAGAGGGAACTGCATTTCTGGGATTATAATGGTGGAAAATTTTGTCTGATGTCTTAATCATTTGTAACGTTAAACTCTGCAGTCGAACTAGCTATGTCAGTTTAAAGATAGAGCTTTTGGATAACTTTTGGCAAAATTTGGTCCTTAAGTGTGCCTGTATGGAAAGTTTGACCAATTCAGCAATTATGAAACGAGAATGTCAGTTACAGGTCTTTGCATTTCTCTTGGGAATCCTTGAGTTCATGGAAATAAAAAAGTAAAACAATTGTCTGAGCCTGGGTTCAAATGAGGGACCTCTAGTGTGTGAGACCAGCGTAATAGCCAACTACACTATCCAGGCAAGCTAGAGAGGTTATTATTTATTTTATGTTCATGCATGATCTTGTCTGCTTTAGTAATTGATGAATAATGTTGGTGTTTCTTCTTCATCTGGTTTTGAGACCACGTTCGCGTTTAGAGATTTAAAGATTCAAAGATGAAACATCTTTAACTCCTCTAAAATAATTTTTTATAATGAAGGTTTCTCTCCCCTCATATACTTTATTTCCTTTGTTTAGTTTACTAATTCGTTTGTGTAGACCATAGAAGTTTATTTTACTTCAAATCACCTGGAAATTTGTGTACTTTACTCCTTTTGAAATGGAAACTGCAGATAAAGCTGTAAAAGCTAGAGCAGAGCAAAATCTCAAAAATACTAATCGAAATGCTACACGGACATATGCAACAACTCGAGGGGAAAATGAGAACGTGAGATACAATTAAGCACAACATTCAACTTTATTACATTACATGTTACAAAGCGTCCACAGCAGTTTATATATGCCACTAGGAATTGGCAAACCATATCACAGAGAAGATGCATTCCATAAAAAGGTGATAAATGACAAAAGGATGCATGTAAATGGATTCTCAACTCCTATTACAGGTTCCTAACTATTGGCAAAGAAACGGTGGAATTCTGTTCCCCATTCTTTTGCAGCAAACCAGTGTGTTCTGAAATGCTCCTTCCATTCGGCATTCACATTGCATACACTATCTCTCCACTGCTATCCATGTCAAGTTCAGGATCAGTCTCTAGGTCCTCCTCCATGTCATCATCAATATCTAGGCTGCCAGTCAAATACTGATTGAGACTACGGGTGCCAGCTGCTGGTATGGTGGCTTCGGATATTATTTGCATGATCTCATCAAGGCTCTGCATTGGCTGATCAGGCTCTTCAAACTGTTTGCCCATATTTTCGTCCATGAGATCTGCCGGAAGATTCTTCAGAAACCACTCATGATTCCTGATTTCAGGAATGCTAATCCTCTATTGCAAGAAAATGTATTCAAATGAGAAAACCTTACCAGCATATTGTGCTCAAATAGTTAATCAAACAAAACCATGAAGAGAGAGGTATAGCATATTAGGAGGAAAAAGACCTTCATGAAGCAAAATGATGAAAATGAGAAAGTAGAGATGAAATATCAATCATATAGCATAAAAGCAAGAATGAAAATAAGGCTCTCCTTGCTCACTTATGTTGTATGAATTCCATATGATATCTGTCAATCAAGCTGTAAATCTTCCCAATATATGGAGGCTTTTCTATTATTCCGACATGTCCATATTGCTCCCAATGATGAAATTTCATTCAAAAGAAAAGAATAGCAATGTTTTGAGAAGGTCGCCATTGTTGTAAAGACATAATATTGTTGACATTCCTGTCCCTAATATTTGTTCTCAAGAATCAAGAAGAGGTCACTGACCTTCGCAGCGTCAGCCACAAATATTCTTGAGATGAGATGCCGGCACTCAGGAGATATATGAACATAGTCAGGAATCGAGTACTGGACATTCAAAATTCGCTGCAAGAAGCCAGAGAGTATGTTAGTCAAGTATGTCAACAAAGGTGCTGTATTAAGCCCAGAAGAGGGGTAATATATTACATGAATTGTCCTGCGGAAATTCTTAGGCTCCTCAGGGTCCTCAAAAGGATATGCTCCCACCAACATTACATATAATGTTACCCCACATGACCATACATCTGCAATCTGAACAACAGATTAAACTGCAAATGATTAGTACATAAATCGATGCACACTTTCTAAATGCATGTTGTAGGGTGAAAACAGCAACTTTTTTTTCCATTAATAGTAAACAGCTAGATCATAATGCTACTGTAGTATTTTATTTATGAAGCCAACTACTGCATCCTCCACAGTTGTAGATCATCAACACATTCAACAAGCATAGTCTACACATAACAAGCTACAATACGGTTGTGCAAATTAGTTGCATTGATCTGTCCTTAAACTCGAATTGCAGAACAATTTGCAAAGTGATTTTGCAAACAAGCTATTGTTTTTCATCTTTTCCCCAGCAGGCTTTTCCAATTGATGTATGCGACTTATAATTAAATTCCTCAAGGCTGATATAGGGGTCCATAAATTTTTCCATGTTATTTATTTTACAGTTGCTAACTGGATACTGACGTCACAAGATAATGTGATCAGCCTGTCTTTTTCTCGTCTTCTAGCCAATGCATAATAAGTTTCATCAAAGATGCATCCCTTTGATTGCTAATAGGTGTCGCATCTATTGAAACTGGGAGAAGTTAATGCAATCAAGGAATATGAAATTAACACGATCTTTTCATTTAAGCTTAATTTTCAGAATCCTATTCGCTTTTATATTCATGAAATTAGAGTCTTATCAAATTTTTTAGTTAAGTTCATTAAGCAATTAGAGAATAAATCGCTGCTTATTTAGTTTGTATTTGAAATTTTCTTAAGCACATGGTCATGGATGAAATTCTTTATATTTTCCTCTTGCGGCGCATGTTTTCTTATATTTATCAAGCATCAAACGTACTATTATGCATATGCAGATTAGCCAAATCTGAGTCAATCATATTATTGGCCAAATCACAGATTAATATCCAAACAAGGCCATCATGTAAGTCTATGCAAGAGATTACCAACAAAGAAATTTCTAAGAGCATGATGACGCTGATACAGATTTTTCAAAACATAAAGAATCTAGAAAAGGCTACACTCATGAAGACAAAGAACAAGAAGAAAAAAGGCCCTAACAAGAAAAATATGGAAGACCATAAATGGAGAGAATACACTTAAATTTGACAGGAACCTAACTTCATATAGGTTAAGGCAAATTTCTTAATTAGAAAGAGAGAAAGAACAGTTACATTACCTTGCCATCATATTCCTTCTTAAGTAACACTTCAGGTGCAATATACGCAGGAGTTCCAACAGTAGAGTTTGGTTGTGAATGGAGCACCGATGACTGTTAAAAGTGGAAAAAGTCGGTAGAAATGACAGCATTAAAAAGAAAGAATATAGAAGCATTTGATAAACAGCAAAGCTACTGTAAGTTAAACAAATCAACATACATAAAGAGTAGGAAAATTCCAACAAAAAGTTACATATTCAACAGGAAAAATCTCCATGATGTCCACAATCACATAGATATTCGAGAAAGGGCTTCCCAGGTTTTGCCCAAACAATTAAAAGCAAAAGCAACACAAAAGATTTTACCTTAGAGTAACCAAAGTCACAAATCTTTAAACGAGGTGCTTGGCTTCCATCTAACAGTGTATTCTCCAATTTTAAGTCACGGTGGCATACTTGCTTCACAGATGAATAAGTCAGAAGGCATAAACCCAGTCAGTAAGTTGTACCTTCTGGAAAAAGTAACAACAGCAACCAAAGGCAGAAACCTTGATTTACTAACCATTGCATGAAAGTAACTAACTCCTGATATAAGTTGTTGGAAGAAAAAGCGTGCCTGCATCATAAGCCAGAGCAGATTAAGAAAAATTTGAAGAACAGAAAAACGAAATTGATTTTTTTGGGTAAGAACCTCATCCTCGCTGAACCGGCCTGCATTGCATATTCGCTCAAAAAGTTCACCACCAGATGCATACTCCATTACAATAGCCAAGTGTGTTGGTGTTAATATGACCTGATAGATTGCAATATTAATTTACTGAACCAAAATTATCCCCTTGAGAAAAAGACAACGTAAGTTAGGGGAAAAGATAGACCTCTTTGAATCTGACAATGTTAGGATGCCTCAATGACCTGTGATTAATAATTTCCCTTTGTACATTTTCATCTATCTGTTAAAAATAAAAGCAATGTAAATCATATTGTCAACACAAAAGATTCAAAAGTGAGCATAAAAGTGACAAAATAACAGAGAATCAAGCCAGGCTCCACAACCAATAACCTAGATGATGCCCATTATATCTTACGTCACTTTTTCGGAATAGAAGCTCAAAAGGAGTGGCCTGATGTGAAGATTCTTGGTCCCATAACTTTTCAAGCCACTTCATTTAAATGTAACCACTCTTTTTTCTTTTTGTTTTTATTTTCTCCTCTGCAAAATAATAATTTTTGACATCCAGATATGGAAAACCAATACAGAATTCTAGATCCCACGGATATCCATGCATTTCATCTCATCCACGAGCATCGAGGTGTGAAAACTTTAATTCCAGAAAAGAAATCTCCATGCAATTGCAGTTTTAATAAAGATTAGATATAATGTTTTATTCATTACAATTATGCCACGAAATAAGTAATATTAAAACTTTACTCAATCAACCATAAATAGCCAATATATATATATACCCAAATCAAAATCAAATAGGCTCAAATCAATTAGCTTCTAATCGTAGCAAAATTAGTTCATTTCAAGTATAAAAATGAATGCGGTGGCTGGTCTTGCAAGAAACTGAAGCAGCCTGCTGAACCTTGAACAAGAAAAAACCAGCAGCACCTCTCCATTGATCAATAAATTAAATTCAAAATGAAAGTACAGGTAGTTCTTGGAAAAGGGCGGACTATACATTTAACTGCTCTATTAAAACATATAGATACAAATGGTCTAATCGTGCAATTAGTTTGCTTCTAAAGCAGAAATCACTCACCTTGAAACATATATGAACTCAAAATCTCGAAAAACATAAAAAAGACTATCAAGCTGATTGTCTATTTAATTCGATCTTAAAAACCTATCTAAACCACGGATTAACCATGAAGTAGAATTCAGAAATGAACTCAAGCTTAAAAACCAATCTGAAAAATAGCAAGAAAAAAATTAAAAAGGCGAATTAGACCACACTAACCTTCTCACCTCTCTCGATATACTTGACAGCAACAAGCTCATCAGTATGCTTGTCCCTCATCAATCTCGCCACCCCGAAATTTCCGGACCCGATATCTCGCACCAGCTCATACCGGTCGCTATCGTGCATAATCGGCATATCCATTCCCGGGCCTACAGTAACCGCAGATCGATCCATTTTTTTCTCTATTTCCCAATCTCAACTGCTAAAAAAAAACACCCCAGAAACCCAAAATACTCTTCCTCCAGAAAAACAAAAAGAAAAAACCCACAAAAATAAAAAGCTCGCAAATCTCTCACATTATCATCATCATCAGAACAACTCTTGATCGAGATAGAGATCGAAGGGAGAAGGTGAAGGTGGCTGTGGTGTGATGATTATGTGGCGAGACGTAAACCACAGGATTGGATGGTGAAGAAAGAGACTGGAAATAGGTCCAACCTCGTGAAAACCTCACCCAACAAGTCTCTGTTTTTCTTTTTTTTTTGTCTTTTTTAAGGATCTCGATAACAGAAGCAGAGTTGCAGAACGAAAGAAGTAGCTAGAGCTCGTGAACTTACTTTACACTTCAATACAATAATATTCAACACTCTCGCCTTCTCAAAACTAAAAAGATTGGAACTTTCTCTTATATAGAACCAACCCCTTTCATGGTTTTCCCTCTCTAAAAGGAAACAGCAGAAGAGAAGGTAGTCGCTTTTCCTTCTTTCTCTATCCACATGCTTATGCTCCGCTTTTGTGCTTTGTGTGTATGTGGATTTTATCCAAAACCGTGGGAGAGAGAGACCGTGAGGTATTTTCTTACCTTTTTTTTTTCTATCTTTTTTGGACAGTGGTCAGTTCATCGTCTCAAAGTCAGTGAAGTTATTATGAAATGACCTAAATGCCCTTGCCCCTTCAATGAACCACAGCTGAACTTTGGTTATGCTAAATTACTGTTCTTGACTTTACATGGATAGGGCTTCACGTTTCACGAGGGAAAAGTCTTTTTCTTTTATATATATTTCGTGAGGGTAGTAAGGGAATGATATGTTGTAGAGTAGAGTAGATTGGAGTTGTAGACTTGTCCTTTCTTCACATGGATGCGTTCATCATTGATAAGTGTTCATTAGTTTTCTTTAAAAAAAAAAAAAAAAGAAATACTCACAAAAATGATTTAAATAAAAAAAACTTCCAGTCATTCATTAAAACATGGTTATTAAACTCAGACCAGCCCCGCCGGTTCACCTGTTAAATTGATGAATTTGACTCAAATCGATTGGTTTTTATTTTTAAATCATTTAAGATAAAAATTGGAATGAATCAGTTAAATCGGTTAATTTAGGTAAATCAATCATTAATAATTATAATTATTTAAAGACATGACTTATTAAGAATGCATATAAATTTTATAGATATAGTACTCAGTGAGTTATTATCTGAATAAGCAAGAATGAGTATTCGGTCAATTCGAGTAATATTCCGTATCAAATGAGATGCAATAGCATTGTGTTATGTCGCAATAAAGAAACAAATGTATCTAAATGCAAGATCTATTTTGTTTGCATGATTTGATAAATCATGTTAAGAATTTAGTCAACAAAAATTATTTTATCATTTTTTTACGTTAACTCATTAAGTATTAATAAAAATGTTTCATTTATTAAATAATTCTAAAAGTTATTATAAGAAAAGTAATTATTTATATATTTAAATTTAGAAACCTCGCAAAAAAATTTGAGCATCCAAAAAAATGAATAACAAGGAAACAAAATGAAATGAAGTAAGTAATTGCTTTTATTTGTACTAAATATAATAACTATTGTGTATGATTCTTTAAAACTCATCGTATCGCTTGTCTCTTTCTCTCTATTGATCTTAGTCACATATTAATGGGGAATAGAAAATGGAAGAATTAAGAAAAAAAAACCTAATTTAGTTCAATTATAAAGCATTTTATTACAATATTAATTACTTAGTATATATATATAAATAAAAACAAGCCATGTTTTAGGACAAAGGAAGTAGTTAATAAATAATGACGGTAATTAAGTTTTCTTACTGGATAAAGATTGTCCCTCTCTCAAAACAAAAGCACCTTTGCTTTACTTCCTTTTATGGTTGCCTTTTGATAGAACAGGTTAGGGAATCAAAATCCTAAATTGTGATCTCAAAAAATGGTAAGTCCATCTTCTTTCTATAAAATTCATGGATACATCTAATTCATCCATATTACATAGTCTCTATTTTTTGTTTGAACTTTTTAATGAAATGTAATTATTTTTTACTCACTCCGTAATATATCAGACCATTTATATTAAATACCGTAAATATAAATATTTTTTTTTCATAGTATTCATACAATATTATTTAAATTCTTAAACATAACGAAAATTTTTGTGGGGACAAATGTTGATAGAAAAAAAGGCATTACTAGTTCAGAATAACTATAGCCATTAGCCACAAAATTAATGCAAGGCAACTATAAAGGTAACTCAATTTATTGATGCTTCATACATTTGGTAGTAGGTACAAGAATTGATTTACTTAAATCAATTACATGGCTTCATTTATGGACCAAATCGATGAAAATAAAATTTTTGATCATATATTAAAAAAAAAAGATAACAAAAAGGATAATTTTAAAATTTTATATTTTTATTGGTCGATCTATAAATGAGATTATAGAACCGGTGCAAACAAGTATTTTCCGCAAACAAATAACTTATCTTCGAGTCAACGTGATGAAATCGGTTTTGTTCACTTATTTTTTCATGCAGCAAATTATGCTTTGCAAATTGGGTTAGCTTCTATGTCTAATCAAAGCAACGTCAAGCCGCACTTTTGAGTGAAGTGGGTGTAGCTTCAAGTAATAATTCAATTCAACTAAATATTATAATGCAATTTCATTATTATTATTATGACTATAAAAATACACTAACTAACGACAGTTTTTCGGTGAGCGGTATTCTCTCTCTCAATAAATATAAATTGCTTTAAAAATGTGAATAAGTAATTAATTATATTTTTCTCAGTTTATTTTTTTTATATTAAATGCAATAATTATCTCCATAATTTTTTAAATAGTAATTTAATAAGAAAATTAATTGCTTATTTAATAATCATAACTCTTAAACTATTTATATATGTGGACAAAATGAGTACAGGGCATTTACTTAAAATAATTAGAAGCACTTCAACGAGTGAAATGAGATGATAGATATCTTTCTCCATCAATTAGAAATTTCGAGTTTGAACTCTGAATATAAAATTTCTTTAAATACTCAGGAGCCCTCTCTATAAATTTACTCGGTATAAATTCGGATTAATTGAGCCGGTGCACTTAGCGATGAAATGGAAATCTAAAAGCTATTTTTAGCATTCTAGTCATTAAATTAGATTTATGTCCTTTTCATGTCTTTGTTTTTCCCAAGTTTATTGAGCGTGTAGGTGATGTGTTTCTTAATCTCGATGCCAACAAAAGTTCCTAGTATCCAATTATTGGTAAGTGAATGTGATTCACTATTTCCCTTTGACGTGGGGAAACTATAACACACCTCATATTTGTGCTAATAAATATGTGTTTCACATTAAAATTAATAAACTTGCCTTTCAATGACTTTATTTTTATTTATTTATTAGGCGGTCCACTATAGTTTTAAGGCATGCAAGGTTGAAGGAAAAAAAAAAAATTTTTATAGGACAAAAAAAAATAAATTTAATAAAAGTTAACATGTCTTTTTTTTTTATTAATTAAAGAAGAACACTTAAGAAGAATATTAATATGTCTAGATAAAATATATTATATATCCGATTTAAGAAAATATACCCTTAAAAATACTTGAGAAAATAACTTCACTTAATGGGTACAAGTAAACTAATTAGAAAACACTTTTAATTGTGAGTAAAAAAATGAATAAAATATAAAATCACATTGGAATTTGCATTTTGATGTGATATCAAATTTTTTTGTTTATACTCAAATATATACGTGTTAAAAAATTTTAATTATCAATTTCAAACTTCAATTTATAAAATAAATTTTCACATGAAAAATTATCTTTTCAATTTTTTGTAAAATGTATTTTAAAATTTTAATTTTTAAAATATCAAAAAAGTATTTGTTTCAATTCAAAATAATTAATTAAATGAAAATTGAAAATAATAAAATTAGATTCCATCAAAAGAAAAACTATTAGATGGCTATGAATAATCTGGTTGGAAATCAAAATTGAATTGAAAATGAACAGAAAATTATTTCGGTTCATCAATTCTAGGAACCGATATTACTCTCTCATTAAAATTGGAATTAATCGATTAAAAAAAAAAAAAAAAAGAAGAGTTATGCTGGAAATCTTGAATAGGCAACGAGGATTTGAATTAATAGGTGAAATTGAAGAGTAATTGGTTCCAATTCATCGTTTCTAAAATTTGAGATTACTCTCTTAGTAAGAAATTAGTCATTTTGAAGTGCATTGCCCAGCTATAATTTATTATACTGTTTTATTTTATGTTTATTTTAAAAAAATTAAAAATTGTACAATTTCTTATGCATTTTGGGCCTTTTTACAGAAGATAGTGGGCCTTTTTACAGAAGAAGACAGCCTGCCCCATACTTGCTCCGGAGTTAAGATTTCTAAAACCCTCTTCGCCTATTCTCGCCGTAATAGCCAAGCAATCAGTCATGCTTCCTAGCGGAGCCCAGGAGCTCTCTCCACCATCCACTCTCACCGTTCTCTACAATTTTAATAATCCCTCCTTAAACCCAAAACCCAACACAACCCTCCTTCTCCCTATGCGCACTTCCCTCTTCTCCTCTCTCTCCCTTCTCCGTTCATTCACTCTTTCTTGCTCTCACCACCAACTCCACCACCACCACTACATCCGGCAACGCTTCTTTCTCGGCTCTCTCCCCACCTCTACTCTTTTCCGTCGAAATTTCTGTCCACTTCGGAGTCTCAAGTGTTTCAGTACTTCCACCGAACAGTTGGAGTGCGAATACCATTCTCTTCCCGAATCCGAAGGGAAGTGGGACTTGTCAAGCAACGAGAACGAAAGTGACGTTTTTAAATACGAGGGCGATCTGGGACATTCGGGAGCTGGTTGGGATTTGAAGCACATTGATTCGCCGGCGCTGGAGGTGAAGGAGTTGGAAGAGTTGCCGGAGCAGTGGAGGCGGGCAAGATTGGCCTGGCTGTGTAAGCAGTTGCCTGCGCATAAAGCGGGGACTTTGGTGAGGATACTTAATGCGCAGAAGAAATGGATGAGGCAGGAGGACGCTACCTATATTGCCGTTCATTGTATGCGCATCCGCGAAAACGAGACCGGGTTTAGGGTAATTCTTTGAAAGTGAACATCTTTGTTTTGATTCCTTACAGCACTGCTCATTTGTTTGTGTGTGTATTTTTGTGCTAGTCGTGTTTTTTTCTCTGAAAATCTAAAGTAAAACTGAGGGCTAGTTGTTAAATCCTACAATGCAATCTGCTGCATCAATAGAGAAACAAATAGAGCACCAACAAGAATCAAAGAATTTAGACCAGAAAAATGAATGCTAAAGCTTCTAATAAGGTACTTGATATAATCAAAGAATTGGGATTTTATTTTATCTGGCTTGGATGATTTCAAGAAATACAATGTGTTTCCTGATAGTCATACTTGTTCAAGACTTGTTAGTAGTTGTATTAAAGCTAGAAAATTCAGAATTGCAATTTATGGTAAGAAAAGGCAGGATAAGAGATGCAATGAGGCTTGTGACAAAGATGAAAGTAAATGGCTGTGAACCAAATGTCTGGATATACAATTTTCTATTAGATATGCAAGGAAGAGTCAATAGTTTGAGGCAGGTAGAGAAGCTATGGAAAGAAATGAAGAGAAGGAAAATCGCCCCAGATAAAGTTACTTGCACAGGTGTTATTAGTGCTTACAATAAGCTCACATGTTTACTTAGCTCAAGTTATTACAGTCAACACAAAGTCAAAGGCAGTTTGTTACTGCTTGTACCTGTATATATATTTAATTTACCTTCATCTTAAATCAGATTTGGTACACATTTTTTTCATCTTCTTTAATAAAATTCTCTTAATTCACAACTTCTCACACTAGTTGTGCAATGCTACTTTGGGTTATAGTTACCTCTGATTTTAGAATTGCCATTTGGAAATCGTGATATATGCTTGTCATTAAGGTAATACTTGAGTTACTTTTTAAAAGGTTGTATAACTGTTATTGAAGGTTGAACCTGAACTGGCTTATTGATTTTGCGTTGTGCATAAAGTTTGTAACTTTATTTGGCTAGGGTACTTCGAAATAAATATTTAGAACAATGTAACAAAATATAAAGTATATATTTTCGTTAAGAAATTGATTTGGTTGTCTGTCAGGTCTACAAATGGATGATGCAGCAGCACTGGTATCGATTTGATTTTGCTCTATCAACAAAGCTAGCAGATTACATGGGCAAGGAGGGAAAGTTTGCAAAGTGCAGAGAGTTATTTGATGATATTATTAATCAGGGGCGTGTGCCTAGTGAGTCCACTTTTCACATTTTGGTCATTGCATATCTTAGTGCACCAGTTCAAGGTTGCCTTGACGAAGCATGTAGCATATACAATCGTATGATTCAGTTGGGAGGTTACAAGCCACGACTTAGTTTGCACAATTCTCTCTTTAGAGCTCTTGTGACCAAACCAGCAGACACTTCTAAACGTTATCTCAAGCAGGCTGAGTTTATTTTTCATAATTTGGTGACATCTGGACTTGAGATACAGAAGCATATCTATGGTGGCCTAATATGGCTGCATAGCTATCAGGACAACATAGATAGAGCAAGAATTGCATCACTAAGGGAAGAGATGAAGCTAGCAGGAATAGAAGAGGGCAGGGATGTGCTTCTGTCAATTTTGAGGGCTTGCTCAAAGGATGGTGATGTGGAGGAAGCAGAAGCAACTTGGCTCAAACTCCTCAGAATTGATGGTGGTCCTCCCACACAAGCTTTTGTGTATAGAATGGAAGTCTTTGCTAAGGTTGGAGAACATATGAAATCTTTGGAGATATTCAGGGAAATGAAGGAACGTTTGGGCTCTGTTAGTGTCACAGGATATCATAAAATCATAGAGGTGTTATGTCGAGCTCAGGAAATGGATTTGTCAGAATCACTTATGCAAGAGTTCATTGAGAGTGGTATGAAGCCCCTTATGCCTTCTTTTAGTGAACTAATGAATTTGTACTTAAATTTAAATTTGCATGATAAACTGGAATCAGTCTTCTCTGCTTGCCTTAAGAAATGTCGACCAAATCGAACAATTTACAATATGTACTTGGATTCTTTGGTGAAAGTTGGTAATCTTGACAAAGCAGAGGAGATCTTCACCCATATTTGTAGTGGTGAGGGTGTTGGTGTTACTGGCAGATCATGTAATATTATTCTAAGTGCATATCTCTCTTCTGGGGAACATGTGAAAGCAGAGAATGTGTATAATCTGATGTGCCAGAAGAAATATGATATTGAACCCTCATTGATGCAAAAGCTTGACTATGTGCTAAGCTTGAGCAGGAAAGAGGTTAAGAAGCCTGTAAGCCTCAAGATGAGCAAAAATCAGAGAGAAATTTTAGTAGGCTTGCTATTAGGTGGTTTGCAAATTGAATCAGATGAAGAAAGGAAGAGACACATGATTCGGTTTGAGTTCAATGAGAATTCTAGCGTACATTCTGTTTTGAGGAGGCATTTATATGATGAATACCATGAGTGGTTACACCCTTCCTGTAAGCTTAATGATGGCAGCGATGATATATCTTACAGATTTTCTACTATCTCGCACTCTTACTTTGGTTTCTATGCAGACCAGTTTTGGCCAAAAGGTCGAGCCATTATACCTAAGTTAATTCATCGGTGGTTATCACCACAGGTTCTTGCATACTGGTATATGTATGGAGGTCACAGAACATCATCTGGGGATATCTTGCTGAAGCTGAAAGGAAGTCGCGAAGGTGTTGCAAAGGTTGTCAAAGCATTCAAAGCAAAATCTCTCAGTTGCAGGGTGAAGGTGAAGGGAAGAGTGTTTTGGATAGGCTTTCTAGGAAGTGATTCCATATGGTTCTGGAAACTTGTAGAGCCATATATTATAGACGATCTCAAAGATTATCTGCGAGTGGGTGATCAGATGTCAGACAACAATGCAGTAGAAACACAACATATAAACTTCGATAGTGAATCTGATATTGATGCAGCAGAATCTGATATTGATGCTGCTAGTGACATTGATGGTCCATAAAACTTGTGGGTATATCCTCGACCATATGGGTTGGTGCACCAGTTAACACAGATTTTCATTATGTATCATCCTCAGTAACTTGAAATTTGTAAATAGTAATATCCCTACAGAATTAAGTTAATGATTAATCAGTTCGTAAAGAAGTTCTCACAAAATATAATCCAATTGGATTTCTGTTTCATAATGTTCTTCTATTATGGTTTATGCTATGGTATGATGGTATCTTGTAATTGTTAACTTTTGATTTCTTGATCCTCATCCCAATTCCCATATAAAGGAACTGTCGGATTTCTGCGTCTCTCTCTTGCATGTGTGAACCTACTAAATGCAGGTTTAACAAGGAGGTGGAAGTGGATTCCATAATGTTCAACAACCAAATTCAGATGTTGTTGACACATCTCTATGAAGTTTAATACAGCAATACTCTCACCTCTCATGTCATTCTATGGAATATTACTGTATGACACTGTAAATGCATTATAGTGCTGTATAGCCTTCACTTCATTCTTATAGATTGCGGAGTGTGAGATTGTGACTTGATTTTACTGATAAGATAATGAATCATAGGTGGCAGGGAGGTGAGCTTTTTGTTTCTAGGGAAGGGAAGGTTTAATTTTGTGTTCACGGTTTTCTTGTGATTTTATGGCAATGACTGGAACTTACTGGCTCTAGTTTTTGTATTTTCTTTAGTTGCCTAGCTGATGATCTTGAATCCTCTGGTGATGCGGACAATTATACAATTCTGCTTCCCTTTTGTGCTTGAAAAGTTTAGGATAATCCTGCAGTTTGTCCTGCTCCTAGCTGATAGGGAATCTGTGAAGCGTCACAGTTATCTTCTTTCTTTCTTTTTTTATTTCCCCTGTTGTAAATCATTAACCCCTTGTTTGGAAATCTAAATTTTGCAAGAATTCAATTCCAGAAGAATTTCATTTTGTCAATTCTTGTATTTGAAAATGAGATAATTTACAGAACATAAATAATTTTGAAGTATTAAAAGTTATGTTATTTTTAGGTTTGATATTACAATAATTTAATTTAATTACATGGATTTGTATTCAAATTACAAATATCATTATAACTTATATTATAGTTTCCTAAAATTGTAATATTACTATCAATTTTTAAATAAATAAAAGTAATTATTTTTAAAAATAAAATAAATTGAAAATATTTAATTTACATGGTGTTTGAAACAAATTTTATATAAGAATTTAATTATTTTTTCTGATAAAATTGAATTAAATTGATTTTTTTTTGCCTATGAGGTTTTTTTCAAACTCAAACTAAATAATGAAAAGACATTTCTTCTTGGAACAAGATCATCGGAGAACTGAATTATTCTTCAACCACTATATTGTTAATTCAAGCATTCGACCATAAAATAGATTATTAGGCATTCAACATATTGTTTCACGCGATGTCGTTCTGGTGACTTCGTCATAATTCCAGAAATGCCCTCACTAGGACACGAACACCTGGCGGTGCACCTGCACTGCACAAGAGACGCCGTTCTCAAGAAAAGAAAACGGATAGCAGACTATTTCGTGCTCTCGCTTCTCCATAACGAAAAGTTTAACATCACAACTTTCATCTCCAGAGCATCGTCGATATCGAAACTCGAAGAAGAAATGGTGTCGGACTCAGACCTCGTGACCCGGCTTCGCGAAGTTCTCCAGGACTCTGACCTCGACACGGCCACCGCCGGCAGTATCCGCCGAAAGTTGGAGGAAGAGTTCGGCGTCAATTTATCGGACCGGAAAGCTTTTATTAGGGAACAAATTGACATTTACCTTGAAACTCTAGAGAACAACGATAAGGAAGAAGAGGAAGAAGAAAATGCGGAAGAAAATAACAACGACGTCGTAGAAGGAGAAGGGGAAGAGGAGGACGGCGAAGAAGAAGAAGAAGAAGAAGAAGAAGAGGAAGCTGAAAGAAAAGAGTAATTTTTTTTCCTTAAATTCCTTTTTGGTCGGGTATTTTTAGCTTAGAAGGAAATGAAACTTATAGTTGAATATTGAGATGAATATTCATAAAGAATCGGTTATGGTTGATTTGGTAATGGAATTAGGTGTCTGAATGTGAAATTAGATGTATAGTTCGTTTAAAATTTGTATGCCTCTTTTCTCAGCTCTTACTTCGTGTGCGAATTGGTTTTACTTACCGTTTTGCATGTCAGTGCCACCTTTGAGCTTCGTCTCAGAAGTTCAATCACATTTTTTTTTTTATTATTAAAAGAAACTTGTTGACAAACATTTTGATATTTTTTGCCTTTTCTTTCTGTTATCATTTATGATATGAAGGTGACTTGAGCGCTTATTGTTTTGTGTTTAATATGAAGTATGAAATCAGTCTGGGTTCGAGCTTCTGTAATTGATATTGCTCAATATATGTTATTTTGTTGATCAAATAGGTCCAATGAACGACAAAAAAAAGTGAAAAAAAGAGGTGGCTTTACGAAGTTATGCAGCCTTTCTCCACAACTACAAAAGATTGTTGGAGTGACTGAATTAGCTAGAACTGAGGTATTTCTATAAATTAGATGTCTCTTTTGATCCTCTGGAAACACTAATTCATGCATGACATGATGCAACCTTGGAGTTTTGGAACATAATTAATTATTTCACTTCTTCATTCTGTGTTATCGTTCTAGGTTGTGAAGAAACTTTGGGCCTATATCCGGGAGAACAATTTGCAGGATCCAAAGAATAAGCGGAATATAAAATGTGACCAAGCATTTCGTGATCTTTTCCGTGTAAATTCAATTAATATGTTTCAAATGAATAAAGCCCTGTCCAAGCATATTTGGCCATTAACTGCAGAAGCTGGTATTTTCCTTTATAAATTTATCTTTTCACATATTTCTGTCATGGGAATGGATTTGTGCTTAATTGTCTTGCTTGTTAGGGCAATCCCAATCATTTCACATATAAGTTTGTTTCATTGTGTGTGCATGTTTGTTTATTCTCTAGTTATGCTGTAACTTGCATTTTCTTATTTTGACTAATCCAGTTTATTTTTTAAACTTTGCCATGCCAATTAAAATGCACTTTATTTAGCACGAGATGAGAAGTTCCCTTTTTGTTTATGTTCTTCTTATAGATCAATTGTGTTCCTGAGGATTCCCCTCTGGTAAAGGCCTGAGATATTTCCATCAAAATTCTTAAGCAAATCTTCATATTGTTAAGCTGCATTTGTGAAAAGCAGAATCACGTCCTGTTGTGTGGCTTACCGCATAACAATAGCTTCTTTTATATTTCTTTTCTTTTTGTTTACAGTATTCTGATTGCATATCTTACAAATAAGCAAGCAGAAAAACTGTTTGGATTAACTTATGAGTGATTTTTCCAATACTATACAGAATAATTGAAATAAGAAGCTGTGTTATAAAAGTTCTATAGTGCAACATGTGTTGCTTTTGTCTAAAGCAAGTGTAACACTTGTATTGATTTCTCTTATAACTTGTCAGCGTGGTCAAAATTTGATGATCCAATATCACTTTTGAATAGTGAACACTTGATTATGTAGATCTCCCTAGATTAGTTTGTGTGATAATTTTGCATCCTGCTTATCATTTATGCTCTTCCTTCTCTCTTTTTTTAGACTAGGCTTATGTTGATGACTTATATTTTCATTCATGTTTATGCGTTTATGACAGTGGTATCAGAATCTTACAATTCAGAATTACACATTGATAGAAGCATAAGTACACCATGCAAATACTTCAAAAATTGTGTATAAGTCAACATGTATAATTTTATAAGAATGCATTAATTTGGGTATGGTAAGAAATTCGAGACAGGATTACTGCATCTAGAATGTTTACATTAAGTGTCAAAATTGTAAATAAAAAAATAAATGAATAGTGTATATATATGCGGTTAGGGGTATTGGTGCTAAATCGAAGTGCAATAATAGTTCTACTTGACAGTAGGAAAATTGATATTATTAATTATTTGTAAATGAATTTTCTTTTTTCTAGGTTGTTTTTACCACCCTTCTCAACTTTTCTCTGCCTGTGGCATCGTAATGTTTTATTTCATGAAAACTAATCCTTTTTTGGCCAGTCTTTGGACTACTTTAGGATGTTTATATTTTCTGCAATTTCAACTTCAACTGCCACAAAAGGCTTCCACATTGAACTCCCACTTTATTTCATTTACGGTATAATAAAATCTTCTTATTATTTACCTTTGGAGATATTATCCTGAAGTTGCATGTTTAGGCATTTGATTGTTGTATTAACCTGTGCCATTAATGAGCAATCAGAGAATGAAAAACTGAAAGTAAAAGATGAAGATGGTAGTAATTCTGTGTCAGAAGAAGAGGAAGAAGAAGAGGACCAAAGTGAAGAAGAGGAAGAAGAAGAAGAGGAAGATATGGAGAAAAAAAAAAAGAAAGGAAGGTGAGTTTCTTGCTTTATTTTGTCTCCTTTCTATGAGTGGATTTCTTTTGTTTGCAGCACCTTAGTTTCTTTTAGCATTTCTGTGTTTCAAAGAACAGAAATTACTTACATTATGTTTGCTAAAGGATGTTAATTGACGATTGGAAGTTACCATTTGCTGAATCATGCATTTTTTACCAGAAAACTTCATCTCTGAAAATAAAACTGCAGTCTGTCTGTGGTTACTCTTCAATTCCTGGTGTCTATCAATCTTATTTTGGCTTTTTAAATTTTTAATATGTATTTCAGCTCAGGTTCTGAAAGTTGGTGATGAATTTATTAGAAAGATGATTGAAGTGGATGATATTGATTGTCATTGATTATTGAACTGGAACATGAAAATTGTTAACATGGCATTACTAAAACATCATATAGATATCAACGAATGGTTTTTGGGGGGTGCTCGCTTGTGTATTTCTGAATTAAATTATTTATCTTGTCAAGTAGGTCGATTAAGGGGGATAAAGATGGTAAGAAAAGAGGCGGCGGCTTCACTAAATTGTGTAGCCTTTCTCCACAATTACAAGAGTTCATTGGAGAGTCTGAATTGGCCAGAACAGAGGTATGAGAATAGATATTTGGTCATCTCTTTATATTCAGTTTCATTGTGTGGGATGATTTTGTTCACACTTGTTTTTCCTTGACATTTTGCTTCCAGGTTGTGAAGAGGCTTTGGGCCTATATTCGGGAGAGAAATTTACAAGATCCAAAGAATAAGCAGAACATAATATGCGATGAATCGTTGCATGCTCTTTTCCATGTTAATTCTATCAATATGTTTCAAATGAATAAAGCATTGTCCAAGCACATATGGCCACTAAATGAGGAAGGTATGTGTCCAAATTAGCTTCTCTTTTTCTTTTTAAATTACTATGCATTATGGCGATATATGCTAATGAAATTTTTTTTCAAACACGTTCTCCTTCCTTTTGGCTTAAGTTAAATACTTATATTGATTGAATCAGTAAAGTACTTTACAATTTAAATTTTTGCATTATTTTGTTATTTACTATAATGGGAAATAAATATGCTTAAGATTGATACGCATCACGTTTCATGATTGCTTTGTTTCTCATTTTGGAAGCACAGGGATTCCAAACCACAAATGCTTAATTGGATGAACTAATATGTTGATATTGCTTGATCAAACTGTTGAGTTTAGATCGACTTTCTTTTTTGTTTGCAACTCTGCTCACCTTTTGTCTATAAAAATTAGTGACTAAGCATGTTGAGTTCTGGTTCTTTTAATCAACACTAATCACTCAAGAATTAATACTTGACATTAGTGTATCCTTTGGACTAAATGTTTGGACTTGGGTACAATTGTTGTTATAGGTGGTTCAGTATGTAGGCATGATTGTTGCACGCACTCTTTCCTCTAACCTCTAGTCTGTCTGTAGCTGATATTGATTAGTTTGGGATTAAAGCTCACCTGAGTCTACACCTAGTAGTCTCTATAAAGTAGGAAGCTCAGGAAAATAGGGGGTTTCCAAATTCATTAATTATGGCTGAATTACTCCAATTGTTTTAGTGATCAAATATACTGATTTACTTTCTGAAGAGAATGATATGTGATGTGTTAATACATTTACTGAAGCCATGATTTAAGTTTTCTCTTCTCATTCACCAAAAGGATGTTGTTTTCCACTTTCTTGTTGATGTCTTAATGAAAATTTCGGAACATTAATGTCTTGTCCTAATCTTGTAGTTCCAAACAACACCTCAGAAAAGGAAAAAAGAAGTAAGCAACCGAGAGAAGGTGAGAACAGTAAATTTAAGTCCACAGCATATTAACTTATTGGGTTTGTAAATTTAAGTTCTGTGACCCAATCTTTCATCAGCGTGGCATGTGCTACTCGGATAAGAAAATAAAAAATGTGTCAGTACTCTTCTAGTGATGATATTGTAATAATTATGCTGTTTAGGTTCAGATGAGCCGAAGCAGAAAGAAAAACGGCAGAAGAAAGGAGCTTCTGGTCTTCTTGCCCCACTTCCACTCTCAGATGCTCTTGTAAAATTTTTTGGCACTGGTGAAAATGAATTATCTCGAGCTGATGTTGTAAAGAGAATGTGGGGATACATAAAACAGAATGATCTGCAGGTATGTCGCCATTATTCTCCTGAATAAAACTCTACTGTGTAAGTGCAGTACTTTTGATTTTCAGCTAAAACGTTTTCAATGGAATCCCATGCATATATAATAAAAATTGAGCCTCAATCAAAGTGAATGTAGGGAAAATGGACAATCTTTCAGGCACATGCTGAGCATTTTTACTAACTTGAGTTTGCTGACTAGCCATCCATATACGTTAATTATTTAGTGGACCCTTGAAATGGAAATGATTAAATTTTAGGCAACATAGATTGGAAATAAGTTGAAGCAAAGACAAAAATTTACTGATACAAAGACAGCAATATCTCTGAGGCATAGGATAATAAGTTATAATGATTGAAGGGTACTACATGATGGAAATTATGAGTGAGCCTGGTGTGTAGGAAGTTTGTATAAAGCTTGGCCCCACCTTGAATTGTGTCTATATTGAATCTTAGTCTATGTATATGATCTGCCTGACTAGAAAAATGTTGGGGAATGTTTTTTAATAATTACCAACTTGACATGGTTGCCAGAGGTAAACATGCACAGGTCATTTCACAAAGCATGCATCCAATAGATTGGATAATCCAACATCTAGCTCGTTCTCGGTCTTCCTTTCAAAAAATAAAACTGATGATATGTTGGTGCTCTATTTTGCAATGATAAATGTGACTTTTCATTACTATGCCATTTATCATTCTATGATGGAAGACAGTTTCTTTTTTGGGGATCAATGGATCAAATTATCTTACTTCAATTCCTGCTTACTAGATGATTTGACTTCTCCAGTAATTGGCATGCTCACATTGTACATATTGATATTTAACAATATAATCATAATGAGAGTAGATTGTGCAATCAGGAATGTACATTTCTTGATATAATTGTTGATACATGCAAGAAAGCTTGTTCTATCTGTATTCACTATAATAATTTATTTATTTCTTGTAAACAGATCAAGCTTGGTTAGTTTCTATCAGTAGAGAGATTGACCCTGTTTGAAATTCCAAATATGTACCCTTACAATGAAGTCAAGCCACCAGGCTAATAACCCAGTAATTGGCTACCTTTCTAAAACCTCCTTCCCCTTGAATCCCAAAAGACTTAGAAAAATAGTAGACAGAAAGTGAGATGACAGAAGTGAAGTTGGGTATGAAGAGAAATGGGAAGTACAAGTGCCTAAAGAAGGATATGTTAAAAAGAGGAAAAAATTGAAATCTGAGTAAAACCTGTTGAGTACATGTGAAGTGCTCACATCTATTACTGAAATCAGAAATCAACCTGGGACCAGGTAGGTGAGAAGGAAGCTTGATTTCATATGCCTGGCCTACTATACTTTATGGTGGCTGATCTTGTCACCCTTTTACTACTTTTTAAAATGGTCACTTTGAAAATGGTTCTTTTTAACTTGCATGGGACCATCTATTAAACATTCACTGTTCTGTTCCCCCTATTCTTCATTAGATCATCTCTATAGATATATCATCTGCAATTGCTTGATATAGATTTCTTAAATAACGAGTTTTGTATTGACTTGTATAATTTTAGAATCTTGTCAGATTTCAGCACATGTATTTTTATCTTACTAAAATTTTCTGACTCTTTTTAAAGGATCCATCTGATAAGAGGAGAATCATTTGTGATGATAAACTAAAAGAACTATTTGAGGTTGACTCATTCAATGGCTTCTCAGTCTCGAAGCTTCTGACTTCTCATTTCATCAAGATGGAACAGTGAGCGAGTTGTAGGTACATATTGTAAGCCCATTGGAGGCAGCAATTTTGCTAGAGTTGTTCATACTTTCAATATGTGCCGGCATCCTGTATGCTTCTTGTCCAAGAAATGGAAATAGTTTTCAGAAAATATTTCTTTGTGCCATCACTTATGGTTTCCTTTGCTTTTCCCCCCACTAGGTGAATTTTATTTATCAATTTGACTTGTATAGTAGTAGTCCAAGGATGTCCGCCTCCCATACAAGATCCAGCTAAATATGGGAACATCTCTCAGAATTTTATGGGCAATTTAGAAAGCCTAAAGGTAAAATTGCAATATCAAAAGGCAATTTACCTTACCATGCATTCCCTTATCAAAGGGAGCGACGGACCACAAGTTCAGAAAATTTTCATTCCAGTTTGTCCCTTTGCAACATGATTTTTTCTCTAACATGAATCTTGACCCCAGTCCTTTTTGTTGTCCAATTGTTGGGCTTTAACCAGTAGTCAGAACTACTTGTGTGCTTTTTTAAGTCTGTATGCGTGTTTCATTTGTCTTTGATGCCAAAATTAACAAGTTCGTTTATGGAACTTCTGATTACTGTACAAATGCTATAATTTTCCTACTTCCTAGTAAGTTATAACACACAACTTAATGCTAAGTGTGTAGCTGAAGTGTCTAGATTTAATGTATTGGCCTTTTTGAAGCTGCTAAATTCATTTTGATTTTTATCCAATGATTTGTATTTCTGATGATTCGCCGCCAAGCTGTGCTTATCTCATTATATGGGTGGATATTACCTCACAGCGAGCCTTCTGTTTTATCATTCATTAGACATGCAAACGAATGGTAGCAGCTTCAGCAGTAATATAGGTGCTTCTATTAAATTATTGCTCAGGCTCTTGTATTATTTCCATCTATTATTCAGTATTTTTTAGCTTGAATATTTGCATGAAGTGATGAATGGTCATGTAGCGCTGCTGTTTGTAGAGCAATCTGCATATAATTATAAGGGAACTTTCTTTGCATCTCTAGGTACAAGTGCTGGTGTAAGAAAGATATGAAATGATGTGTAATGCACATAAAACATTTTTTAACTTTCCAAATTTTGTTTGTTTTGAAGAGTATTTGTTTCTTTTGGCAAAAGAGACAATTAAACTCCTTAACTTTGGATATTGTACTTGTAGAACGTGAAATGTGTTTTGTGTTCAGCCTGTGATTATAACTTATGACCGTTGTTAGTAGGATATAAGAGTATTTTGCTAGTTGAGCAGATGTGGATATAATATATTCTCTCTATATATCTGAATAATATATCCAAAAATTTCTCATCCTCTCTTTATTTGGCTTGAGCCACAGTTTGAACTTTGAAGTGTGCTTCTTTAGAGTTAGTGGGAAGTATAAAGAATACTCTTTTGTGGAGGCCCTACAAAAGTTGGCATGGATGGTGTAAAAAGAATGCATTTGTCTCTATATATCTCAGGTGCAGAAATGGGAGATTTTTTTTTTTCGTTGAATGGAAATGTTAAATGTTCTTGTTCACGTGAAGATGTGAAAACTTTTGGTCATGTCTTGACTATTATCGATTTCAAAGTTGAAATCTTTATTAGCCCTATCTTCTTTGCTGAGATATGCTGACTTAGACTTTCACTTTGGTAATGGAGGATTCTCCTTATCCTTTCTTATTTCTTTCTTTCTTTTCCAACAAATCCTTTAGAGCTTGTCATGTTCATACACTCAATATGCTAGGTTTTATTCCAATTCTCTAAAGGAGATCATTTATAATTTTCGTTCGGAGTGGATTCTCATTCGAAAGATTCATATTGAGGTTTGATTATTCTTATGCTGGTTGTCAGCCTGTCGAGACCCCTCCTGCTTTATCTGGGCCCGAGACAAGCGATGTTTTTCTAAGCTCATATTGGCAGAGTTAGCTATGAGTAGAGCAGAAGAGAAATAAATGGTTCATATAGTCAATTCTAGACGTGGCTACGGTTTCTAGAACTGCCAATTCCAGTTCTAAAAAATTTGGAACTGAAACTGAATCGAAAATAAATGGTTTTTTCGGTTACGGTTTTAAACTGAACAGTCTGATTTCGGTTTTTTAACAGTTTTAAAATCGATGGTTCTGGCTGGTTCTTTGGCTGGATTTTTGACCGGTTTGACTGATTTCGAATGGTTTTGACTGGTTTCGGATGGTTCTTATCGGAACTGGAACCGTTGGTTCAAGGTTCTAAAACTGGTGGGATCGGAATCGAACCGATTCGGACGGTTCTGGTTCCTACTCGGACTGGTTTCGGTTCTCATGGGTTTCGGTTCCGGTTCCCACCGGTTTGGAACCTACGATTCTGGTTCTGAAAACCGGATTTTGGCCACCCCAGTTCTAACTAGTTTAGGATTGGTTGGACTCGGATTTAGGTTATGATGAAATGTCTTTGGATCAACTTGATGGTTGCACAAGTCTATTTGTGGCTACTTGTTCAGATTTATTTTTAGAGTGATTGAATTTTTCATTCAATGATATATATTTTTGTTTATTTTGGTGCTAAAGACTATAGAAATCCTCGGCAAATTGGCCTGAGTTTAATTTTGCTTGCCCCGCATTAGGCCCTTAAGAGAAAATATAATATAAAAAGGTATATATATTTAATTGTACATAAAATTTAATTAAATAAAAAAATAATATAATGTTGGGATAATGGTTGAATAAAAGGACAATAGGGGAGGACAAGTGAAAGAAAAGGGCAGTGGTGGAGAGAAAAAGCGAGAAGTAGGAGATTTATGTGAAAAATAAAAAATGTGAACCAGATTGGAGAAAATAGGGAGAATCTTTTGAGATGGGGCCCCGTTAATATTCGATCTGTTCAATGCTCCGCCGTTCATACGCGGCGAACCGATTCCTATTTCCCCACTCCTCTCCACCATATGATTAGCTGCGTCATTTCCACGCGCCTTCTCCGACACTGCTCACGCCTTTCACCTTTCTTAGTTTCTTGCAACATGCCTTGTCTTTTTTTTTTTTTTTTTCTAATTTGTGGAAGAGAAAAAAAGCGAAGAAGTAGGAGATTTATGTGAAAAAATAAAAAAAATGTGAACCAGATTGGGGAAAATAGGGAGAATCTTTTGAGATGGGGCCCCGTTAATATTCCGATGCTGTTCAATGCTCCGCCGTTCATACGCGGCGAACCGATTCCCTATTTCCCCACTCCTCTCCACCATATGATAGCTGCCGTCTTTCCACGCGCCTTCTCCGACACTGCTCACGCCTTTCACCTTTCTTAAGTTTCTTGCAAACATCTTGGTTCTTTTTTTTTATTTTTTTTTTTTTTTTTTTTTTCTAATTTTCAAAAAATATAAATTAATGTTTTATCTTTCTTATTCTATCTACTTTGTGTTTCTTTTTTTTTTTCCGAAGCTATTTACTTTGTGTGAACAATATTAAGTAATTTTTAAAATTTAGCATTCTAAGTAATAAGCCACTACATTTTAGCATTCCTATTTACTATTATTATTATTATTATTATTATTATAAAAAGAACTACCAACTCAAAGAAAGATACCTATCTAATCACATAACAAAAGCCTTTTTTTAATGTTTTAGAATTTTGTTTAGTTTCATGTAAAATGCACATCACAAATTCACAATCTTTTGAAAAAAAAAAAAAAGGTAAATTTATTTATTTGACTATTATAAGCTCAATTTTATATTAGCAAATAAACTCCAAAATTACATTCGAATAAATAAAATATATCAACTGCAATTACTCATATTTTATATAATTTGAAACTCTAGTAAATGATAAATGCTTGCGTTGCCTCAGCTCCATCTCTTATGTATTATCTTTGAAAGTACTATAGATGTCATGTCATAATTTAGTTTGGGAATCACCCAAATTTTTAACTCTCTTTGGATATGATTAGACACTAAAGAAATGTTGAAGATGCGCATGAAGTACTTTTTGATACACTCATTATTATTTTTCTTCAAATTTGAAGAAATTTTGTCAAAGAATGAAAGAGTCAAGAAATGTAATGTGAAAAGAAATCCATACTTATGATCAATGTCTTAAGGATATCATCATAGTCAAAATTAAACCCCTTTAAATGAGATATAGTTGTACATTAGGGTTTGACTAATTCCTCAATATATATACTATAATAGATGTTCGATTATTGAACTACTAAAAATAATATTAAGATATATAAAGTTTCAATTATTTAAATGGAATAGTTCTAAATAAAAATGAAGACATTACGGTACGATTCTTATAATTTGTAAAATATAACTAGTTCATTCTTGTCTTTCAGGAAATAGATTAAAATGTTTTTATAGTTTACTTCCGTTAGACTATAAGATCATTTCGTGTATTTTTTTCGTTAAGTACTTTATGTAATGACAAAAATACTCCTTTTGTTTTTAAAAATACATAGATAAACTAGTTGTATTTTTCAAGCTATAGGAACTGTTCTTTAGTATAATATTTTACTATCTCTTGTTTTACCTCTGTGTTTTTTTTTTTTTTTTTTTTTAGGAACTGTTCTTTAGTATAATATTTTACTATCTCTTTGTTTTACCTCTTGTGTTTTTTTTTTTTTTTTTTTGTTAACCTTAACAGAAAAAGATTATAAACATTGAATAGAAATATATAATAGTATAACAAAAGTAAAAATTATACATAAAAAAATAAAAAAAAAAGAACGGGCCAGCTTAGGAGGCCCGGCGGTTTTTGTAAACAAATAAGAAATAGGCCATAGCCACTCGAGTAGGGTACGGATAAAAGGAAAACAATTTTTTTTTTTTTTTTTTTTTGTTAACTTAACAGAAAAGATATAAACATTGAATAGAAATATATAATAGTATAACAAAAGTAAAATATAGAGAAAAATTAATATATTTTAAAAAATACAGAAACGAACTAATTGTATTTTACAAATCACACAAATCCATTGTAATTTTTCTAATAAAGATTGATAGGTTAGGGTGCCTATGGGATATAAGTTGGAAGGGGGGTGTATCTAAAAGAGTTGAAGATGAAGGGTAAAGATGTAAAAAGGGAAGAGGAGAAGAAAAAATGATGATGTTAAATAAACGGGACCAAGAAAGTGGAATTTTTGCAAGGACCAAGCATGAAAAAACAATAATGCTACTCACCAACTCCTAAAAGTAGACA